ATTTATGCGTTCTTGATCGCATGATCCTATCCTCTTAGAGCCTTCCTCTCTAATTTCCTATGTTCCGGGTCGTTTACCTCCGGTCTCACTAATTTTAGGTTCTCACCCTTCCGGTGTTACCTTTTCACCGCTAACGGCAGAATCTCAATCGAGCCTAGCCCCGCTGTAAGGTAGGCTCATCATCACAATTACCTTATAGTGGGGGGAGGGGCAGGTTCAGGAATTTGACCAATTCTATCGCCTATTTCTTTTAATTTACGAAAGGTATCCCAATACACCGTGAACTCGCAAAACTAAGACGTACCTTATCTAGGGGCTATCCGTGAAGCCCTGAGTGACTAGACTGGACCTCCCTTTTGTTTTGACTATAGTTCAGCAGGAAACACATGTACATTCAATTATAGTCAGGCGCTAGTCCAGCTCCGGGGAAAGATCATGAAATTGCGTTGGCTAACGGTACTGCCGCAAACCGAGAGATGTCAAGTTCACAGAGTCTCAGTTAGGCTACCTGCCCTGGTAGAGATCGTCGAAACACGGTGAAGCGATTTATTAGTGTAAGTGTTTTCAGTTCATTAGTCGAGCACGGATTGATTTGTCTTCAACAAAGAGAGGACTGTATTGCCTACCTAGTACCTGAAGCAAATGAAGAAGCCTTGGAACTTCATGTCGATAACCCTCTGCTGATTCTCTGGCGTACGTTTTTGCCCCAATTTCACATTCCAGTGTACGATACGGTGAGGTACGCATACAATGAGAAAGGGCCTCACCAAAATTAAGGCAGCGCTCTGATTCTAGTGAATCAGTCTTATGGCCCGACGGCTACGGCAAGTGCGCGGTGTCAACCTTTTTGTCGAGCTCTACTTGACGCAGAATTTCCTCCTGTTTCCCAGCTAATCAGATGGTTCACTATTGTGCATACCAGAGCCTACGGCATAGCAAATGTTCAGGCTGGCTCTGATTACTAATGGTGTGAAGCTGTGTTGTGCTTTGCAGCTGTACACCAAAAGACGTCGACTTGCCGTGGAAAATGGCGATGCTGGGCGCAGCGGCGAAATTGGGCTATTGAGGATATACTGCTCGACAATGTTCCTCCTCGAAGTTGGTGCCCCAAGTATCTCCCGTGTCATGGCTTGAATTGAGTAAATACCGACCCATAGCCTTCCACATACGGGGAGCGTGTCATGTCCGGTAGCGACTCCCTGCTGGGCGCAAAGAGGGGTCATTATTTGGCCTTGCTCGTGCTGATGCTGAGTATATGCTTACCAGGTATGTGGAAGAAGACCTACTAAGTTAGATCTTCAATGGCGAAAATACGTCCACCAGATCTGAAAGGGAATGAAAGCGCCCAACTAGCTTGACCGTGCAACACATGAGTGGAGCATTTCCCCAGGAAACATGGCCCATCAAGTAGCTCGCTTGCCTGCTACTGAATGGCAGTGCCATTGCCAACTACCAAATAGCCATCATATACGTCGTGGTGATCCTGGGGCAATGTCGAGCCAAAAACTTGTCCAGAACTAGAAGCAAAGACCCAATATGGACGCAGCACACCCAAGACACATGTGGCGTTGTTGAATCCATTGACCGCTCTTGGCCTAAGTAAAGTAACCAGCCCGAAACTTGAACAACGTGGGAACATGTAACTTTCAAAAAAAGTTGCTTGATAGTAGGTCCGAAAACCAAGATCAAGATGAAAGGTGAGGCTTAGCTCAAGTCGCTGCGACAGCGCCCGAGTGATCAATCTCCGCTGTGAACCCGGGATATCATGGGGAAAAAAATCCTACACAAGCAAGGTTAACCATTTTCCCAGGAGCACAAAGACCTGTTCGCAAACACGACCAGGTCGGAGACGATCCCACTGCAATAGAAGATCTCTTGCCAGCACGGTAGATTCACTGAAATGACACGGACAATACGCAGCTGAACGGTGGCGGCCACTTTGCCATGCCTTGGAAACACTAGCCTGCGCCGACCATCGCGGACCGTTCGAGGGTTTCGCGTCGGAGCACCAACCACATGTAGAAATCGTCTTGGTCTATATCAACGGTCTGGCGCGATCCTCAATACCTCGACAGGTAATGTGGAGGAATTGTCGAAAGTTTTGATTGGCAATGTTAACGTTACAACTCCACCCCGACGCAAAATCATGCCTCATGACTCCCCAATGACTTTCTTTGTGTCCTCCTCCTTGCCCAGAAGACCAAGATTTCTGATCTGGCTCGCGGATGGCGTATCATCTCCGGACGTGGCGCCTCGTCGGTTATAGGCTGCTTGCATAGCTACTGCTCGCGCATGCTGGACGGGATTAGCCTCACCGCGTTGGCTTGCGATGGATTGACGAACCTCCTTCTTGTGATGCAGACACTCATAGTAGTCTTCAAGTGCTACCGCGCACTTCTTCTTGCCGGCACCGTCGTTCTCCGCGGATGTGTTGACAACATAGCAAGCCAGCACTTCCTGCCAGAAGGGAAAGCAGCGGCCGACGCCTGAGACGCATCAGCAATTGAACAGACCTCAAGTTGCGAGATGTCGTGTATCTTCGTCGACCAACTTACCGCCGTATTGACCATACCCTGACGACATTTTCGCGCAGTGCAGTATATCGAATGGGGAGCTGTCGCAATAAGTACCTGTCCAGCCTTCCTGATTCAAGGTCAACGAAGGACGTCCGGGGAGATAGTGGATATTGTGCTTAATCCTCGGTAAATCTTCCGCCCGAAGGCTGCAGGCGCAACTCACTATCCTAAGGGACGTACTTGTACATAACTACTCCCCCTATGTCAGAAGACAGACTCAGCATTGGCAAACTTGAACCACCGAAATCTGATTATGTTCTTGGCCGCACGCAGTGCAGATCCTCCCACATTGCCGATTCTCGTCTTTGACTGCGATAGACAGCGATCGAGAGCCATGTCGCTGTCGCAATCTGCATTGTCTGACGCACCTTGAACTAGCTCCCCATCGGCACGCCTCGGTAGCTAAAGCTGGTTCGCTAACGCTGTACCTCGGATTCCTCAGCATCACAGTTATACGGCCATAAGCTTGCAGTTTCAGGCAGCGCTATGGTTCACGACCCTGTGAATAATGGCAAACTTGCCTCCGCAGTCCCGAACGAAACGAGCACCCCGCAGTCACCCGCCAAAGTGATCCTAGCTGCAGTTGAGCTTGCAGCTCGAGCGGAGATTGACGACCTTCTCGGGTTGACCACACGACATCAAACGATCTTAAAAAAAGAACTCCTGCTCCGGATACTTTTAACGTTCTTGCCGGAAACAACGAGTCCCGTATTATATGTCGCCTTGCTTCAAAAAGTTGTGGAGGGTGATCTAGGATGCGACGATACAACAGTGCCGCATTGGTTGCCACCTTCCATTGAGACACTCAGTGAAGACCAGGCGAGGAAGAAGGTCTGCAAGCTGAACCTCGCGCCGCTTCCCCTGTCGAACGATCTAAGTGCGGATCCCTTCACGGAGTTCTTGTTGAGAAGAGCCCGTGCACTTGATGAAGAGGCTGGAATGCTTTCTCAGATTCCCGATTTGCTGCAACCGTTTGTTGGCCACAGCGAGGTCATACACTCTTGGCTCACAACAACAATCATCCCCCTTGTACGGCGCAGCACCGAATACTACATAACATCGGATCATTGTACGTTGGCTAGCTTCGAAAAGCTACCAGACCGGACGGCTGTCGAGTACCTGCTGTCAGAAACGCCTCTTTCCATCGAAACTCACGGCAATGTCGGAAAAGATTTGCGAGGCCTGCTGTCTCCATGGTTGTATGATTCAAGGAGATGGCACTCGTCGCAGGCAAACCCCTCCAGCCACTCGCCACTGCAGTGCCTAGGGTGGGAGTCTGCGCGCGAGTGGCTGATTCAACAAGTTGAACAAGACTGGAGATTTGGCGTTGCGGCCGCCGATCAGTGGAATGGGCCACGAGATGTAGACTTCGGAGATTTTCAAGACCCGCCCACAAGCCAGGAACAGCTTTGCTATTTTGATGCAACGTACTGCCGTACCCTTATAGCGGCCGCATATCGGATTTCTGATCCTGACATCCAAGCCTTGGATGGCGCGCACCAGATCGCTGCTCGTGTGGCTGTTTTATTGGGACTGGGATCGTTATCTGAGACGCGAGGCTCACGAAACGAACACTGGCCTGAGCTCTCGCCAATCGGTATGAAGCATGTACCTGAGACCAACATTACCCGAATGCATTTCAGAAGCAGTCTACTAGACTCAGAGAACCCTTTGACCGAGCCGACCGAGGATTCACTCCAGCTACTCCAGGCACTCGTACTCAGTGCCCGCCACCTCTCACGGCTGGGCATGCCGTATACCTTGCGCCGTGCCGGCGAGTTGTGGCTCTCGAGAGACAAACGAGAGCAGAAGATTGAATTAATGAAACTTATCAGACTCGCAGCACACCATGCACCTAGGGATGACGATATATTTTGGGGCCAACTTCGGAGCGACGTACTCTGGCTGCACAGTTGGACCCCCAGCCCTGCTACGGGACATGCTACAGGAGATGCTGCGGGTGTCTTTGGCACGATACCTTTGGCAGACATCGAGGTTGAACTTTTGAAAGTCATACTGGCGCACTCACGTAAGGCCATGCTGGCAACAAATGCGTATAGAAGTGGATCTAATTCTTTCTAGGCTATGCACTGGCACGGTCGATCTATCAAGACATTGAAGAGCCACCTCTCCCAGTCGAGAGCGTTCGGCAAGCTGTATTTGACGCTGCACTGGACGCTTTCGACAACGCGTCGAATCCCAACAGGACAAGAGGTGGCCTGCGCAAATGCAATGACATGTCAGAAGCCAGGAAGCCTCAGTGATTACATCTGCTAATGTGATATAGATTGCAGGCGTTGCCTAAATCGGCCCCGAAGTCTTTGGATACGTCACGACAAATCGAAGCGTTGCTTGGTGCAGCTCATTCGCTCAGTAACTACAGACTCGTCCTCAAGCAAGGCGAGCCGTTCAGTCCTATCATGCTCCGAGTACATTCGGATCCCATATCAATCTTAGAAAAGGTACTGGAGCAGAACCCCAAAGCCTACACTCGACTTCAGGAATTCATCGATGTAGGAGAGAATATGGTAACTGCTGGATTCTTATCGAATAGGTGGTCCCATAGGCCACCCAGCACGCCTGATAAGCAGGATCATGCACTATGGGACTCTAACAAGCGCGTTGTGGCGATGTGTGTTGCTGCCGCTTTGCGAGAGGACGACTTTGAGACAGCCTACTCGTACATTGCCAGCCGTGTTGTTGGGTCGGATGGCGGAGATGATCGGTGGTCCTGGAAAGCAGCGCTGCAGACTGGTGAATACGTTCGGACCCCCAAGACTCAGCTGCCGACGCATTTGGGCACCTCGAGTGCAAACCCGGAGGTTCGCCACCTAGAGCAGCGTCTGGAGTGTTTGGCTACCGCGTTGCGCGTTGCTCCAGCGTCAGAGCTGCAGGCTATTCTGCAAAGCTTCCTTGGTTGTGAGCAACGACTCGATGACGCAATCGCGGAAGAAGCTGCCAAGGAGGCTGCTTGGGATGCAGCAGGTGATCTGGGCGCATTGCCTGGTTCCTTTGACGCCCCACCGCCAAATGCCAATTATCCGTCGAGAAATGCCTCCATTACAACAGCGGGACGACAAGCAGAAGAGGCTCCGTTGTCGATTTTCGATTTGTCACGGGCAACTGCTAGGGCAGCTCGACGGAATCTCACCACACTATCAAGTCTGCAAGGGATGGCAACTGGTGGTTCACAAGGTGACACTGCTAGTGTCGCTGAGGATCACCACAGGGCAAGGCGGCGTGATCAATTGCGGGAAGCAGCTACAGGCACACTTGTATCAGGCGTCGGCTGGTTGATTGGAGCCAACGTGAATCACTCCGATTAATAAACTGCATATACACACGTGTAGATGCAATGTGGATACTGTGCAACTACAAAAGTGAGCTGCGTAATTGATAGCGCTACGGTCCCTCGGCGGGCTTGCACGAATCTGATCGCTTTGGCCCGTCTGTAGTAGCGACGCCTGGGGGCTCTGGTGCTTTGAAGAATGTTGCGGAGCCAGACTGGATCCAGGCTTTGGATGAGACTTCACTGTAGTTGCGTTAGTTGGCACTCACCTAGAGCGAAACTGACAGCCTGCGGAGCCTTAGGAGTGGCTTGAAGCTGCTGGCACCGAAGAACCCATAATTTTGGCGCATCGTTGAGATGAAGGCTCAGAAATGCGAAAAGTATGGATTCAATGTCATAGTGTGCAGCAAAACGCGTTTGGCTTGACAGTAGACAGGCGCAGCTGAATGGTTTAGGTTGCGAGGTGTAGTGACGTGCATGGCGAAGTATCAATGGGGAGACGAGAGCATGTCGCGGCCGGAGTGGAAGCCCCTGTTAATGTTGCAAGGAGCTCGGGTGATCAGTTGCGAGAGTAATTGAATAGTACAACAGGCGTTAAGAATCGATGCGTAGCCGTTTTAAGATGCCGTTTCCTTTCCCTTGACGAAGACTCAATAAGGCCTGCGCTTGTGCGTCTTGTAGCCCAAAGATGACCGCCACATGCCGGCGTGAAGAGGGCAGGCGATAGACCGAGTGCGCAAGTACCGTCGCAACCTATGGCGCCCTTACAATATGGTGTTTTTGAGCCGGATTGTCGCTTAGCTGACAGCTGCGACGTGCGCCAACTGTGGCGTGCCGTCCACCCACGTTTCCCTTCGATGCGCCAGAGCCGAGTATTGCTCTGACGACGACCTGCGGACCGAAGAACCTAGAAGAAATAAGAGTAGCCCCCGTGACCCCATTAAGCACGCATGACAGAAGGAAATTCTTTGGAAAACAAAGAAAAAGATAGGAAAATTGGAAGGCACGAGAGTTCTGTGGCGCAAAACCCTGGCCATTGGGCCAGCTTCCAGTGTCTAGCCCCCGCCATGTTGTAGGGCATCAGGACATGGTTGACCTTAATAGCCAGAGGCTCCATAGGAGTCACGCGGCTCGGCGCGAGGTGCAGCGGCATCGCCATAGCTTGCGCCACCAGCTGGAGGGTCGCGAGCCCGCTCGGAACCACGGTCATAGCGGTCACGTTCACCATAGCTTCCACCAGGTGCACTACCGCGATCTCCGCCATAACGATCACGGTCTTCACGGCCGCCTGCGTAGCGCTCACGGCCGCCACCGTAGCTGCCTTCACCACGGTCGCGGCGGTCGTAGTCACGGCCATAACCGCCCCGGTCGTCATAGCGGCGGTCGTCTCGGTAACCACGATCATAGCCACGATCATAACTGCGGTCGTCATAACGACGCTCGTATCCTCGATAGCGGTAAGGGTCATCGCGACCATAGCCACCGCCTCCACCGCGGCGACGGTCATCGAAGCGAGGACGCGGTCCATCTGTGAGTTGTCTCAGCAATGCATCCCTGCGGAATGAGTAAGGTGGGAATGGGAATATCGTACCTCGCTTGGGGGGGCCGAAGTACTTTCCAGGCGTAGGTGTGCGAGGCTTCGCGCGACGGGCCTTTTCGATGCTAAGAGTTCGGCCATCAATCTGTTCACCTTGGAGTCCTTCCCTTGCAGCTTCAGCCTGCTCGGGTGTAACCATCTTGACAAAGCCGAAGCCGCGAGATTCCTTGGTGTGGGGATCACGCATGATCTGGCACTTTTCGACGTCGCCATACTTTTCGAACATCTTGGAGATCTCGGATTCATTGAGACGAGGATGAATGCCGGTTACGAACAAGTTTGAGCCGGGGTTGACTGCACCATCGTCGTCTTCATCCCTGGGCCCAGAGGAGGGCTTACGACTGCTTCTGGAAGTATTAGCGTTGGTGGTGCTTGCTGTTGTGACTCGGACACGAACCTGTCACCGTTGCCGCCAGGGGAGGCCGAGCGACGACGTGAACCATCGTTGTCGTCGCGAGATGGCCGCGGCGATGCGCTGCGATTGTCACGCTCGTAACGAGGAGCTTCGTCTGGTGATTACAGTTAGTATCCAGCTCGTGAGAAGAACCTTGGCTGCGCGCATCCAACAACAACGCGCCACAACTGAAGCAAGGCCACAGAATTTTCCATTACCTTCATAGCGGTCGCCGTTGGCGTCTTCGTAGTCCATTGCTGTCGTTGCCATGATGGTTGCGCAAGGTAGTGGAGGTGTCAGATATGACTTTTGGTGCTGCTGGGGGTCAGAAAGGGATGACCAAAGGTTTATTAGTTACTAGTTGAATTGACGTGAAAATCGAAAGCACTTGAAGTTGGGGACGCATCACGGCGGGTCCACTCCTGGTTATGTCAGCATGAATCACTGCTACTCATTGACACCCCTCATTGGCAGGGCCTCGTGCAGTGGGCACTGTTGAACAACGGTTCTTTCGCAATGAAATTCACTTCCGCTCTTCGCGGGAACGAACGTGATGGGTAGTCCCCAAGACGTGAGTTCTAATCTCGTAACTCAAAGCAGAGTCCCACGAATGTATGGGAACTTGAAGCTACAGCAACCGAGGGGACCTAACGCGCGAGTGCTTGTAGGAGGTTAGCCTACAAGGATGAGACTCGACCTTCGAAAATAAGAGAGTGGTTGGCACGCCTAATTGATGCAATTGATAAGCGATTATCGATTCACTTTATTATCAAATGCCTCAGCCATTTGTCGTTTAACGAGCAAGTCCTATTACACAGCTGCGTTTCGAAGCCGCAGCCTGCCGCGGCCCAAGACTGGCCGTCGATAGAGTCGAGGGCGTTCGGAGATGTGGCACTTTGCTCGGGACTTTTGATGTGGGCGTGCCGCAGTTGTCGAAAGTCGTTATGGCAATGAAAGAGGAATTGCACGCTTCCTCATGATGGGTTGCATGGATGGAGGGTATAGCTCGACGGAAACATCACTGGATTTAGAGCCACTACGACCGATGTTGGCGACTGGGTGGCGCTTCTTCGATGAAGGAACTCCTGTCTACCATAAGTTAACAGCGAGTGCCTGATGCAAAGACATGGGAAGCCGTTTCAGGTTAGCTCCGGGCCCAGCTGGGTAAATGCAAATGCGCAGCTCACTCTGGCAGAGGGGGTTTGATGGAAGAGTGATACTTGTAGTTGGCGACGACCATGAAATGATAGCGAAAATCGGCAATCAAGTAAAGAGAGGAAAGGCGAATACGACCAGGGGAGTGAGTGTTGTCCTATGAGCTGAAATGTGTGCACGACCTGGTGTCGATCACGAAGTAGTTGGGTGATCAAATAGACCAGAAATTGTTGTGACTTGACCATGCTACCACACATCTTCTGGATAGACTTCGTGCTCCTCGCCATCGTCCCTGATGTGCCGGTGGTCCTTGTCTCGACGCATAGGTTTCCGCATATCATATGCGTCCTCGCCTGATCTGGTCGGGTCTGTCGCATGGTCGCCGTAGTAGTCCTTGACCACGCGGTAGACGCTGTAGCCCATATTCTTATAAAAACGAATGGCTCGCTCGTTGCTCCGCCGCACGAACAAGTCCACGAACCAAGCATCTTGTTCATCCGCTGCTGTCTCGAGCTGTTCTGTAAGCATCTTTCCAATCCCCATTTTTCTCGCCTCTGGCGCCACGGTCAGTGCCGTTATGTGCCCATGCCATGGGAGGTAGTGCTCAGAGAACTTGTACGCATCAGGCGAAGATTCGACTTTGCCCATGACTTTCATGAATCAGTCGCCGCGTTGAGGATAGACCAGTCATGTCGCTGCTTACTGTAACCGATGATGTTCCCCCGCTGGTCTTGACAGACCTGGAACAGAGAAGGCCACTTTGCATGATACTGCAGGTAAAAGTCAAGGTCGTACGTCTCCGTAAGAGGGTCCAGGTTGCATTTGGCAAACCGATTAATGTCATCTGGACGGAAACGCCTGAAAGATGCCATGTCAGCGAATCTGCTGTGGCCGATAGCTTTGTAGATTCGGGTTGCTTGTGTGATGCTGGGTTGGCTGAGGTAGTTTTTTACCCATATTGATATGTACCTATGGCAGCCAAATGGTCAATGAAAATGCAAGATCTTGAACACATCTTGAGACTGGAGCACCGCTCCTTGAACAGGGATTGGCTCCTGAGTTATGTACTATCCACCCAACAGCAACCGTGACTGACTGGAACGTGCTTGTCAGTCCTGGGCCTAACGGTCCTGGAGTGTGCGTGGCCCCACCACCTGGTGCCCGACAACACCTAGGTACCTACAGTACCTGGTAACTACGGTAAGCTGCATTGGACCTGACGACTGTGACCCTGCAACATCACCCTGGACAATGAACTAAAGACGGTATCGCCAATCCCGACTAAATATTCATACCTGCAGCTCGCACGGCTGATCAAGCTCTTCGCCAGGGCGTTCGCAAGGACCCTTCCTCGTGGCCTTGGATCTCACGGTTTTTTGCACATTGCAGACGCTATATCATCGAATGACATCCTCCCCCCTTTGCCATCGCACATTGATTTGAGCCGGCGTGGCAGCAGATAACCCCACAATGTCCTCACCGCAAACACCTCGACACTCGCGGCAGTCCTCAGCCATCGATGCCTTCCCAGACTCCCCAGGATTTCGACGTTCATCGAACGGCCCTGCCTCTCCCTATCGTGGGAGTTTCTCACGACAAGATACGCACGATATGAGTGAACTAGGAGTCAGCGCAACCAGTGGCAACGGCACGGGGAATTTGGCTGACGAGCTAGCCGATGCCTTCTCGGAATCGGAGGAAGAGTATCACGGAGGAATAGAGGATGGGGCAGATGTCACCGAAGATGTCTCAATAATAAGCTCGAGTCAAGCACATCAAGTGGCCTCAGAAGGTGGACTTCACATTCCCACGACGAAAGATCGCAGCAATCACAAGAGGAGGGAAAGCGCGTACGATGGCAGCGAGTATGGCTCCGAGACCGACCTCGACTCATCTGGGTTACCCCCGAACTTGGTGGTCAAAATGGACGCTGTTGAGTCACTTGCACGGCGTGGAATAGAGAATTACGGGGGCCCGGCCGATGACATCGTCAAGAGAGTCACGGAATCGCTCCGTGATCTTGGCTCACAGTCTACCATTGAGGGGAGCGCTTCAAGGTTAGACCGCTCATGGCTCATCATGACTCGGCGCGTTGACGAGATCTTATAGGCTCATTACTGCTCATTCCGCGTTGACAACACACCTGGCTCATCAGACTCGGCAGGTCCACAGTCTGAGCCTGCCCATACTGTCACCAATGGCTCCACCACCTGATCCAGAAGCGATTGAGGAGCTAATCCCGCTGTTGGCGGCGCTCTCCGAAGAGATGCCTCGACCTTCGACCGCTGCGTTGGACTCTCTCGCAACCTTGCACTCACATACTGCCGAGCTCGTCCAGACACTGAATTATCTAGCCGATACTCTTCACATGTCACGGCAGACTATATCAACAGCAGCAAGGCGGCTGAAGTCTGCCAAAGAACTCGTCGCTGATATGAGGAGAGAGGAAGAGCTCCGAGAAGAAGGGGAACGATGGCTCACCAAAGGTAATTGGGGCGAGCGCTTGCAGAATAGGGAATGCGCCGGGGTATGCGGTGATGTCGTGGGCGGATTCGAGGAAGTGTGCAATGGCTGGCGAGAACGTCTCTTGGCGCAGGCTGAAGCGCAGGCGTGACTCGTCGACGACTCCGGATCAAATTTGACTTTGGAATTCCGAAGCGATAGTTTTTAATATTAAGGGGTGCCTGAACCTGACGCGGTGGAACGAGTCGTACAACACAGGGTACATTTTTGGTCTGCCATATGCCCTTTCATCGTACTACTACGTAGTAGTCTAACTAAGTAGTACGTAGTTGTATCCGTAATCCGTAGACTACTTGTAGGCAATTGGATCCACACATACGATAACTTGAATGAAATGACGTGATGCAGGCTGTATGCATTACCTATGATAAAGAATAACAACTCCCGTCACCAAGATACATGGTCTATGCTTACCTAAGGTAGCTGTGACGCGATTATCCAATGTTTGTTAATGTTGCTTGTCATTATACCAGGTGCTCCAGGTAAGTGGCCTTGCGCCTGTCAAGCATGGCGGTAAACCTGAATGTGCTCTACGGCAGTCCGCGCTCCACGCGACGTGTCCGCGTCGAGTTCGTGTTAGACACAGTGTTATTGATGTCAGGGCGCAGACTAGGTGCTGTGAACCAGGAGCGTATTGGTACAGTGCGCGGACAGTCTGGCTCACCACCCCAGTCGCCAGGTAATTAACGCGCCTCCCTTCCGTTGTACGCAGTACGTACCTCGTTAAGTTGGCCTCATCCGCCGTCCCCGCGATTGAAAAACAATAACAAGCAATAACATAATCTCACCGCGCAAGGTCGCGTAGAGCGGCCGCACGGACTCAGACTCCGTTCAATAATAAACAAAGATTGACCTTTCTTGTGGGGGAAGAACTAGAGTCGACATGTTGATTGCTCAAAGGAGTCGATTAATAGGTACGGATGCTAACGTTAATATATGATGTTGGTGTCATTTGCAGTCGCAGCGCAGAAGCTGAAAAGCGATGGTTAACAAGTTGGCACATCTAGGTAATTAGAATCACCCTCGACTTCCGTGCTCATAGCATAGATCCCATTCACGCTAATGCAAAGGAGACGTGTCTTCGCAATAACAGGGAGTCTTTGTCGCGAAGTAAGTCGAGTGAGAGCCTTGTTAGTCGATTTTACGTTTTGCGCCGTCGATATTACAGCTTCGCTTGTTGAGGTATCTTTTTCTCAACCGCGTCAAGTTTTGTTATGAGCTACCATCGCGAGCCATGAGCGCAGGGTTGGAGTGATAGGGTGGCTGACAGCCAATAGATGCTAAGATAGCTCCCCAGCCGCGCGTGATCGAGTATCCACTATACCGAGCTCAGGCAAGTGGTTGGTTCCCTTCAGGGTGGTAGGTCCCTGTGCCCGCGCGCCGACGTCTTCATTCCCGTCCCGAGCCCAACTCCTACCATCCTCGAATGCTTCACTCCGCCACGACCTACCACAGTAATCCCAACCTCACCGTCTCGCGCCAACCTATACAAGAATACACCAGCGAAGTCAGATGTGCCTTGCGATCGATTCCCTGCGCTTCTCAAAATTTCATCCCTAGAATTGTCCGGTCCTCTCTTCCCCGCCACGGCCTCAGAACCGGCTTCGAACCTCGAACGATTCCTTCATCGCTCCACGTCACCAAAGCTACACAAAGAGCAAGTGTGATAGTTGTGTCGAGTTCCACTCGCGATTCTTCCCGATCACATTACTACGACACGTGCCCGACATTCAACTACCTCGGCCCTCACCTGGATCTGAGAACCTAGCCACTTACTTTCGCTGGGGCCATGGCTTCGCGTCCAGATGAGGCAGCCGTGAGGAGAAAGGCCCAAATGTCTACAATGGCTGAAGACAGTGGAACGACCGCTGTCCATAGGTTGGCAACGCCGCCGCCGCCTACAGAGCGAGGGAGACTTGTGGACTCAAAACACAATATCGAGGCGAATTCGCAAAGAAGGACCAGAAGCACTATAAGCGTACAAGAAGAGCTGCGAGGGGGAAGCATTGATCATGCTTTACTTCGAGAAATGGGCCGCCCGCATCGTGAGAGCACACCGAGTGCTAGTCCACACCATAAACGACAACGCATAAATGGCGATCGGTAGGCCGAGCATGTACACCTATGTGAAGACTCACCTTAGCTAATGCCTCCAAGTTTCATCCCGACACGTTCTGGTCAAGATCTTCAAGCCAGCTTCAGCCTACTGCACGATGATGCGTCTCCTGCCACTCCGAAGCAGAAGAAACGCACGCCCCAAGGAGAGCTGCACTTCCAAAAAAGTGAGTAGCCATGTTGCATTGGGTGATAATCCGTCTAATGTTGACCTGTGTAGCGGAGGAGGCTAACCGCACATTCTCAACCCTCCTACGTGCTGAGTTGTTTGAGAAAACTGTTCCGCAAGCTAGTGCCGGTCCCTCGTCCCCTGATCACACAGTACCAGCAATGACGAAGGGTGAGATGAGTCGATCGAAAACTCCACCAAACCAGAGCCCTCAATTGTCTTTACCTTCATCCCTTACACCTTCTACGCCCCATAAAAACCTTTTCACCTACCTGTCGCCACGGCACCACAACCAGGTAGGGCAGCCTACTCCGTCCAAGACACCACAAAGTCGACATGGCCCAGTGCTTGATCCCAAGTCGGAAATCTACAGTCTATCACCGGTTCGCCTCAATTCCCAGCAAATGCTGCTCAGCCCACGGCGGCAGCCCCGAGCTGTGAGCAAAGTTCCGTACAAGGTGCTTGACGCCCCCGAACTGGCCGATGATTTCTATTTGAATCTAGTCGATTGGGGTAGCGCCAATGTCCTTGGCGTTGGGCTTGGTCAAAGCGTCTACATGTGGAATGCCCACACCAGCAAAGTTAATAAGCTATGCACCCTGGAAGATGACACTGTCACCAGTGTTTCTTGGATCCAGAAGGGAACACATCTAGCGATCGGCACCGGAAAGGGTCTTGTTCAAATCTGGGATGCCGAAAAGGCTCGACGTCTGCGCACAATGACCGGTCACACAGGTCGCGTGGGATCCTTGGCTTGGAACACGCACATTCTCACATCAGGCTCAAGGGACAGGCTGATATACCATCGCGACGTTCGTGCCCCTGATCAATGGCTTCGCAAGCTGGTCGGGCACAAACAAGAGGTTTGCGGGCTGAAGTGGAATTGTGAAGATGGGCAGTTGGCGAGTGGCGGCAACGACAACAAACTAATGGTATGGGATAAGCTCTCTGAAACTCCTTTATGGAAATTTTCGGAACACACGGCGGCTGTCAAGGCGATCTCATGGTCTCCGCACCAACGCGGACTCCTGGCCTCTGGCGGTGGTACCGCGGACCGCAGGATCATCTTCCACGATACAGTCAAGGGCTCAGTGATAAATGAGATTGACACCGGCAGCCAGGTTTGCAATCTTGCTTGGTCAAAGAACTCGAATGAAATCGTGTCCACCCACGGTTACAGCCAAAACCAGATCGTGGTTTGGAAATATCCATCCATGACCCAAGTCGCTAGCCTCACTGGTCACACATATCGCGTTCTCTACTTGGCAATGAGTCCAGACGGGAAGTCTGTGGTCACTGGTGCTGGCGACGAGACTCTGAGATTTTGGAACGTCTTCGGCCGACGGCCCGGCGCACGCGAAGACGGCGAGGGAACAGGCAAGTTCGCTGAATGGGGTGTGATTCGATGAGGAGGATGAACACACTACCCTGACTGGGCTCGCTTTCTGTCAACATGAGTATTCGAGTGAGCTGGAAGAAGTCGTATGGACTGGGAGCAGTACTTGGACCCGGCAGAAGCTGTTTCATTTTTTAGCGCTCGCTGGCTTTGATGGGGTCTGTCCTCGTACAATTCGTGGCTTTGGAGAACATTCAGCGGTATCGGGGCGGTTGGTTAGGGGCATGGGCACAGCGTTTGATTTACATATATTGCATTAGCATAGCGAATATCTGATCGGGACAATATCATGATCTTATGAGTACACGAGCTTCAGCTCTCAATAAATAGCCCGGCACTTGTCATTATTATCGTCCGAAAAGCATGAAACATCGCTAGATTCCATCGCCCATGTATGGGCCCGGCCTTCTAATTACACGCTTTTGGTGAAATAGACCGCTATCCAGCCTGGTGCGCCCATCATATACGAATCCCGGTGCCATGTTCAACAGTGGTGCACCGACAATCAGATTCACTACCATGTAGGCAGCAGAGGCCGGAAGATAATACAACCGCACATAACAAGCGAAACCCTGTCTGAGTGCCTTACGGCCGGGCAGATGTGCTCTTCCGCTCGTGGACAGAGTCTGAATTGCCTGCGTCAACACCGGACGACCCCTTAACGTCCTCATCCAGCAGCGGAATCTTGGCGGAGTTGATGCTTGGCACAAAAGTGCTGTCGATGCCCTCGGTGAGCTGCTGTGCACTTGCTTTCTGTCTGTCGCTATTGAGCGACGCTGCTGAAGCCCCAAAGCCAAGTAGCTGATCCGACTTTTCGGCGGCGGGCGTGGCGGGTTCCGTTTGAGGACCCATGGGAGGTGATTGTAGCCCAGCGTCCGCCAGACTTTGCCATTTCAGGACTTCTTGTTTCATACTTTCGAGCTCCTTTTGGAAACGCTTGCCGAATACATCGATGTAGTATGTTGACCCGTTGTAGATGCTCCATGAGAAAATCACCATGAGAAACCCAGCGGAAGCCCATCGACTCAGAAACCACAAAGGACAAGGGACCATCGTGAGACAGGCATATGCGTACTGAATAAGCATGAAAGCAGTCTCTTGCAGGCTATCTGGAAGAGACAGCACGAGCTTGCCAATCAAAGTCTTGGAGTACGAGCGACGCAGCCATGTGAAGGACGTGGGTCGACCCGCTGCAATCTTCTCCCTGCGTCTTACCGTGATGAAGAAGTAGTAGGAGATCTGCCAGAAGGCATAAGGCGGCGTGCTCCAAGCAAGCATCGAGAACACATTAGCGTACGCTGACGGCGATCCCGGATCAGCATTTTTGATTGCCCATATAGCTGGGAACCGTTCCATCTGCCATTCAGGATCAAGCAAGTGGACGACACAATGCAGAGTCGCACAAGGCATGATGTGGATGAACAATGAGGTGACCTTGTCGAAGCTGTGAAATACGAGGGAATTGCGCCACATGATGATTGCCACAGCATTGTTCCCGAAGGCCAAGCAATACGCCGAGGTGAAGAGTCGTTTCGAGTTCGGGAAGACCCAGAGACTCAGCGCAACAAGAAGGTTCGTGAAGTAGCATAGATCAGCCAGAAAATAATGCAGACCGCGGCGGCGATAGGTAAAGAACCGAATGGGCATGAAGTACATGAGCTGGACAGTGTACCAGATGTGGAAGTACTCAGGATACGCGCCGATCAGATATCCGCTGATGAAGATGTTCATAACGCCACAAATGAACGAAATCTTCTCGCGCAAACTAATGGCCTTCGTGTCGTTCCATTGTTTCCCAAGGTTCTCGACGCGTCGCCTCATACGCTTTCTGTACCGGTCCAGCTGCTCATCCGCAGACGGCAAACGTTGTCGCCATTCGTCCACAAGACGCTCCCGAGCTACTTGTGTTTTGGATTTCAGGGCATCTTTGGACCTCCGGACCTTGTCTGTTTGAGCCGAGAAGTTTCGTTGCAGCTTCTCCAGCTGCTGTGGCAGGGCAAAGTTATCCAATAAGTCGAGCACAGTGAGTCTGTCCAATGGCGGCAACGCGTCCCAGTCCTCTTGATACGAGCTGCTCCCAGAGAAGGAAGGATTCCTCGATAGTCTTGGGCTCTTCGGGGTCGTCGGACCAAGCATCGGGGTATCAAGGAGGGCGTCGTCCAGCGGGGACAAGCTCAGCAGCGACGCAGAATCATTCTCTGGCGGCGGTTGAACGCCCGAATCATTCGCCGCTGCGGATGCCGGAGCAGATTCTGGTTTGCGTGACATCGCGCACGTTTCGAATTTGCGGATACTGATCCTCGAAGTCAGCACGCCGTGTTCTTGAAAGAAGTATTGATCTTACAGGCTGAACGAACTGGGCTTCGGATCAGTCGACAGTCGGGCTTTGATAAAGCCCAGAGCGGTTGAGAGTGATCAAATCCTCCGATTTATGGCAAGCAGAGAGGTGGCTGGCGGCGTCGGCATATATGTGGAAGAGAAAATAGCTCTCCATTTGGTGGTGAGGAGTGGTATCAAGACTTCCCAGCAAAGGAGCTGGGAACTTGACTGTGGGCACGACTTCCTGTTGTTGGAGAAGGGTCTTGAGCTCCAGTCGTGGGTTCGCCGATTTGCGTACTGTGTGGGGCATGGAGATGTCTCCGCTCAGATTTCCGCACTGCTTGCTTCAAATGAGGAGTTTATAAGTGCATTAGTACCCAGTGACCCAGCCATGGTATAGTCCAAGACGTTCACTGTTGGGTTCAAAACGTCCACGTCTTCTATGTACACACTAATTAGAATCCCACTTAGTTGTATATCCAGGATTCATAAGCTGCGGAAGGAATACTGGTCAAAGTCTTGGAAGCAGGCCTGTAACCGCTGAGCCAATGTCAGATGCGAGTTGCCTGCCAGGCTCTAAAGAACCATCTGTCGGTCGAGCCGCATGACCAACAAGCCGCTCTGTTAGCCCTGAAGACATGTCCCGTGGTCCAGTACAAAGTACCGTGATCAGTCACAGCTTTCATGGTTGAATGAAATGTCGTCGTTTCCCCATGTGGGCAGATCTACAGTGCGAAACTGTCCTTCAGCCAGCCCTGCCTGGACTCTGCAGGTGTGGCGCAAGCTTCAGAACTCCTTGTAGTCGAGACCCACTACTGTGGCATTGGCCGACGCGGTGTTTAGTACGTATCGTACCTTAGGCAGGCGCGTCACGTCCGCACTGTCACTTCACAAACCTAGTAGTAACCAGCATCGTGTGGATTGGACTTAATTGTCGAGATCTTGACGTGGTGCTTGTCAACGGGCATCTGTTGCGTGCACCGACTTCCATTTATCAAACACGCGTCTTTCGTTACGCAGCGTGCGCTCAACTACCTTACAAACATCGTGTCCTCGGCCCAGCAAATTGGTGGTTGCTAGCCAGGCGCGCCAAACCCCCACCATTCCCTTCGCCGCACTCTGATCGCGTTTCTGGAAGTCCTCAATCCTGCTGATTCTCGCCGGCTCGAGGATCCTCACGCATCAGAAACATAGCGCCGCGGCGAGCCTCGCGAGTGTGGTCATAATGGGGAAGCTTATTCGCCTCGAATTGTTCAGTACGATATTCCAAAACAGCGCGATGCAACTATTACTGACTCCTTGATCAGACTTTAAGTCCTACAAAGGCCACCACACTCTTCTGTTCGGTGATTCCTATTTCACCTCCATCATTGGCCCAAATGGATCAGGCAAATCTAATTCGTAAGTATCCTACGCCGATCGAGTAAACGTTTAAGAGCGTGCTAACCGAACCAAGCATGGATGCCATATCCTTTGTCCTGGGTATCAAATCATCGCACCTTCGCTCAGCACACCTCAAGGACCTTGTCTACCGCGGTCGCGTCCTACAAACTTCCAAAATAAACGACGACGGGTCCGTGGACGCGAATGGGTCTTCGAATGGTGTTCCCAATGGCAGCCAGCAGGCTGCTCGCGGTGACCCGAAGACCGCGTGGGTGATGGCTGTTTACGAGGACGATGCAGGTGATGAACAACGGTGGAAACGCTCGATCACTAGCTCAGGCGCAAGCGAATACCGTATCAACGACCGCGTCGTCACTGCGCAACAATACAACGAAGGGCTAGAGGCTGAGAATATCTTGATCAAGGCGAGAAATTTTCTCGTCTTTCAAGGCGATGTCGAAGCCATTGCCTCGCAGTCACCACAGGATCTGACCCGGCTTGTTGAGCAAATCTCCGGCAGCTTAGAGTATAAAGCTGATTACGAGAGATTACAAGCGGAGGCTGAGCAGGCGGCTGAGAATCAAAATTTTCAGCTGCAGCGACGCCGTGGCATCAACTCCGAAATCAAGCAATATCGCGAACAGAAGAAGGAGGCGGACAACTTTCAGAAAAAGGCAGACGAAAAGGACAACGCCATTGTCACGCACACGCTGTGGAAGTTGTATCACTTTCAGAAGGCAATGGACGACTCCAAGGCAGCTATACACAGCCATCATGAAGACTTGAAGGATCTGAGGCGGAATGTTGAGACCTTTCAGAAAAAGCTGGATGTGGCTCGCGAGAACCAATCTAATGCAGCTCGGCAAGTTTCCAAGATTGAGAAGAATATCAAGGGCATAGAAAGAGGCATCGAAGATGCCCAGGATTCCATGATTCCGCACGATGAGAAGATTGCCGAGACCAATCGACGCTTGGAAGTGAACAAGTCGAAGACTGATCGCATCACACGTGAGCGCGATGAGCAAGCTGCCACCATTGCAAAGCTTCAGAAAGACGTTGAGAATGTGGTGAAAGCCGAGGCCAGATTCGAGAAGGAGATCAAAGACCAAATGCGGCAGCAGGGTCGCGACATCAGTGATGCAGACAGGAAAGAGTACGATGCCCTTCGCTCTCAGGTCATGTTGAAGACCACTGCGGACCAAAAGGGACTTGCGCAATATGAGCGCACAGAGAAAGCCGACGAAGTCACCTACAGGAATCTGGAAAGCAAGGTCGATTATTACACGAGGCTCATCGAGAGGAACGAGGCCGACTTGGCGCAGATTGCGGAGAGGAAAAAGTCGACGGAGGCGATTGCACGGGAGCTGACCAGCAGTGTCTCCTCGATGAAGAAGGAGTTCCATCGATTGCAAGCAAAGCGTATTGAGAGCAGCCAGAAACGGACCGTTCTCGAGGAGAGGCTTGAGGATGTGTCCCGAAAGCTGAAGGACGCTGATGATGGGCGCCGGCAAAGCGATAGGGAGAGGAGGCTAAAGGATATGATTGCCACTCTCAAAAGTGCTTATCCGGGTGTTCATGGCCGTGTTGGCGACCTTTGCAAGCCCAAGCAGAACAAGTTCGAGGAGGCTGTTCTTGTGGCTCTAGGTCGAAATTTTGACTCCGTGGTCGTAGACACGGAGAAGGTCGGTACCGACTGCATCGCCTATCTACGCGAGCAGCGGTTCCCCACAATGAGCTTCATTCCTCTCGACAACATCAAAATTCCGCAGCTGAACACGAGCATCAAGGGTATCAAGGGTGCCAGGTTGGCTGTGGATACTGTCAACTTCGACTCGGCTTTTGAGCGTGCTATCATCTACGCCTGTGGCAACTCGGTCGTGTGCGACACCATTGAAGTTGCAAAGCACATCTGCTTCGAGAAAAAGTTCCCTGTCGAAGCTGTCACTCTGGATGGCTTTGTCATCCATGAGGGTGGCACTATGACGGGAGGAAGGGGCCCCGACTCCAAGGGCAAAAGGAGGTTCGAACCGGCAGACATTCCAAACCTCGAGAGGTCGGCCAAAAATTTGAAGGAAGAAATTGAGAACCTTCCAAAAGCCGATCGTCACGGCAGCAAGGAAGAGGCTCTTGAGTCCGAGCTAGCTGTCCTTGAGCGCAGGCTCAAAGTCGTGAGTGATGAAGTCGATGGCTTCACCAAAAACTACGAAAGCAAGCACAGTGAAGTCAAAAGTCTGAAGAAGGAGCTGCGTGCTATCCAGCCTAAATTCGACCAAAAGAAAGCAGAGCTGGAGAGTGTCAGAGCAAACGTTCAGAGATTCAAGACCGCCATCAGCCAAGTTGAGGATGAAGTCTTTGCCAGCTTCTGTTCAAGACTGGGCTACAGTGACATTCGAGCGTACGAAGCCTCACAGGGGAAATTCGAGCAAGAAGCGAATCAGAAGCGCCAGGAGTACTCAGTACAAAAGCAAAAGCTGCACAACAGGCTCAATTGGGAGATCGAAAATCACAAGCAAACGGAAGCCCGTCTGAAGACCACTCGCGACAACATTCGCAAGCTCGTCAACGACATCAAGGCTTTTGAAGAGGAGAAGTCCAGGCTTCAAAGTAAGGTCCTTGAGATGCAGGCTGAACTGGAGGCACTTCGCGAGCTTCTCGACGAACACAAAAGCGAGCTTACCGAGCGCTCAGAGAAGGTGAGCGAAGCTAAGGCCGAATTACAAAAGCGCAGCAAGGGCATCGAGAGCCGCCAAAAGGAGATCACAGAGCTGGAGAACATTGCTCTCAAGAATAGCTCCAGCAAGTCAACGCTCTTGCGTCGTTGTCGTTTAGAGCAGATTCAAGTTCCTTTGGTCGAGGGCAGTCTGGACGACTTACCATTGGAAGACGAAACCATGCATGGAGATATCGATGGTATGGATCTTGACGAGGATCAGGAGTCGACGGACGACATTGCCCGGCACCACGGCGTGGAAATCGATTACTCGAGCTTGGACCCGGAATATCGAGAATCAGGCGATGAGGAAGTTGAGGCTCAACTTCAGCAACACATCTCGTCACTCACCTCGGAACTCGAGAAATTGAACCCCAACATGCGCGCAATGGAACGACTCGAGGGCGTTGAGACACGACTCAAGCAGACCGATGAGGAGTACGAGGACTCCAAAATAGCCGCTCACAACGCTAAAGAAGCTTTCCGGGAAATCAAAGAAAAGCGGTATGAACTATTCAACAAGGCGTTCTCTCACATTCAGGATCAAATCAAGGTCGTCTACCGGGACTTGACACGCTCTGAAGCGTATCCTCTGGGCGGACAGGCTTATCTCGACATTGAAGAAGATACCGACATGCCGTATCTTTCTGGTATCAAATATCACGCCATGCCGCCTCTCAAGCGATTCCGCGACATGGAACATCTCTCAGGCGGTGAGAAGACAATGGCAGCCTTGGCATTGCTGTTTGCGGTTCACAGTTATCAGTCGAGTCCTTTCTTTGTCCTAGACGAGGTTGATGCAGCGCTCGACAATGCCAACGTGGACAAAATCAAGAAGTACATCAGAGATCACGCTGGACCAGGCATGCAGTTCGTCGTCATCAGCCTGAAGGCTGGCCTCTTCCAGGACAGTGAGAGTTTGGTAGGAGTGTATCGCGATCAAGAAGTGAACAGTTCACGAACATTGACACTGGATGTAAGTTTTATGGTCCTTGATTAATGAGACAACGCTGATGGCCAATCTAGCTGCGTAAATATGCGTGAGAAACCTTTCTTCACATCTGAGGAATGCGCGCCCCCGGTTGGTAGGGTGGTTCAGGCTGTACTGAGCCGTTAGGATTGTTCAATGGTGACGGAATGTAGTCGTATGGCCTTGAGGGGCATTCTGGTGTTTAAGTCGTTGCCATAACATATCAAAATTGTCTGTTCGTGGCCATTCATTTGGTTCTTTCAACTATACATCCTATTAATGGCATCTAAGGCAGATAGATACTGGGTGCTTGTTCCTGTCATTGTCTTGACCTGGTGTTGAATCGGCTGTGGCTTGAAGTTCACCTACCCAGCCACCTTAGTCATCATCCAGCAGGCCCTTGCGCTAGAAACGCCCAGCGTCTGTGCACCTTGCTCATTGTTAGGTCTGTGAGAATTGGAATACCAAGTAGTTACGCGACACCTCTAGGAGACATGCATCGCTTATTGTCGCCCAAACAGCTACTGTCGCACTGACCGCCAGATATTTTCGGGATCCCATGACGGCAAAGCGCCTGCCAGAGTCGATGCACACATAGGTCCGAGAACTTAGTAGTGTCTGCGATGTGCATGGTGTCAAGCCCATTCCCAACGTCTTCAAGTGGGATGGTCTGTGTGCACGAGGCGCGTCTCATCGCTGTATCGGTTGCCTCGTGGATTTGCACCGATTTCGCAGGATAGAGCAGACGTACACCATACGAGTTGGCGAAGCGACCAAAGAACGATCGAACACTTCTGTCTCGCAAGACCTCGTTGCGATCATGGACCTCGCTGTAGACTTGGTCAAGTCGGTGTTGCGTGCCTTCTACTCGACGCGTGAGATTCTGGTCATTGATGCTCTCGTCTTGCACCGAACTATTCGCGACGATGATCTCTCATACTTGATGAACCTGAACACGAAAGACCTGCACAAACTCTGCGGAAAGCTGCGAGAAGATCGTCTTCTGGTACAGTACGTATCTACGACCAGTCACAGCTTGCGCGAGACCGGCGTTAACAGCAGATAGACAAACGAGGCCGGAGCTGGTCAAGGCGAACGGACGGAGCGTGCACAAAACATACTACTACATCAACTACAGGCAGACTATCGACGCGATCAAATGGAAAATGTACACGGTGGGCAAGGATGTCCAGGGCGTCGTAGTGCAGACAGACGAGAAGAAAGAGTATTTTTGCCTTTTCTGCAAGGCTGAATGGACAGCCATGGAAGTTCTCGACAACTCCAGCGATCAAGGCTTCCTGTGCCACCGATGCGGCCACGTCCTCAAATTTGACCGCGAGCGTAATCCCGCCGGTCATGAGCAATCAACCCTTCTCAACGAGCAGTTCAAGTTCATCACCGAAACATTGCCCCGACTCGATCAAGCCGAAATACAAGAAAGCAATTTCGAGGAGCTCTTTGAGCAGAGGCTGCCCGTCGTCCGCGATGAAACGCACCAACGAACCGACACGGAGGCGATCGCAGTCGATTCTCGACCTTTGGCTGTGAAAGGGTCTTCGACAACCGGGCCGCAGACAATCAATATCAGTATTCAGTCGGCCGATGGACCATCGGAAGCGGAAAAGGAGGCCGAGAAAGCTCGTAAGGCGGAGATGGCCAAGAGGAACGAAATGCCATCGTGGCATGTCGAGTCCACGATTGGCCCTGGAGTTGGGAAACCCTCATCAAAGGGCCTCGACGCAGTCAAAAAGGAACAAGGCGAGGCTGACAAACCAGCCGATGTCCCTCAAGCTGGCGGGGCCCAAATTGATGACATCTTTGCGAAGCTAAAGGCAGAGCAGGCCTTGGAGCAATCTCGGAAAGATGCAGAGGAAGACGATTCCGGGTCTGACGACGAGGACGAGGAAGGATTTGAGGACGTTCCCACCACGGGCGCGAGCTCTGCGCGTGCCACTACGACTACACCTATCATGAAACGCGAGGCTTCCGGTGAAATATCTAGAGGCTCGGAGGAAAGACAAGCGAAGAGAGTGAAGATCGAATCGGAAGTCAAGCCTGAACCGAACGTCAAGGAAGAGCCTCCTGCTAGCGACGAGGACGACGATGAGCTTGAATTTGAGGACGTCTGAGGGCAGCTACTCTGGATAATAATGATAATACCAATAACAACAACCACATGCAACCCCAGTTACATGTCGTTCCTTATGTCTTTCTTTCTACTGGCGTGCTGCTGAAATGTGGCGGCCGTACTTGTCGCTTCTGGCTTCTGGTTACCCATCTTCCGTCTGGGTGACGGCACAACGTCATTATTTCTTCACGCGACCAAACTCCGAACTTGAACTCGTGCACGCCACCACAGGCGAGCACGGAAACTGCGTGGCTACAGTTTTACGACAGACTTCGCAACTAACTATGCCCTCAGTCTAGGCGAGTAAACGTTTTCCTGGGCCGCTCCAAGGCCGAATGAAGAATGTCGCCAAACGTGACGGGGTCTCGGCCAACACAAGACGGAACAGCACAATCACCGAAGTGTCCAACATGAGGGGGCAATTTCCAAGAGTTTTCGTTTTGCCTACCAAGCTATCGCCGGTAGAGTTGGACCGTATTGAGGGGTCTGTTGCGGAGTTAACATGGGACGCTGCGGAAGCTCAGGTGTTCGTGGGGAAAATAAGTCGGCGTGAGCGTGCTCTTTTCGAGCTTCGCCGACTGAAGGTCCTCACAACGGAGACTTCACAGCCCATGCGAGACCATCGTTCTGGGATTCCTCTAGTAAAGGGCGCAAAAACGTCAACCAGACGCAACGGGACAGATGGACCGCATCAGTATCAAGACACTGATTCAGCAGGCCATGATGAATTCCAACCCCTCCGGCCAGGCCATATTCAAGTCGTCCGTCTGCAATGGCTGGAAGACTCACTAGATGCCGGAGCCGTTCTCTCTACATCAAATTACCTGCTGTACGAAGGTATCAAGGTTGAAAATGACCCCCAGCCTGCACTCGCGCCGACACAGGTATCTCAAGCGAGCACCGACGACATCGCGCACGAGACCAGTAACCGGCCACCAGAGTCCTCTCAGTATTCTGCGCCCTCTCAGCGTCTCCGCCAGGGTAGTCGTGAGCGTCGGACATCTTCAGGGGGTCGGAGCATCGCACCGCAACGACCAGTGCTCGTCCACGAAACAACATCGGAGCATGACCTACCTTTGCCTCCGATACCTGCATTTCTGCACACAACATACTCATGCCAGCGCCCGACACCTGTGACGACGCCCAACGCAGGGTTTGTGGAAGAGTTGAAGAAGGTCCGTGAGCTGCGACTGTTGGAGGGAGATTCTATCGGTGTTCGGGCATACTCGACCTCCATTGCGACGTTGGCAGCATATCCCCATGTTCTACAAAGCTCATTCGGTAAGCACGAACCTGTGCCATCGGGCCTCTGATACTGAGATGACAGCAGAAGTCTCGCGCTTGCCCGGCTGCGGCTTGAAGATTGCCGAGTTGTACCAGCACTGGCGGGAGCATGGTTCTCTGGCCGAGGCGGTAGAAGGAAGCAAGAACGAAAGATTGGCTGTGTTGAAACTATTCTACGACATCTGGGGCGTCGGCGATACAACAGCACGCGAATTCTATAACAAGGGATGGCGTGACTTGGATGATATTGTCGAGTTCAACTGGGGGCACCTCAGCCGCGTGCAACAGATTGGGGTCAAATTCTACGACGACTTCAAGCTCAAGATCCCCCGGTCAGAGGTGGAGGAGATTGGGAGCGTCATCCTCGGCCATGCCCAGGCTATAGATGGTGGTTTCCAGATGGTCATAGTCGGTGGCTACAGGCGCGGCAAAGCCCAGAGCGGCGACGTTGATGTAGTCCTCAGCCATCCAGACGAAACAAAGACGCTGCGGTTCGTTGAAAAGATAGTGCGCGCACTTGAGAAAAGCGAGCACATCACGCACACGTTGACCCTCTCTGTACGGAACAGTGAACGGGGTCAGACAGCGCTGCCTTGGAAGGGCGAAGGCCGGCACGGCTCGGGCTTTGACACGCTTGACAAGGCTCTGGTCGTATGGAAGGACCCTGAGCACGCCAAATCGCCTCATCGACGAGTTGACATAATCATTACGCCCTGGAAGACAGCTGGCTGCGCGGTACTGGGCTGGAGCGGAGGTACTACCTTTCAGCGTGACCTGCGACGATACTGCAAGGCCGAGAAGGGCTTGAAATTTGACAGCAGCGGCATTCGCAGCCGATCTGATGGCAGCTGGATGGATGTCGAGACGGACCCGGAGCTAGGGCCAGCACCAGACATGGTCACCGCAGAGAAGCGCGTCTTTCAGGCATTGGACCTGCCATACAGACCGCCTGAAGAGAGGTGTACAGGCTGAGAGCATTGCCCTGCGATAGACGTGGAAAAGGCCTGGGCATTGCGGGCCCCCTCTCATATGGAGCATCATCCCAGCAGCCCAACGTTTGCGGAGTTTCGACAACATGGAGCCATATTAATCCCGAGTCGAACCAGAGTGCTGACTAACCTCGTCGGCGACCGGGCCAACATCAATTGCCGCGTCGGTCACTTATGCAGGGGTGGTCAGACTGCAGTTACATCAAGGGGCTTCTTCAGTTGTCCTACAGAGTAACAATGCAGTACGTACGGAGTGAGTCGACCATGTGGTGCCTTAGTTCGTAACGCTTGATTCAAGTCCGACAGGCCTGGCTTGGCATGCCGACGGCGCGGAGGCGGACTTTGGTTACGTATTCGACAAGTGGGACTTGGGGAAGAGCTGGAGGGTATTAGGACTTTAGGAGGGAGTGAAAGTACTGGCATAATTACCTATAAAACTAATAAAGCAGGCGTCCCGGTCACTGCCCCCTATTACGCCCCGTCCTCCCTACATCAACCGAGCTCATCTACAGTAGAACGATCCCGACTACAACGTAATTCTCGTTTCGCGCGCCACAGCAATCCGCAAAAATGCCTTTCACTCTGCAGTTGCCCGACGAATATGGGTAAGAGACCTCTCCATTGAAATTGCATGAGAAAGTATCGCTCACGAGTATCAGCTACATCTTGGCCGTCGCGAGCTCCACGTTCCTTCTGAACACCTATCACTTCTTCCTTACAGGATCGAGCCGCAGGGCCAGCGGGGTCGCGTATCCTGCTCCCTACGCTACGGATGAGCAGGTTGCCAAGAACCCCAAGGCCCTCACCTTCAACTGCGGTAAGTGCTAAGCACTGCATTGTTCCAACATCCGCTGGCTGTCGCGCAGACAGTTACCAATCCATGACACTTTGCTGACCGGATCCTGGCCGATAGCCCAGCGTGCTCACGCCAACTTCATCGAGAACCAGCCCTCCTTCCTTGGTGCCCTCGCCATTGCTGGCCTTCGCTTCCCCATGACATCGGCCGTGCTCGGCGCGACGTGGGTTTTTGGCCGCCTCGCGTATGCCATTGGCTACACCAGCTCCGGTCCCAAGGGCAGACTCTTGTAAGTCTCTCTCATACGGAACACAGATTGCGTGAAGGCTGACAATGAACCCAGCGGTTTCGCCGTGTCGGCCTTGTCCGACAACTCCCTGAGATTGATGGCCATGTACGCCTCGGTCATGTACGTTATGGGTCAGTAAGACCGGAAGTGTTTGTAGTAATAGCTCCCAAACTAAGAGAAAATGCATCTCTCATCCATCATCAACGACGTGACTTGCGGCGCCTCAATTCCATTCCGTCCATCTCAAGACCTGCGTCGGTCTTGGTCTCTGCCTCTCCCGGGTGATGTTCCACATCCCCAGCAGCAGACAAGTGCTCAATGCCATTATTGCCCAAAAGATAGTCACCAAAGTACTTCATCGCATCGAAAATCTCTTCGCCCGTCGGGATGATATGCTCCTTTGGCAAAAGGAAGCCGTATGCGCCTGTGTCCCGGAGCTTGATCTGGTAGCTGAAGTGGGCGCGCAACTCGTGGTAGAACCAGTCAATAGCTGAGCCGCCCCTCGGCTCGACTCGTTTATGGCTGCCGGTGCCACCATCACTCATGGTCACAGCACCTTTGCAAGCCGAGGTGACGGAGTATGATTCGCCGTTGGAAAGCCGAATGGCTTTCGCAATGCCGGCTGCCAACTCCTCCAGATTCTCCAAGTTCGGGGGATCGACGTCACACGTGTACGAATATGGTAACAGAACCTGCTGTGAGTACGAATGCAGGTCCAACAGCCCGACGAAATTGACATTGTTGAGGGCAGTCTGGTTCTTCGCCCATTCGGCCAATCTCATGGCTTCAAGCGCCTGGAACGAGTGCTCGCCACCGTAGCTCTCGGAGCACGGGTCATTCTGGGTCCCTGTTCTGTCCCATTCGAATCCGAATGCATGGTCAAGATCATACCCACGACAGTAGCGGAGATTTGTCTGTTGTCTGGTCTTGCGCCATAACCGGTCGACGTTCCAAGTATATTCGATGCCATCGGGGTTGACGGCGGGGATGAAAACAATGTCGAAATGCTCCAGTAGTTTTGTGATCATGGGCTCCTTTCCAAAGGAAGTGATGAATGCCCAGGCCAAGTAATTGACTGAAGTTGTCGAGATCCATTCGCGCCCATGCAGACCACCAGTTACGACGATGGTCTTGCGCGCTGTCGCCGTTCCCGGTGCTACCGGCAGGCCGACTCGCAAAGCAGGAATATCCCGGTCTTCAAACGATTTACCAATCGTGATGTATCGTACATAAGACGGAAACATGGCCTCGAGCAAACGCATCCATCGTATGATCACTGGCAAAGGCTGGTAGTCCTGGAAGAAAAGGTTCTCTCCGGCGCGGACCGCAGGCGTTTCGGATGATTCGAGGTCTGCGTATATAGTCTCAGGTGTAATTGTCTGCTCGAGCTCGCTGGATGACTGCGATCGATACACAGCCGCAGCCAAGTCGGGTATCAGGACCGAGTATGATGAATGCAGAGTCTGTGGCAGCAATCCAAGGAGTGGTTTGACCTCGTTCTTTCCCAGGCGGATATCAACATAGTCTTGGGTGTAGGACCAGACGTCAAGGAAGAGACGGTCCACTGCCCTGCCCAACGCTTCCTCGTCTGCAGCACTGCTCAGGTTCAGGCGCAAGACCAGCTGGTCTGCGTACTGCGCTCGGATCGGACCGGGGACGACGGCAGGCTTGTGAGGATGGCGCCCGAAGATGGCCTCGACCGTCCCATCGCGGAGCTTTGTCAACCAGGGAAAGAGTCGTGTATTGCCATGAACTGATGTGGCCCGGCTTTCGGTCTGCGGGCCTGTCCCGATGCTGCTGACAGCGCTGGCGAAGAGCAAAGGCGCAACGCAAGCCGCGACACCCAACTTCATCGTGGCGTCGCTTCAGTGTTTGCTGCAATACTGCTCGGATTGTGCAGTTCTGGTATCGTTATCGATATCGAGAGTTATGCCTCGATGCGCCGCATCAGGTCGAACGGTCGGCAAGGATTGATTCGAGCAACAGCAGAAGGGCGATGTGGCGGGTTGGCTGGTTAAGTAACTTACTACCTTGGTACTTAATAAGAGTAAGAAGAAGTATGGGCATAGAGGCGCCTCGGCAGCCACATTGAGCCACAGCCACTCTAGGGAGTACCTCACAGCAGGTACCTCACTAACTCGGTGCCTTACTGACGACAACACTCTGGTCGGTCCTCGTAGTCATGACCACGGTGACGATAATCGATCCTACAGCCCGCCTTCTTGTGATTGCGTCCCATGGCTTGGCGGGTATTCGGCTGCCAGAGTCTTACAAAAGAAGATGGACTTGAAGCATCTACAAGTTAGCCTGAGCTGGTTTGGTACTCCATGACCTACGTATACAGATAGCACCGACTGGAGCCTCCAGTCAGTCCCGCCTAGGCGCAGTCACTTGTGGATACCTCCCGCCCTCGCCAGTCCCTGGAGGCTGGAGCTTGGGAGAATCCAGCGCGCTCAACCACCAGCATTATTGAAATAATCTTGTCATTTGACTATTTACTGTACCAATTCGCGGTGGTGTCTGATCAATGTGCTTTCATACTATTTGCGCACGTTGCTAGGCCTTTGCGCCGTGCCGAATCACTGTCGGTCTTGCACCCTCAGGCCTGCGCCCGTGCCTTTGGTGCCCTCCTCACATTGCTTCTATTCCACGTCCTACCGACTACCAATTCGACCATCATCGAACGGCCACGGCCCAGATGATGAGCAAGCGTCAACATGCCGCTCCTGAGACGTCGGGGGAATGCCAGTGTACCCAACGAAAGTAGTATACAACGACCCGCCACTGGTGATGCCGAACCTGACGCAAAGTTGACGCCGCCCGTCAGCTACATTGGAGATGATGCTGAAGCACCCAACGAACGCCAAAGCCGCGCGTCCTCAGCCACGACGCGACCCGGAACACCACCCATACAAGAGGAGAACAACAGACACAAGAGATTCTCCCTGCTGCGCTTTCGTAACGCTTCCGATTCCCAGCTCTCGCTACGCGCCAAACAACAGGCTGAAAAGCCTCCGCCGCTTCCGCAACGTAGGTCCACGCGACAACCTCGCATGCTTTGAGATCTTGCTGACACCGGACTCCAGCTCCTGAAATCATCACAACGGCTCCGACTGGCGATCTAGGCGGCGTCAAGAAGAAAACCTCACGAATGAGCCTGGCAGCCGCTCGGTTTCGCCGCTCCAGTGACCTCCCCCGGGACACCAACGATGCAACAGTAGCGCGGCCAACAGGAGGCCAGAGAAAGTCCATTGCAGATGAAAAGGGGCGATCGTCGTTGGCACCTCTGGAAGAACCTGCGTCACCGCGCACATCGTCAGCAACTCCCCCAAGCTTCAGTGGCATGGCACCCCCGTCTCTGACCAACCGCCAATCCGAATCCTCTCGCTCAGATGTCAGCTCCAACGATCGAGTGTCGCACACGAGCCCGGCCACGACACCCAAGAAGAGTCCGTCGAGCAATCCATTCTTCCGCATGCGCAGGAGTAAGAAGGCGCCCGAGCCGCTCTTTCCGCTCTCCCACCTTCCTCAGAAAGACAAGACCCCCCCAGCTGCCAGTTCTTCGGCATCCCTAAACGTGGCATCCACCCCGCGGCCCCCGTCTGCCAGTAGCGGTAACATCTTGCGAAGTAACACCGACCGACTCGATGGCCCTGCATCCCAACGTTCAGGTCCCCCGCCGGCTGCGGCGCTCTTTTCTCAAGGTGCCGATCTGAGGTCTGGCCATTCGTCACCGACACGACCCAATTTCCTCAGGGGCAGGTCCTCCACAATGAGCTCTATAGGGAGAGAGTCGACTGATGACCACCTCATGCCTCCGACAACCCGCACGTCATCGTCGACGGGTAGGAAAAGCTTTGGAGACCTACTCGGACTAAGCCGCTTGCGCCAGAATTCTGAACTTAGTCGCCAGGGCGTCATCACACCCGCCACGCCTGGGTCGGCTGCCTCCAAGAGCAACTCGCTCCAGCTTGTCAGAGAGGCCGTTACGCTACCGGAAAGGAAGGACGACGAATCGCCTGCTAAATACCTAGCCCGTCTAGAGGAAATACTGACCAGAGGCGTCATTGCAGCGGTTGTGTCGAAAAGCAGTGACGCCTTCTCCCTCTCCGTACTACGAAGCTTCATGCGAAGCTTCAGCTTCTTCGGCGACCCCATGGACATGGCTTTACGGAAGCTCCTGATGGAAGCTGAACTTCCAAAGGAAACCCAGCACATTGACAGATTCTTGGAGGCTTTCGCAAATCGCTACCACGAATGCAACCCTGGTATTTACGCCACCACTGAGCAAGCATACTTCATCGCATTTTCCCTTCTCATCCTGCATACCGATGTATTCAACAAGAACAATCGCTACAAGATGCAGAAACCGGACTATCTGAAGAACACGCGCGGTGAGGGTATCGCCGACGAGATCCTTGGGTGTTTCTACGACAACATCACGTACACGCCCTTCATACATGTTGAAGACGAGCTCGATCGCAGGAGCGAGAGGGGCTCCAGGACGAAACGCAAGCAGCTCCTTGGGGCGCCCAATGATCCAGCCAAACGGGCTCTCAAGGAGCCTATTGATCCATACACACTCCTCATAGATGGCGACCTCGACGCCTTACGGCCCAATCTCAAGGACGCCATGCATCTTGAAGAGCATTACAACTATTTAGGTTCTGCGCAGAGTCTTAATTTGAAGGACCTCTCGAAGACGTTCTTCCGGACTGGTGTGCTTCAGATTGTCTCCGCCCGGAGTCGACCAGACGCGTTCATGAATGACAATACCGCCACGAACCCGGATGGGGCTGGTCCCGGCATTGTGGACATCAAGGTCACCAAGGTCGGCCTGCTGTGGAGGAAGGAAGCCAAGAAGCGGAAGACTCGATCGCCGTGGCAGGAATGGGGTGCGATATTGACCGGAGCCCAGCTGTACTTCTTTCGGAACATCAGCTGGATCAAGAGTTTGATGCATCAGTACGAATCCCACATCAAAGCAGGTAACGATGGGATCCCGATCATCTTCAAGCCCCCCTTGGAGCAGTTCAAGCCCGATGGTCTTATGTCGACTCATGGGGCTGTTGCGCTGCACGACTCGCAGTATAAAAAGCACAAGAATGCCTTTGTATACGTGCGAGCTGGTGGACTCGATGAAGTACTACTGGCCGACAACGAGGCGGAGATGAATGATTGGCTTGCCAAGCTTAACTACGCTGCTGCATTTAGCTCATCGGGCGTTCGCATGCGAGGAGTTGTCGGCGGCAATTACGACGGCCAAGGCCGCCGTGGCTTGAGACGCCTGGATACTACAGATCCTGCTCAGCTCATCGACACGCCCACAGGACAAGTATCGGTGGTCAAGAGCCAAATAGATCACCAAATGGCCGAAGACATCCAAACAGCAAGACGCGGCTTCATGAAGAAGAAGATTGAAGAGGGCGAAGAAAAGGTCAGGGTGTCTCAGCAGGAACTCGAGGGTCAGCTGCGCAACGCACGCCACTTGCAAATCCTCGCACCCATTCAGCCGCGGACACGAGAGGGCATGCTCGCTGCTGCAGCGCAAATGTCGGCCAGACTGAAGTGGACTCGAATGGAGATGTGGAGGGAGAAGTGCCATCTTGATATTTTACGGCTGGACCTCGAGGAGGATAACCCTACACCACTGTCCCGAGCCACACCACTCACCTCACAGCCGAGTCAGTCATCTTCACGAGGAAGAGCATCATCGCCCCCTTCGCGCTTTTCCTTGTCGCGTGGAGAGTCCAGGGCCAAGCGGCAATCCCTCATCAAGAAGGACTCACAGACCCCAGTGGATTCGCAAGGTCAAACCTTGGCAAGTCCTGTGGAGAACCCCGAGGAAGCTACTTCTCCATTGGATCAAGAATTTCTAACTCCTCTACAGACTGCAGCTGGCTCTGGAGTGTCGAGAGACATGTCCGGGACGCTGCATGAAGGAGATTGTTTGGAAGAAGACCCCAAATCTGGAGCTATCGCCCAGCTGTTGGAGCAGACGCCGCAGCCACGAACAGTCAAGGCAAGGCCGCTGTCCAGTGGTAGTCACGATGACCATGACGTGGATGTCGACGCTGAGGAGCGTGACCTGCTGAAACAAGCTGGCTTACTCGAAGCCACTTCGAGTAAGGAGGCATCTGAAAAGGGGACCATCTCAAACGTCGGTGATTCTGGTGAACAGGCTTTAGCACTTGATCGCGACAGAAATGACAAGAACAAGATACGTCGCAGCTTGCAACGGACACTTCGGGAAGGTGCTGGCCACCTTTCCCATCACCGCAGCAGACGCGGTAAGGATCGCGAGTCAACGACGGGTGCCAGCGATGAGCCTGAGCCTGAGAGCATGCTCGCCCGCGGGACGGGCAGTTTCGTTGTCCATGGCAAGAAAGCATCGGTCATCAACTTTGGATCGGAGCTGCAAAACATGTCCCACGAGGACAAGCTCCGGGCTCGCAAGCAGTCCGTGGTGGATCCGCCAATGTCTCCAGCTCTCAGCAACGGCGAGGACGACGATTTCTACTCCGCGGCGGGCGATTTGCCAGAGTCAGAGGGAACACCTTCACGCAGAGAGTCGGGTGCCAGCGCCAGTACCGCGACTGCGCGGAGCTTCCGCGAGTTACACCGCAAATTCTCCTCGACGCATGCTAGTCGAAGTGTTTCGAACAGCCGACGCCTTGGGGTTCCTTCGGATGGGGAGAGCGAGGCAGCTGTGAGCTTTTCGGATGGCAGACCCTCCCCCCTGCCCCCGATTGAAACAGCTGAGGGAGAAGACGAGGAAGAAGACTATATTCAGGGAGGGCACGGTGCCACAATCGATACGACTGCCGCTGATGGACAGAGGGAAGACGACGAATCGCCCACACGCCCCTTGCAGCCGTCTGGTCGTGCTCTGCCCGTTGCAAGCAGCTGAACAGGCGAAACACATGGGACAGATCGCCACGGACTTATTGTACAATTTTAGCGACGCATCGGAGTTGGAGACGAAAAGGGGCGAGATGAGCTTGTAGCGATAATACCACCTGAGAACCTCAAATGCGATTGTACGCATGATGATGGCGGGCTCGGCAGGGCGCACATGATCGTTTCACACATACACACTCATCTGGTTATCTGGGAGCACCTATATAGAATAGAAAGATGAAAAAGCTGATTCATTAAGCGCCTTGGTGGCCTCTTGATCTTTATTTCTTGCCCTTTTTCTTCTTTTTGCTGGCAGCCCCTGCGGCAGGGGCGCGCTCGACCTTGACATCGCCACCGCCGACAAGGCCCAGCTTCTCCTCTTCCTTGACAACGCCGCCCTGTGTAGATTCTGCGACCTTCTTCTTGCCCTTCTTCCCCTTGGGCCGGTATGAAGACCGGTCTCGTAGCGGCAGCCAGCGCTCAGGGTCCGGGGTCTTGTTCGGGTCGTAGTTCTCGGGGAGCTTGCGCTTCCGGCGTTTCTTGGCGGCCTTGTTGTCCGCGTCGTCGTCGGTTACACGGCGCTTGGGGGCTGCAGATGATTTGGTGAGGCTGGCTACGCCCGAGGCGATGAGGCTCTTCACGTTCACGGCTCCAATCAGATCATCGACGGCCGGTAGCTGGCCAATGTGCTGCTTCGCCTTTTGGGGATCCGAAGTGGCCAGGGAGGCAACCAGCCCGGCGGCGGCGATGTGAGTGCCATGGTTCTCTTTGAAGAGCTTTTCAAAGGCGGAGCCCGCCAGGTCGAGTTCCTCGGAGCTGGACGAGCGGAGCAGTTCAATGCCAGCCTCCCTCAAGAGAGCCGTCGCGAAGCCGGCAGGACGGTCTTTCCAGTAACGCGCCGACTTGACGAGCTCGGTCTTTGCCGAAGCCTCGCGCCCCTGGTTTCGCATGAGTGACACGCTCAGAGCCACTACGCCGGGGCTGAACCGAGCATCCTTGGCGTGTGCCTCCTCCTTCGCTTCCAGGCGCGCGAGGAATGCTTCCAGCGTGGACAGGGCCGCGCCGATCTTGCCCTGCTTTACTTGGACCTGCACGACGGTGAGTGCAAGGCCGAGGTCGTCTGGGCTCTTGCGCAGCATTTCCTGGAGCTTGCGTGAAAGCTCGCCCTCGGACAACCCGTGGGTGCCGGCAGCCGCGTTGAGAACCGAGAGGGAGTTGATCGAGGCTTGCGTGGAAGGCAGCTGCGCTGTGGAGAGTGAACCAGCCGTCCTTTTGCTGATGCCGTCCACCTTTTGGGCGTTTAGGTCGACGACGAGGCTGTTTCGGGCGAGAATGTCGGACTGGTACTTGAACAGCTTTGCATTCTGCGCCTTTTGTGAGAGGGCATCGGCCTTTCGCTGGACGAGGAAGGGGTTGGTGGTCTCCGTGTCTAGTGTGGACTGGTTGTTGCCCACGACAAGTGTGAGGTCGGGGTCCTCAGTGCTGCGTATGTTAGCGAGGCTCTGGTTGAAAATCGCCGGGGGTCCCCTTACCCTGCTTGGCTCAAAGACTTGTAGAGGTCGGTGGCCTCCTTGGTCTTGCCGAGTTTGGCATACACGTAGGCCTGTTGCGCCAGTATCGGCTGCATCTCCGCCTGCTTGTCTTCTTCGGTCAATTCGTCCGATCCGTCACACAGCCTTGCTGTTCTCTGGAGAAGCTCCGAAGCCTTGTCGAAATTGCCCCTCGCTATATGGGCGCACGCGACGTTGTAGCACAGCTCGAATGTATCCAAGTCATCTTCGTCGACCTCTTGCACGCCGGCCCCTTGCCAGACCATCTGCGCGGCGACAGCTCTCCGGTTGATCGTCACGTCATTCTCCTCGTTCCCAAGGTCCTCATTATGCGCGAGCTTGTCGTATATCTGAGTAGCCTCCCCGAACCTGTCTGCGCGGTACGCGACCTGCGCTGCCAGGTGCTCGAGGCCACGACCCTTCTCGCCTGCCGACTCTAGCAGCGCCGTGGCCTCTTCCAGCTTGCCGATCTTGTACAACGCATATGTCTTTTCCAGGACACACTGCTCGGCCAGCCTATCTCCGCCCTCGTCAATGGCGCGCACGGCATCTTCGAAGCGGTCGAGACTTAGGAGGGCGACGACCCGGGTGTGCTGGCTCGTGATGTCGGATTTGTTCGCCTTCAGGGCAGCGTTGGCGGCCTTGAGGTACTCCTCATGGTCATGGATGGTAGAGGAGCGCAACAAGGCGCTGAGTGCAGCGGCGGGTTCCGATGGCATATTGTTGCGGACGATTATCGACGCATCTCTTGTGGTCGGTCAAGTGTCGTGTGCCGCGCGGTCGAGATTGCTGCTGCTGGCTGAGTTTTGGGGTAACTCGGGTTGATGTCTCGTGTGGTGAGGTTGGCCTGGCCCACCAAAACAGGCGACTCACGCACCGTGGCGGGGCAATTTTTCGCGGGGCATCCATCGCCCAAGGAGCATCATGGCCAGTACCAAGGCGAGGCCTCACTTTGGTCACCTGTTGGAAGTGAGCAGAGCTAGGCAATTCATCTAGATGTCCTCGCTTGGCTGGGTTGTTCGAAGAGCTAAATTACGGGCAGCAGTTGCTGCCTACTTGTAACGTTGTGTACTGTGTTACCTCAACATTCTGGCAACCCTCAATACAAGGAATTGTGTTGATCCAATCTCGATGAATAACACCTCCAGAAAGAATTGGCCCACGGATACATTGGTCGTTTTTTTTTGTGAATAAGGAGAGCATCAAGCCATATGGCCCAACCCGATTATAGCATGAAAGTGGCCGGATGAAGACATTGGCACCAGTGGTGTCAACCCTTGCAGGGTAGGCTGGTATCTAAGAATCGAGGTCCAAACTTCAAAGCCCATGCATGGCCAGCGCGGATGTGCACTTGAAGATTGCTCAAAACAGCTTCCACCATTTCGCGCTCTTCCTCCGAACACTACCGCCACCCGAATCCATAGATCGCCGGGGATATGTAGCCTCGCGGCCCCTGTCGCTCGCGCCACGCCGCCTCACCTCGCCCAGCTTGGTGCTGTCTGATGAGCTGGTGTTCTTGGAGTATCGCCTATCCAACGACACGCGATGACCGCGTGAGCGTTGCCTTTTCACATCGCCAGAGTGGCCCCGCGAAGGCTTGTCGCCTCGACTGGATTTCCGGGAGCCACCGTGACTGCTGCCACTGCTGGCCCGTGAGGGTAGCCGTGGAGAACTCGCAATGCGGCTTGAAAGATCAATCATTGTCCGAATAGCCTCTGAACGAGAAGAGTCGCACAAGGACACCAGCGAGGCATAGTCGAGACCATGCTTTGACGTGGAGCCTTCTTTGGCGCCAATCAAGGCCGCTCGTAGACGTCGGATGATCCGTCTCAGCGAGCTTCTGGAGTTGGCTTTGGTCTTCAGCATGGAGTCCTATCTGGGGATTACAGGTAACGAACCATCCCCCTTTTCGAAAGAGCGACCACTCTGGGATAGTCTGCTCGAGTAGTTGCCTTGGATCCTCGAACGAGCTTTGCGCAGTGCATGCTTCAATGACGAGTTTCCATGTTCATTGTCCTTGCGCGAGCTCCCGTGGGCACCCTTGAGCAGCGTGAGACACTTTGTATACGTCTCGATCAGCGACGATACAGCATTGGCAAAACTTCCCATTGCACGTTCACATCCCTGATGACAAGTATTATCCAGTGCAACGAAAACGCGGTCAACATGTGCTGCAGAAACCCTGCGTGGAGTCTAAGTATAACGAGGAGTGTGTTGGGAATGGTAACCGTCAGACAGGCCGCAGGCGCCCCTTTCATGCGACGATTGCCGGCTAAATTTGGCTGGCGATCCAGATGTATGCTCCAACCAAGGCACGTGGTTTTGCTCTCAGGCAGTTAATACGTAAGGCAAGCAAGCACATGCATGGCACTGCCGCCCCTACAGAGCTTGATGGTCCCAACCGGTCCTTTCCCGGCGATATTTTTTGAACACCCATCCGACACCGGTGGCCAGTCGCCGGGGAAGGGTTTTCGATGGGATGTGAAGTTGGTATCCGTTGGATCAAAGCGCCAACGTTTCGGGAGGCGACCCGGTCCAAAGGATGGATAGCGAGCGTGTGGGGGGCTGGTTTCCCAAGCTCGCTCGAGTCCCTTGACTGAAGTGCTTATCGACGAAGGTACTAACTAATAAAGCGCAAGACACAAGTCGCACTAATTATTAGAAGCTTGCCTATCGATGGCGAAAGAGGACGAATCGTCACCAGGAGGCTGGATCAGATCAGATCATGATAACGAGCAGTCCAGCATCAGGCGTGCCCTGGATGTCCCCGGATGGACGGCTGTTACGCCCGCGCTGTACACAGTACTCCGTAAAAAGCACCAGGAGACCCCAGGGTCGCGCCCTCGAGCCTTGTCCGCAGCAAATCAGAAGACTGCTGTTATCTGGGTCTCAAGAGCCCCCACACTGGCCTTTGGTGTCTGGCGTGGCACTCTGCCGCAGTGATTAGGGAACAAACTGCGCGTATCGTACCTGGACCTGCACTTAAGAGGCAGCCTCCCTTCGCATGACCCCTGGTTTCGTGGGACAAAGCTTCATGGCGGGCTGCTAACGCCCTCGTTGCGCCCGCAAGCTGCCATATGCCTATCAAACGCACGTAGTCTGCGCGCGCAGCTTCTGATAAGGCCAAGTAAGGTAGATGTGGAAGCCCACCAGCAACGCGTACCTAATCACTGTCGCGTTCCGCACACCGCCGAATGCTCGCCTCGAAATCCAACCCGATGTTTGCGGGCATTGTATCCCACGCCGTATTATCAAAATCACGTCCGCCTTGCGCTTTGCGGACAGGGGGGGGTGCGTACAACCTCGCTGTGTCGTAATCAGTTTCGCGCCAGAGCCGCGCCTAACGAAGGCCTTGACATCGAGCTTGAGGACGATTCATCCCACCACACCGCGGCCCGCCCCTAGACAGGTGCCAATTCCGGTCCGGTTGCGTTTGCGATTGTGGAAACGTGGGTGAAGCAAGACGGCAGGGTGGGTGGTGGCAGGCACCTTGCGGTCCAACGCAGCCAGCAGAGCTCGATCAATATCTAGTCTAATCATTATCAAATGCCGCCGCCCCTGGCCAGATCTGCTGCTCGTTTTGTTCCCGATGGACGTCTTATTTCTCCTCCCTTTACCCAAAGCTTTGGTCTCTCTTGCGCCTACTATGCTTGAGACTCCCTGACACCGTGGGCCAAGCCAAGAGATTGAACGCTGCCAGTACTTGAAGCCTCTGTCCTGATAATTAGTTCCTCATGGCTCCGCCGCTTGCCGAACCTCTGCAGATGCTGCCACCGCCGGCACCCTCTCCGGCCTCGGCGTCCTCACCAGAGGATTCACAGCTTCCGCAAGGGCAATGTCGCTATATTTTAACACAGGCAGATCTCAAGGGCCATCGATGTGCCTGTGTCATATTCAGTCGCAGACTCTCTTTCCCCGGGGCTACCTGCGACTGCGGCCACCAGGCTTGCTTCCACCTGCCCAGCGCGGATACCAGTTCCCCAGGGAGGCAAGATGATCTCACGGCAATCAAGAGCAGAGTCCAAGCGCTGGAGCAGCAAGAAGGTCTCCTTGAGCGCCTGAGCCAGATGGAGGAGTCACTGGACAAGGCGCGGGAAGAGCTGCAGAACGAGATCAAGGGTTCTTATCGCAACATATCGGCCGCCTGGCAGCTTATAGAGCAGCTCCAGCGCAGACTGGCGAACTTTGAAGAGGTACATCGCCTCCAGAGCGAGAAGTTGGACAGGGCCAGCCAAGAAATCCAGGACCTTCGCAACCGCAACCTGGAGCTGTTAGAAACGGATGAGATGTTGGAGGAGAGACTCGAGAAGCTCGAGGGGGCGGAAGGCATGGATGCACTCCTCTCGCCAGAACAGGAGGCGGTCGATGTTGGATGCACCCCCGATGCCATCACTCTGCTGCAAGGACGTGTTCGTCGACGATCGTCGGGCGCACGATCACTCCCTCAACCACTCAACCTTTATCGGCCTAATAAGCAGCTGGCAACGCCGAGATCCAGCATCGCGGATGCTCCAGGATCCTCCAAATTATGGACTGTACACATATCGATTCTGCCCTCACGGAGGCAGCCTTTTCCTTTCGAGAAGGACACCGTGGCCTACAAGCGCTGTTTGTCTCGCGGCTTACAGCGGATGGTAGCCGTATCTGGCACGGACGAGGAGTCCTTCTCAGTGTCCGTGAGTACGGCCTTTCGGGATGTTCTACAGGGTGCGCCGTGGGAGCCCCTGCAGGTCCGAATCTGCGATGCTAGGGACTTGGAAGGGTTGCCTTTGCTTCGCCCTCTTAGTGCCAGCCTGGGCAAGGAGCCTCGAGACCTCGAGTTCCTGCGTAGCCACTGCGCCGTTTGCGACAGCAACGGACGCATTCAGGCAATGTACATTGCACCGCGAGAACACAGCCTGTCGTGGCAGAGCATCATGAAGATGCCCACTTATGTCGAGGGCTTGGAGTGCAGTTGGGAGAGCGACAAACAGCTGGACGGCCCCGCCGAAGGAGAGCACGCCATTTGGACAGGTTCAGATCCGTGCGCTCGGCTTCCAGCGAAACGAAGCAGCGCCGAAATGTCAACTGGCCATACGATGGGCGAAAGCGATGAGCTGCAGGCCAAGAAGAGAACGCGTGCAGCATGCCCGGCCTGGTAGCGACCAACTGAGGCATCAACGATGCGATTGCGTAGATGCCATCCGGCGTTGTATTTCGAGCAAGGCGCTTTAGGATGTTTGATGATGGACCGATTCGGTTTGTAGACTTGCTGGGCAGACGGGTTGGCGTTTTGAATTAGATAGACAACACTAAGATACCAAGGGCGAGATCAGACGGCTGTGGGCACGAGCCTTCCAATACAAACGCAGAGTTTAGATGAATAGAGTGTCTTGGAAACGCAATGATGGCGGTGCGGACTATCTTACAGAGAGTAAAGAACCGTGCCTGCTCTTTGCCGTGAGTGAGGTGAGGTGAGGTATCCACTTGCCGATTGAACTTCCACCGCGCTTCTTCTATCAGGGTCTCTCCGTCGCGCATCCAGATTTACATCCAATATCCAACCCAACCTTCACTCAGCCTTCAACGTGCTCAGTCACACTATCCGCTATTATTACCTACCTTGAAACCGTTCAAAGCACAATTTTCAACAGCCCCAGCGATCGCTCTACTTTCATTCGAACCTGGTCCCCTTCGTGGCTCGGAATTCCTCAGCTCTCTCCATCATGGATCTCGACATTGAAATGGACGATGCCGTCCAGGAACCTCTCATGGAAGAGCAGATCTTAAACTCGACTGCCGACGATATCCTTGTACGAACTACCAGCGCACAGCGTCGATGACATTGCCTTTACTGATACACTGTCTCTAGCAACCCGACGAGCCAGAAGAATTGGGCGAGGTTGTCGAAGATCCCATAGTTGACAAGAGCGACGAAGCGCGGACTATAGTCCCGACAAAAGTACATATTCAAGGCCTCGACACAATGAACACCGACGACATAAAAAAATACGTCAAGGCGCACTATGGCGACACCGATCGCGTCGAGTGGATCGACGACTCGTCGGCCAACCTCAACTTTCCATCAGAGTCCTCCGCACGCGATGCCTTGATCGCACTATCGTCTATTGCCATTGCCGACCCGACAGCCCTCTCCATCGGCGAGAGCCTGGTCGCCAAGCCCCTCGAGGGACGACCCGAGATCTCTCTCCGGGTCCGTTACGCCGTCCTCTCCGACAAGAAGGCACCCGGCGCGGCCCAGCGCAGTCGCTTCTACCTTCTCAACCCCGAATATGATCCCGAGGAGCGCAGGCGACACCAACAGCAGCGACGGTATCGTGATAGAGACCACCGTCGCAACGGCAGCCGTGGCCGGAGACGTGATTCGAGAGAGGAGACGGGCATCCGATTCGAAGCAAGCATGTACGACGATGCGCCCAAGCCGCAGCGACGTCGCTCCTCAGATTCCTCCGAGCACAACCGACCTGTTAACAGAGGCAAGGAGCTGTTTGCGAGCGGAGGGCGGAGCAGCAGGAGGAGAAATGATAGATCCCTGTCCCCGCGACGGGACAATGACGGCGACGACTCCATGGGCGAGGGGCGGGCGAGCTCGCACGGGAACAGGGCTACGGCTCGATCGCTCAAGGAGAGGATATCAAACGACCATAACCGCTCGAAAGAGCTTTTCCCCACCAAGGCCTCTGGCCGTGGCGGTCAACTCGACCAGCTGGAGAGCGCCATTGGATCGGCCCACCTTAGAGAGGAGGACCGTCCGAGGGTAGTCGACGTACCGTCTGTACCGCGCAAAGGGGCCGACAGCTTCAACATCCGCGGGTCAGCGACCCAACGAGGCGAAGCTGGCCAGGGTTTCAGCATCCGGGGCTCTGCCGCCAATGCAAAGGAGCTGTTCCCATCCAAGTTGGGTGGTACCAACGCGGGCAAGGAGCTTTTGGAAGGACGGAAAAACAAGCCCAGACAGCGCGCAGAGGATCTTTTCGGATAGTGCACAACGCAATAGCGCAGCGAGAGTTTCGCAGAGCCACTTTGTCTACCAAAAATTAAGGAGTTCACAGTGGCTGGGTGTGGGCGGTATGCATATTATAGATGATACCAGGCGTTTGTTACTGCGAGCAGGTTAGGCCAGGTCACAGAAGCTCTATGAAATCGATCTTTTTCTTGAAGTAGTGCCCCGCTGATCGATGGGTCCTACGATGATATTGCACACCCCCTAGATATGGCAATTGCAAGAAAAGCGTGCATCCATGTTCCCATGGGACGCTCTACAAGCAAAGCCGCTCTCAGCCACCATTTCGTGACAGCGCACGGCATCCCACACAATGTGGACGCCCCTAGCCCGCTGATCATGCTCTAATTGCTCGAGCCTATGAAGGTTCCGTCCAGTTCACCTGCTCCATGACCTGTCCAGCACTCGGGTGATTGTATCCGATTCGCAAACGCAGTCGCAAAGGCTGAACAGAGTTAGTGAATGAAACGCATGGCAAGGGATGCTGGGTAAACTTACTCCTTTGCAGCCAGATACTCTCATCACTTGTGAGGCTTCCGAGGCCGGTGCCAGCTCTGAGGACGAAATGCTTTGAAGTTGAAGCTTTTGCGACTTGGGCACAGCAGCCTGCAAGCCCACATTGGACAATGTGTTTGACGACGAGTTCTGGAAGCGAGCTGTGGCTTGGATAGTACCCTCCGCGTTGCGCTGCAACTGGAAAGTCACGCTCAAGCCATTTGCATTGTAGCAGGGAACACTTGCTGGAGTTTGCTGTTGCTGGGGCGGAGGAGTGGACACGCCGCCCATGATGTCGAGGTTAGATGATTGAGGAGCGGGAGATGAAGTCCCGCCAGAAGGCTGGGATCCGAAGAGGTCCATGATAGAAGACATGTTGTTCCCTTGAGGAGTCGGTGACTGGGAAGTGGGCGGAGGCGATGAGGGACCACCGCCAAGGATGTCTGCTAATAGATCCGAGTTGTTGGTAGAAGGAGGTCCAGCTGTTGTTTGAGATGCGGGGCCATCCATGATATCGAGGAGATCCTGCTCAGAAGGTTTGATGATTTTCGATTTGCGGTTGCTGGCCTTGGCTTTCTTCGTGGCGGCCGGTCCCAGCACTCTGGATTCCTCCTTGATCTGCGGCGGTGGCATCTTTTCCAAGACACCACGGCGAATCTGGTCGAACGAGAAAAGGTTGCTATACTCGACGGCGCGCTGTTGCACTTCAACGTCCAAGCTAGTTTGGTGGTATTGCAACAACTGACGCACCCGCTCTACCTGCGTCTGATCCGTGAAGCGGGTGGTTAACTTCATCAAGGCAGTGATGATGTACTCGGTCGACACTTGCGATGCGTAGCTGCTGTTGAGGATCATGGTGAACAGGTCCACAATCTCACTCTCCTTGACCTCCTTTACTACCTCCTCATCTTCATATTGGCCTCCCCGGAGCAGGGCATCAGCGAATTCGCCGATGCACCAGGCACCAGCCTGGGCAAGGCTCTCCTGTGTGATGTCTTTCTTCAAGTTGATGTAAAGTTTCTGAACGGCATAGGTCTGGAGCTCAGGCGTCGTGGCGATCAACCGCACAAATGACGAGAGAATCTGCTCTTTGACGTAGTTACCGGCCAAGGAGAGCACTCGAAGCATCGTATCGAAATGCCAGCGCTTGTTTGGTGCGTACCTGTCCGCCGCAATACCAATTTGGCTAGTCATTGTCGGCTTGAACTCATTGTCGGCGACTTCCAAGAATGCCAGCAGTTCCCTGATGAGTACGCGCACATTGCCTTCGTTGATCAAGGTGAAACTGAGATCCAGCGCCCTTCTCCTGATGCTGACATCAGGGTCCCTCAAGCACTCGAGGATTGTGTTTCTGTGTCGTTGCACCGCATTGGGCTCGATTGCCACCACCTTGATCAGTGTGTTCAGGGCAACGTATCGAATGTTGTTGTCCCGATTCGACAGGAATTTACCCAGAATGTTCACACCGAGCACACGGAGACCCGAGTCCGCTTCGATGTCGAGGATTGTGAGAACTGCTTCGTAGAGGATCGAGTTTCCAACGTTCTTGGAAGAGTCTGTGTTCGTTGCGACTTGGGCGAGAATGTCGTTGATCTGTTCGCTCGTCTCGGCGTCCCCCACAGCAAGTACCCTCAGCAACCGGAGGATCTTGACTTGGAGGAAGGGGTCGGTAATTCCTGTAACGTCGTGTTCAGGCGCATATCCCGAAGTCGACAACGCCTTCAACGTCTTTACCAGTCCAGGCACAAAAGACCTAAACTTCTCGACGATGCCTTCCTCGCCCCCTTCTTCTTCGTCCGCTTCGCACAGCCCAGTAATGAGCGTCAGCCCGCAGAGCAGGACTCCGTGGTTGCGATCCGAGATCAACTGCGTGGCCTTGTCGAAGAAGTGCTCCTGTAGATCCGGCACCTTGCGACAAATGCGCATGGCGCAGAGGGCAGCCTTGCGACGAATATAGGGGTTACTGGTGGCGATGAGGTTTTCGATTTCGGGGAAGAGATCACGCGACATCTCAACGGAGGCGATGTTGCCGAGGGTACACAAAGCGAGGCCGACGACATACTGGTTCGAATGGCCAAGATCGCTGCGAGAGTCAGTATCGAAAACAAGTCAATAGTGAAGTCCGCTGTACTTCTTGAGAGAGTTTGTGACAAGAGTCAAGACCTCTTGATTCTCATCCAGTAGCAAACTCGTGGCCAGATGGCCCAGCCGCTTGTCAGCAAAGCGTGGGGATGCTAGGAGCTTCAAGCACTCGATCTGCCCGAAATGTGTCCTTTCGCCGAGGGTGAATAGGTATAATAGCTTGGCGACATTGTTTCGTCTAGACAATCAGCGAGGTTGCCTCCCTGATTTGATAGCTTTTGACATACCGAACATTGTGGTCGTGTGTCTCTTCTCGAAAGCTGGCTCTTATGGCAGCACTTTCCTTCTGGATGACGGCACGTTCGTCTGCGATCGTCTTGGCTGCGCGAACATTGCGAATGAACTGCTTCACTGATCCATCTTGTCAGTAAACGGAGTCCATGAGCCTACGCTGGGAACGTACAGGAGCTCATCGTGACGGTGTATCGTCTCGCCAGGCGGACGAGGTCGCCTGATGGCCTGTCCAGGGGTCAACTGGCGGTAGCTGGAACAGCGTCGTATAGAGCTTGTACTCCGAATAGAAGCTTCTGTCGAGCGCAAGAAGGCGAGTCGAAACTTGGCGATTGACTCGGTGCAGAACGTGTCGACCTTGCCGTGATTGTTCCGACTCGAATCGATGTTGTTCAGTAGGGGTGTTGTCGTAGCCAAGGCTGCCACATTTCAACGTGGGGCGCCGCAGCCAAGCCCGTGAGCTGCGATCCGAGTCTGGATGCCGCCGTCAAAGGACTGGAGCTCCGAACGCCGGAAAAGCATCGAGCCGATCCGCTACTATCACCTGAAATACGACAACTCTGGAATGACCAGAATTATAAACGTCCTTTGCTCGACTCTGATACATACAACCTTGATATTTTGGGCTTGTGGAACTAAAGTGTCACAGTACATGCAGATGGGCGTGCGGCGACCTGAGGAGTTGGCCTTTAACAATCTGGATCGTCGCATATACTAGTACCCAGCGAGGCGCAAGCCGCCACGAAGAAAGCTAGCATCGACCATTTCAATCATTCAGTCTATGCACTGAGTATCTTGTGTCTCCGGTTGACCTCACATCGCTCATAATATTGCCAACATCAAGGAAAGAAACAGGAACCATCCTGGACCGGGACGCCAAAGCCTGGGGACAAGGACGGAAAGTTTCAAGGCGAGTGCCTGCACCCTCTTTTACTTTTGCATCATGAGCTGCACGAACTCATTGTCTGGGATCATATTAGCAATCATGCAGTTGTTGGCTCGAGGCAAGCACATACAGTCAATGCGGCCATCGCCATCCTGATCAGCCTCCCGGATCATCTCGTCAACCTCGTCATCAGTGAGCTTCTCGCCGATCGAGGTCATAACGTGGCGCAGCTCGGCAGCAGAAATGAAACCGTTGTTGTCGCGGTCGAAGACCTTGAAAGCCTCCCGAATCTCCTCCTCAGAGTCGGTGTCCTTCATCTTGCGGGCCATCATGGTGAGGAATTCTGCGGCAGAGTGTCAATAGTCCCTCCAGACTTAGGGCTGGCATCCGCCATACCAGGGAAGTCAATGGTGCCATTGTTGTCGGCGTCGACCTCGTTGATCATGTCTTGAAGCTCCGACTCGGAGGGGTTCTGCCCCAGCGAGCGCATCACGGTTCCCAGCTCTTTGGTGGTGATCTGGCCTATGACATGTCAGTCATGTATTCATGATAGGTGTAGCGCGCTTCTCGTTTCGAGCAAGGGGTCGTTTCGCCTGATAATGAAGCTTGGGGATGGCGCGCAGCACATGGGGTTAAACGTATTTGACGTACCATCGCCGTCCTTGTCCTATGGATGGTCAGTGCGGCTGTCAAACAGTCGGACTACTCAGGTGCACTTACAAACAGGGAGAATGCCTCCTTGAACTCGGAGACCTGCTCTTCGGTAAGGGAGTCCGCCTGCGATCAGTGTCAGCAACAGTGCCATTTCTGTCAGCGCAGAGCCCCTCAAGCTAATGGCTGTGTGCCGTGGGCTGAGCGTTGATGGTTGGGTTGCGAGCAAATGACCCACCATTGTGATGATAGATTTGTAGGGGTTCTTTGTATGTCGGTAAAGCGATGAGTGCGTGTATGCGGGTTGTAGCAACAGTCGTGATTTTGAGGCAAGGTAAACAGGAGGCGAGCCAGCAAGTTGGCGGGGTCCTCCCACCCTGGAAGCTCCAGTTGAGTTCCGGGCCTGAGGTGACGACTCGGGACGGCATTGACAGGGGGTACAGTTCAGTGTACAGTGTGCGTACAGTGGTAGTGGCCAGCATCGCGGCAAGTCAATTGATGTGCACAGTGCGCCCTGTTTCCGGCACCTTCGCCTGATGTCGTAATGTCAAAGGCCAGCCAGCGCGTTGGAAGCTAGGGACCTACAATACAGCATTGACATGCGACCTGCGACACCGAGCCTCTTCACGACATACGCTCACAGCTTGCGACCAATCTTTCCGTGCACGAATTAACACTGTAAACGAAGAACAACCCAGGATCACACGCTGAGCGCTCGCTTGGGCTGTGCTCTGCGTCCGCCATGTGGCGCGACCGCACGAACCTGTTGGTCCCCAGACTGTCGCTTATCGGCGTTGACTGACTTCGTGGTATAGCTACATCTCCTACCGTCAGTCGTATGCGCATCACCCGATCTCGAGAAATAGATACGCTGTCGGCGGTTCAGGCCCTGGAAGCACCCCATACTCCGACTATGCGCCCGAGGACAGTCGCGGCCTCCTGTCAGGGGGTGCACTCGACGACGATGGCGACGCGGTGATCGAGATGGACCTCCTTCCACCTCGATGGGCAGATATCTCAGCTGAGATTACCGACTTGCTCTCTGAGATTGCGACCAAGGGGCATAGCCTTGACAAGCTTCATCAGAAGCATGTACTGCCAGGATTCAATGATGACGATGCCAAAAAGGCAGAAGAGCAGAAAATCGAAAAGCTCACACACGAGATAACCAAAGGGTTCCACGAATGTCATCGCTGCATACAGCGCATTGAACAGATGGTGCGCGAGTCCAGACAGGCTGGTACGATCAGTAACGCCGAGGAAACCATGGCAAAGAATATTCAGATTTCTTTGGCCACGAGAGTGCAGGACGCTAGTTCGAGATTTCGGAAAAAACAGAGCACTTACCTCAAAAGTGAGTGTCCCAATCTCGTCCCACACCTAGGTGCCTATACTGATGATCCATAGAACTACGCGGCATGGGCGGCATGGGGCCCCTCTCACCCGGGGAACGTGCCTCGACACCGCAGCCTGGCGGCTCCTACTTGGATCCTTCGATGCAAGAGTCTGACGCCGATCGAGTGTTTTCACAATCGACATTGCAAGCGCAGCAGCAAAAGATGCTGCATTCAAACGATGCTGTAATTGCTCAGCGAGAGCGTGAGATAGAGGAGATTGCGCAAGGCATCATTGAGTTATCAGACCTCTTCCGAGATCTACAAACTATGGTCATCGACCAGGGCACCATGCTGGACAGAATCGACTACAACGTGGAGCGCATGCACACAGATGTGAAAGAGGCAGACAAGGAGATCAAGGTTGCCTCTGGATACCAGCGGAGAACAACAAAGAGGAAGATCATTCTACTTCTCTTCCTGCTAGTTGCGGGTCTCTTCATTCTGCTCCTCATCAAGCCCAAACGGCATTGATTTTGGTCAGTCAGCAAAGATTCTGTATGGCAAAGCGTCTCGGGGTGATTTCGCATGAGCAAAGCATGGGGTAACCGGAGTCATTAGTGTCTATTTACATATCCTGATACATCAAAGTATATACATTGTAGCACTTTATACATGAGCGCACGATTTTATAGCTAGCGCCGGACTAAGTTCCTCTGCCGCTTCTTCTGCCAAAGTAAGAATTCGGGCTTGCTCAACTTGCTTCGACGTCGTGGTTTATCGTGGGCCTCAATTGGTTTGAGCCCATCATATTGTCGTCTGAATAACGTTGGGAACTGGTCCCAGACGATCAGTTTGTGTTGGTCGACTAGTCGGCTGAACAGAGATAGTGGTGGCAGGAGCTCGGTACCCCAAGCAGCGTCCACGGCTGCTTTAACATGCTCTGGTAATATTTCTTGTCGGCTTCGCTGTTTGTGTCGGTAGCTTGACGACTCGGCTAGGGCCATACGGCGGCAAATCGCTTTCGAAATGAGGGTCTCTTCGATAGCCACTCCTCGGTCTCGCAGAATCGCCAAAGTTCGCACACCTTGTGCGAGATCGTAGGACATGATGCCATCTAGAGCCAGATCGGTGACCTCCAACCCTCTGCTTCGTCCAATAATGGAAGACCTTTTTCGGCCAATAGCGGCCTGGAATCCCCATCTCACGATGCGTCGCTGTAGTTCAGGAGTGACGAGCTTCGTGACTGGGTGATGAGGATGGTTCAATGGAAGCTCTGAAGGGATCCACTGTCTTTCCACAACGCCAAAGGCCTGCGTAGAGACCGTTTGTCCAGTTTCCCAAATTCTGAGTTCATGGGTTTCAGGCAACGCGTCCTTTCTCCGCTCTGGGAGCTGATGCCTTGGCACATCGTCGCGGTGAACTGGGAGAAGACAAGGCTTGACAGGTTGGCATCGGCTTACGAACTCCAGACACAGCTGAAGCAGCTCTTGCATGCGGCCGTCGCGACCTAATCGATGCAAGGCATGGCTCCAACAGCTGATTGGGATGGCGATATCATACTGGGCGCATGTGCGCAGGATCCGGACCACATCATCGAGTGAAGATGCTGCAGCTGGACGTTTGCGGGAGCTCTGATTTCGATAAGTCCGGAGACCACGAGGAGTTGGCGTGTGCCATGGCAGGGTCGAGCAGAGTTGCCGTAACATTTCCGTCACATTGTCTTGCCGAGGCACGACTCCAACTGCGCGCATTCGATCCAGAACAAGCGAACTGCGTGCTAGGTTGCCCTCTTTGAGTGAGGTACGTAACAGATTGTTGAGTTCCCAGACTTCACCCTTGTTATCCAAAATCTCCCGAATCCGGAGTAGGAGAGAACTGGTGTCCTTGTCGCCGCTTTGTTTGGCCTTTGCCAGCAGATCGCCACGCTGTTGAGGGTCTACCAACGTCTCATAGTGCATGGTGGTATGCAACAACAGGTCCAGATGGTAATCATCATCCTTTCTTGCCATGACAGCGACGACTTTGCAGTATGGATGCTTACTCAAACGAATACCGAGGCTTTCCAGCCGCTTGATGCGCTCAAGGACCCCCTGTGCATTCTCTTCGCGGAGGGCCAATGCCTGCAGCTCCCTGGGCCCTATATTCGGGATGCCGAACTGGGTGACAAGATTGATGGCGAAATCCACCGATATCCAACGGCTTGCAAAAGTCTTTGCGACAAGCTCCCGACGGAAAGCCCCCTGGGAGTTGGATCCATCTCCGAGAGACTCAGTAGTTGGCTCATCGCGCGCCACCCACCAAATGCCACCGCCCAACAGTTCAAGCTCCTGGGGATAGAGATACACTCGGGAATAGTAGCAAGAAAGGAATCTCAGGAAAGGTAGGGAATTCTTCGACTGTGGGAAGTCCCCAGCTTTCGTGAACTCAGCCCGCCATGTTCGGGCGAGCTTTTCTTTGCCCGACGCATACAACGAAGGGATGACCAAGTCGAATATTCCGCGCTCGTCGCTTGAGTGGTATATCGAGACAAGACATTGCTGGAGCTCTGGGTCGTTCTCATGCGCGAGCCTCGATATTAATTCCGCCAAAGCTTCGCGGGATGGCGAAATAGTATACCATATCCTGGAATGCCAATGCGTGGCCCGTGTGTATTCCCCTCGAAGGATCAGATTCTGGATTATGTCGACGTAAAAATTCGGCCATGTTCTCTTCAGCGTGCGAAGGCGCACGAACAAGCCCAGTAGGTATTCCACTCTTTTGTCGTCTTCGCATGCGACCGTTACAGTTTCTTCACGAATTCTGTTCCTGGTGTTCGATATGGCAAGTCCAGCCTGTCCTTCATCCACCAAGCGCTCAAAGCAAGCCCAGACACCTGCTGAACCATGGCGATCGCCCATTAAGTCGAGAAGGTGTAACCAGTCGCCATATGAAGATGGCTGCAAGTCAGAAAACTCGGCATCGAGGTCGGATTTTATTTGCGCCTGCGTACTCGAGCGGTTCGTTTGCCGAGGAACTGATGACAACCATCGCGTAGTCCCACTGTTGCGCAACGATCTGCTTATTCTTGGGCATGTTGTAGCTGGACTGGAAGTCGGGTTTGATCGGCTGGAAAAGCATCGCTCGGTTCGTTGCGTGCATTGTGCTGGAAATCGAGCAACCGACTGGACGGGTTCCCTCAAGCCATTTCGGGGAGCTTTACAAGACCGCGTGTATCGAAGGGTCGCTTTCATCCCTAAATGCCTTCGACTCGCGACACGGAGATGTCACCGGCATGGAATCCTGGCAAGCGTGGAGTCGCCGTATTGGCATTTGGGTTGTTGCGCCCGAGCGCTTGGTGCTTCCCTGTGGAAAGAAAATACGAGCACTCCCGACTTTTTTTGCGTCGTCATAAAACTGAGGCACTGGGATAACAAGCTAAGGTACCTCGAGAGACAGGAATTGGAGCTGCACCGTCTTGGATCCACCGGATGGGGAATTTCATGCTGAGTAATCATCAAACCAGACGTGCCAATCACAATATGGCCTCATCAGATTGCCGAACCTTCATCAATTGACTTCCCATTACTTCGACACCCACTCAACGTACACTTTAGCTCTTCCAAAGCTTCACAACAAATCGACAAGATGGGGTAAGTTGCATTCTCCAGATTGTGTGCTTTCTCAATGGCCTGCGGGAACGCTCACATCCGATCTTTGCCGGTCGCTAACCAAGGGCATTAGTCTCGTCGACGCTCCCAACAAGGTTCCTCAGAACCAGCGCTTCTACCAGCAGGCCTACAAGGCTCACACTCGCCTTTGGCAGATTGTACGACAGCACCTCCTCCGACCGAACCCGCCGACAATGGATGACTGACATGACGACAGGGCAGCCGTAGCCGCTGGATGATGACCCCCTACACTATCCTCCTCTGGGGCTCCCTTGGCGGTAGGTTAATCAGCGTTTTTTTTGGAACAAAGCCTTTACTGAACCTCACAGCTACTCTGTGGTGCAGCGGACGCAAGGTGATGGGCTACAACACCTGGTTCTCCAAGGATTAAGCAAACAACCTGGATCGGCGTGGCCCTGCGAGAGCTCGATACGGTGCAAGAAGGACTCTATAGACTGGCATCGCAGTGCGCAGGCATCTGCTCAGTATGTACCCGAATGCTCAACACTTCCCCTTTGTCAAGATTCATGGTACTTCATTATGAGCCGGTCGCATGTGATCCGTACTTCTATGATACATTGCGCCAAGTCCTGGGCCTGGAAGAATCCACACGCCGTATGCGCCTCCATACTGCATGCATGCTCCTGTAAGGACGTCAAATTCCACACCTAACCCCGTCTAGTAGCCCGTAGCTCCTGGTGCCTTCTCATCCTTTCGCAAGCTCATCAACATTTCGCGGAAGCGCTCCTTGCCCGAGCCAGCGGAGCCGCCTTTCGCACCCTTGCCGCTGACGTCGACCAGTTTGGCAATGCGATCCCAGCTTGTACCACCAGACACGGTGTCATCTCGGTTCGCTAGGAACTGCTCTGCCTCCTTGCGCGTCTTCTCAATCTCCTTTTCCTTCTTCGCGTTGTAATTGTTGTAGAAGTCGTCAATGTTGGCTTGAGCCTCCTTAATGGTCTCTTCGCGCTGGGCGGCGAATTGTTCGGCACGTTTGGCAAGCTGTGCGTCACGGGCTTCGCGCCACTCTCTGATCACTTCAGGTTCTTCCTCATCGTCGGCGCGTGCCTGGTATCCGGAGTTGTAGCTGACCGAAGGCCCGGTGATTGTGTTGCTGCCAGGGACCATGCCCTGCCAGATGTTAGCTCTCGAGAGCTTCAGTCGCGTGCTGGATGACTTACCGCTGAAGGGCTAGCAAGGTCTGGAAACTGAGAGTCGAAAGTGGCCTGGGGCTGCTCGGTCTCGCCTAGTAGGTCGCCATCTGAGCCACCAAGTGCCGAAGCATCCTGGGCTGTCGCAAACTGGTTCGCATCATCGCCAAGAACAGCCTTCTCGCGAGCTAGGAAATCATCGGCCGACGGGTCCTCGGCAACGTTCTTGATGTCTGTCTGGGCTGGCAGCACGCGTTAGTCGCACTGGGAAGCTTTCATCGGTTCAGAGGCCAGCTCACCCCCGGCATCAAAGTCCTCCAAGGATGGGAATCGGTCGGCCATATTTGGTTGTGAGTGTTGGGATTTCAAAGTAAGAACGTGCGCTCAATGCGGATCGGATACAAGGTACAGAATCGAGTTGGTAGTATGGAGAATCCGCGACAGGTATATGCCATCTGTATAGACAACGAGCAAGCAATGAGGTCGACGTTGCCATGCTCCTGACCGGGTGGGGCAATGTGGGTGAGGGACCAATCAGATCAGTCGATGCCCTCATAATGCTCAGCAGTGCTGCGTCACTTATTGCATTAGGCTGTATATACTCTATGTGAATATTGACACAGCGAGGTTCATCTGAATAGGATTTGCATCAAATGGACATTAATCCTGGTTGCTTGAATTATCGGCGCGCGCATCTCATTCCTTACCTCCACTGCCATTGTGCAACGCACCAGCTTTTCCCCCGTTCAGACTGACGTCTTCATTGAAGAGCCTACTTCTTGCGACCCTGTCGGGTTGATTTGCCGTTGCCATTGATATCACTGTCCCGAGCTTCTTTCGCTTGAGCTGCAGGTACCTACCGTGTAAGGTAGCTGTAGTCAATAGTACCGCGAGGCCACTGAAACACCGTGACAACCGCTGAACGCAACCGTAACATAATTGCCCATCAACGCCATGGCGTACAACGATGATGCTGTCCTGGCGCGGTTGTCAGCGCTCAATGAGAGCCACGACAGTATCGCGACTGCAGCGCAATGGATCATGTTCCATCGGCGTCACGCCGACCGCACGGTACAGCTCTGGATGCAGCGTTTGAAAGACTCGTCATCCACAAAACGGCTCATGCTCATATATCTTGCCAATGGTACGTGCTCGTTTCCTGGAATCCACCGTGGTGGTGATGCCGCTGACACTTTTGCAGAGGTTGCTCAACAGTCGCGCATCCGCCACAAGGAGGACTTCATTATCGCATTCTCCCCGGCCATTGCGGAGGCTGTGTCAGTCGCGTACAAAGGAGCACCGACAGAGGTTCAGTCGAAAATCCGTCGTGTGGTTGATGTCTGGAGGGATCGAAACATCTTCGAATCTTCAATTCAAAAGGCCATGGATTCCCGCCTCGAAGAGCTAGACAAGGCTAGAGGGAGTTCGAAAAACGGGTTCGGTGGTAATCCTTTTGGGTCTGCTGCCGCCAACGTCCCCTCCGAGTTCACGCCTCTCATCTCTGCACATCAATCCGTTTCGAAGCTCTCCGCTCCGCTCAAGAGCACAATCGCCTCGGCTGATCAGGAATACGAGAAGCAGACTGACACCTCAACACCGGCACCCTCTGCACCTGTCTATGCGGCTCGTCTGAACGGTCTTCTGAGGACCTTGGCCAATGCCGAGAACGCTGTGGCCGATTGCGTCAAAGCGAGAGAGAGCTTAGTGTCCGGACTGGAGAAGCTCTTGGAGACTCACCGCGCGGCGTTGGAGGGCGACCGCCAGAGCGCCGATAAGTTCGGCAAGCGAAAACGCGAGATTGAGGAGAAGAAGCAGCAGGTCGAGTTCGGCATTATGCAGGCTCTGGGATCAGTTGATCAAAACGGCGCCGGCGCAGAGGACTCTGGGCACCATAAGCAGGACGAGGAGAGGCCTCAGATGGAGGCATTGACACCAGAAATGGAGGCGTTCACTCCTCCTTCTGGGGACGTTCCGCCGATGGAAGCACTTCCGCCAACAACAGGTGAAGAACAGTCTGTGGGCAGCTCCGGAATAGAGGTGCTCTCTAACGCAGCATCCTCGTACCAGACCCTGCCCATCTCCACCAATGGCTCGAATAAGAGGCGCCGCGTGGACGAGGGCGAAGATATACCAGATGTTGGAGGGGGCGATGCCATAGACGCCGATGTTGCGGCCATGCTACAAGAAGGATCTCAAGCGTGAGATGTGCTGGGAGGGTCAGACAAGGACTTTGCGCCAGTGGATGGTTTGGCTTGTATCCTACTATATAGCCCCTGCATCAGCATCTAACGTCGCTGTGCTTATACTTTGTTCGCGTCACTGCGCGTCCCTCTGGATTACGTGACATATTATGCTGGGAGCCGTCGAGTTCTTCTAAAGTTGGCAGAAATCTGTAAGCATCGGCTGGAAGGCGTCGAATAGTATCCGTAACTCGCCCATAACTCCGATTGCGACCGAGGGTCCTCGGGTTGTTCAGGGAATCCCTCCGAGCCAAAGGTACCCTGGCTACCCTGCGATGGTAGTAGTATCCACCTGAATTTTGGCGCTGTTAAGTATCCGCATCCAGCGGGAACTCTCCAAGCCTCAGACACCACCAGAAATGCCGCGATGATGACGGCATTGCGCACAACAACTCTGTAGCATTTGGAAAACTCAACGTCTGCATTCCTCTGTTTACGGCAGGCAAGAGTTCGCCCAGTGTCCCTCGGCTTTGAACGAACCCCTTCGAGCGAATCATGCGCCGCTGAGCGCCCGTCACGCAACTCGGCCGCCATGATGATGTCCGGAACGATTCGAAGGACGTTGCTGTCTCGCGCTCTGGAAAGCCCTGTTGCTCCTATCAGAATATCCTGCTCTCTAATCGTCTCGCCTGCGTTGTTCAGACCGGAGCTTTCCACGCGGTCGATCTATTCGTCATCGACTCCTGCACGCAGCTTCGCAGTGGGCATTTTCACCCCACGAACGAGATACACGTCGGGCTCCGCGATATGGCGCGTCAGTGCAGCTTCTCGCGCGTTCTCGAACGCCCCGGAGCGGAAGCAAGAGCTTCAGCGCAAGGTAGAGGAGCAGTCCCAACGAAAAGCTGAAGAGGAGGTGGAGGAGGAGTTCGATTTCCAGAAGAGCGAAAAAGCGAGCAAGGCGGCGCAGGTCAATCTGCGCGCCAAGCTGTCAAGAGAAGGCAAGGGGCAAAGCAAGGCAGGACTCGGCGAGATCTGGCGCCTGATCAAGGTTGCCAAGCCAGAGATTCGATGGTTGGGGATCGCCTTTGTTTTCCTGGTCATCTCGTCCAGCGTGACCATGTCTATCCCTTTCTCTGTCGGTCGCATCCTGGACATCTCTACCAAGAGTGACGTGGAAGACATTCGTCTCTTCGGTTTGACCCTGAATCAGTTCTTCTTTGGTCTCGGCTCGATCTTGACTTTGGGCGCCATGGCTAACTACGGGCGTGTCGTGCTGCTGCGCATCGTGGGCGAGCGCGTCGTTGCGAGGCTTCGCTCGCAGCTCTACAGAAGGACCTACGTACAAGATGCCGAGTTCTTCGACGCCAACCGTGTCGGAGACCTCATCTCGCGACTGAGCTCCGACACCGTCATTGTGGGCAAATCCGTTACGCAGAACCTCAGCGACGGTCTGCGCGCCCTGTTCAGCGGCGGCGCCGGCTTTGCCATCATGGTCTGGACGAGCCCGAAACTGACGGGCCTCCTGCTGCTCATGTTCCCGCCTGTTGCGATTGGTGCATTCTTCTACGGAAGGGCCATCCGAAACATCAGCCGCTCTATTCAGAAGAACTTGGGTACGCTCACCAAGATTGCCGAGGAGCGACTGGGTAACATCAAGACGAGCCAGGCTTTCGTGGGAGAACGACAAGAGATCGGTCGCTACAACCACCAGATTCGCAAAATCTTTGCGCTCGGTCGCCGCGAGTCCCTCGTAGCGGCCACCTTCTTCGCCACCACTGGTTGGGCGGGTAACATGACGATTCTAGCGATGCTCGTGGTTGGAGGCAGTTTCGTCCGGTCTGGCAGCATGTCACTCGGCGATCTGACCTCCTTCATGATGTACACGGCCTTTGCGGGATCGAGTTTGTTTGGACTGTCCGGCTTCTACTCCGAGTTGATGAAGGGTGTGGGCGCCGCCAGCCGCCTGTTCGAGCTGCAAGACCGGAGACCAGGGATTCCTCAGACCATAGGCGTACCTGTCAAGTCTGCGCAAGGCCCGATCAAGTTCTCGAATGTTTCCTTTGCGTACCCAACGCGCCCTGCCGTCAATATTTTCAATGGCCTGGACTTTGAGATCCCCTCGGGCAGCAATGTCTGCGTGGTCGGCCCATCGGGCGGTGGCAAATCGACCGTCGCGTCGCTTCTCTTGCGGTTCTACAACCCGACATCTGGTGCGATTACTATCAACGGCGTGGACATTGCAACCATGAATGTCAAGTCCCTTCGAAGGAGGATCGGAATGGTCTCTCAGGAGCCCGTTCTCTTTTCGGGCACGATTGCCGAGAACATCAGCTACGGTAAGCCCGAAGCGAGCCGCTCGGAGATCGTAGCGGCCGCGAGGAGGGCGAACTGCAACTTTATTAGTGATCTTCCCGATGGCCTGGAGACTCAGGTCGGCGCCAGGGGCTCCCAGCTGTCTGGTGGGCAGAAGCAGCGCATTGCTATCGCGCGCGCCCTGTTGAAGGATCCGGATATCCTTATTCTGGACGAGGCCACATCGGCACTCGACGCTGAATCGGAGACCCTCGTCAACGAAGCCCTCGCTCGCCTACTCCGCGGGCATAACACCACCATCTCCATCGCGCATCGCCTCTCCACCATCAAGAGATCTGACCAGATCATCGTCCTCAACAGCGAGGGCACTGTCGCCGAGATTGGCAACTACTCCCAGCTCGCCGCCGATCCCAAGAGCGCCTTTAGCAAGCTGATGGAGTGGCAGATGAGCGGAGGCGACATTCCCGAGCCGAGAAACAGCGACTCATCAAAATCGCATATCACGGAGGCCGAGGAGATGGAGATCGAGGAAGAGGCACAAGAGGCGCTCGAAGAAGAGGAGGCTTCCGAAAAGGAAGGAGTCAAAGAGGAGACTCGGCGATGATCAATTCGCATCCTCACGAAAATCTCTTGATATCCAGAGCGCACAGCTCGAGGCGTTGGTCTGTGTCAATGTATATTAGGTATGGCATGCTCAAGCATAGAAATACACATTTACCCATGTAACGCCCGGTGTACCATCCTCCACCTACGGGGTTGTCTGATGCCGAACGTGTGATACTGGATGCAGCGTGGGTGAGAGGCATGAGCTACAGCAATGATCTCAATGCGTATCGATCAATGCTTATACTAGTGTCCCTTTGGCTAGCAAAAGCAATCCCAGCATGCAATCATATTATTCACTGGGCGCGTCTTCAGTTGAAGTTCTGTCACAAGATGTAGGGTGTGGCCGTCTCATAAGGTGAGGTAAGCAGGAATCACATGCCATCGCTCCACCGCCACGGTAGCGTCATAACCGCTCCTAGCGTGATCGTCAGCTCCGTCCACTTCAACCTCATCCCAGCCCCATTGTCAGCAACCAAAGACACCATAATACTAACTGTCCATCACCTAGAAGCAGACGCGCAACCATGTCTTCCGAAGCCGAGGGCACCTTTGAGGTAGACGGTGTGTCGCTTTACACCAAGACCTGGACGCCTACTGGCCCGACCAAAGCGAGGCTCATCTTCATCCACGGCTTCAGCGAGCACATCAATCGCTACAATGACTTTTTCCCGACGCTCGCTGCGGCGGGCATCCAAGTACTGGGCTTCGACCAGCGCGGCTGGGGCCGATCAGCCAAAGACAAATCCGACTGGGGTCTGACCGGGCCCACGGCTCGCGTCGTGGCGGATGTGGCTGCCTTTATCAAGCACAACACCACCGAGGAGGTGCCCGTCTTCGTCATGGGTCATAGCATGGGCGGAGGCGAGATTTGCACCCTTATGGCCGACGAGAAGTACGCCGACGTGGTCAGGAGCGTGCGTGGCTGGATCTTGGAATGCCCCTTTATTGGGTTCACTAAGACTGCCGAGCCCAGCACTATCAAGATTATGCTGGGTCGCCTGGCAGGCATGGTGCTCCCGCGTCATCAGCTCACGCACGTGGTGCCCCCGGAGGATCTCTCCCGCGACCAGGCCGTCGTGGAATCGATTCGCAACGACCCCCTCTGCCACAACACAGGTACGCTGGAAGGTCTGGCCTCCCTCTTGGACCGTACCGCGCTTCTGTCGTCGGGCACGGTCAAAGTGAGTAAGAACGTGAAGAGCATCCTGTTGCAGCACGGCACGGGCGACTTGACATGCAGTTTCGACGCGGCCATGAAGTGGCTGGAGCAACAGACCGAGGTGGAGGACAAGGTGGCAAAGCCCTACGAGGGAGGCTATCATCAGTTGCACAGTGATCTGTGCAAGGAGGAGTTTGGTCGGGATCTCGTAGCGTGGATCCTTGAGAGGAGTGAGGGCGGTGCTAGGGCAGTGGAGGCGAAGCTTTGAGGCGGCCATGTAATCTTGAATATTGAACGTTCTGTAAATCCGATTCTTGTGACCTGCTTGGTGGACGGATAGCTCCGGCAATCTCAGAGATCCCAAGTGTCACCAAGCGCATTCAAGCCCCATTGTCCGCCCTCTTGCTAACAAGGCACAAAAATGTCCACTACGCCTTTGGGCTATCACCGACGATGAACGATGGACGTTGTTTTGCTTAAGTAAGAAAGATAGAAACGCTTCTTCACATGCTTCTCGCGAAGTCGACGGGATCTGTCTGCTGGTTAAACAAGCAAAGACGGGCCAATCACCATCTGTCCTTGTCGCCCAGTCCCGGGTACGCCCGAGTAGCCCCAGGTTTCGACACATAAATAAGTCATAGATTGGCTATTTCTGGGGAACGTCTGCCGAAGCTACATTTATACATGTTTATAACTTTATATATGTTGTGAGCCTGCGCTCTGTCCAACTTGATGTTGCCCGTTTTGTCTTCAGCATGACGCCGCTTTGTTCCTCCAGTGGCCTGGACGCTGCGGACTAATCCAATGCCCGACGTAAGACCTCGGCGATAACGGAAGAGAAGGACTCCGCCGCAAAATTCAGAACTGGAGCGGAACGATGCGTTGGCCACCTCAGTCCTCAGGTTGTCTGTCCCCTCCTCTCTCGCACCATTGCTCGATTGAGCGCAGGGGACTTTCGCTAACAGGGCCGCAGCCATCTCGCAACTCGCAATGCCGCACAATTGTCCGAGCTCCAGCCCATCTGGCTGACCAATGGGTGGACGCTTGAATGCTGCTGGTGCGGTGAGATCTGAGTCCTCGACCCGTGAGCTTGATTAGCCACTCTCCGACGGACTTCCGATCAGGGGCCACGTTGGGTGGCACTGGTGACGACTGGGACTGTGATGGCCCGCTAGCTGGATGGCGCTAGGCGCTGGAGACTTCCGATTCCGCTTACCAAATCACAGACCCGCGCCAGTCACTTACAGCCTCCGATGGATCATGGCCAAGGCAGGTAATTAAGTGCTGAGGAAGGTGCTGTGCGTCAATGTCGCATATCATTTGCTCCGTTTCTTCTTCCTGGTGCCCCGAGAATTGTGTCTTCTTCTTTGCTACATTCTCTCCAGACGGAGTCGGCGGAGTCGAAGACAATTCAACGATCGACAGCGAAGCTCCTGAGGACCATCTGAAGCTCTGAGCTTGCGGGACACCGGCTCTATACACCTTGAGTTGCAGCTCAGCACCAGCTCAGGTACACCTCCAGCCAAAGCAGTACAGCTCAACAATCCTGCTTCATCCACTTTCATTGTTCACTTCCTCACGCCGCCATTATGAAGCCCGACGTCCACCACTCTATCACCCATCACCCTTCGGCGATTCAAATGCACCACGTGGACAGCGAACGCCAACGCAGCCAGTCGAGGGCTTCGGCCCGGAACGCCTCGCACAGTACCGGTATCGAGTCCAGTGCTCCGGCCGAGGAGCATGACCCCGTCGCCCGCCACAACTCCCAGCCCACCTTGACAGACGTGGAGAGCCAACTGACCGCAGGCCGTGCTGCCTTGCCACTCAACGGCGTCCGCTTGGAGAATGACCCTTACGGCTTGTCTCTGGCCTACAAGACCGAGTCAGACCTCGCCAATATCAAAGCCAACACCTCGCGCAAGAGAGACGCAGGCGCCACCGGGCACAAGGGTCCCAAGGTTAGGAAACGCAAGATCCAACGTTTCTACGAAGATCAAAATGCTGCGATTGAGCGGATGTTGAAACCTGTGGAGGACCACCTCGCCGATGCCAAACAGGAGGCGGGCGAGGAGCAACTCAAGCTTCGCATAGCCGTCTGGGGCTCGTTCATTGCCAACATCTGCTTGTCCATCCTCCAGCTATACGGCGCCATCTCATCGGGGTCCCTGTCCCTCTTCACCACGGCGGCCGACAGTGTCTTTGACCCGCTCAGCAACTTGATCCTCATCGTTTCCTCACGCGCGGTGGCCCACGTGGATGAGCGTCGCTTCCCGGCTGGCAAGGCTCGCTTGGAGACTGTGGGCAACATCACGTTCAGCTTCATCATGGTGAGCGTGTCGTTGATCATCATTGCCTTTTCATGTCAGGAGTTGAGCCAGGCAGGTGAGGGCAAAGCGTTCCATCTGCCCGCGGTTCTTGCCGTGGCAGTGGCATTCGCGACCAAGTTCTGCCTGTTCCTGTACTGTTGGTCTCTCAAGAACAAGTACAGCCAGGTCCGGATTTTGTGGCAAGACCACCGCAACGATCTGTTCGTCAACTCCTTTGGTATCTTGACGTCCGTTGGTGGTTCCAAGCTGATGTGGTGGCTCGACCCGGCGGGCGCCATCATCCTCTCCGTGGTCATCTCAGCGATATGGCTGCGCACTGCCTTTGCCGAGTTCTTGCTGCTTGTGGGCGTGTCGGCCGACACCGAGATGCAGCAGTTGATCACGTATGTGTGCCTCACGCACTCGGATTCGGTGTTGGGCATCGACACGGTCAGAGTATACCACTCGGGACCTCGTCTGATCGCCGAGGTGGACATTGTGATGGATCCTGAGGAAACTATGCGCGAGGCACACGACGTGGCCGAGGAGCTGCAATTCAAGCTGGAGGGCCTGCCCGACGTGGAGAGGGCCTACGTCCACATTGACTACGAGACAACGCACAAGCCAGAGCGCGCGCTCAAGAAGGACTTGTAGTGCGCCTTGTATCCATTGTTTGCTGGCGATTTGGTGGTCATCGTATAGTCCCCTGTGCTTCATAATACTTTAGAATACCCGAAGAAGACATGATATTCCGTCCAAGCTTCGAGACGTGACCAGATATGCCAACCGAATCAGATGAACGCCTCCACCACTTCGCGGGGATCCGACTTACTTAGCTCATGGTCCATGGAGATGCGCCATTGATGACATGGTGCCAGTGGGGATCTCAGGCTATTCAGGGTGCGGGGTGCATGTCTGGGGCTATTATCATGTACGTGTCGACCAATCGACATGAATTCACAGTACTACTACGTATGCGCACAAGGATCCTTGGCATCAACTGGACAGAGGTGCAGCTTTATGTGACGCCGAGTCTCGGATCAGGCTTGTTGCGTATGGTGAGACATGCTTGTAGAGGGACGTATATGGTAGACTGTCCACATTCTGCAGAGCCTCTGATGAAAGGCAACTTGACGGGGCCAACGCGGCACGAGGCGCCCGCCGGCCGTGCATGATGGATGGATGGATGAATGGATCCTACTCGCAGTCGCCCGCTGGATAAGTTCGCAGCTTGGGGTACTATACATAGCTGGTAGCTGGCAGCCGACAGACGTCATTGGAGATCTGCCTGCTTGCTACTGTACCTGGTTCGAATGTCTGCCACCAAGTTGGAACCATGGATACTGCACGATATGACAGGCCGTGCACTCGTCCACCTGACGAGATGTGACGGACAGCAGCATCGCGGTACGGATTTGTAGAACGACGTGAATCGTAAATGCGGAGGGTCAATTGGGCGACCGCATGGCCGTGTGGTGTTGATGCGCAGTGTTACTCTCGTTGGGACGGATACGAGCGTGCAGTCAGTGGCAGGCATCTTGTTGAGGACTTGAGGTGCAGGGGACGAGACCATTCCTGGCTGCCCTGCATTCTGCAAGCGATTATCGTCGTTGTTTCACACTTTAAATATGTCGCTCGTGCCCAGACCTCCAGCTCCAGCTCCACCTCCAGCTCCCCACCTTGATCCGTCCGAGTCCGTCCTTCTGTCCTTCTCACAACGCGCGCCACCGTGCGTCCACATCATCCGACAGGCCTCCTTTTCCATGGCCTTGGTTCCTCGTCTCTTATAGCGCTCCCCAGCTTTTCCTCCTCTCCATCAATCGCGACAATGGCTGGGGAGCCGGCAGCACCACGCCACGCCTACGCGACCCTCCTCCTCAACGACAGCTACCTGCCCGGCGCCCTCGTCCTCGCACACTCGCTACGCGATGCGCGCACCAGAAAACCGCTCGTCTGCCTCGCCACCCTCGATTCAGTCTCCGCCGACGCGATCACCCAGCTCAAGACCGTCTACGACCATGTCATCTCCGTGCCCAGGATGCGCAACCCCGATCCGGGGAACCTGTATCTCATGAATCGCGCGGACCTGCATTCAGCCTTTACAAAGATCAATCTGTGGAAGCTGGTCCAGTGGGAGAAGATTGTATACATTGACGCCGATGTCGTGGCCTATCGCGCGCCGGACGAGCTGTTCACGCTCGGTGCCTCTTTTGCCGCAGCACCCGACATTGGATGGCCTGACCTCTTCAACTCGGGTGTCATGGTCCTCTCTCCCGACCTGGGCGAGTACCACGCCCTCAGCGCTATGGCCTCGCGCGGCATTTCTTTCGATGGCGCCGACCAGGGCCTCCTGAACATGCACTTCAAGAACTCTTGGCACAGACTGAGCTTTGCGTACAATGTCACGCCCAGTGGTCACTATCAATATGTCCCTGCTTACAGGCACCTTTCCTCGACGATCAATATGGTGCACTTTATCGGTAGCAACAAGCCCTGGTTTGCAGGCAGGGGGCAGGAGGGCGGCCCCTATGGAGAGATGGTGGGACGATGGTGGGCAGTGTGGGACAGGCACTTCAGGGAGGGGCCTGGCGACAGCTTGGTTCATTACTACACGAACGGTGAGTGGCGGCCGCAAGTCAAGCATGAGATCGCAAAGGGGTCTACCGCTGCGTACGCTGAGCCGCGCGACAACCACCATGAGGGCACTCAACAAGGCACTCACCATGACCACTCTCACAGACAACGGGAGTCTCCTCAGCAGCGTGGTGGCGAAAGTCACGCGCAAACGCAAGACACTCCACAGCCAGCCAGCGATAGTTCAGGACAACAGCAGCAACAAGAACACCACCACCACCACCATCAACAGCAGCCGCATGAGCATGAGCATGAGCATCCTCAAAGTCAGCAACAGGAAGCAACCTCAGGGTACTCCTCCAGTGAGCCACCTAAGGAAGAACAGAAGCCAATTCCTGAGCCGGAGCCACTGCCAACAGCAAGCTGGGACGCGCAATGGCATCCTCCTCCATCCGACTCCAAACCAGAAGCTGTCAACTTCCCATCCACCGTCTACACCATGTCTCGGGATCCCACGCCTTTTGTCCCACCAGACAGATACCCGAGTCCGCCCAAGAACATGTGGTATGAGGTTCCCAAGGAGCCGCCAGCGCCGACAGCCCAGCCGCCAAGACAAGTGTTCCCTTGGGAAAGTCACCAGCCTAAACCCTCCCGCATCTTTACCAACGCCACGCCTCTACCCGATCTCAGTACGCAAACCACCGCAGTCGAGTCTAAGGGTATGTACAACTGTAGCTTCATCGTCCCCGTGGGGAAGTACTGACCTTTTGTACAGAAACCGAGAATGCGTCGGCGCCTGCCACGCCTATTACACCCACCATCCGGGTGCACCAGCCGCCGGCCGATTCGTGGGGCACTTTCCAGCTCTCGAATGCCTGGGACGAGATCCCTCAGATCAACCGCTACGTTGATTCTTTGCAACAACACCGACGCGGCAAGAGCTTAGCTTCAGTTAGCTCTCCGACGGGACCCAGCACCCCCAAGCAGAAGAAATCACGCGGCTTCAAGCTCACAGACTTTCCCTCAGAAGTCGAGCGACCTTCGCTACCGGTCACACCGGCGCCCATCGCCCGACCCTCCTTTTGGGGCACGGAGGAGCAACCAAAGCGGACCGAGGGAGCACACGACGCGGGTGACGCCACGGCCCTCCCCATGGCCGAGGGCGTACCCAGGCAGTCGGAATGGGTATGTGTACATGGGAGACGGTGGCTTCCCTCTGATTGCATTTGTACCCTACTCCCATCACTAGGTCTTACTAACGCTTCTACTATGAAGGACCCCGAGGCGCAACTGCGGAAGCTGGCGCAACAGCAGTACGAACACGTGCTCCAGAAGCTGGCCACCGACGAAGGAGGTGAGGAGGGAGGGGCTAAGAAGCAGAAGAAGACTATCCCCAACCGCAGCTTGCCGTTCGGCTCGGAGGACGTGTCGTCGCCGACGTATAAGCCGCAGCATCCACCCAAGAAGGAAGAGAAAGAGGAGGAAGAGGAGCGGGAGGATAGGTCGACCTACAGGGGAAAGCCGGTCGCCGGGAGGGCACCAACGCCAGGGCCGGCGTTAACATTGGGACTGATGGACTCGCCTCTCCCGAGGGGCAAGTCTTGAAGTCTTGCTGTCAATGGCCAGGAGGTGAGGTGCCCTTGTACAGTATTGGCTGTGTTTTCGTATTGGCTTCTTGCTCGCGTTGCTTTGTTTTGTTTTTGTTTTATTTTAACCCTTGATTCTGGGCGGCAGCATATCACGGCGTTCCAGGCGATAGTACAGTGGACAGAGCAGGTACTTGGATAGTCAAGATCACGATTTAGGAGGATACGCGAAACAAATATAAGGACGGCATGGAAACCTAGTCAAGACAGCTCGTGTCATTTCATCGCTCGCTTGTTTGCTGTCATCATACTATGTGCGCGACGCGCCTATTAATACATCATGTATCCTTGGTCTTGGGCTCACCGTTGTCGTCATCATCGGACGCCTCCTCCACTGTCACAGCCTTGCCTTTGCCCTTATCCTCCGACGATCCCTCCACATTCGGTGCTGGTGTTTCGTGGCTTGTGGACGTCGACCCCGCCTCCGAGGTCGTCTCCGGATCTAACCTTGCGCGGTTGCCAAAGCCCCAGCTCGGTGCTACAGGGCTCGGGCTCACGACGACTGGTGTTGGCTGTACATTGAGATGGTTATTGTTCGGCGTGCCATCGGGCTCGGGCTCATTCAACCCGGGTACAGAGGCGTGGCCGTTGGGTGCATGAGACTCGTGATGCCTCGATGCGCCTTCCAAGACGGATCGCTGAGGGGCTGCTTCTGACAGTAGGGAATCGCTTTGCGTCGGCATCGAGCCTGGCTGAGGGGATGGCTGCCTTGCAAACGACCCGTTCTCCAGCCTCTGCAGCGGCATCAGTGACCAGCCCGGTGGGATGGTGACACCTTCGGGAAGCTCTGGGCTGCCGGAGGGGATGGACGTGTGATACTCCGATGTCCCGTGACGGCCCAAGATCGGGCTGTTCAGGCGTGTCGGGATACCTGGATAGCCTGGGGGAGCCCCGGGCATTGATGGGGGCATCGCCGGCATGGCCCCAAACGGCACATGTGGAAAGGTCGCAGGCCTCGGCGCGATATGATCTGCCTGTTGTCGCAGGCGTAATCGCTGGAGTTCTGCCATGAGGAGTTGGCTGGTCTGTAGCTCCTGTTGCCTATGGCGCAAGGTGTTCAGCTCTGCGAGTAGCGCTTGTTCGGCCTGCTGCAACAGGCTCGCGGCGTTCTGGAGGTTATCGCCAGTGGTTGGCTGAGGGGGCGCCATACCAGCAGGAACGGTAGCTTGCGCTGGAGCACCATTCGCGGCTGGTGCTGGGGCTGGCTGTGCCATGCCAAACTGCCGAGCCAACTCCTCCACTTGGGCGTTGTTGGCCCCAAAACCTAGACGTAGAGGGCCTAGATTGAATACCCGGGGCCGGTTGGCAGCTGGTTGTTGTTGTTGCTGCTGCTGCTGCTGTCCTGCCTGTCGGTCCCCTTGCTGTCCTTGGGCGTCCACCGGGGGATTGACGCCGTCTGCGCCAGCCTGTCCCGCTGCTGGCGCCGCACCACCACCGATCTGTATCCTGAGAGCGCGACGCCCACCATGGTCCCTCCGAGGTGCCCTGCCGCGATCGGAAGTAACTGGGCTTCTGCATGTGGGGCAGACCTGCTGTCTCTCGAGCCAGCTCTTCAGACAGCCGAGATGTAGCGTATGGCCACAGGGGAGCTTCTTGGGTCGGGATCGGTCCACTGCGCCTGGAGAATTCGTTGGATCCCATGGGCGCATTTCTTCGCGGCAAATGATGCACGTGTTCTCCTCGGCAAGCTCGGCAGCCGTAGCATCGGGGTACTTGTTCATCTCTTGGATGGCCTTGCGGTACCGCAGTAGCGCATTGAGTCTCTTCAAGAAGTCTCTTGACGTCAAGAACAAGTCTCGAATGATGTGTATCGGTAGGCCGTAAAACATGAGGAGCATGATAAAGAAGGAGGCGTAGATGGCCAGTTTGACAAAGTCTGTACGTGTGTGAGCAGGAAAATACTGTCTACGTGCAGGTATTGCACTTACCAGTGATCAAGTCGAGCCAAAGCACCCACTCGCCCTTGGCGGCCCATCCGGGGACCTCAATGTCCATCTCGTCAACATCATCTTCGTGAGGTATGGGCTCCTGGTCGGCAGGCGCCTCCACTCCTGCAGCGGCTGCCTGCTCTCTCTGCCTCGTCATGGCTTCTCTCTGTTCGCGAACCTCCCGCTTGCGCTCTGCCAGCCGCTTCTTGGTCTGGTCCTGGATAATCCACTGCTCGAACAATGATAGCAGATATCGCACACCGGTCCGCCAAGATGTGGTCAACAAGACCGCAAACTCAAAGAGAAACATGACCATCATGTTGGGACGAGCCTGTTGAATCACCGTCTTCAGGATATACCACAGCATGGCGCCGTCGTAAGCGAAGCTCAGCGCGAGCGAGAAGCTGAGTCGTGTATGGAAGAGTCGAGGGTTTGCTGGTGGTTGCTGCTCCAACACCTCAACGCGACCATCTCCAATCCAACCCCATATCTTTCCGCTGACGAGCGCGGCGAACATAACCAAGAACCACGGCCCAATCTCCTCCCGGAATATCGTCATAGCAAGGCACGTCTCTGTGATTGCAAACCAGGCGCGTTCGGTGAGTTGCTCGACTTCGACGGCGCGGAGGCGCCCAAAGCATACTCGGGTTAGGCTGTATAGGAAGCTGCTGTACAGCAGTAGTGTGAAGTTGACCAGGACCTTTCCAAGTCAGCGCGCAGTCACGGAAGCGTCTCAGCAGTACATACGATCAAGCAGAAGTTGCTCTGCGCAAGATATACCATGGCCGAGTAGAAGTTTGGCCGCTGGAGAAATGCTGAGAGCACGACCGAGCCCGCCAGGGCGGTCGACACCCCGGCGTACCAGCCCAATCGCATCTTCGGCATGGGTAGCAACGGTGTCTCGAAGGGGTAATGTATCGACAGCACAACTAAGGCTGCATGTCCATCTTCGAACTCTGGATACGCTGCGTTGCTGTCGTGAGCAATGAGTCGCGATGCTGTTGCCGGCGCAATCAAAGGACCTCTTGGTGAAGCCACGCTACACGTTGTCAGTGGATCCGCTTATTCCAGGATGACGTGCCGAAGGGTCGGAGATTGGCACGTGACGGCATTTGGTGCAGAGCTGGCTTGTGCCGCCGATTACCCGGGATATGGTATCGCATCACAGTCGAAACTTGTCCCAGTGCCGTTGATTCAAATGCAGATTGCCGTTTCTCTCTCTCTGAAAATGAGTTCGATTTTCAAGCGTCGGTTACCTGCAACTAATTTGAACCTAAGTAATTAGTAGTTGAGGTATGCTAGCTGCTAACCTTGTACAAGTGTTGCTGCTTGGTTGGTGCATGCCTACCCTGCACCAATCACAACATTGACTGATCAGGCCCTTTGCGCATTGACTAGAATTGGTGGAAGTTTGGATTCGGGGAATTCGCAAGCCTTTTTCTCTGCTTGACAACCACAGTGATGATCGGACAGAGGACATGCAGTTTAATAACGTTTCGCGACATGGGCTTTGAATCACAGTGCAAAGATAGCTGTGCCAATGTCAAAACTACATGTAGAGATCAGTCATGCCTCGTTCTCAGGGACCATCTCAGGGATAATCTCAGGGTCCTCGTGGCGTCAGTAAGGCGCACAAGCTTCAAGCCATTTTGCAAGTTCATTAATTAGGCCTCGACTTGTCAGAAAAAGGCCAAGACACCGGGAAATGCAGCGACTCGTCTTGTGAACAGTTGACGAGGGCGGCATTAATTTGGCGTTGAGTTACCCCACTGTTGCGGAAAGCCTTTCCGCCAACAAGCGAATGCGCAGCACACTAAGGCGAGGGTATCCTGGGGACACTACGGAGTATACGTACAAGTAATAGACTAGACTAGAGCTTACCGGGGCGGCAGGGCGCCACTCAATTCCCCCGGACGCTTCTGTCAACGCTAACTTAGCTTTGAGCAGTGGCTTCGTTTGGCTGCTTACCAGCAGCAGCATTCATGTTGAGACATGTCGAGACCAGGAGTCTGGAAGTGGCGCCCGGGGCCAGTCGAGAACGAAGACAAAGAGGTCTCACCTGAGACGTCCTCCACTTGGGCCTCTGATAAGCATGAAGCAAAGACGCCCAATAGGGGACGTGCAGTGCCGAAAGCTATCAGTGACCTCTGCCGGATACCTCACCATTCCATGGGGTCACTTCTCCACATTCATAGTACGTAAGTACGTAGTATTATGACTCGGCTCAACCACAATGGCACAAACTGGAACGATTGCAGCATCGAGGTCTTTTACGAATCTTCCGATAGAGCCAAAGGCCTTGCAGATAGCCCCTCAAAGACAGGTGGTGAAAGATTCCAGTCGATAGCATGCAACGTTATGAAACCTTACGCTGTGATCCAGAGCCGAGCCCCTGATCTATCTCAGATCTGGTGTTGCTCAGATGGTGGTTTGCACGCGCACGTGGGTGACTGAAATGGTGACAGGTCCAAACCTTGTCTGTATTGGGGAACAGATGATCCAGCCCAATGGCAAGGCTTATGTGCCAGTGATGAGATGCTACAAGCAGCTCTAGTTCATTCCAACACAGACAGTACATGTACTCGGCACGGGTGGCGTTTTGGGCTTGGGCCATCGCGACACCCATAACGCAAAGGCTGCAGTAGATTCGCGCCAGACTCGCCTGCTTTGGCGCCTATTGTTCCTGAGGTCGCCGATATACTCGATCGGAATGCGGCAAGTTCGTGGGCGGCAAATAGACCAGGGCTATCAGAGACATTATGGGCGTGGTCTGAATCAAGTATAAGGCTCCAGCGGCGCGCCGTACGTACTTGCCTTGATCAGTCCAATCATTAGGTACGACGACATGACACCCAGATCATTGCGCAGAGCAGGCTCCCCCGGCTACACTCCTACAACACAATCTTTGTCAGAGCTCTCTGATAAGATCATAACCAACTATGTGAGCCTCGGTGACACTTTTCAAGGGCCCGTTGGAACCAACAAAGCCTCGGAAGTCCTGGCTACGTACGTCGTACCGTCTCGTACGTATGGACTCTTGTTAAGCGCCAAGGCCGGCCGGCGCACAACTGCCATGATGGTTCGTCGATGTAGCGCGACCTCCTACATACATGTAGCTTCCGACACTTGCTGTTAATAGTTCTATTTTAGCGTGGACGACGCGGGAGACTCCACGACTTGTCATTGACCAGGGGTCAGAGTGTTCGGTGTTCGGCTCTCAAACTTCAAGTAAGAGCTCGTTGCTCAAGCCATCACTGGGAAAAATGATCGGCGAGATCAGACCCGGCACGGAAACCTGGGCTGTTAAAATGTCCGACGGGCTTGGGAATTCTGGAGATCGATCGAGCCGACTTGGATGGACCGGACACAATCGTCTAAGGCGAAGTAAGTAAGCATAGATGTAAGTACTAAGCACACCCTGCTCTACAACGTGACACGCCCGAGAAGCTAACAAGTAGCGTCACAATCTGACAGTGAGGACAGTTTCAAACGGGTCTAATAAAGTAGAACATGGACGAGACAAGACAGGATCAACTTGTGACATTCCACGACACCGTCCTGCACCTCCACGGGAGCAGCACTATCCGGAGTATCGAGCAGCGACTTGACATGATAGGCGGTCGATAGTCACAGCGGCGGTCCCGAGCTAGCCAATCGGGCAGTGGTACAGGGTCCAGGGCCGAAGATGCTTCCGTCTGCATGGCGGATCTGTGTGCCAATCGACTGATGTGCTGATGACAAGTGTGTGTGCGCCAGTCCAGTTGTCTGGGTCCATGGCGACTTGGAACCAGAGGGAGGCTGTTGTCTGCTGAGCATGATGCTGCTAACTATCAGTCACAGCATTCCGTATTAGAGACGGTGCAGTCCGTAGTCGACATTGCCTTCCACTCCGTTGTGGGAAACGTAAGCATACATTGATTAATCTCCGCGGCCCGTTCTTATTACGCCTCACCCGGTGCAGGCAGGCACAGAGCGACGATCATTCTGAATCGATCGTTGACTGGAGCCCGAAGATGCAAGCAGCGCACAGGCCCGTTGATTTTAGCGAGGAATTTGCAGACAGGCTGGCATATTGATTGCAATGTACCAATTTACCGTAGTCACCGGTATTGGGGGACGGAATGATCCTGTAGCACCAGGCGGCCGACGCGGAAGAGGTCGAAGAGGAGGGTATGTGGATTGGGGAAACCCGTCATCGCACTCAATGCCCAAAACAGCTTAGACAGGGGGGTATCAGCGGCAGATACCGCCTGTGACCCTCAGGGGTGCTAGGGTACAAGAACATGCATCTGCGAGCCTGCGACCACATATTGGCTGTAGGAGGACATGGATGCCTGGCAGTTGCGTGAAGGAGGGAGGGTGTGGGCAGAAGTCGGCCAGCCCTGCGGTTGTGAGTTGTGATCAAGCTCGTGTGCTCAGCCCTATGGCTCGTTGCCGGGAACTGACTGATGTGACGAATCCTTCTCCGTACGTACGAGCTGCACGAACGATCTATGCGTCAGAACGACGCAAATAGCTTGCCGCCCTGCCGTATGGTCATTGGCCTTGTATGCCCCTTGAGGCAGAACCGGCCGATATTATGACTGTACTACTACCTAGACTCGACGGACGTGACCCAACATCAGAGAAAGATGTTGGGCGCTTGGTAAGCTGGCTGTGGTCTGAGTCGGGAGGAGTGATCTGTCACATTTTCTAATGGTGGTCGCCGTCCCGATGTTGAAGCCCTACAGCCCCTACCCAAGAGACGGGATCCGAAGGACAAGCAAGATCTGTGGGAATGGGGATTGGGTCGTCCCATCATCGAGACTGTTGTGCACCGTCCGCAAATACGATCGCGACACCAACTGATTTTCTGCGCTCAAGGTTATGTTCGGACCTAAGCGATATGCTGTGCCTTTCCGTGCATAACACAAGAGACAGCTGCGGATACGTACGCACTATTCCGTTCAGTCACAGGGCTGAGGAATGACATAACTGTTCTTGTGACCAATGGTGGGACTGATGACGATGTTGGGACTATGATTATTAGTAGTGGCAGTAGCAGTAGCATCAGTGTTCGAGTTTCCAAATGCAGATGCCACCCTTGTGCGAATGATGAGAACTTGGCCACGATGGATGGACTGCACCGCCCTCCGACGGTGCTGTATCCGTAATGATCAAATGCTATCTTTATCCCTTTGTGCTGGCTGTGCACTGCACTGCACTGCACGCACGTGCGCGTCGCGCTACGGCGACTTGGATCCGTACCTTAGCGTGCTGTAATTTTGGCCTGTAGGCCTATGGGATCAAAAATTCCAGGACGGAAGCCTCCAGGCCCCAGTCGAGATTGACCGCTACGGCAGCGCCTGCATTTAACATCAATTGCCATCTGCTGAAAGCACCCAATCAGTGCATAGCAGGGCTCACCTCTTCATGACCTACGGAGTACGTACTCGACTAATGAGCCCACAACAGTTTCACCGTCACAAAAATGCAGGCATGGCACCACAATTGGGCAATTATTGTGATCCCACGGAAATGGCCACAATGGTCACGAGGCAACAGACAGCAGGTCGAGTTATCCACTGCGGAAGCCCAAGTACTAACAAATTTAACCATTCGACACATCATTACGAAAGTACTATACGTAAGGTACGTAGTAGTCAGTGAATTGTTCCGCACGATGATCATCAACAAACGGCGTGTTTTAGTTTCCCGCCTTGGAATTCTGGGGAAGTCGAGCCGTGACCTGTCAACCTTGCCAAGCGTCACGAGGCACTCTGGCAGCGGCTCCCGACGCCATCGCGCAAGCTTAATGGGGTCCACAGTCACTCGATTGGGCGGAAATGCCAAACGAGTCTTTTTCGACTGTTCAACCAAAGTGGTTCTGTTCCTCGGCGGGGGGGGTTCTAATTGTGAATGATATCTCCGCTGCGATCAAATGGTAATTGGGTCAGTCCGCCCCGTGAATTGCTCGGATCTGTCAGTCAGGATCTGGGACTTGTCACAGATAGGTACGTAATTGCATTTGATGTCAAGGTTTGGTCGACAGGCTTCAACAAATTGCTGTGGCAGACCCCTGCTGCTGCTTCACCCAACAGACGAGATGATAAGTGATGACTGCACGGTGAATATCGACTTGATTCGCAGCATCAGGCTCGCGCACGTTGTCTGGCTGCAGGGTCCAGACCCGCCGCGGCCGACGCTGCAGAACTCGAGACAATTATTACAAGTCCGAGGAAGTTGAGCCTAGCAGGGCGTCTACTTGTAGGAACGCATCATGGCACGAGGCGAGGTGCGAATTATAGAAGGCCAAGAAGCAACCTTGTAAATACTAGTACTTGACGTAATCACTAATAGTACTATACCTTATGAATCTTGATCAATCTCCTACCAACCGACACCAGTGAATCTTCCTCCATTTGTAATTGACGGAAACTCGAACTCCGGTGCCTTACAATCTGCGATGCCCACTCACCATTTGACTTCTTTTCCGCCTCTACGGATACTCCGTATTCAATGCTACTCTAGGCTTAAGCTACGTTTACTGTCCGTGCTTTCCAAACACGCATCCGAGCTACCGTGCTCACCAAGCAAACAATGATGACAAGGCCACTGGGCAGAGAAGCGACAGGCTGCAGCGGCAATGCGACGTACGTGCGTTTTGCGTTGTATGCGCGTAGTGCACGAATTCCCGAAAAGGGGATGGCGCCAGGCATCTAGATGGGGACCCGGGTCCGACGCAGGGGCCTCGGGCTCCAGTGAGGTTCAGGCGGGGCCAGTGGATGTCGGATTTTGCTGATCTGGACTGAACATTGGGCTAATTAGTCTCATGTCCCAACTGAACAGATGAATGAGAAGAAACGATGGGAAAAGAAAAGCATACGCGTGCCCCCTGTTCACGATCTGCCGAGCAGATGGTGCGAGGCTGCGAGCACGTCAATCGGTCAGGCTCCACTGCTATGCGCTGCCTTGATTCACCTTGCAATGGCCAGCAATCCGCGTAGGTCATCCATCATTTACTCCGTATTGACTCTTGAGCGGGTGAGGGATGCTCGAGCAAACGGACGATTTGTGGATATCGCGAGGCATTCTGGGTTCCAATTTTCTTTCCTAGGAGACAGACAAGGCCTTGCCGTAGGATCCATCTCGCGTCACTTGGTGGAGCAAACCCGATCTGATGAGATTGTGTATCATCATCATGGGGTCCGATTGCGGCAAGGCCCCTGTCTTGGTTGGCCCAAGCGTGCCGATGATGGTGATAGTTACAAAACAAAGGAAAGTTCGCAACAGACAGTCGTCGAAGGAGCTGGCGGCTGCGCCCGTGAGACTGAGGATGATGAGGGTGAGGGGGAGCAGCTTGGCTTCAAGACGTCCATCAGATCGAAGCTTTAGACATGGGCTCTGGGCCCTCTGGATCCTAGCTTGTGATGGTACGTATATTAGAACGTTCACCACGGATTACTGAAGGAACTGACAAATTGATACTCGGGCGTGGGAGTACATACCTTAAGAAGCACCATGTCCATAAGATCGTTCTGTTAAGACGGTGAGGGCCAGGGTGCGGTGATCACTGATCGCCTGCGCTGCCCACGGATACGGGTCTCAGATCCTTCCCTGACCTTGACCAGGCCACCAGTGCAACGACAATTGCCGTAATGCGTACGGACGATGAAGCCCGCGTCGTGACTGGTCTACCCACGTAGTATTTCTCGTGGATCTGGCCATTTGTTGATCTGACTCTCACAGTCTACAGAGAGCGGCTTGTCACTTGGCCTGGGGACCCCTGGTCAGCCCAGACACGGTGATGGGATGTGAACAAGGCCCTGTCCAGAAAAACATTCCAGTTATTGATCGTCGTCACTGCGGTACGCGAAGTTGTAGGTGCATGTAGACAGTACACGAGACACCTTCCGCTACTGGGGGCCTTGGACAGGAGGGGCGGGGCGGGGGATATCGCAATAAGGCGCCCAACTTGGCGGGTGGACAGCCCAGACCACGGCGCGGAACAGTTCCTCAATCATCGCATCTGCAAGTCTCCTCTACATCAGCCCACCACCAAGGGATCGCCGTGCTGCCGACACCCCCCCTGCGAGATGAGGTCGGCACGGTGAGTTGTTCACCCACCACCATATACGCAGGTCGCAGGTCGCACCTCACGCCCACACAGCTTGCTGCGCTCTGGTGATGAATCTGTTTTTGGCGTCGAGCATGCGGTGCGCGTCTCAAAACGGGGAGACACCAATGGCATCCAACAATTGGCAGCAATAGCCTCTCGGCGAGGCAGAAGCCTTCTTGGCGGCAAGCCCATCCGCCTGCCTCGTGGCATTCCTCCATCTCCAGCTGTTCACGAGGCTTCGCGCTACACCCCCTCGTCCCTACGCCCCTGGCCCCCTACCCCTTGACCCTTGGCCCTGGTGGTCTGCTCTGCCTTATTCTAGCCGGGAAAGCAAAGCTCTTCTTCCCCTAAAGCCCACACCAGAACTCCCGCTTCCAGCAGCCTGCCATAATACCGGCCGACTCACACATCATCTCTTTGTTATATCTTCTTTCCAGGCCCCCATTCTCCTGCCTCGAGGCTTACCGCGGGCTATACAACTAGGCACTTCCCATGTGCTTTGGCAACAATACCACCAAACTTTGGACTCAACTCAACCTCTGGGAATGAACACAGTTCCTCACGGTACGAGCACCCTAACTGAGTACTAGCCAGCCGTAGCCTACCCTGGCTGCGAGGCGGGCCTCTTCTACTCATTCCGACGCAAGACAAGCCTGACACTTTACCAGCGAGGTGACAGCACCTTCTCGCATCGACGACATGGCAACCTTGGCAGATCAGCCTTTCAACATTCACATCAACAACAACACAATGTTTCCCCGATATCCGGAGCCTCCACACAGCGCCAGTAGTGGCAGAAATTCGCCCATGTACACCATGCCCCTGACGAACACGACAGCAGCCTTTGAGCCCTTCCTCTACGCCAGTATTTACGAAGACAGCGAGATTCGAATGCCTGGTTCCAGCTTGTCGACTGCTTCAGCCAGCTCATCAAATGCCGGCTCCCCCATCCACAACGACTGGCGCCACCTGCCATCACACACAATGGGCATGGCTCAGCCCAGCATCGTCGGCAACGACTACGGCGAGTACATGGACATTGGTCACAACGGCTATGCCGGCGCGCAAATGGAGGACATGGCACCCTTTGATTTCACACAAGCCACCAAAGGCTTTGTAGGTGAGTTTTTGCTTGTTTCCTCTCTCTCTCTCTCTCTGTCAGTCCGACCTTCGGCTGTTTCCGATGCCGTGCCCGCGTTCCGCACTGCTCCGCCACACTGTGTCCCCGGCGCCAACGTCAAGCTGCATCTGAGACATTTGGGTGCCTGAGCCACAAGCGTGATGGCCGAAGTGTCGGTCTCCCTCCAGTCGCCATGTCTTCTTCAGAAGCACAATTCCCCAGCAGCGGCAGATACGACGGCGGCTCCACTCCCTGGCTCTCAGGCTCTTCTGCCCTCTTCTCATATTCATCGCGTCTCCCACTTCCACCCACAACAACATCGATAACAAAGTGCGTATGCTGACGAACCACCTGTGGTAGATCCCGCCATGATCCAACCCACCGACTCGGGCGCGCCCTTGGCACCTCAGTACCACCAGCCTCACCCACACCATCAATATCATCCCCACTCGTATCACCCGCAACATCAGCAACCACACTCTGCCTACCCGGTGTCGCCATCACTCTCGGGGTCCTCTCCCATGGCTCGCAACAGCAGTGCCTCCCCTTCTCTACTGCAGTCGACCGCTCCTTTCCACCAAGCTCCGTTCTCCCACAGTCCCTACGCCACATCTACAATCGACCCCATGGCGCGTCGCCCCAGCATGGCCAGCTTCGTGTCGCCAACCGCCGAGAACAGCGGCGACGAGGCCAAGGAGAAGCAGCGATGCACCTACCCTGATTGCGGAAAGGTCTTCAAGGACATCAAGGCGCACATGCTCACACACCAGACTGAGCGCCCTGAGAAGTGCCCCATCCAGACGTGTGAGTACCACTCCAAGGGGTTCGCGCGCAAGTACGACAAGAACCGACACACCTTGACGCACTACAAGGGAACCATGGTGTGCGGCTTCTGTCCCGGCTCTGGATCTCCCGCCGAAAAGTCCTTTAACCGCGCCGATGTCTTCAAAAGGCATCTGACGGCCGTGCACGGCGTGGAGCAAACCCCGCCGAACAGCCGCAAGAAGACACCGATCGGCAACAATAGTGGGAAGAAGCTCACCGGCTATGCCGCTGATGCCACGGGCAAATGTAGCACATGTTCCTCCACGTTTTCGAATGCTCAGGACTTTTATGAGCATTTGGACGACTGCGTGCTACGCATCGTGCAGCAGGAGGACCCAGCCGAGGCTGTGAACGCCCAGCTTCTTGGCGAGGTCCTCAACGACAAGGACGTGCTGAAGACCCTGGCTAAAAACAAGGTCAGCGATGACACGGACCCCATGCACGAGGACGGCGAGTCTGAACAGGACGGCGAGGGCGAGCTCGACACGGACGCCCAGGCCGCAGAGGACGACCCCAAGGTCTTTGGCGAGCACCGCTCTGACGCTGGCGTGCACAAGTCGCGTGGTCTCACACATTCGCGTGGTGGTGTGCCGGCCAAGGTCAAGTCGAAGGACCGCAAGCCCAAGCGCTACCCGACATCGTGGGGCGACAACTCGGCTCGCGCCCAGAACATGAAGAAGCGCGTCATGGCCTGCTTTGACGGTTCTCGACGATTGGTCAAGGATGATATGCTTCTCTCTGTGGAGCACGAGGTCCGTCTGAAGCTGGCAGATGGGAAGCACTACGTGACCGACTTGGACATGCAAACGCTCAAGCGTGCCGAGGGATTCCTCGGTGCCACAGACGAGGAGAGGGGACCGTGGATCGCGGATGATCCCACCGACGAGCAAATCGAGCAGATGCTCAAGCTCTAAAGGCGACTTCCCCCCTCGTCGTCCGACTCACAATCAACCAGCCCGCTTTCTCCGTACACGCATGAGAAGGGCAACATGGAAACACGAACCACTCGGTGCAATTGGAGTCATGAAGCATAGCAGGGCGTCTCTGGGATAAGCGATGGGAACATTTACGACATGGAACGATTGACGATGGCAGGCGTCCCCCCCTTGGACGGGGCCGATGCGCATCTTGAGTGATACCCCCCAAATATGTTATACTACTATTACTATGACGACTATATATCACAGAAAAAAAAGGACAGGACCCTAACTTGTTGGGAAAGATTTATACTACGGCTGTTTTTCTGCTGCGCGGAATGGAACGTACATAGACTCGACGAGTCGACCTAATGGTTTACAATGTGCAGATTAATACTGCGGGAGAGACTGTCATTTCGAGTGCTAAAGATGTCTTCCTGATCTGAAGAATAGCCAGTTCTTGTTCGAGCTTGGTTTGTCGCATCCATCAAATGTGCCAGGCAATCCTCCACAGTGTGAGGGGCGCCGAGATTTTCATCGCCCGTGGGTACCACCTTATGCATACTGACAACTCACTCATCCAAATTCCCAAGAAGGCCAGGCCACGCCGGGTACTGACACAAAAGCCATTATTTGTATTTCACACACCGGATATCAGCCTCTCGTGATCTGGTCAAAGTGCACTGGCTGTGATCTCAGCCCCGTTCCATTTGGCATTGTGGCCCAAGTCAGCTCGACTCACCACAGAAGCAACTCATCAAAGACCAGTACGACGACCAAGCAGAAGACGGGAGAGACGACCAAAAGCCCACCATGTCTCTCACAGCGCGCATCTCCTTCAAGCAAGCCGACAGCAGCCTGTCCCCGGAAGACATCCTCGCCCACTCCCTCGGCGTCATCTTCACCGACGACGTCACGTGCCAGCACTCATCCGAGGGCAACCTGCTCTACACGTCGCCGCATCTCCCGCACGATCTCGAGTTCTCCTTCACCGAGCCGGACAAGTGGGAGGAGAGGAAGCTGTTCAGCCACTACCTCTGGAACGCCAGCCTGCTCCTCGCCGAGCTCATGGAGGAGGTTGAAGAAGAAGAGGACGACGACAAGGGGAGCAGCGAGTCGCGGCGGCAACGGCGATGGGATGTACAGGGCAAGACGGTGGCGGAGGTCGGCGCCGGCACGGGACTGCCGAGTATCATGGCCGGACTCCTTGGTGCGCAGACCCTTCTCGTTACAGATTACCCGTCGCCCGGTGTCATACAGACGCTGAAGGAGAATGTGGCGCGCAATTTGAAGCCGGAGAATGCGCCGTCCCCCAGAAAGGAGGATGGAGAGGGGGCAGTGGCCAAGATCACCAGGGATGTGCAGGTCCTAGGGCATGAATGGGGCCAACTCGACGAGCTGGAGGCGCACAAGGGCCTGTACCACCGTGTGCTGGTCTGTGACTGTCTGTGGATGCCGTGGCAGCACGTGTCGCTCATGCAGTCGATAGCGCACCTGTTGGCCGCAGATGGCGGGGAGGCCTGGGTTGTCGGGGGGTTCCATACGGGCCGCGCCCAGATGAAGGGCTTCTTTGACGCGGAGACGCTCAAAGAGGAAGGGCTGGTGGTGGAACGTATCTGGGAGAGGGACTGCGATGGCGTGGAGAGAAGCTGGGATCCGGAGCGGGAAGAGGAGGAACAGCATGTCAGGAAGCGGTGGCTTGTGGTGGCTGTCATAAAAATGGTTCAGCAGTGAGTGAATGAACAAAGAAGAAAAAAAGTCATCGTCATCAGACGCTCTTAATTCTGCGCTTCTATACTGGGCCCTTTCTCATCCGTCTTGCACACGAGGTCGTAGCTTATCCGTAGATTCTCTGCGCCGCTGAGGGCTCGCGCGAGGGCCACCTCTCTTCTCTGCGTGACGAGTCGGCGTAGCGCGCCCACGAGGAAGCCGGCGACAACGTCCACGGACCAGTTGTCGGGTATCAGATCCAAAACATCGTCAATCTCAAACCAGCCGCCGAATCGTTCCAAAAGCCCGCCCGTCTGCTCCACACGGTCGCTCACATCTGCTATGGCGAGGAACTCATGAAGCACGGCGTGGAAGAGTCTCCTTTGCTCGTCGACAGAGGGCAGTGACTGCGCTCGTCCCCGGCCGGCTGGCGTCGAGAAGCTGTCGATGCTGGTCCCGCCGCGCAGACAGTACGCGACGGCAGTGTCGTAATCGCCCAGCTGGTGGACGAGTAGGCGCAATGCTTCCTTGTGGTTGCGCTCCCGGCCGGAGAGAATGATGGTTTCCGGCACAAGGAGATCTGCGGGGAGGCCAGCAATGCGCTTGCGGATGGCGCCTGCGTCGTAATCGTGCGCGCCACTGAGCAACTGCAAGAGTCGAAGTCGGCTGTGATAGACCTCATCATCTGGCGGCGCATTGTCTGTCAGAAAGTGTCGATAGGTTGGTTTCGGTGCGCTCAACGCGCGGTATGCGTCATACGTGGCCATGACAGCGTCTCTGGATTCGCGTGACTCTCCAAGGCCGTCGACCACGACATCCAGGTAGTACGATATCAAGTCGTTGACGTAGGCAGTGTGCCCTTTATCGAGAACAAGGTGTTCAAGGTAGTACTTGACGGCATTGGGGGCTTCCGCTTTGAGGAGCTCGACGACTTGGTTAGGTTCGAACCGCGCCGTCTTGCCGTTGTCTTCGGTGAAGACCTGGACGCCCAGCTTTGGGTTGCGGTTCGCCAGCCACACGCCGTATTCCTGTATGAGGGACTGGTTGCGAATCCTAGCGAGGTGCTTTCGCACGGTTTGCTCACCATCTTCGAATTCGTTTCCGTCGTCTCGCTCACCCTCGATGATGCGCTTCCATGTGCCGAGCACTTCAGCCGCCATCCTGCGGCTCTGATACAACCGGCTGAGCACGTAAAGGCGGTGGTATGATTCTAGCAGGTCAACCGCTCTGTCGAAGCATTCCACGCCCTTGTCGACGACCTCGTACAGCTCTCGCCTGACCGCGCTCCTGGCGCCCAGCGACGGCGGAGCGGACTTGTCCAGCTCGAGTAATACTAGCAACAGTGCTGCGTCGACAGTCCTGAATACCTCGCTTTCGTCGGATATACTGGGCAGCCCCTTCATCCCACGCCACGAGGTGAGGAAGCGTCGTAGGAAATGTAAAACGCGGGGGCTCAGTGTGCTAACAGCATCCTTCACAGTCCGCTCAAACTCGCTCGTGTGTCGGAATGTGTCAGCTGCTTGTTTCACACCCCCATAGATCCAGATGCCACGCCGACCCTCGATGATCTCGTTGCGTACTCCAGGGATCAGCGAGAGGACCACTCTGGGGTCAAGGCTGCCTTCAATCAGAACCTCCTCCAAGGCATTCATCTCGGTGTCGGTGAACTCTTCTCCCGAGGGCGTCCTGAGCAAACTCGTGAGCAACAGTAAGCTGACCTTTTGGCGCAGATAGCCAAAGGTTAAGAATTCGAGCTCAGAGCGTGCGTCACGTCGCCGCACAGCTCCAAGGACATTGACTACTGCCCTGCGATCGAGCTTTTGGGGATGCGCATAGCCTCCGGGGCACGCCGCCTCGAGAACAGAGTCGTACCTTACGACCAAGGGGTTGCGCACTGCCCACCAGATACGGCCGCCCGCCCACACAGCAAGCTTTGTCTCTGCCTTGGCTAAGCGTCGTGCAAAGTCCTCGCCTTCGGTCCTGCGACTCGACTCCCAGCCTTCAGGTAGCGAGTCGCCGTCCTGTGAGTCGTCTCTCTCGAACAGCTCCCTTTCCTTGGACAACCGCTCCATCGATGCGTCTGTCCGCGAGTCTGCACTTTTGAGCGACAACGTGGATGCGGCTGGGCTTTTTGAGAAGGGCGTGTACCTCCTTTGACACAGCCTGAGGACGATGTCTTCCAGATCCGTCTCCTCACTTCCGGTCAACGATTTGATTCCATAGACGGTGCCGCGCTCAACCCCCTCCGCCTCGAGCCAGTGACGGTCGCTCTCGGGCCGGTCTGCGTCGAGTGATTGAATGTCCAGGCCATGTCGCAATCCATCAGGAGTCTCCTTAGCTAACGATGCAATAACGAACCCGTCATCCTCCTCCTGTAGTGCAGAAGTCGATGCTGTCATGCCCGCTTGACCTCCGTCCACCACAACATCCTTGGGATATCGCGAAAAGTTGACAGGTGCCCGAGTCGGATCGCCGTCCAGATTCACAAACATGCCAATGCATGGCTCGATGGGGCTGGTTCCCCTGATGATGAGGAACTCCTCGGGCGTCGGGGAGGCAATATGTGGTTTCAAGAAGACCTGCTTCGGCTCAGGCCGAGGTGACGTTGTCTGGCTAGGCGTGCCTGTACGTGATGGAGGCTGCGGTAGTGGCTTGTCAACTGACGGAGACGCAACGGTATCTGATGGCGACGGCGAAGGCATGGGCAGCCCAGTGTCCGGCGCCTCAGCCTCTTCCGTTTCAGCAGGTCGATCGGGGCGAACGGTTTTGAGAATTGCACCACCAAGGCTTGTACTCCGACCATGGCCATGGGCAGAAGACGAGGGTCGGGCGTGGACCGACGAGTTACTCCTAGTAACGCCTCCAGCTGCCGCCACGGGCAGTGTCTGCGCCTGGCCAACCTCTGCGGGCGGGGGCGACTCATCTTGCGACGATATGCTCATGAGCGGGATGCGTAGTTGTCGCTCAACATCGAGCAGCGAGTATGACTTGGAGTCGGCGACGCAGGCAATAGAGTCTCGACGGACAGACAGGGTGCTTCCGGGCAGCGGTATATCGTGCGCAATACGCGGTGCCTCCCCGATACGAATGGCCTGGATCATCTTGTTCATGGAGACCAAGACGGTTTGCGCTGCGGGTTCTCCATTGTTCGCGTCCAAGGGCTCGTTCAAGTCGACTCCACCGATGAAATTGCAGTTTTTCAGCTTCTTGTTTCCGTAGGCGGGACTGAGCTCGGGCAACGAGTAGAATGTGACCGTCCAATTGCATCGTATGCAAGCCTTGCCGGCACGAGGGAGTATGAGGATCTGCTGCACACCAGGCAACGTGCCAGAGAAGCCACCTGACGGTTCGGCATAGTAGGGCTCGAGGCGTGAGGCGAGGATATATACAGGTCGCGCGCTACGGTCGTTGGGATCGGGTGGTATCTGGACAAAGTGCAAGAGCTCGGATGCGCTCGTGCCAACGTAGAGGTTGTGGTCGTAGTAGTCGACGCAATTGATTTTCACGTCGGATTGCGATCCGTCGGCTGATAAGGGAACATCGTCCAAAAGTGATTTCAGAACATATGGCCCATCATCGCGCTGGTGCAGCTGCCCTTGGCCCAGGGCACTCGACGTCATCACGGCGCGCTGAGAACGAGCTCATCGAGAGGCTGCAGGCATGATAGATTCGTAGTCGATTCGAGCTGCGGAAGAGCTTGAACTCGGGGGGTTCAAGAGCGCCCAAGTGACGATGGAAGCGGTCGCTAAGTTGGGAAGATGGGCGAGGAAACCTAGATAGACGGACGGGAAGCTTTTGGCGATGTTGCAGTGCCTGGACTAGGTACGTAAGTGAGCAGGCGGCGGCTGACACTGGCACCGAGTGGAGTGGGGCGCAGCTCCAAATCCGTCCAGGGGACTGACTCTGGGACGGGAACTTTCCGTGTCTGGCCAGGCACGCTCTCCAACACGTTGCATCTAACCAACTAGTATTTAACCTCGCTCATCTAACATCCAACATTGCCCGACGACGCTGCGCTGCACCGACCACTCGATGCTCGTGGGGATAGCCGACCGAGAGCAGCATGGCGGACCCAGTCATCTTTGCTGAGCAGGCTGCTGCTGAGGCGGCGGCAGCGGCTGCGCCCACCACGGACCAAACGACACCAACCTTTGAGGGCGAGAACAAGTTTCAACATGCTATTTCCATGTGGAGGAGTATGTCCATTGCGCCCCACGCTTGATCAGTGCTGACGCCAACAGATCTTGACCTGACCAGTCTTACCTCGAAGCTCGACAACACGGCCTCCGAAATCGTCACCTACCAACGCGACTCAACCGTACAACGAAAGGAACTCGCGCAAAAGACAAAGGACTTTCGCAAGCTTGACGATGAATCCAAACTGTCGGAAGTCAAGGGGTTGCTCAAAGGTAGGGATGCCCCCAATCTCCCAGCACCAGCCAAACTAACCCATGACCAGCGTACCAGGGCTTCATCGATGTCCTGACGAACCACTCGAAATCTGTCAACTCGGCCTTCCTCCAGGCGTACACTTCGCTGTCCGAAGTGACCGACCCGTACCCCTTGCTCGAAGCCTCGGTGGATGCTATGCTCATCTCCGAAGACACGATGCCCAAGCTTACCGAGGAAAACAAGCATCTGCAGGAGAACCTGGCCAAAGTCACCTCGCAGCTTGAGGAGACGGAGGCCAAGCTACAGAGCGAGCGCACTGCTCGCAAAGAAATCGAAGACAATCTAGACACGCGCGTCAAGGAGGTCGAGTCGTCATGGTCGGCTGTGCTAGAAGAGAAGAAGGACAATTGGGAGGCCAAGGAGAAGAGCCTGGAAGAGAAGGCCGAGAACCAGGAGCGGCTGTTGAACGAAATGCGCGCCAGCTACGAGGTCAACCAGCGATTGGGCAAGTCTGCCGGCGATCAGGATGCGCAGCGCAATCATGTGTCAAGTGCGGAAGTCGAAATGCTTCACTCTGACCTCGAGAGAACCAGCGCGAGGCTGGCGGAAGTCGAGGCGCGCAACGAACAAATGCGCCTCGAGCTCGCGCAGGCCAAATCATCTGCATCGACACAGCACGCCGAGACATCGCTGGAAGCCGACCCTGGATACATGCGCATGCGCTCCGAGAATTCTTCGTTGATCAGGAAGCTGGACAATGCCCGCGTAGAGCGGGAAGGGGTCAAGAGAGAGCTCGACACCAAGTTGCGATCCATTGAGAGGGAAGCCGCCCGACTTCGGGACGAAAAGGAGGCGCTCAAGGTCAAGGTGGAAAAGTGGAGCGACTATGACGAGGTCAAGCAGGAGCTCGAGGTTCTGAAGAGCATCGAGTTTGCTACTGGCGACGACGACGAAGCAACGGACAAGGCCGAGGCTGGTGCCAAGGGCGACACGCTCGAGACAATGCTGCTCGGCCGCAACAAGAAGCTGAGCGACGAAATGACCTTGCTGCGCGTGTCGTACCAAGAGCTGGAGTCTCAGCTCGCGGCGCTTCAAGAGGATCTATCACGAACAAATGCCGAGTTGGAAAAGTCGCGAAATCTGAATGAGAAGCTGGAGTCGGACTTGGAGAATATGCACGCCGAGGGCGCCAACGCCTTTCCCTCGGGAGCGTCCGTTGCAGGAACCTACATCTCGCGCGCGCCCCCTACCACAACACGCCGGGGAGGCCGATCATCGCCTACCTCGTCCATCATCAGCGGTCTTGATCCCAGATCTGGGCCCGGAGACCGGGAGCCTGTCGGCGGCGGGTCGGGCATCCTGCCCATGGTCACGGCGCAGCGCGATCGCTTCAAGAAGAGGAACGGGGAGCTCGAGAAGGAGCTGTCGGAGACGCATCGCTCGGTGCAGCAGTTGCGGCAGGAGATTGCTGCCCTGCAAAAGGACAATCTCAATCTGTACGAGAAGACGCGGTACGTGTCGACCTATAACCGTGGCGGCGCGACGGCTTCCTCCTCGTCCACGTACGCATCCAACCCCAACCCCTCGACGGTATCGATGGGCTCGACCAGTCCAGGTCCCGAGATGGATCGATACCGCAAGGCATACGAATCAAACCTCTCGCCTTTTGCGCAGTTTAGGGGGCGAGAGTCCGCCAGAGCATATCGTCGGATGAGCATCCCTGAGCGGGCCGTCTACTCCGTCACAAGGATGGTGCTCGCATCGCGGACCAGCAGAAATGTGTTTGCGGCGTACTGCGTGGCCCTGCACTTGCTCGTCTTCCTCACACTCTACTGGCTCGGCTCCGCGGATTTCGAGCAGCACGCGACCCAGCTAGGCAATACGGCTGCGGTTGCTGGCGTGGCCGCAGGCGCTGGTGCGGGTGCAGGCGGCACCGTAGGGGATGCGCCGGCCCAGCATGGTGACTGGAAGCAGGATGGATTTCAAGGGCGATAATTAGGCATGTGTACGATTGATCTCTGGCGGCTTGATGCATGTATACCAAGACATTTGTCCACGCGTGGTCGTTTCTGTCGGTGATCTGTATGCCAATGCGTTGGGTCGGTCCACGCGCCGGCCGCCTAGGCGACCGCGTTACACCAGCCAATCAGCGGGATCAGTCTAACATATAGTATGAATCTATTTTGGGATCCGGGAGCGTCTCGGGAATTAGGATGGCAGTCGGACTGGCTCACTCGTGGCTCCCGGCTCCCGACTTCCAAGATCCAGCTGAGTATTTGCGTGTGGGGGATCTGCTAGGCGCCGGGTGGCAGCCTCTGATAAGGAGCATGGCGGACGCATAGCATGACATGCGTTTGACAGCGCAAGATTCAATGCGGGCAGTCGTGCTATGTGTGGGTTGGGATTGACCGGTGTGTATCATGGTCGGTCAGGGTTTGGCGTTGGCCGAGATGACCATCATCACTTGGATAACCGAGTAAGTTCTCGACTCGTTCGAAGCCCCACGAAACGATCTAAACATTGACACAGAACCTTATCTATCTACAGACGACTATCCCTTGTTCTCTGAAGCCTTTCACCCCATCTCGAGGCCCCATCTCGAGGCCCCATCTCGAGGCCCCATCTCGAGGAGATCCATCCCGGCGCTTACACGGCGACCAATCATGGCACACGCTCGTTGATCGGCGGCTAGCATCTGCCAAATCTACGCGCAGACAGCTTCTCGCCCAATGAATCGATTAATGCAGCTCGCCGGGCGGCTGGTGAACTTGGCGCTTGGAGTCTATATCTGAGACGCAAGGCCCGTCCTCTCTTGCTGAATCTTCTGTGTTGCCACTGTCATCCTGACAAACTTGAGAAAGACTCTTTTCCCTTTTCTTGTCTTTTCTTTGTCTTTCCTACTCTCATCTTCTTTCCCCGTTCTGTTTCGACTTTGCTTCTCAACGTCTGTTCTTGTTGTTGCAGTTGTTATATCTTCGAGTACATACACAGTTCACAAGATGCGTTTCTCCGTGTTGGTCTGCTCGCTGGCCGGCGTGGCCTCTGCGGCTCCTACGTTTCCCGACTTCAACTTGAAGAACATTCTCAACCCAGACAACACACTCGAGGCCCTGTCAGATTACTTCAACACACTGGCCACGAGAGTGCAGTTGGCCAAGGTTCTCGCAGAGCCGCCTACATGCGACGTTTCCACTGCCAAGATACCCACTGGTAGGTTCACTCAACACTCGTCCAGCCAAAGAAACAGACATTGACACAGACAGCACCTGAGCCTCTACCAAGCCCTAGCGATGGCCTCGCGGTATCGCACGTGTTCGTCGGCCGCGGCACACAGAACTATACCTGCGGGGAGGACGCCTCGGAAGCGCCCAAGGCTGCTGGCGCACTGGCACACCTCTTCGACGTGGGCTGCATCGCGGCGCTCTACCCTGATCTTCTCACACGCCTGCCCTCCATGGCTGTGCAATTCAACTCAACAGAGCTCGGTGCCTCGCCTCTCACTGCCACCGGCATCCACTACTTCACGGATGCGACAACGCCGTACTTCAACCTCGGCGGGGAGGACGTGCACTGCAAGAAAGCCAATGACACTACGGCGCCAAGCACCGCGGCAGTGGGCCAGAAGGGCGAGAGTGCTGTGGCCTGGCTGAAGCTCGACGCTGCCCCAGGGGATTCCAGCAAGATCAGGGAAGTATACCGCGTGGACACGGCGGGAGGCAGTCCCCCTGCTACCTGCGAGGGCATGGACAAGACATTCGAAGTGCAATACTCAGCTACGTAAGTGGTCTCTCTGATCGTGAATGCATGGCAATGGGTGTACTGACTCTGATTAGCTACTGGTTCTTCGATGGCGATGAGGTTGACAAGAACAGCGAGTAGGGTAAGCAAAAGGTGGATTCGGCCACGCGGACTTTTTTACTTCTGTCTATTTCGCTGTGCTTGCCACGGCGGCCAGCATTCGTATATAATAAAATACCCTTGCCAGTTCAAGACATGAGCGTATGGCAAAATGCGTAAGCCATCGTGCGGTGTCGCGTTTTCGTGGAGCCCCTCGATGTGAATGATCACGTTGGGGCAAAACTGCGCAGATCGATCACTTGATCTCAGGATTTGGAGGCATAACTCTGCAAGAGCTCTCCTACCTTATGATCTTATCCTCCACTCCTCACTCATACACTTATCGCCTTGATTCACCGCGCACGCCATCAGTCCAATGCGGTCGCTTTCATCCCAAAGTTCACGATCGCGCCTCGGGTAGGCATTTAGCCCAAGGTGCCAGTGGTGAATGGGCCGGCCGTGGGATGCCGCGCCGGTGACCAAACGAAGTTTGCGCTTCCCCAACCACGACGACCACCACATCTCCTCTCGCCGCCTCGCTGACGTGAACCTTGTGCTCGCATTCTTCTCCATCACCAAATCATTCAAAATCCTTGTTTGACCAGTGACCTTTCGGTCTCTCAATCGGTTGTTGCACCACACTTTTCGCCAGCTGGCGACAGACGTCGCTGAGTCGCAGTCCCCCCACCATCACACATTGCATCATCGGCCCCCCGAGCGATTCGACCTCCCGCCCCGACTTTGACTGTCTTCTGCCACGCTGCAGTTGAGCATGACCCCTACGTCCTGCCTCCCGACCGAATGAAGAGACAGCGCGACCAAGATACAATGGACAATGGGCCAGCGGAGCCCAGACTGAGCCCTCTACCACACGGAGCTGCTGGTGGGGCGACCCATCAAGCAGCAGCCATGTCGATGTCCACCACGCCTGAAGCTTCAAACTACGAAAACGCGCCTGACGAGGACAACATGTCGCCGTTCCCTTCCGATGCGATGCCATCCCCGAGGAAGCGCTGCAAATTAGCGCACGATACACCGGCCGTGCCGCAGTGGCCTGCTAGCGAGATTCCCGTGGAGATATTCGAGATCATCGTGTCCCACCTCAGTCGCTCCGAGATCAGGTCATTGCGACTTGTGTGCCGGGAATTCGAGGACAAGGTATCGTCGTATTACTTCAGAAATGTCGTAGTGCCCTTCCGCTCCGAACTGTACGGCACTCTACCACCCGACGAGACAGGCGTGCGCCAGCATCCTTCCTCGGCTCTCTTTAGCAACGGCGGTGGCATCTTCAAGAATTTTGGCCACCACATACTTCGCTTTGCCCTTTCGTTGGAACTGGACGAAGACGCGCTGGCGTATCCACCGGTCAAGGCTGTGCAGGAAGCCTTGCCCGCGTTCTGGGGGATCTACCGATGGCCTCACCAGTCGTACAACCGCTACACCGACCTACAGAGCATCGAGCAGACAGCCGATGAAACCCAAAGCCTGAAGCATGCGTTGTGGTGTCTAACAAAAGTGACGAATTTGGGCTTGTGCTGCGATGCGGGCTTGGGCTTCCTCGTGCGTCCCGACACCGAGGCGCGGAGTCGTGCGATTTCACGGCCAGTCTTCACCAACCAGAACTGGCGTCGGGGATCTAGACAGTCTGCCGACAACGATGCGGACGGTGACATTGTCACGCTGACCGACTTCAATGGCCTGACGCGCTCCCGCAGCAAGCTGACGTCTGACTCGATGAATCACAAAGAGCGCATTCTCGAGCGGATGATGGAGGACGTGGGCTACAGAGGGCAAGAAGTCGACGAGGCCATCCAGATCCTTCTCGCAACAGAGCACCGGGATCTCGAGAGCCTTGAACTGGGCGATGACCATGCAGTGCCGGTGGCCGACGTGGGCTCCCAAACTGGCAACGCAACACCACCGCGCCCACGATACAGAACTATCTTCGACACCATGGCTGCGCCTGAATCCATTAGCACCGAAGACGTGCGCGCCGACGACTACCACGCTCATAGAACCCATCCACGGCCTCCCCTTATGCCTGCCGATCTGACTTTGGCTCAAAAGGAGCTGCTATTGGAGTTGGAGTGGGCTCACCGCGCCATGATCCAATCCTACTTTCTGGCCATTGCGGACCAAGGACCGCCGAATTTCCTTCAGAACCTGACGACCCTCACATTCGCCAGCATCCCCAGCTGCCAGGTCCAAATCCTCAACGACCCGAGGATCTGGCTGAACTTGCCCCAGGTATCGCAAGTGTCCCTCGGTGTCATTGCCGACTGGCGCCGCATCGTCAAACGATCCCCCGGATGCATCGACGATGTACCAGTCTCCCCCGTGGAGGCGGTAGGCAAGGTGTACAACCTGATCAACAACTGCATCGGCCCTCAGTCCAACATTGAAAGCCTGCACTTTGAGTGGATATGTGGCGGCGAGTTCGCCCCGAGCTCTGCCCAGCGCAACCAGTACGTGCTGCCGGCCCCTGTCGTCGACCGCCCTCGGGACCTAATGGTCAATGGGTTCGCCAAGGACAACCAAGGGGCGTTGCTGTTCCTGCCGCACATCAAGCATCTCTCCCTCAAGAATTGCTGGTTCACCCCCGACGCATTCCTGCAAACGATCCGTCGCATGGGCCTCGCCTCCCTGGAGAAGCTCGAGCTCGAGTCCGTGTCACTCTCAGGGCCCGTGACACCGGCCGACCAGCCACCACAGCACCCTCCCGTTCACATGCCGGTGCCAGTTGGTCTTTGGGCTCACAACCAGCCCCTGCCCGTCCACCACCCGGCTCAGAACAACGAGGGCACCGCGGAAGAAATAGGTATCGAGGGGGACCCTCGGTGGTTCACGTGGTCTCACATGGTAGGGCACTTTTGCAGCAACACCGCTGCTCGGGACGAGAGTGTCGACCGAGCCGAGCTTGCTGGACGACGGGCCCTGGCCGCGTCCGCACTGAGCAAGTATGTTCCTGACGCGATCCGGCTCGTCGAGGATGAGGGTCTCTATAAGATACGATGCGCCTCGTTCAAATCGTGCGGCTACATCTGGGTCAAGCATCCCAAGGTCAACACCAGGGTCCTCATGCCCCCTGATATCGCAGACGTCGCCCGTACGCCGACGTTGCCAGCGGCGCCGGCGCGGCTGGTGCTAGGCATGCAGAGCTGCAAGGATGGACTGGCTGGCCGCATCTTGCCCTATGTTAGCGAGGTCGACAAGGACATTTTGGAGAATGTGTATGGCATGAGGTTTGGATGGAGCGACGTGTACGATGGCAGCGTCATTGCGGATGCGATACTGGATGGCATTGACGCGCCCGGCGCGGCGCGGTTCACAGGCGTTGTCAATTCGCCTGGGCAGTAGTGAAGGGTCTGATGGCCTTTGGATTTGGTCTACCAATAGCGATTTACGGCAGAAGGCATGGTCACCACACCACGTCTTAGAGAGCGTTGGAATTATGATACCCCCATCCGCATACACCACATGACAGGACAAGACAAGTAAGAGCGCCATTCACGTAAAAGTTTCTCTTGTGAGGTCTTTCCATTGATCTAAACCTCGTCAAAGAAAGCCTCGCCATGTGCTGCTGTCCCTGGGAATGCCACCGTGTACACCAAAGAAAACAAAGGAGCTTCCTGTCCACCCGTTCGTTGTTTTGTTTTGTCTCGTGTCAAACGCCGTCCAGAATTTCGTGAGATGGATGAATGCAGAAGAAGTTTGGGGGGTGTTTTGTATATTCAGCATCTAAGCGGCGGTAATGGCCTTGCGGGTGCGGACACCACGCTGCCTCGAGTTGAGGCGGATCTCCTCGCGGCCGACAACCTGGTCCGACTTGTGGACGACCTCCTCGCCCTCGGTGAGGATGAGCTCAATGTGGCAGGGGCAGGACATGTAGGGGTTGATCTGGGTTGCGTTAGCGGGGCACAATGAGAGGCATTTCCGGATGGACATACACGACCGTGGGCACGGTATGTGCGGCGGCGCTGCTTGGGGGCCTGGTTGACCTGGATGTGCTTGACAATCAGGTTGCCAGTGTCGAGACCCTTGGCGTCGGCGTTGGCCTCGGCGTTCTTGAGGAGGCCGAGGATGAACTCGGCGCTCTTGACGGGCCAGCGGGCCTTGGAGACACCAAACTGTTTGCCTGTGCGCGGGACGTTAGTCCTCCTATTCAAAGATAGATCCTCGAAGCCTCCCCCCCCACAAGGGGAAGACTCCTCTACAGGCCCTTTGCGTCTCATGTGTATTCCGTACCTTGGGCGGTGCGGCCAGTCGAGCCGGCGTAGCGGCGCATGGGGACGGCCTCCTTGTGCTCCTGGACGTTCTCGAGGAAGGCGACGGCGCGCTGGAGCTTCCAGCCGTTGATGGCCTGGGCGGTCTCGCGGGTGTTCTTGAAGGAGACGCGGAGGTAGGCACCGCGGGCGCGGGCCGACTTGGCGGGCTCGATCTCGGTGGCGGCGTAGCGGACCTGCATGGGTGACGATGGTTAGCTGGGAGATGTTCTCGTCTCGAGGAAATTGGGGACCTGGTCGGTCACGGCGTGTTGCGGTCGATCGAACAGCTGGCGACAAAGATTCGTCCTTGTGGTGTAATCTTGTGATTTTTCGATGGACGTAGTTCGACAGCAATTCGATCGACCGCAACAGCCGCAGGGGCGTCGGCACTCACCATTGTGACGGTGCTGTGAGGTTAGTGGGGAGATGAGGTTCAACGAGTCGTCTTCGGCTGGCTGAGGTTTGAGAAATTGCAACTTTTGCCCAATAGTGGAGGGGACGCCAGGCGGGCGCACTGCAGATCCACTCTGGTGATTTGTTAGGGTTTGGGTGCCCTGCGACTGTTCAAGGCGCAATCGACGGCCACTTGGGCTGAAATGACCAAGGGAGGAATGAAAAAGAGAGTAGACTGGAATAATGTCAAATTGAGATTTTCCCTCGCTTCAATTGATCTTGTCGTTTCTGAAAGATGCTTTTGTGCTGATTCTCAATCGCACCCAGACGGTGGGCAGAATCACGTGCGTCTGCCCGACTGCTGACTAACAATCTCCATTCTTGGCGCCGGAAAAGGTTCGGTCTGATAAGCTCTTATCGGCTCCAAACGATGTGGAGACGGACGGCCAGCCATCCGCCTGCGACCAAAATTTTGAAGCTCTAAAAATTTCTTCCGTTCTGCGAGGCTACAGTATTAATCTTTCGGTCCCCCCCCCAATTCCACGTCAAGCCGCGTCCATTCGTGCGAACCGATCGATCGCATCGACAAGTGAGACGCCTGCATCTCACTATTACACTATTTCCATTCGTCTCTTGACAACCGGTTCTTGACAATGCCTCCTTTCGGACGTGGTGCTCCCCGCGGTGGTGGCGGCGCCCGAGGTGGTCGCGGAGGATTTGGCGACCGTGGAGGTCGCGGCGGTGCCCGTGGAGGCCGTGGAGGCTTCGGTGACCGTGGCGGTCGCGGTGGCTTCGGTGGTGGCCGTGGTCGTGGTACGCAATGACGGCCTTTGTTGCCAGCTCGATGCAAGAGAAAAGAAACTAATCGTGACTCCAGGCGTTGGCAAGCCCATGGGCCGTGGAGGACCTCGCGGAGGCGCTCGTGGTGGCCGCGGCGGCGGTGCCGGCCAGAGGGGCGGTGCCAAGGTCATCGTTGAGCCTCACCGTCACCCTGGTGTCTTCGTCGTGCGCGGCGGCAAGGAGGATGGTATCGCGACCCGCAACATCACCCCTGGCGAGTCTGTCTACGGCGAGAAGCGCGTGTCCGTCGACGAGGTCCAGACCAACGAGGACGGCAGCCAAACGACCACAAAGGTCGAGTACCGCACCTGGAACCCCTTCCGTAGCAAGCTCTGCGCTGCGATCGCTGGTGGTGCCGACGACATCTACATGAAGCCTGGCTCGCGCGTGCTGTACCTCGGTGGTGCCTCTGGTACCTCCGTGTCCCACGTTGCCGACCTTGTCGGTCCCACTGGTTTCGTCTACGCCGTCGAGTTCTCCTCGCGCTCCGGCCGTGATCTCGTCAGCATGGCCTCGAAGCGCACCAACGTCGTCCCCATTGTCGAGGACGCCCGTCAGCCCGCCCGCTACCGCATGGTGGTCCCCATGGTCGATGTCATCTTTGCCGATGTGGCCCAGCCTGACCAGGCCCGTATCGTTGCTATGAACGCCAACTGGTTCCTCAAGGCCGGCGGTGGCGTGTTGATCTCCATCAAGGCCAACTGTATCGACTCGACGGCCCCTGCTGCCGAGGTCTTTGCCGCCGAGGTCCAGAAGATGCGCGCAGACGGCATCAAGCCCAAGTTCCAGCTTACTCTGGGTGAGTCTTCCCAAACTTCAAATCCTACAGGAAGAGTCGGCTAACAAAACCAAGAACCCTTTGAGCGTGATCACTGTCTTGTCGCTGGCATCTTCAACCGCACACAAAAGTCGGCTTAGATTTTCTTTGATACCATGTTGGAGGAAGTATAAGACTATTGTTGGCTCAGCAAACGGGTCATTGATGACAATTGCTTTCGACTGGGGCGCGCTGGGCGTTTTACGGATTTGGGCATTTCCTGTCTTTTTGATGTGTATCTACAGGTATCTATGGCGTCCTGGACATCACCATATGATGTTTTACTCCATCTCTGTTTGCACCTTGATGTCACTGATGCTGTGCGTGCCGTTGTTCTAGACTACCTCGTGCATGAGAGACGGAACCCCCCCTCGGTACTCCCCGTCCGTCCGTCCGTCCGGACCAAACAATCAATCGCAAGAGCGCCGCGAGACCCTGTCGATGATGGCTGCATGCCATGCTATACCGATACCAAAAGAATCCATTCTGCATGAACCGTCGGGACTCGTACTCCGCCGAGAGGAGCAGTTTTCGTTCGAGGAGCTTTCGCGCCGTGTTCCCCACGTTCCTACGGGGTCCGCGAGGAATGGTGTCTGGGCGTCCGATGCATATTGGCCCGCAGACACAGATCAAGTGGATTTCCCATGCACCCATGCCTGTTTTAAGCTTTATCTCAGGCAGGAGGACAGTGGCCAGACGCCTCGAAAAGAGACAACCACTATCAAGATCCCCGATCACGCCCTAGAGGTGACAGACTGACTTTTCAATGACGCCCCTCCCCCAACAGAGGAGGTACAGCCGAGATCGGCCGATGAAGGATATTATTATAAAACCAGCAAGCATGCTCAACCCCTTCTTTGATGGGTTCAAGAATCAGCCAACCCCTCCTTTATCTCTATTGTTACCTGTTGATCGAGAGACATGGCCTCTAGCATCACCCCGCGAGCAGATGGCCATGACACACAAATGGAAGTGCTCCAGTGGCCAGAGCCTGTCTCGCGCCCAACAACCTCACGACGCTCGTCATGGTATGATGACCCGTCAGGCGAGGAGAACCTGACAAACGTCGCGAGCATCGAGCCGACTCCTCCGGACGGTGGCTATGGCTGGGTTGTCGCTGTCGGCTTGTTCCTGGTAAACACGCACACATGGGGCATCGCATCTGTGAGTGCTTCGCTGGTCTCGCACCCAGGCTATGGACCCATCGCTGACCATGTAGTAGGCCTGGGCCGTCATCATGGCATATTATCTCCGCAGCCACGACATTGAGGGCTCCCATCTTGAGTTTGGCATCATAGGGGGCCTTGCCATCTCGCAGGCCCTCATGATCTCCCCGCTCGTGGGCACGGTGCGCAAGTATCTCGGTTCACGGGCGACGTCACTTCTGGGATCTGTTTTGATCTTTGTGGCGTTGCTCACATCGTCCTTTGCGACCCAGGTGTGGCACCTGTTCCTCAGCCAAGGGTTCTGCTTCGGCTGGGGCATGGGTCTTTGCTATGTCACCGCCTCACAGCTCCTGCCACCGTGGTTCACCAGGAAGAGGAGTCTTGCCGTTGGCCTGGCTACCTCGGGAACGGGCATTGGCGGTCTCATCTACAGTCTGGCTGCGCACGGCATCCTGGAACAGTTGGGCATAGAGTGGACGTGGCGTATCCTCGCCTTTTGCTCCCTTGCCGGCAACGGCGTTGCTGCCATGCTCATGAGGGAATGGGGAGGACGGTCGCACACCTTCCCGGAGGAATTCAAGTTCAACCCAAGGGATTTTGGACGCGTCGAGCTCCTCCTCATCATCGTCTGGGGCATCTCGACCGAGCTGGGGTTTATCATCCTGCTGTACTCGCTGCCAGTCTACGCCAACTCCATTGGTCTCAGCGCCCAGCAGGGCACTGTCGCCAACGCCCTCTTCAACGTCGGCTTGGCCGTCGGCCGACCTGTCCTGGGATGGTTCAGCGATGTCTTTGGCCGCATCAACATGGCGGGATTGACGGCGTTGCTGACCTCCGTCTTTTGCTTCGCGCTGTGGATGCCCTCTGCATCCTACGCCCCGCTGCTTGTCTTCTCCCTCCTTGCAGGCTCGCTCTGCGGTACTTTCTGGGCGGCGGTCACACCGGTGCTTGCCGAGGTGGTTGGCATCCGTAAGCTCACCAGCACAATCGGCGTTGTCATGATCGCCATGGTAGCACCAGCGACATTTGCTGAGCCTATTGCGTTCGCCATGGCCGGGGAGACCACCTCTTTCACATCGGCGCAGCTTTTCGTGAGCTTCATGTTCTTGCTCGGCTCCCTGAGCGTGTGGTGCCTTCGAAGCTGGAAGATCTTCTTTGACGCGGAGGCTGAGGCATCAAGCGCCAGCGGCGTGCAGAGGACATGCGGAAGCAGGCACAACTGCTGGTTCAGGTGGTTGACGCCACGGCTTTTGTTCAGCTTTGGAAGGGTCTGATGATTGTTTACATCAGTCCACAGTCACTGTATATGGGCCTCGCTCCTGGGGGAGGGAGGAAAGTCTCAAGGTCTACGCTGTTCGGTCCCGCCTGTTTCTTATTTAATAGCAAGCGTTTGCTTTCAATGTTCTTTTTAGTCTAGCGATTTGGAGGACTTCGGCATTTGGTATTAATTTGGGCTAAACGAATAATGATAAGGCATTAATCAGGGGCCCTTTACAGCCTGTGGGCACTCGCATCGGTGTCAAGACCCCGTCAACCACTTGCAGCACCTGCAGCCTCCGGCAAGGCATTGCGATTCTATACCAATTGAAGACACGCCCAGCGCCCATTCTGTACAACATGCAACACAAAATACAATTTTTAGTTCAGTTCGTTGTGTATGATATCTCTGAAACACAAGAAACCCTGCTGGTCCCTAGGCCAAGTGCTTAGTGGACCCTGTGAGGCTGTGAATAATGTCATCGCCACCACTTTGGAGACCCGTCCTCTCCCGAGTCCCGACACGAAGTTTCTTTCGGCACTCGAGATCTGGGGAACCATCCCAGGAGCGCAGATGCTGCCCGTGCAACTTGAAATGTGTGCAGCCCGGATCATCTTCCACCTCGAGCACGATTGAACCAAGAACCGTGCCATCGCTGCCATGATGCGCAGCCATCTGCTCCTGGCAGCCTGGGGCGCGGTGGCTGCCGTGTCAGGGGCGTACATCCAAACCCAGGACTGCGCTGGCGGCTACACCAACCGAGGAATGAAAGCCTTTATTCGCGGGTACGAGGCTGGCCATATGCAGCTTCAACTTGACATTGCCGACAACGTGGAGCGGAACGACCAATGCGAGACAGAGCAGCATGAGAAGAATGCAACAGCGAACCTGAAGCTGTTGACTCTGGGCAGCGCCCATGTGTACGACGCAATCTCATCCAACTACACATGCGAGGGCGGTGTCTGGGGGTACTATGAGTTCGACTTGAACGTCGCCCAGCCCCATCTCATTGACACATATCTGCTCAGTGTCGAGCTGCGCAACTCGGACGACGAGTTACTGGGCTGTATCGATGCGCACTTGACGCCAGCGCTCCCTGGTCCCTTTGTCCGGGCCATCACATGGGCGCCCATCTGCATCTTCGCGCTCATCGTCCTCGTTGCCCTGTGGCGGGAGACCGCGAACCTGTCACTCGACAGCAGTGAAGATCTGGGTCCGTCGACGAGGGACACTTCTCATGGCCACGTCACACGTGTCGCTGACTATCTGTCCTACCTCCAATTCATCTTCTTCTCGGCCGCGCTGAGTCTTCACTATCCAGGCTTCTTGCAACCTGTCGCCAGTCGCACCAGCTGGTCCACGCTCATGTTTCCCGCCGGGATGGTGCAGAGAAAGAGCTGGTATCCAGGAGTTGCGGATGGCATCTACGAGACCAATGGAACCATGACGGGGTCCGCTGGCTTGGAGGTCGTGACCCAGGTGGTCGGCGGCGCCGTCACCTTTGACAATTGGCTGAACATTGTTTCGCTAGCTACCTTGATCTTCTTTGCTTTGTTCGTGCTTGTGTACCTGGGTGTCAAGCTGACATGGTCGAGAGACTGGTTTCGATCAACCCACTCGTTGAGTTTCCGTCACGGTGGTGATCAACAGGCTGACCTCACGGCTATTCTGTGGACCGCTGTTCGCCTGTTCTGTGCGTACCTACTTGTTCCGCTGGTGGCGTGGACAACCTATCAGCTGGTTCACGTCGGAAACATCCCCATCTACTACTCCGTGGCCGCCTCTGCCGTTGTCTGCGCCCTGGTCCTCCTCGTTTGGTGGGCAACGTTCTATGGAGATCCGCGCAACATGGGCTATCTGCTGGTCGACGATTCGAAGAACCATGGCAACGCGTCGAGTTCGTCGCGCATGCGAAGCTACTACTCAACTGGCGTCTATGTCATGCTTTTTCTCAGAGGCATCGCCCACGGGAGTCTGGAATTACACGGTACGGCGCAGCTATTCATTCTGTTGGGGTCAGAAGTCTGCCAATTGGCCTTGCAGGCGATCATCTTGAGGACAACGCCGTTCTCGAGTCGCTCGGGGGCGATGCCACTCCTTCGACTGGCGATCTTGGCTCTCCAAAGTGCTTTCCTGCCACATGTAGCCGCGCATGGGCCACGTATGGCTGTTGGCTATGTTATTCTGGCCATACATGCAGTGGTGATTATGGTGCTTTTCTTTACCCCGGCAGTACTTGACCTTGGTGCTCTGGCACGTGGCGTTTGCCTCAGCGGAGTCAATACGGAAGCCCATGAGTATGGCGGAGGCCGGCCCCAGGTATACGGTCTTCGTCAGCTCAGGCAACGTCCAACTAATCCTTCGAGCCCCCGACTGCCTGCACTGGATGAGCAATCTGACGTAATGCACGGCCAGTTCTCTGCGTCTCTTCCCCGCCTGGCGTCACCAACATCTTATCGAGCTGGCTCGCCATTGTCAGACGCTGACCAGCAGTCGTTCTTCCGACCACCGCGCACTCCATCAGCCATGCTGCCCTCCCGCTTGTCCTCATCGACCTGGCAACCCGCGACCAGCAGTGAGTCGTCGAGATCATCTGATGGACGCCATATTATCGGGAGTAGAGCAAGCCCAAGTTTGATACGTAGTAGTAGCAGTGGTGACGACAGCAGTGGCACGCATGGCGGAGAGAGCAGCGAATCGCGTTGTGAGCCTTCCCCCCTGGATCCCAACGTGGACTACTCTGTGCGGGAGGCGGACCAGTACTATACCAATCCGCGAAAATTATCTTTCGGCCAAGCACAGCCCGAGGGAAAGCGGAAAGCACTGGATAAGATGTGGTTTATTTGGTCAAAGAGATAGAAATCTCTTATGAATATAGAGCATAGTTATTAATCAAATCCTACACAAAAGAACGCTATACGTAGGAACGTGCATGATGCACAACACTGAATTCCCACTTGAGGCGCAGGTACGCTTCCGGTGCGCCAATAGCACCGCGTTCTGCATGCCGTTTCAGTCCAGCGCTCATCGTTTCTCACGGGGGAGGAGACAATATGGACTGATTGCACTGTGTGCCCCCAATCTTATCAGATCAAACAAGGTGTCGGAAATGACCTCTTCCGCTGACTCAGTGGAGTGAGCTCAGCGAAGCTTTGCGTGGTCCTGGCGGCAGATTCCCAATGAAAAGGATCTAATCAGATCTTTGCTCTGGGAAATTGCGCGATCGCCCAAGCCACGGTGAGCCGTAAGACCAATCATTGAAGCCAATCGCGGATCCGGGCACTGTTTGCGGCACAATCAATCATCAATGGTTCCAGTCTCCACACCTCAGTGGTCGCCGCTGAGATGATCTGATAAGATTAGGGGGGTTGGAAAAAATCTGCAAGGCCCTTGTCTCACGCTGCACGGTGCGCGCAGCTGCGAATGGGTGCCCTTTGCTTCGTGGAGTCTGCTAGGGCCAGGCATCCTCATTCCAGGAATCCGGAACCCGAATTATCAATTACTTCGGGGCGCATGATAATGATCCATTGATACGCAGCAATGAGCTGGCACGTGCAGCTTGGGAACTTATTAGGGAGCTCCGTTACAGGAGGCTTTCATCTGGTTGTGTACCCGTGGGCATCCGGCCGCCGCTAGCGTCTGCGAAGCAGCGACAACGGAGGCGGGGTTCCAGTACTATGTATCAGTGATACAAAACGAGGCAAATGGAGGAGAGTCATGACCAAGGTAATAAACGATTGCCCTGATCACACGACGGAGAGCGAGGGGCGCACATTGATTTGCAACGGTGATGTTGATATCGTAAGGCTTCGTGATGATGGTGTCATGCTTGGCTAATGATTTGCCCACAGTGTCATTCAACTCATCAACCCCCCCAATTGATGGGCGCCAGGCGCTGATTGATAACGGCGGACGCCGGGTGTGTATAGCGACAGACACTGTGACATGCACTGTGAAGGGTGGACCCTCACGGCGTCATCTCAGCCACAGTGCGCCAATCAGGTGACGTTTTCCATCGCCTGGAACTCGCCTCGCTCGCGTACACTTGGATCCAGGAAAAATTATCGGAGCACGCCTCGACAGCGAACAAAGTCTCAGCAACAATCAGTTGATAATCAAATTCGAGACAGAAAGAGGGATAGTGCTGCGAATTAAAAGTTGCGTGGTCCGGCTTGGGCAAAGCCGAGCGCTTGGACCAAGAAAGTTAGCCCACAAGATGAAATTATAATCAGATCATCGTTGACGCGCCCCAAAAGAAAAAGCCACTGGGGCCGAGGGTATCCAACACAGTGCGCACTCAGCCCCCCGGGCTCGGCTCCCACCTGCAGGCTCCACGTACTTTTCCAAGGCTCATCGAATCTGTGCGCCCACGTTTCCTCCACCACGACCATTTTCCTTCCTCAAGACACCACCAACGCGTTCGCTACTTATACATTTGAGAACCTGATCACCTGGATGCTCCCGTCCTACAGAGCACCTCTCAATTCTCTTTCTACCACGCTCCGAACTACGCTCCAAGTCTACCACCAGCCGACGGTTCGCCTCTCCCGATTCCACCCGCTGCCTCTGTTGCCACCAACGATATCCCAAGCAGCTCCCTCTACCACCATCTACACACCCATCATGGCCCAGGCGGCCCCAATTCAGGACGTCGTGTCGTCGACGACCGATTGCATACCGCAGGAGCCTTCCTTGCCCTCCATCGCTCCTTCTCTCACATACTCGGACGAGTCCGACGACCAAGATGAATTGGTCCAGGCCCCAGAAGAGCGCACGCGCCAGCGCCGGGCATCCACACGGCTCATTGCCCAGAGCGCACGCGACATTCAACGCATCACCGGCGAGACGACGGCCGAGTTTGTGCAGAGGTGCTGCGGCGGTGGTTGCTGCCTGACTGGCGGCCGAGCCGTTGGTCTCGACTACGAGGATGTGCCCTTGCCCGACAACGAGGCCTTCCGCTCCTTGCAGCTCAAGATCAACCAGGTCCCCACAAAGATGACAAAGGTGACAGAGCTGCCGGGGAAGATTGTCTCTTTCAGCCCCATCCGTAAGGATCCCGCGGCGTCACCAGACTCAGCCATCTCCCTGGGCGAGCAGCCCACCGAGTCTGTCGACACATCCGTCGAACCTCCTCGCTTCGTGCAACCGCATCCTCCGCACCACGTGGTCCCGGTCAAGATTCACAACGCACGCGAGCTGACGCGCGCCGGCGCCGAGAAGCGCACATATCACTTTGATCTCGACATTACCGACTACCCGGACGAGGACGGCACAGACTTCAAGGTCGGGGGTGCCATTGGCGTCTCGGCACCCAACGACGACGCGATCGTCGAAGAGGTCCTCGACGCCCTCATGGTGCCCAAGTTCCAGCGCGACAAGCCCGTGCTCATCAAGACCACCAAGGGCCGCTGGCCCACGGTCTGGGGCGACGACCGGGCCCGCGAGCTGGTGACCACCCGTCGCGACCTCCTCACCTGGTGTGTCGACCTGCAGTCCTATCCACCTACCAAGCCCATTCTGCGTCTCCTCGCCGAGCACGCGTCGGCCGACAATGAGAAGAAGATCCTCACCTACCTCTGCTCGGCGCAAGGACAGGGTGCCTTCTGCGACCTCCGCACCGGTCCTCACATTACCGTCTCGCAGCTCCTGCACGCCTTCCCCAGCTCGCACCCCCCTCTGGGCGACTTCTTGTCCGTCCTCCAGCCTCTCATGCCTCGCTTCTACTCGCTCTCCAACGACCCCCACGATGCCTACCAGACACGCGACAACAGGCAGCACCGCCTCGTCGAGATTGCCGTGACGGTCCATGAGACGACAGACTGGCAGCACGGCAGCCGGACGGGTGTTGGGTCTGGCTTCTTTGAGCGCCAGGCCCAAAAGTGGCTCAAGGCACGCGCGGCCGGCGTCAAGGAACCCGAGGTCTACATCCCCATGTTCAAGGGCCTCATGGCGAACCCGCTGGCCAAGCAGTTCAACGCGGACGGACCGATGCTGCTCATCGGCGCGGGCGTGGGCATCGCGCCCTTCCGCGGGTTCGTGCAGCGACGCCTCAAGCAGGCCAACTGCGCCAACAAGGTCTGGGTGCTGCAGGGGATCCGCGACTCGCTCGTGGACGAGATCTACAGCGGCGAGTGGGGCGTGCACGAGGACGAGGTGAAGCGCGTCGTCCAGTCCCGTCGTGGTGAGGGGCGGTACGTGCAAGAAGAAGTGCTGAACCAGGCCGACCTGGTCTGGTACATTGTCAACGCCGTGGATGGCCGCGTCTTTGTCTGCGGCTCCAGCAAGGGCATGGGTGAGGGGGTCGAGGATGCCCTCGTTGACGTGGCCATGCGCAAGGGTAACCTCGAGCGCGAGGAGGCGCGCAACTTTTGGGCGCTGAAGAAGGAGGCTGGGCAGTACATTGCTGAGACCTGGTAAATTCTCCTGTCTCTGTGTCGTTCACTCCTGTCTCGCATCATTTCCCTTTCACAAGTCCCAGCATTAGAGTACTATAGCGGCGCAAGCATATGTCGGGAGCAATCGCATCATTGGATGGGGCGTCTGGCGTGGTCATTACCATAGGGATCCGGATGAGATCAATTGCAAATTTATGTGTACCCCAGTGCGTTGTAGTGCAGACATTAATCTGCAGTCTTGTGCTCAAACTTGAACATTCAACGTGAACCAAGTGCCTGGCAAGTCTATGTGGGCCATGCTCTTAGATGCTTCCGAGGTTACCCTATGTATACTAAGCACGACACAAGACAGCTGCTATTAACTCAAAGTAGACTAGGGCGATTGGATTGATCATCATTGATCAGTCTGGCTCGCGCTTGTGGGCTCATGGCCGGGTTTGTCATCGTCGCGCGCGGCTACCCAGAAGAGAAATACGAAACCGAAAAAAAAAAAAATCACGGACGTCTGGATACGGCTGGATTGGCATCGAACGGTAGGCCTGATTGGTCCGTTTCCTCAGTCTAGTCGCTGAATTGAAGCCAATAAAGTTCTCACTGCATGCGTCATGACAGCTTCCTTCGCCTTCGTCATGTAAGTCGCTATGAAGGACGACTCTCGTTCAAGGAGTGAGACCCTGTGTGCCAGAATGACGAAGGAATAGGCGTAATCTCATGAGGCATTGCCGTCTAGCTGGTCGGATCTCACCAAGTTACCTACACGTAAGTGCATGTACTCACTGTCCTCGTGGTCTTCTTCGGGGATCCACGAGTCGAGGCTCCACACGTGGGGACCGATTGCAACATCCTGTCCTGCGGAGCTTTCATGAGGATTCATCATCTCTGTCTAAGCAACAGGTTAGCGGGGCATGGAAGCGGGATGGAAGTGGGATAGAAGTGGGATGAATACTTTTCGATGATACGGAGGGAACATATAAGAGAGCTCTGGTCTGGCGCCCCCATTATACATCACAGCCTCATCAACTCGCCCATCTCTCTACCAAATACACATCAACTCACAGACAGACATTCTTCTCTCGTCCCTCCACAGCAAACCGTCACCATGTCCAAGGTCTCCGCCGACGCCCTCATCCAGCTCGCCAAGCAGCGACGCACCATCTACCCTCTCACCAAGAACCTGCCCATCTCCACCGCCCGCGTCCAGGAGATTGTCAACGAGCTGACCCTGCACACCCCCTCCTCCTTCAACTCCCAGTCCAACCGCGTCGTCGTCCTCTTTGGCGCCGAGCACGAGAAGCTCTGGGACTTTGCCACCCAGCGCCTCAAGGCCATCGTCCCCGAGGAGAACTGGAAGCCCACCGGCGACAAGATGGCCATGTTCCGCGCCGCCGCCGGCACCGTCCTCTTCTTCAGCGACAACACCACCGTCAACGAGTACAAGGGCAAGTTCCCGGCCTTCTCCGACAAGTTCCCCATCTGGGCCTCCCAGAGCCTCGCCATGCAGCAGTACCTCACCTGGACCGCCCTCGAGCTCGAGGGTGCCGGTGCGAACCTGCAGCACTACAACCCCCTCATCGACGGCGACGTCCAGAACGAGTGGAACGTCCCCGCCGACTGGATCCTCGACGCCCAGCTCGTCTTTGGCGGCAAGGGTGGTGAGGCCGGCGAGAAGGCCTTCAAGCCTGTTGAGGAGCGCGTCAAGGTCTTTGGCGCTTAGATCCTCGATGGCATGACTTGAAACCTTGATTTTTTCTCTGAGCATAGCATGGCAATATGATGTACATAGATCCTAGACCTACCACGATTAGACGAACAAAAAAACAAAAATGACTAAATAATCCAACTCTGTTGTACGTGTAGTGAGATGCTTGTTTAGAATGTATACAGCTGTAATAGAACACTTGCGGTGAGAGAGAGCTGTCACTCCTCCAACACCTTTCCAAGGGCCTGGCCCATCTTCACCCTCTGCCCCTTTTGCACCATCCACTCCCAGCCCTTCTTGCTCCCCGCAGCCCCCTCCGACGGCGCCTCGAACACAAGGACAATGGTGCTCCCCAGCTGGAAGCCACCCATCTCGTCACCTCGCCCCAGCGCGTGTCCGCCCAGGACGCGGCTCGCGCCCTCGTACGAGGCCTCGGCAAAGCCAAGGTACGGTTCGCCGCGCTTCGCAGCCTCTTCTGCCGCGCGGTCGGCTGCCGTGTCCGTCAGGAGACTGTTGGTCCGCAGCTCGCGATCAAAGTTGATCACAATGGAACCCACATTGGTGGCTCCCACGGGGATGTACGAGAAGAAACCCCACCGCCAGCGTCCGAGCAGGACGACACGCTCGTTCAGCGTGAAGAGACCGGGTAGTGTGCGCTGGAGGTACGGTGACACGCTGTACAGCTCGCCAGCAAAGTGTCGGCGACGCTCGACGACCCAGTTGGTGGGGCTGTGGAAGCGGTGGTAGTCACCTGGTGCGAGATACACGACGGCGTAGTAGAGAGATGTGGTCTTGTCCGGGGACAGCATGTCGTACCAGGGCCGCTCGCCGAGAGCCAGCTCGGCGCCGACTTCAGAGACAGTGCTTGGCTTGGTTCCGAGAGACATGTCCTCCACAGTCTGGCCCTCACCTGAACCGCTCAGCAGGTCAGGCAGCTTGTAGGGGATACCGTTGATCTCAGCGAACTTTTCGTCGCGCTTGATGACCTCTTCCTGAGCAGAAGCCTCACGGGAAGCCCTGGCAGCGTCCTCTGGTGTGACGCCGTTGGCTTCGCCATTGATGCTAGGGGTGGGTGTCCGCTTGCCCAAAAGCGCGTCGATACTGTATGTCACGCCTTTGACCTGCTCAATATCTCCACCCTCAATCTGGCCGAATTGGAGAACGCGCCCGTCAGCGGGCGAGAGAAGCATGTGCGGATCCGGGTGTAGAGGACGAGAGCCGGGCTTGAGTTTGCGGAAGAAGAAGGCAGCGAGGTTGGGGTATGTGTGCAGATCCGGCTCAGCGACCTCGTTGAGGCTGTCCATAGTGTCAGCGTTTTGCTCCCTCTTCCTTTCTTGTCCCATCTCGAGAGAGGGAACCACTTACTCGACGCCAAAGACGAAACTGTACAGCTTGAAACCGGGCACGCGCAGGTAGTACGGTATGTTGAGCTCGTTGAAGCGGCCCCAGAGTCTGGAGATGGCCTTCAATGGCAGCGTCGACATGACCTGCACCTGCCACGGTCCCTCCAGCTTGACCCTCGGCCGTTTCTGCGGGCGCTCCCCATTCTCAATCTCTTCTTGCTTCTGCTTCTCGCGCGCCTGGACTTTGTAGAACTGCACCAGGCCCAGAAATCCAACGCCCAGTCCCACGGGTATGGGATACCATGTGACCTTGCTGTTTCTCAAGGCCTCGCCGAGACGCTGCGAGAAGCGCGGGCGCCTGGGCCCGTTGTTCGAGGAGAATGGTCGGCGAGTCGCTGTCGAGGACCGTGTCGTGGATCGCGCGCAGTGGGTGCAGGATCGGGGCACTGCTGTGCGCCGAGTGACCTGGCCGAGGCCAACACCTATGGACGCCATTCTCGTCGAGGTGCTGGAACGGTTGTCGTCGCGTGGCCTGTACTAGGGTTGGCTGGGGCTGGAGAAAGACGAAAGTGAGGGTCTTCGTGTGGAGAACGGGATGTACGTAGTAGCAGAAGAAACGTGGGATGACGTCCAGTGGGACATTTGGTATAGGGTAACCATCAATGCAATGTTTGTCATCAACCGCACCGGCCATGCACCAAGCCGACCGGTGACGAGACCGATCCGGCCCCATTGAGAAGCTGCCAGGCTGTCGCATGTCCATCTTCTCATCTCGCCAGCATCAGCATCAGCTTCACCTCGCTCAATGGCTCTGCGTGCTTGAACACTGTTCAACATGTGCTGACTTGCCTTCCGTCCACTCCTTTCGCCTCTTCTTCATTCCGTCCTCTTTGCGTACTGCCCACTTCACCGCCTCACTTTCCTTACCTACCTTACCCTCCAGACAGCCTCGCCAAGGCCCGGCATTGACATGACAAGCTGGAGCACTTGAAGCCATCGATGCGCTCAACATGGCCTCAGACACATCTCACGACGCGGCCGCAGCCCCGGCAAGTGAGCTCGCCGTCAAGCTCCAAGTGATCTCACCTTCTGTCGGCGTCAACCGCCCACTGCTCTTCCCCGGCCTCCCGGCATCCACTACGGTGAAGGCGCTCAAGGCCAAGATTCGCGATGCCCTGCCGCTTCAACCCCCAGACGAGTATCAGCGCCTGATCCACCGTGGAAGGGCACTCGTCCGGGACACAGAGACCCTCCTGGAGATATTCGGCGAGGACACTGTACGTCTACTTCCCACGAGAAAGCTAACCTGGCTGACGCCCGCTAAGATTCGTTCCAATGAACAACAAACGATGCACCTGGTGGTCAGAGACATGAACCATACACAAGCCCCGGCTGCACCGGTCGCACCCGCCGCCGCTGCCGCACCCCTGGCAACGATGAACCTCCCGCCTCAAAACCCTGCGCCGATTCCGAGAGCGACCATACCAATACAGCCCACGCCGACCTTCCCCAGGAGGAACCCAGTGCAGCCCGCGCTGGGTCCGACTCCAGGACCCGAACCAGCGCGCTGGCGCACCGAACACGAGCGAGCCATCCAGGCCCAATACCGTGCTCTCCAGAGACAGGCATCAAGGCCTCCTGCAGGTGGCCGTGACAGTCCTGCGCCGCTTGGTCACTTTCGCGAGAGTGTCGGTCACAATGGCCAGACATACCAGGTGGAGACCATTGTACGAGGGCCAGCAGACGCAGGCCTTACCCCGGCGGACGTTCAGAACGTCCTGCGGAGGGTCGACATGTCGCAAGCCACGGCCACCTTGCACAGCGCCATGCGTAGGCCAGCTTCGGGCCCCTCGCTGCACCAATTGTACAACCGACCGCTGAACCCGCCTGGCACGACTCCAAGTGGGCGTGCGACGCCGGACCCGACAGTGCGGTCGGTGAGTGGGAGCAGCAGCAACCCTGGGGGGCAAGGGAGGTCGAATGTCGACGTGTACATCCTATCATCGCCTGAAGGCCCTCGAGGGCTCCTCGTCAACAACCACACATCCGAGACGTACTATACACCACGTCTCGAGAACCAGCCCAACCATTCTGGGCTACGTAACATGTTTTATCCAGTCGGGTCTGTGCCCCCAACACCGGGACAGCCTCAGCCAACACCAACGCAAGCTCCAGCCCAAGGCCAACAGCAACAGGCACCCCAACCGCAAGCAGCGCCCCAGCTTCAGGATGGACAGGCTGATAGAGACAACCCGCAAGAACCTGGCATCCCACCGTGGCTCATATGGCTAGTGCCCCACCTCTGGCTGCTCTTCCGCCTGTGCGTCTTTGTATTCTTCTTCACGTCCTCGTCCACCAGCTGGTCGCGCTGGATATCCGTGGTAGGGACGGCCGTCGCCATCTTCATTTTCAGCACGGGCGCCTTGACCAACGTGGCTCAGGCGGCGTGGCGGCCTATTGCGCAGCATCTCGAGGGGCTACTGCCCAGGATTGAGAGGAGAGACGCCGCACAAGGTGGACCGCAGGGACAGCAACAGCAGCAGCAAGGCGAAGCGCAGGACCCCAACCCTAGGGACATGGCTGCGCGACTAGTAGCGCAACGTGACAGAGACAGCGTCTTTCGGCAAATAGAGCGGGCCAGCCTGCTGTTTCTGGCGAGTATTGCGCCCGGTGTGGCAGAGGGACACATTGCCAATCTGGAAGCTGAAGCCCGCGCTGAGCGCCAAAGGCTGGAGGCGGAAGCAGAAGCTGCCAGAAGGCAATTGGAGGAGCAGGCAGCCGCAGCCGAAGCGGCTACAGACGTGAACACAGACACGCAAGGCGAAGGCGAAGACGGGTCCGGGACTGAGAGGACTGAGGGACAAAACGACGAGCATCAGCAGCAGCCAACGACCCAGGCGGACCCAATCACGACATGAAGTGAAGCGAACACAAAATATCAACTTTGATGGCTTACCAACGACACAGGACGATAGTTGAGTGAAGGAGGATATGATGATCTATTTGTATGGAGTCTGGAGCGTTCATCGGCACAAGAAACACACAATATCAACTTAGCTTATGGCAGCATTTTCCTTGGTTACACTTTCTTCTGAAGACTGCCGGACCCCCCTTTTTTTTTTCAATACTGGGGGAAACAGGCGAGTTTGGCACAAGCCTTGTACATAGATAGTAGATAGATGAGCAAAGATGGAACAGCAACGAGGAGAGAGAGAGAGAGAGACATGTGGATATACGACGCGCTCCAATCAACGCCCGTTCGTTCCCTTTTTGTTTGACGCAATACTACGTACTGGCCGGGGAGAAGTAGGTCTATCTATCTAATGCTAACTATCTACGTTGCAACCGTGCTTCTCATATTTGTGCGGTTGGGACGGCGCGAGCCCCCCGTTCACAATCCTCCATCCTTTGTCCTCCCGAGTATCTTCTCCTGAAGCCGCACCCCAAAGCTGGAAATCATGTTGCTCTCTTTCCACATCATATGCACGTTGCGCTCGTTCAAACGTCCCAAATACCCTTATCCCCCCTAAATTCCCCGATGATAGGTTCACCACACCTATTCTATACCGAGTACTTTGTTCGCAGAGCCTGCTGCTCCCGTGGGTGTAGTCGCCCCACAAAGTCACCGAACTGGGGCATCATTTGCTTGTACGAGTTGAGGATCTGCCATGGCGGTTAGTAGGTGGCCCAACAAATCATACGAAAAGCGGTCAGTCAGATACGTACGTTTTGGAACACTTCGTGCAGTTTCTGCTTTTCGGTACTCTCCAGCTGCGCATCGTCAAACTGGGCGATGGCTTCAAAGTAACCCAGCAACGACTTCTCCATGGCTTGCGGGTTTTGCGCCACGGCAGCGGAGAAGCCTCTGAGGGATGAGGACTTCTCGTCCGACGGATCAATCTCACTCATCGCACCCAGAAGGTCGTCCGCGAAGATAGACAGGTGTGGTGCGAGCAGGTCGGGGTCGGCGAGACCCAGACGCCCGAGCGCAATGGCAGCATTCTCCTGCAGAGCCCTGGGCACCCGCGGGTTAGACAGGATGTCGACCAGGCGCTGCATGAGCTCGGGGATGAATGGCGACATGCCCTTCCCGTACAGCACGGCGACCTCGCCGCACGACCAGCACGCATTGTTCACGACGCCGAAGCCAGCCTCGACCTGCTCGTCCATGATATGGTCCAGCTCCAGCTGCTTGACTTGCAGGGGGATCATGTTGGGAAGGTGTGGTTGTAATTGAGGGAAGGCAAACTTGGCGCAATCGCCAAGAAGAGCAAAGGCGGACTGGCGTACGTCGTCCATTGGATCACCCATGCATAGAGTCAGCAGCTCAAAGAAGTTTTGACCCGACTGACTGACCAGCTCTCTTGACTTGTCTCTGTTCAAGGCCTGGATGATGGAACTCAAGAGGTCAAGACTGGTGATCAGAAAATCTTTGTTTGGCACATCCACGGCCTCGCTGCTATTTGCAGCCATGGTCTGCTCGAGCGTCGAATGGATAATGTTGATGCATCGCGCGAATATTGTCGGTGCGTAGGGCGAGAATGCGTCGTCGAGAGCGAGAGCAACGTACGACAGACACTCTAGGAGCGGGAAGAGTTCGCGTGATTGATCAGACACGGCATTGTACCGCGCGATCAAAGCCTGCATGAGCTGACCGGCGAGCTCTTCCTTGGCAAGGAAACGTCCCACCCGCTCCGCCAGGGTCTGAACACAATCGTAAAGAATGTACATGTTCCGGTCCTTGTACTTGCCGAAGCACAGGACAAATTGTTGCACAATCGGACCGCAGTAGGGCTCCAGCTGACTCCCGGCCTTCTCTTCCAGATTCGCAAAAGCCGAAGCGCCGGCCTCCTGAACCTTCTTGTTCTTATCGAGCATCTTGCGCAGGATACCATCCATGATGGGTACGAAGAACTCCTCCTTCTGAGCTGGATCCGCCAGATTGGCCGCCCAACCGGAATACCGACCCAAAGTCCAACACGTGATCTGGCGGACAACAGGTTCTGGATCCTCTAGAAGTGAGATGAGGTAGGGAACAAGCTGGGGCAGATGGGGAACGACTGCGGGCATACAGCCATCGGCGACAGCACCGAGTGCCAGAACAGAAGCCTCGCGTTGCGGCCACTCTTCATGCTTGAGGTTCTGCGACAGGTACGGTAGGATCGCCTCAAAGACAGGGCCCTTGAAGTCGCCAGCGAAAACGTCCAGGGCTGCGGCCGAACACTTGCGCACCGTCCACTTCTCGTCTGGCGAGCCGTCATCTCCGTCCTCGTAGTCGTCGACCTCGCCTTCCTCCAAGTCGTCATCCATCGCGGCCAGCTTTTCGTACGCGTTCCCGGTCTTGTCAGGGTCTGCAGAGGAATCGTTGGCGATCCTTCCTTTTTTGCTCTGCGCAAAGGCAGGCTTAATGTCCTCTTCGCGATCCTCCTCATCTTCGTCGTCTGATAGCCCACCGAGGAGGGCAATATCCTCGCCGCTGTACACCATGCACTCCAGTAGGACTGGAATGATCTTGTTGAGGCAGGGCTCCAGGGCGCCCCACAGGTTCTCGTGCTCCCCAACGGCCAACCAAAACTCGGCTGCTTCGCAGGCCAGCTCCTCGTCATCCGACTTTTGTTGTGACAGAATGTAATCCACCAAGCCCCCGACGTGTGGTTGCAGCTTGTCCGCTCGAGTCTCGACAAGGTTGACAAACGCGCGACAGACCTGCCGACGGACTTCAGAATTGTCGTCTGTCGCAAGGGTGAACAGGTGTTGGAGTAGGTCGTCTATCGAGTTCAACATGGCCTGCGAGGGCCGAGGTGTGAAGACGTTGATGGCCGTGAGCGCGAGCGCGCGCACCTTGGGAAGGTGGCTCTTTGTGGCGGCGATGAACTGCGGTAGCACAAAGTTGAGGGGCCTCTGTCCGTTGACTTCCTTGGTCAACATCCCAACATTATCTTCGCAGATCTTGGCCATGGCCGACATGGCACCCTCCTGGGCCTCATCGCTCGCCTGCCCGTTCGAGTTGCTGATCAGGTCCATCAGCTGGGGCAGCAGCTCGGGCCAGGCCGCCAAGCCGCCGCGGTGCACAATCTCGGTCGCGACGTTGCCCGAGAAGTTGCGGATCTGCGAGTTTTTGTCCTGCAGCGCCATGGGCACGGCCATTTTGATGAGCTGCAGACTTGACTCGGGAATCTGTTTCCAATCTGACTTGACATTGTTCTTCAGCATGATGCCGGCCGCGGACCGGACCAAGTGGTACTCCTGCTCATTGTAGGTGATGCCCTCGGGCGGCTGGGGACTGGAGAGGACGTAGGCGAGGTAGTTGTTGAAGTCGGGGGATTGCTTTGCCTGCTTGAGCATCTGTAGCAACGCGGTGAGCCTCTGCGCAGCCTCGTACTTGCATGACATCTATCTCACCAGCTCGGCATGTTTCTGCGCGGTCTTGTCGAAGCCGCTGAGCGAGTCCTTGAGGAAGGTCGCCAGCTGGCCCAGGGACTCGGGCGACGGCTGCCAGGACGTCATGACGGGCGACTGTGCGGTCGCGCGGTGTATGTCGATGTCAATGTGCCAATTTGTGCACTCGGAAAGGGTGATGTGGTAGCTACGGCGAGGTTAGCAGAGCTCGGGGGCAGCTCTTGAGAAAGTCGATGGATTTGCCCCTCCAACGACGGATGGCCTGGGCGGGCGGGCCTCTGGCCGCTGGCGGGGGATCGCAGGCAGGCCTGGGGTAGAGTAGAGTAATTGGGGGGTCATAAATTACTCACTGATGACTTGCCAAAGACGACCAGACAACGGCGTATGACAATTAACGGTATACGATGGAAAAATGCATGGTCCAGCCGGTCGTTTCTTTCGAGATGGGAAGAAATGCAAGCTGGGAGGGCAGCCCTGCTGGTGAATACGGCCAGTGCCAGTGCCAGTGAAGACTGCGGTGGAGCGGGCACATGCGCAAGAGGGGCAACGCGCATCAGCAGCGACCGACGGATGGAGGCAAAGTCAGTCGAACCTGCCAAATTTTCTTAGTGGCAGCCACCGATAAGGATACCCCGGTAGATGCATGTGCGGTCCCAATAGAGTTGAGGACAAAACACAGTGATAATTGCAGCGTGCCACCCAGCATCATTGAATGCATGATTGTTATTGCTGTGCGTATACAGAAGATACCCAAGCCGACTGGACCTCATCCATAGCGCAGCAGTGTGCATGGACGACCTGCGTTTCCCTGCTCAGCAAGCGAGCTGGACTATTCATAGGTACCTTCGTGATGTGCAAGCGCCCCTTGGATGACAACGGTGCCCTTGCTACGCAAATACCTCCTTCATAAGGGCATCGCCATAACCAACCTGTTGCACAAAGCCTCGCGAAAGCCGGTTGGCCGCAGTCGCATTCTCTCGCTGGGCCCGCAGGCAAGCTGCCCAACAACACTGATCCTATCGCTTTCCTGCTTGGCCCTTGTACAGTAGCCCAGCAGGCTCCAGTGCCCAGCGACTGATGTGAGGATGAGAGGAAGCTGACGGGCCAAGCCTTGTCATCCGTCAAGCTCGCCTTCATCTTCCTCATAGAGGGCGGCACAGAGTCTGGCGCGGCGAATGCGGTAGCCGCTTGGACCTGCCATTCATCAAAATTGCAGTCCACATGAGCCCACGCGAGATCAAAGCTGCAAGATTTTTCGTGTGGCACAGCATCGATGCTCGTACCTGTGCTCAGTTGCCGTTGACGGCCATTGCCCCGACGCCGGCCTGCTTGATCCTCGCGGTCACCTGCTCGGCCACATCTCTGAAAGCCTCCATCTCCTCCTCCACTGTGCCGCCCATGCCGGCATTCTTGAAGCTCACAGAGTTGGTCACGTACACGGGGAGCTCGGTTTTGCGGGCGAGTAGCTTGGCGAGCCGTGTGGTGAACTCGACGGTGGGCTCGTGTGGAAACAGGACGGTGGCCAGGGGATCACCTCTGTTGAACCTCTTGATCACGTCAACGCTGTGAGACACTCCTGTGCTAAGGGCAAGGGGGGCGCATACATTGGGCAACCCGTAGACAAACGAACCCATAGGCGCCACCGAGGCAGGCTCGTCTTGTGGGGCGGTGGTGAGTGAGAGCATGATGGCCTTGGTCTGGGTCGATAGTCGGACGTAGATGCGGGTGTCGAGGGACTTTGGCAGTGGCAGAGAGAACTGCACTGGCTCTGGTGCGGCTTCCATCTTGCTTCGCTTGGAGGACAGATTCAGTATGACGCGAGCTGGGAATTGTACATGTATTGTTAGTGACTTGCTCAGGCGTTTCCTTTGATGAAGCGAGTGAGTGGGTTGACCAGTGGCTCTTTGATTGGAGCTTCGCATCTTATCATGATAAAGCACTGGGGGACAGAATAGTTGCCGCCATCGGTTATACCACTAGATGACTGCTAGTATTGTCACCCCGCATAGTGTTTCGGCGCATACTCGGCGGCAGCTGCGTCTCTTTTTCCAAGGCCCGAATGAGACCACGCGACAAGCCCCGGACCATGAAGCCCCAACAGCATCTCAACGTGACACAAGGAGGAAGGCGTCCTATTTTCCTCTTGCCAGGACCCTCTTAAGCTAGCACGTTGCCATCATCACACATCATGAACTACTGAGAGCCACCTGATGACAGACGCCGCCCACATGGAGCAGCCTGCGCCTTTTGCGTCAACAGAGGAGAGTGCCTGGGGCGGAATCGAGGAGACGACGCAGGACCCGGAGGAAGCGAGAGTGATCTTTGGCGCGCTGGACTCATTTGCGTAAGCAGCCTGCCTACTACCTTTTTTGCCGTGCGGGGATGCCAGTGGCACCTCATGCCATGCTTCCGACCACGTCTCACAAGACACGTATAGTACAGCAGCGATCTGACGAGTGACTAGCCAATACGCCAAGGTCGCCCACTTCAACGTGACACACCTCCGTCGCCGCTCATTCTACGCTCTCCCCCAGTCGCAATGGCAGCTACTGGCCGCCGCGCCCTTCAACTACTTGTCGACCCTGGACAAGACCGACGATGCCATCGACAGCAACGCCCTCTTGGCGCGCGCCATTGTTGATGCGGGCCTCAAGTCATTCGGCATGGACGAGATCCCCACGGCCTGGAAGGGGGTGGCGAAGCACACTGACATTGACAAGGCCAGGAGCACCGTGCGCCAGTTCTACCGCGACTGGACGCTCGACGGCGAGAGAGAGCGCATGGCGTGCTTTGGGCCCGTGCTCGCCACAATGGAGGCGGAGCAGAAGAAATCCGAGGAACAGCTTAAGGTGTTAGTGCCTGGAGCTGGACTGGGACGGCTGGTATTTGAGCTCTGCCGGCACGGGTACCATGCGGAAGGCAACGAGATATCGTACCATCAGCTGCTGGCCTCGCAGTACATCCTGAATGAGTGTCCCCGGGCTGGCGAGCACACCATCTACCCGTGGGTGCATACATTCTCGAACCACCGGTCAAGATCGAATCACTTGCGTTCGTACCCCGTGCCAGATGTCCACCCAGCGACGGCACTGAATGCACGGGACCCGGCCGCGCCGCAGGGCACCATGGCCATGTGCGCTGCCGATTTCCTCTGCGGATACAGCGACGAGGAGCACGACGGGGCCTACGACGTCGTCGCCAGCGTCTTCTTCCTCGACACGGCGCCCAACCTGCTGCGCTACCTCGAGGTGATACGGCACTGCCTGCGTCCGGGCGGAATACTGATCAATGTGGGACCACTCCTCTGGCACTTTGAGAACATTGCGCCCGGGAATCACGGCACCGATGACGACGGGGATGGCGAGCACGACTGGAACAACTCCTCGGGCATCGCCGACCCGGGCAGCTTCGAGCTGACCGAGGATGAGATCATGGTCCTCCTCGACAAGACGGGCTTTGACGTGGAGTGGAAGACGGAAAACGTAGAGACACCGTACATTCAGGACCGGGAGAGCATGCTGCAGACACTGTATCGCTCCAGCGCATGGGTAGCCCGAAAACGATGAGAACGATATAGACCGGTGTGTTCTATAGAAAAAAAAAGAAGAGAAAAAAAAATACTCTACAACTTTGACTGCGACTCGCCCGCTTGGAAAACCTCACCCGACTGCCACATGGCGCCACCATCAATGGCAATGGCCTCTCCGTTGACGTGGCTCCCCGCCCGGCTGGCCAGATAGACGACTATGCCGGCAATGTCCTCGCCCTGCCCAAGCCGACCCATGGGGTTGCTCTTGGCCAGCTTGTCCGCGCCGCCAATCATGCTCAGCAGCCCGTTGGACATCTTGCTGGGGAAGAACCCAGGGCAGATTGAGTTGACGGAGATGTGGCGGGGTCCCAGCTCGACGGCGAGGTTCCGCCCCAGGTGGATGACGGCCGCCTTGCTCGCCGAGTACCCGTACGTGCCCTGCTTCCCGAGGGTGCCCACGCCCCGCCCGGCGACGCTGGCCGTGATGAGGACGCGGGCCGGGTCCTGCACGCTGGCGCCCTTCTCGAGGAGGGGCGCAAAGACGCGGATCGTGTTGAAGACGGCCTTGACGTTGAGGTCCATGACCTTGGCAAAGGCGCTGTCGGGGTGGTTGTCAAATTCCTGGCCCCACGTGGCGCCCGCGTTGGCGAAGAGAATGTCGACATTGTCCGTGTGCTTCTTGACCTGGGCGAGGAGCGACTCGACGCCGGCCATGGTGCTCGAGTCGGCGGGGACGGAGATGGCGCGCGCGCCGGGGGCGAGGTTGGGGAGGGCGTTGAGGGCGGCGACGGCCTCGTCGCAGGCGGCGGCCTTGCGGGATGTGATGAAGACCATGGAGGCGCCTGCCTGGAGGAAGCTGTGCGTGCGTCAGTCAGTCAGTGGACGGGTTCATGTTTGTGGCAGTTGAGGGGGGGCATCCGTACGCAGAAGCGGCATTGAGGCCCAGACCACGCGATCCGCCCGTCACGACGGCGACTTTGCCCTTGAGCGAGAAGAGGGACGAGAAGTCCTGGAGCTGAACGTCGGCGGCGGCCATGGTTGCGGGAGGAAGTAGACTTTCTAGGAGGGTGAGTTGATGGTGTGGGAGAGTGGAAGGTCAACGCTGTCGGAGTCTCAATGGCACCAATGAAGGAATTAATCAAGATGTATAGCTCGAGAAGAGAACAAGAAGTAGCGAGATGCAGGTTGCCCGGGGACCGAGGCCACAGTTGGAGGATGGAGATTGCCTCGGAGTTGGACGTGTGGAGGTTGACATCACTCGCCAGGGTCCAGACTCCAACGCGGATTTGGCGGGGAAGTGCCGAGGCACGTGGAGTTGCGGAGCCCCGGATTCATGGACCAAGAAGGTCAAATACGTAAAGTACAGCTCAATTGCGCTTCGTGTTCATTTCAATCTGTGTGTAGGTACATGGCATACTGCTCGTGCTCACTCGTACATGCCGAAATCGGCCATAGTTGCTTGCGTGGCTGTTGAAGCCTGGAAATGTACAGCGATCGCGCCATCGTGGGTCATCTTCCCAACCAGTCATCGACTACGATATGTTGAAGTATCGTGGCAAGGTTCCAGAATTTGAGAAATGAAAAGATCAAGAGAAGAAGGAAAAGGTATGAAAAGTCTCAAAACAGGAACGCTCCAACGGGAGGATCAGGGTGCTCGGGTACATAAGAAATGTCACAAGCCTGTTTCTGTTAGCTGTTGTTGGCTGGACTGGTCTACCAGCAGGGGGAGAGGCTGTAAGCCAATCCATCAAAGAGAACCATCGAGTTCGCTTTGTAACGTATAAGATCGTGGTGGTGAGGGGAAGGGACCCCCAGGTTCAGTGTCGCTTGGACCTGCTCTTGCTGCTCTCGCCATCCTTCTTCTTCTTCTTCGTCTCGTTCCAGTCGCCGGACATGGCCTCCTGTTTTGTTTTGTTGGACTTGGAACTAGGCTTAGACTTGGACGAGGACGCGGCCTGCTCCCTCTCATCTTCAGAGCCCTCCAATATGAAGCGCTTGTAAGCGCTCTTGACCCGCTTCATCAGGTCCATGGGGATATAGCCGATGAACATGACGGGGATATTGTGCTGGACCCAGAAACCGTTGCCGTAGTTGACACGAGAGGCCGGGTCGAGTGTGTGGCCGTCGAGCATGGTGGCCCCAACTGGTTTGACGCCCAGCTTCTTCTCGTCTTTGAATGTCTCTGGCTCCAGATTGTCATCATAGATGACACCATGCTTCTCTGGCTTGCACCTCGTCTTTCGACAGCCTCGGCCTCCATACGTGGAGATGGGACAGCAGAAAGACGAGCCGTTCTCCGACCTCACGACAACCATGCGGCGGAAGGACTGGTGGACCATGTCCGTCAGTGTGTAGCGTGAAGTGCCGCCTTTCCTGCCCTTGGGCGAAGAATGTCCCTTGGGTTCTGCCCAATAGACCATGATGATCTGGGAGGTTAGCAGTGCTTTGGTTCACTTCCGCATCCGCTTGGGGGGAGTTCTTACCGAGCCAACGAACCAGTCCTCATCAGGGTACACCTGATATGCTGCGGCGTGCATGTCAGAAGAGGAGAAGAGCAATCAAGTACCGAGCGCAACCTACCTGGATCAAGATGAAATCTGGGGTTCCAATCTTCCGGGTTGACGGCCCCTGACCAAGTCTCGTCGTCTTGGCCAGCTTCTGCGTATTCCTCCTCATCGTACTCCTCGCCGGAATCGCCATACTGGTATGGTTCGCCAAACGTGTGCGAACCTTCCGCATCGCCGGACTCATAGTGGTCGGGGTGTTCATCGGTGAATCCAACGGCTCCATCAGCGTCCAGGGTACGGGGAACTTCGCGATGACTGCTGTACGATATATGCGTCTGGTCCACGGTTTGCGCGAGTTCGTCGACGTCGGCGCTGTCATACTCGCCCCCGGCATCGTGATACGGCTGCTGGTGGCTCATAATGTCCTGTCGGTGGAGTCTGTCGTACCGCCGCCTACATGTATCAGGCGTGAGAAGATGACTTGGTGAATCGTAGCACAGTATGTAGCCACTGGGGACTGAGCCGACTCTGCGTATTGGCGTCCTGAGCGTCACCAGCTCGCAGGGTCCGCGTGATCTTCATATAGCAATGCGGCTCAAACCCGACACAGGGCGTGGCGCTACATTAGGGATCTCTGGTACCGGTACGCGATGCTTTCCACGTTGCATGAAGGGGGGCACGCACGAGATGCATCCCAATACACGGTGCATTGCTGTTCAGATCTAGTATTATTGGTGCGCTGAATGCATTGCTACTGCCGGTCGGCTTGAAGGTAGTCTTTTCAGTGAGGCAGGCTGTGATCATTTGGGAGACTTGACAAATATGGGCTGGAAGTGCTGGTGCAAGACCACGTCGGCCACCCACGAGACCGTCCACAGCGTTCCAAGTTGACGAGGTCATTGTCTGTTGGAGGGGACACACAATAGCCAAGGACACTCCAACAGAGTCACATTGCGCGACGGCGAGCCTTGCGCTGGTAAGACGCTGTCTTCTCAATCTTGCCCTGATCTTTCAGACTCCCAGACGCAAGGTCCTGATCTCATGACCATGGCTTCCGCCCTGTGGTGTGCTGTCCCCCATTGCGATAGGACCACCTCGCTTGGTGACTGCATGTGGACAAGTCGGAGACTCGGGAGAGTAAAATAGACAAGGCAGCCCTGGTAGGCCCGAGACGCGCCGCGCGCCGTCCAGCAGCTCAACGTGGCTCCCCGTCAAAGGATGCCAGAGGGCGCTCACCCGAATTCGAGACACCCTTGTCGTGTCGTGCGCGCGGGATGGCCGCACCAGGCAGGTCGTCCGTCACACCCACACCATCATTCATTTGTCGGACGTTGCAACTTGCAAGTTGGCGCGGGGGGAGCCCTTGTAATTAGTATCCTCACCGGCTGCACGTTTCTAATCAATTGGTGAGGCGCGTAGGCGGTTCGCATTTTCGCAAGAGTTCGATGACAGAGGGAAATGAAGGCTGAGAATGAGTTGAGGGAGAGATGGAGGCCCAAGAAGCGCGTCGGACCGCGCGGCGTTGCTTTTCGTCCACTGGCCCCGAGTCACTGGCAACTGGCAAGGAGCCAGAAAGGAATGGTTGGATGCAAGCATTCCAGATGTAGGTTTCACGGGCACCTACTTTCTCCCGGATAAGCAATGTACAGGACCAATAGCCAAAGCCACCCTGTGCTGGCGGTAGCGGTGAAGAAGAGTCCCTCAGCCATGGCAGCTACCATGACCCCAGTGGGGTTCCTTTGTTCGAAAGCAAGGCCTTTATTCGGAGGTGAGCTTGTGAATTGTCCTTCATATGTTGCTTGATCCTGGTACTTTCAACAACACGAAGCTACCTAGAGTACAGTCCGAATCCCCCGTGACGGCTGAAGGTGAGGCGCAACTCTCGATAGCGTATGACCTCGTGGACACAGTCTGATCCCGGTCACAGAGCGCCTAGGACGGTCAAGTAGTACTAGTACTAGTACCGACTTATTATAGTCGCGCACAGATTGCCCAAGGCATAATACGCAGCTGTCGGGCCCGGGCAACCGCTTCTGTGTCGTGTCCACGGCATCATAGAGCCCAAGCGCCCTGCCGCGACCAACTCATTCCTCACTGTTACACCAGACTGGAACAGACGCGTCTCGCCGTTGTCAGTGCCCACTTGACCTTAAGAGCCCTCGCCCTTGGGGATCGCCCACCGCGTGTCAACTATGTCGCGTCAATGTACACGCTCGCCAGATCCCTATACTGAACCGACACGCCATGTCCGAGGCTTCCATCGGTCCCATGAGGATCGAGGGCGATGCAACTGTTTCCACGGTTCATGTTGCATTGCACCCTATGCTCATTCCTCATCAGGCGACAGCAACCGCCACAGATTTCGATGTTCCTGCTAGCAACGATGTCCTGCGAAGAGGGCCCGATCATGAGCAGCGCCAGACAAGTGGCCAACGTACCCCTGCGCTGGACGTTGGGGAGCATCTCTGGTCCGGCATGGAATTTCATCAAGATGTTGAGCGGACGACTTGGAGCCTGGAAATGACAGGACCGAGTCTGTTAGGCCTACAACATCAAGAAATGCGGACATGTAACTCGAAGACCTCTTCTTGTACCTCGAGCTGGGCGAGGCTTACTGAGGAAGCCAGGGATCCTACTGGGCCTGGTGCAGTAAAACCCTCGACCCTTTCGCCAGAAACAAAAGACGACCATCCTCCAGATCCAAACCTACCAGCATCGCGATCTTCTTCCCAGCGCCCTGGCTCTGAACTTGGGTTCGCCCCCGAGCCTCATGGGATCAATGTCGGTCCAAGATCGCCTGGTCAAGTTCGCATCGACAGCTGGTCAACCATAAACGAGAGCAACCATGACGAAGGATCACCCTCTACCGCGTCGACAGACTCCCATTCACAATTCTCGTGGGTCTCTGGTAGTGGGACAATAGGTATGGACTCCGTAGCCAGAGAAAACCAAAAGTCGTTCCCCCCTCGCACGCCCTTGGATCCCAGGCCGTTAGACGCCGAGGCTCGCGCGGCAAAGACGCTCAGAGTGAGAAGCTGGATATCCAAGCAGAGTCCCACTGGGCATGACAAATCGAACTTGCAACTTCATAGTCCTGAATCGTCCGAGAACGAAGACCTGGACCACGACGCTGTTTCCACGACAAGTGAAGCGCCGTCGTCGTCTGCAGTAAGCAGCCATGATGCTGAATCGATCAACCGGGGGGTGCAACATTATTGGAGGAAGATGAAAACCCACCAAGCTCGGATTCAGAAACTCTCCAAGCGCCTGGGAGAAGTCAACAAGAGGCTGGGCAAGATACGTCCTAAATTACGGGTTGCAGCAAACGACTTTATGAAAGAGCTGCGTACTACTTCTCACCAGAAGCAGCTCTTGTCGTCTGATGACCTTGTTCGGATCGTATGGGCAGGGCTACCTCGAATGCAGAGATTGCAGGACGTGACGTTCAGCCTGGAAGAGGCGCTTGACGACTTACGACAGCAGCTGTCGAAGGAGCAGAAGCTTTTCTCTAAAGCGGAAGTCCAGTTTTACAGCCTGCTGGGTCACGACATAGATGAAAGCTCGACGGAATCGACTTATGAGTCATCAGAAGCCTCGTTTGATGCCAGCGAACCAGACACAGACCTGCTAGGCATACCAATGGCGCGGTCGACTAACGACAACCATCCGCTCTTCCAAGACCTAGAGAGTGCAATTGGGCAGTACCTGAGCATCATGATGTACTTGCAAGATGCCAGGGACAATAGGGCTGTTCTGCAGGATATTGTGGACCGCCGGACTGCTCTCGGTGCTCCCATATCCGAAGAGACGAGGGACGGTCTGGACGAGACTGTGTCAAACGAAGCTCGATACCTCAAGCTCGTCGACAGCAAGCTTGCAGTTATCAACGATTTAAAGCAGAAGACTATGGCACGAGATGTCTTATCCGCCAGAACGACGACCAGAGTAGCGTCAGTGCTGTATCGGGACGACAACACAAAGCCAGGATCGACCGAAAGCGAGGGCGTTCAGCAGAAAGAGTCACCCAAGGTTGTCATACCCAATTTTCTGAAGCTCCTCTGGCCCGCCTATCGGTTGCCTACTACGACTGCGTCGGGCAAGGAGGACACCCGCCAAGACATGCGGCCAGAAGAACGACATGGTCAAGCGTCCTATCCGCAACTCTTGTCAGGCCAATCTTGTTCACTCAACAGAGCGCGCGGGGACGGCGCTCACTTTGTCAACGAGTGGCTGCTCGACCAGGTCCGCGAATCCAGGCGCAACGCAGACAAGCTCTTTGTGAATTTCACGCACCGCCTGGCCGTGCGCAATCCGGGGACGTGGCAGAATGACGTCCTAAAGTATTGGCATCGCGATGGAACGGATAAGATCATGAAAGATGCCGAGGCATGCTATTCGGCGTACTATCACACTGGGCATGAGTCGGTCCAGTTGCTATCTCGTCGTGCCTCTCATGTAGGAGCGACGTCTCCGGCACTGAAGCAAGAGACGGAGCCGATACGACGCCGTGTACCATTAAGTAGAGCATCGCGCCGGTCGCGGGTACGGTCTTTGGGATGGTGAGGTCTGGAAGAGAAGCATACCTTGAGAAAGGACTAGATTCGAGTGGTGATCAGCCGCGAGAATTGCATATTTGAATTGGATGGCTTGGGATGGTGCACATGCTGGATACATGGACATTGCTTTGTTCTTGTTTTTCTTCAGAGTATTTTTGCTCGAGCGAGACTTGGACATTGCTCTAGGCGGATAGAGCTGGATACCCTGACGGGCCTTTGATATATTCATTTCTTGAGCCATCTGGCGGACACTTTTACTCCTACTACTTACTGCTTTCTGTAAAAGGGCTTTCCTAAGCTGACTTCGCTTCATGGTTGGTGAAAGCACTCTCGGAGGACTCGTGTCAGAACCTTGAGACATGTCCAGGTCAGTCGGTCGCCGACGACCTTCCCCCGAGACCTGGAACAGCCAGCAACGGCAATAGTCGCCAGCCTTATCGCTAGTGGACTCGATGTAGCTTTCGCATGTACAGGTACAAAGCGGCCAACGCACATGCATGCATCATGCAAAGCGTAGTGTCCCGTGCCAAGTCAGCATGCACTTTGACTGGTACAGATCAAATCGCACCGCGCAGCACATCTTTCCATCGTGGGTGCCGTCACCGTGGGCCAAGAAATGGGGAGTTGGGCATCAACGTTGCGGTATCATTCCATATACATGTATGGATCCTGACATGCCGATGTGCGAGGCAGGCAACTTGTCCAGCTTGGCCGCATGGACCGGTGTCAGGGAAACTCGCCGCCGCATCCAGGATAGCCACGAATTGTAGGGCTGAGATCCTCATTTGCTATTCACATGCCAATCTATTTGTGGCTGTCATGCATTTCTGCACTGTCGCGGTTGCCGCTCCGTTGACGATACGCCCCCAGATTTCGTGTCCCTTGTCCCCGAAGAAGGGCAGCGGAGGGAAGTGTTCCGCGAATGAGAATGCCCTTGAATGTTATATATTATCTTCCTTGGATTGCTCCAGAACTCGGTGGCGTGGTCTTGACATGAAACCAGGCATGGAGTGGAAACACACGTGGGCCTCAGGCTGAATACTGTCCAAGATCAAACTATATTTCTTCTGCAGGTTATAAACAGCCTGAATTTTCCAGCGTTTGAATACGTGTTTTATCGCATGAATGCAGGAGACAAGACCCATACGCGGATGGTCGACTCAAAGCAACGTTTTAAACCAAAGGTCATCAAGTGGAACAGATACTTTGTCGCTGCGTCATAGACCAGTTGTTTCGTGCGGCCCCCATGGACGCAGATATAGATATTCGTGCATGATGCAGCCAGCGAGCGATCTTGTGATACCTCAAAGTGCAATTTGACTACTAGTAGTCACGATCGTATCGCCGTCATTTGAGGGGGTGCACAGACAAAAAGGCTGAGCCAGGTCCCTGTCACAGGCCCGTGCATTATGCACCACCCTAACGACTAGCGAGGCAGCCTGTATTATATTGTTAATGTTTCTAGAATGACTGGAGATTTCCAGATTACCAGATAGCCTGCCGGTGGACCTTGATTTGGGCGACATATCACTCTGCAAATAGCAAATATGTGTGTTCCCGGCGCAGCTTTCACTGAAGTTGGCAGTCCATTGCTGATGTCAGTCTATTGGACCCTTTTACCCCGGCCGGAAATACCAGACCTTTACTCGCAAGCATTTATCTCCTTGATCTGCCGGAGGCGTGTGCCAGGCCCACTGTCAACAACAGGGGTAACGTGTGTCCATTGCGGCGCGACACCAGACCAAATATTCATATTCTTACGCCAGTGAGTACAAGGACGGCTTTTCTCATTACTTCCCTAACATACGTTGCAAATTCTGTAATCTGAGCTGCTACCTTCGGTCAAGTCCTTGGCTGGGCCCTTGCTGCATGCTCACTACAACACATCACGGACTTGGGCCGCTTTCGTACACGTAGTACATACATATATAAATCGCATTCCATTCTTTCTGCTCCTCACCTCTTTTGGCTTTCATAATCTGTAATATCGCCGCTTCTGTGATCTCGACCTTATCCTCCTTTGGCCCACAGAAACAGGTCCAACTGAGCTCGTCGAAGTCTCACGCACTTAGGGGCTGGGGCTGTCACGGACCGTGATGTTGTTCAACCCAATGCCGTCGTCTATGCACCTGGATCTAGGTTTCACTTGCGTGTCAGGGGTTGATCGATGGTCTGGTGAACGACTTGCTGCTGCACACGCTGCATGAAAACCAACAGTTCCGCAGCTGCGTGGCCTCAAGATATTACTCCAAGCTGACTTGAGTATGATATCCATGTATATTGCGTCTTCCATTCGAATACCAAGGAGTCCTTAGCTTCGTTTGCCAAGTTTACGCCTTGTTGCTCGATACATCACCCTCCTTCGTTGACCTCTGCCTATGCAAGCGCTTCGCATTCAATCCGACTGCCTGACACAGCCAGCCGCAGCGTCAACCACAGCGTCGTTGATTCCGGGGTTCACAAATCCTAGCTATGCGTCACGTCTGGTGTTAAACTTCTTGTTGTATATATGATTGTGTTCTGACTATGCGCCCTCGAGGCGAGATAGCAAATGCATACCCGGGGGGCGAGTACTGATTCCGCATGCACCCACTGCATCATCCGCACATAGTGGCAGTCATGTTGAGACGCAAGGACAAACCCAGATAATCTTGTGTCCGGACCACCCTATGTTGCGATAGCACACCCGTGCTCCAAGATTGGTATCTGCCAACCAACAAGACCCCCCATGTTTCCAGATGGCAATCTTGCAGGGCACTTGGGCCCTTGTCTGTGCTAGACTTGTTGGCGTCCCCGGGGACGCTTGGTTCAGCCGCTCATCTCGACATCTTGCCCTGCTCTCCTCGCTTGCTCTGCCTTTTTCCGCCTCTCCAGGCTCTCGGCCACCCACTCGTCAACTTTGCCGTCCTTCATCTTGCTCTCCACCACGCCCTTGAGAACCTCGCCCGCGAAGCCCACAAAGTTGTGCCTCCGCAGCGCATTCTCAAACAGCCAGTCTTTCCTCTTACGCTCCTCCCTCTCCAAAAGCTCCATGTCCCCAAACTCGCGCGCCCGAACCCGCAGATCACGGCACATGGCCAACAGGTTGAAGCGGATCTCCGTGGCCTCATAGCGCGCGATCCTCCTCTGTAGCACATCCACCACTTTCTCGGGGAAATTCTCCATTGTGCACTCGCCGTGTGAGATGGGCGCCGGTTGCAGGCCGTCCAGCTCGTAGAGCTTGCCGTTGATGGCCGAATAGGCAATAAAGTGGAAGACATCCTCGCTCTCGCCGCCCTTGGGCGCCGTCTCGTCTGCAAAGGGGGAGCTGCGCGCAAACGAATTGTGTGTCTCGCGAATGAGATCCGAGTTGCTCAGCGCCTCGCCGCGAAACTCGGGGGGCAGCTCAATGGTGAACTCCCGAAACTCGCCCAGCTTCTCGCCAATGTCCACCTCGTCTGTCTTGTTCAGCACCACGCTCAGGAGCGCCTGCGTCGCGCACGCGTTCTGGATGGTCTGCGCTGCGAAGAAAATGCGGCTGGCCGCATCGTGATCAAACGTTCCGTCGAGGGGGGTCTCGCTAGACGTGTACGGGGTGTCGGTGGGGTATTTGAAGAGAAAGATGACGCCGTACAGAGGCTGCAGGGAGGAGAGCTCGGACGGTTCGAGAGTCAAGAGCTCCTCGAACTGCAGGTTGGACGCGCCTAGATTTTCGACGAGCGAGGTGAAGACGCCCGCGTCAGACTCGACTAGCAATATGAGTATAGACTTTTGCAACGTGGTGTGGGGAAAGACTCACTGGTATTCCAGCCGCCGCTCATGATGTCTATCGGTGGCAGAGATGTAAGCGAAGGAGAATGTCGAATCCCCAGTGGTGCGCTGCAGATAGAGGACGAAATCCGCGAAGCTATCGCAAGGCAATCAGCATGCTGACGTCAAATGAAGTGGGCGGTCCGTGTTTTTGGGCCTACCCTACAGCAACAACAGCCCCTTTTGCTGTGAATCTGTGCAATCACTAAATTGGTGGGCATCGGTCAGAAATGCTTGTTTCGGTATAAGATGTATATAATCAGGCTAAGAGACTGCAAAATAGTTTAATTAATGTTCCCGGTGATCGTGAGGGCCGGCACCACAATTCATTCGTGGCAACGTCACCATCAGAGCCAGTTCATAAAGAAGCATTATTCCCTCAACATTGCAATTTTCTCATTCACGATGAAGAGTGTTCAGAAGACTGTCTGCAAAAACCATAGTATATTGTGTTTCAAAAATTACAGAAACGCCTTAGTTATAGAAGCCCAATCGTGCGCCTTGCAAGCTCGAATGTGCTCAGTTTCGACAGTTCGCCCCTTTTTCTAAAGCAAACCATACATGGGCAGCGTCGAAGACTAATGCAGGCATTACCCCTTGCAGCAAAAGATAAGTAGTACGTATTGCTCAAGTTGTTGAAAGAACCAAGAAACGGAAATTCTGGTGGCAGGGGCCTGAATTGGTCAAGATCAAGTCGACGGTTCCGCTCGACGAGCTGGATGAATACGAGGCTTGGCACGGGCGTTGAACTTGCTCCTGACGCCTGTTGGGAAGGACACCTGGCACTTGAACGCATCTCTTAGGTGCACCGCTGTCATGCTAGTTTGTCTGCACCACTCGTTTCTCCTGTGCACCTGGCTGACTATGTCGTTCGGGCAAGCCACTAACCTGGGAACTAGGAGTCAGAACTTGATATTCTCGTGTCGTCGGCCTAGTACCTAATGTACTAGTGATCCAAAGCGATTCTAAAACACGCTCGAGAGGACGAAGTACCTCGCGCGAGGCCCTTTACGATCTGTCGACCGTAGCTCCCACCGAAGACGCCCATCGCAGACCGACCGCGGTGTCCATTCGATAGACGTCCAAGGCAACAAGAAGACCATAACATTTGCGAGACAGATCGTATAGGCGGCTGAGAATTGGGTTCTCTTTGCGCACCTCCCGCTGCCCCTCGAGCAGAGACCGAGCCCCAAGTACTACGAATATCTAAAGCTCACGATTCGGTGCAAAGAATCGATAGCGCCTCTCTCAGACCTGACTCAATTGAATGAACAAGTCAAACAGACGGTTTTCATTTGTGACCGAAATGGCTGCCTCTTCCCTGGAGCTGAACGAAGACAGATAATGCCCTGGCTCCCAAAGCCTGAGCGTCGAACGGCACCGACCATGAAGACAAATATATACGTTAGGCCTTTTATGGGTTTTGAGGCCGGAGATATCCTAGATTTGGGACATGGGAAGTCTGGGGTTACAGAAAGAGCCAATTTTCTTTTCGTAGACTCGATTCTGGGGAGGTGTCTTGCGCTATGTCTCGAACTTGGCCCCTATCCTAGACAGCCAAGTTGAGGCTGTTGTATGCTCAGGCAAATTCCAACACGACTAGATCGATAGAGTTGACACAAGATAATGTGAAGAACATATTTTGCGAGCAACTGATCACTGCCTTGTACATGTAGCCTATCCCAGCCACATCTCGCGGTAGTCTGGTATGCTCTGGACCTCTGTCCCAGAGCAACCCCTGGGCGAGGACGTAAGGGAAAGCTTTGGATTTCAGAAGATGCCATTCTCATACGTGCGACTCTATCGTTTCAATGAGTCGAATGGAAGTGCGCCCGATACTGACGCCGCTGAAGTTCGGACGTCATGGCTCAACGAGGTCCCAGAACAAGGGGAAGGCGCATTCCTGACCACCTGCCTGCAAGGTGGCACTGCACTACCTTACGGCTTGTACTCCGTCCTCAAGCAGGAGCAGAATCGTCACGATGCCGGTTCTTTACAGCCCGCCGTCCGCCCTCATTTCCCGCGTCAGACAAATACGAGATCGTTATCACGAACCCTACATTTACCGATCCGAGCACACAAGGGACGAATCCCTCTGCCATGCGGCTTAAACCAGTCTATTTATTATACAAGCTGTTGCATGCTGGTATTCGAAGCCGGCATGCCATGACCACAAGCATGGTAGATCTAGGGAGTACACGTCTCGCCAACAGCACTGCTTGGTGCCACTACAACTTCCCACCTGCACAGGACTAGCCTCATCGTGAGGCGAGGTCGCCATGCGTGCAAGGGACGGACGGCATCCAAAGTCGGGGAGTAGGTCTGTGAAGTGTTTACCTGTTTTAGAGCCTAGCTATCCAGTTTGCAACGATTGGATCTGGGTTCCTCATGCCGCCACAGGGGGTTCATTCTCAACCCAACCATCCCCACGGGATCAACGAGTCCGATATTCGCCAACAAAGGCAGCAACCCCATTTTGCCAACTTTGGGGTCTTGTTCCAGGGCGTGTCAATGGCCAGCAAGACGTCAAAATCACTCGCTGCTAGACGCTGGATAGCATTTCAGGTCTTGCAGGCAGGTGAGCGGCCTAGGGGATGAAGACATTGGCTTTGTAGCAACAGGCACTGACTCGAAAGCTCAAGCTAAGTTCTATTTCGAGCAGCCGAGGACCAATTGCGAACCATGTTTGTGGAGTTCCGGTATACTATTGATAGGAAGAGACTGGGCGCAACTTGGAGTGTTCGCCAGCCCTTAGCTCACGACTCCAAGTCTACTGAGGAAACGGACCGACAGATCGACCCTGCGAGGTCCGTCATTTTGGAGCAGCTCCCACGAGCGACGAGCGCATCTACAAGCACCGGTATCCATGATTTGAATTTTGCTCCGTGGAGAAAGGTCGATATATTAGAAAGCTGAACGATCAGTTCTTTCACTTTGGCGGACTGAGCACGCTTTCGACCCATATTTATTCGCGATTCTTGTGGGCTAAATGCGAAACTCCCAGCATGCGGAAGAGGTTCCGTGCACGGTTTATTGCCATCTGTCAGGGTCCAAGAGCCAGTGAGTCGTGACTGTGCTGAAGCGTGCCAGCGCCACCGCTCTCCGACTTGCGAATGGGAAAATTTCCCTTGAGCATCGGGCGGCGCTAGCGCTTCGCTTCGTCTCGCGTCGCCTCGCGTCGCATCATATGTCCGATGCGAGGATTCGGGCACTAACTTAATCAATCAGCAATCCACCAGACTCGAGCCGATCACCAAGGGACGGCAGAGAAAGGGAGAGGGAAAAAAAGACGACACCGCCGCCAGTAGAAGCCATGCAGATCATGGAACGTTGTATCGTTGCAAGCCACTTCCACACTGCCACGAACGCATAGCTTGACACAACAGCGAGGCGATGAGAGGCATGATTGGGCCAAGTCTGCTGCATGCACACTGGCACAGTCACCGAGTAATAGGTGGCAGCAGGCATTTGACAGCCTCCCACTGGCGGCATCTTGCATTCATTACGGAGTAGTGCTCGGGGAGCTGCTCAGGCTGCTGTCTGACGCCGTTGACGGACATTCGTGCGCGCCAAGAGCCAAGACAAGGAGGGCTCTCGGGCCCGTGGGACAAGAAATGCGGTCGGGCGGGATTGGAGAAATCCCGCGACCAACGGCTGCACATGGTTCGAAAATAGAACACGCCATCCTCCAAGCAGCCAAGCGTACATGCAGCTCCAAGGTCGATGCCAACCTCCTTCGCGAGAACCGCATGGTGACTTGTTGACTTCTCCATCGCATCTGCCTGGACAGGACAGGCAGAGCACGTGGACATGACAATCACTCATCCCGACCACCGTCCCGAACATACATACATACGCGCGATAGGAAGGCAGAAGATCGACGGCCCTGAGAACTTGGTACCCCGATGTGATAGGTGCGGCTTGCGCCTAATCATTGCTAATGGGCGTTGAAACGCCCTACGATATGGACACTGTAGGAGGAGACCAACAAAGGACACAAAAAAGATCTCATAAACGAGGAGCACTTATTTAGCTCCGGGTTCCATGCCGATGGATCTTTACACTATGATACTATCTCCCGTCGGCAAAGATCTACTCCTACTAGTCTAGCGTCTGCGTCTGCGTCTCACTCTCACTCTCACTGTCACAGCTGCCCCATCCGGTCCAAGATACCGCCTTGGGGTGTCGTCGCTCGAAGAAAGAGAGGTAGCCGAGCACTCGAGGTCAAGCTGTCCGGGAGTGACATGTCACAAACGAGTCGACCGTCGGCCGCATTGTGTTGGCTGACATGATACTCCTGTCGGGAGCAGCTCAACGGGGCTGGGAGAGGATAACTAGTCTGGTCGGCTGTTCACTTGTTGCGTCAGGAGCATCGAATCTGCGGACACGAGACCACATCACATCCATTCTCAAACTCGGCTTCTTGGCAGCAAGCTGAAGCAAGTTCCAGTTGCCAGCAGACAGCGTGCGCTGCCAAGCGCCTTGGCGGTGACCTCACATCTCGTACTCGTGGAGATCATAGCAGACCCCGGACGAACGACCCCTGGCAATGTTTTGGGGTTCTGGGAGAACGGCAACGTGCATCCTCCACCTCAAAAAAACACACGTATCGAAGGAAGTCAGGTCCCAGGACAGGCACATTGCGAGACGATCACCAGAACGACTGCCGCCCGACAGGTCTGGTGGGTATCTTGCTGTGCAGACCTGGCCGGGTGGCCTCCCACTGATGAACATTCACAGTCGACCCCAGCCAGGGACGTTGGAGTAGCGTAGCAGTGGCATGGGCGTTGCGGCATGTGCATATCTTTCTGCATGTGCGTTGGATGCAGTTGATCGCTCCCTGTCCCACAATCTGATCCCCGATTGTCCAGTCACAAGATTGGACCAGTTACCCTCCTACAGACTCACAGCATGCATAATAGCTGCCGTTGCTTATTGCTGCGGTCCATGTGCGGCCGACAATGTGCCTCTTCTGAGTTGAGGAGACGGTGAGGAGGAAGCACATAGGGCAACACAAGTATTGGCCATTGGACGCCCTGGCTACCTGTTTGGGCCAGTGCCGTGTGGTACTGCCATGAGAACGGCGGTTCTGTGCGGCACGAGGGTGCATGTGGTCAGACTGTGCGACTGACAGCAAGCCCCTTCTGACCGCTTGGCGAGAAGGCAAGCAGGCAGTCGTTTCTGGTAGCATTATTCGGCAACTTGACGCTGCTGCGCGACCCGAGCCAAGGGACAAGTAGGCAGTTGATTGGTGATGTGTGTGGTCAGGCCAAGCTGTCGGTGAAGCCGTGGGCTTGCTCCGAGATCCACACTAGCCTGTCGTCGTCGGTCCTTGTCATTAGTCAGGTAACCCCCGAATCACACGTGGCTGGCTGTTATTAACAAAAGAGACAGGCGATATTATTATACGTATGCTGTGGAGTACATGGAGCATACCTAGTAATCAATTATCAATCTTCATGTTCTTCTCGCCCTCGGCTGCTACTCCAGCCTCCACACTTGGCTCGAAGACCGCTCTGTTTCATCGTCAGCCAAGATCCTGTGTTCGCTCGGCACATCACCACGACACCACCAGTCCATTCATCACCGGTGACCGAACAGCCCCAAGCCCATGCCGAGAAATTGCGCATGACTTGCAGCCAGTCAGGCCCAGTCATCAACCTGACCGCAGGACACAAGACGGCAAGCCTTTCCGGGGCCAGCACTATTGCCTGCAAAAGAATCATGTCTATTATTACGTGCTGAACGGCGGCGAGCTGCCGCAAAGTGCCACGAGCCGTGATGAGGGCGTTGCGAGAGAGAGCATGGAGGCCTGCTGGCCTCGCCCAGGGCTGACAATGGGGCGGCCGATGGCGTCAAGTAAGCGTGGTTTCAGTGCAATACTTGGCGACTGTCCCATTTTTGCAAGGCAATTCATTGTTCCGCGTACCAGCCGCTTCTCCCTCAGCACACATGAATAAAACAGTCATCGGTGCATTCCATAGGGCTGTGAGGTATGGCAGACGAGCAGTGTTGTTGGTTTATAACAGAAAACGTGGGGATGTCGAACCAGATCCCAGCTGATGCGTGGCTGTCATCACCCCAGTGCATAATCATGCCCACGAAAGCCGTCTGGACGCTGAAGGATGAGCGTGGCGGGCCAGTGAAGCAATGCCAAGCATTCTGCTATATGGCTGCTCGAGTTAACACCGATGCATGAAGCTATCGTCAGATACATGGAGTAGTGGCCGAATGCCCCAGGATGACGGCATGCAGGGACACCGAACATTTCTGATCACCAGGGGACCGGCTGAATACGGCATCTGTATTTAGATACCGATGCTCGACATGGGGACTGGACAGGCTTCATGTTCTGACGGGTGAGACGACTGGGCCCCAGGGCCTAGCCTCAGCTCTGGACGAAGCTCATCTCGCGAGATCGTACCATGTCCGCAGCAGCCATTGGACCGTTTATAAATTTGGACACCAGTGAGCGACAGAGTTCAGACGGCGTTTCTGCTGTCATGACCCCCCTCTGCCGTTCGCCGATAGCCCACAGCCCAAGCGCGAGCTAGAGGCCAGCAGAGCTAGAGCTGGCTGGGCGCTGTGCACTTGGCACTTGGCGCTTGGCGCTTGGCAGTCACGGTGGATGATGACTTGGAAAGCGGGAGCAGTTCTCAGAAGGGACTTTGGGCCCTTTTGTCACTGGCACGGACAGCTATTTTTATCCCAGGCCCCCAAGAGGGCCAAGACATGATGATGTCCCCCATGTGCGTCATGGCACTGCTGCACCCTCCCCGGTCGCCCTGCACGGTTGCTCTTAGCCCTTCCGCCCTACTGGGTTGTTGTTCAACTGTTTGGCCTCGGAACATCTCACTGGGATTTGCTGCGGAGATCGACGGGCAGAGGAATGAAGGCACCAGGCCAAGAGAGAGGCTGAGGACTCTGGTCTCACCTGAGTACGAGGTTTCAGTGATCTATTCTGGTGTCTCATCGGTCTTGTCGTTGAAGATGAACACAAGACACAAGTCTACTCGTCTCCTCCTGTGGTCAGCGAGCGACAGGAAAAAAAAAAAGTAATATGGAGAACACACACCGACGGCCGAAAAGTTCCCATGCTGCTGGCCGCGGAATCCCGTCTTTTGGCTGCTTCTCGATGCCTTTTAGCGTGTCGTCTATAGCGTCGAGCCCTGCGCTGTAGGCGGCCTGCCACGCTGTACTTGACTGCACTAGTAGACCAACAGCAGCATGTGTTCTGTTAGTGCCGATGCTAGACAAGTGATCCGCATCAGCCAGCAAATTCTCCGTCGCGGCGCTCGACGTTGTATTTACGCCCATTGAGAATCATGGACGTGAAGACAAGATCGAATGATTATTAGGAGGCGCTGCCAAAAGATGCCACTGACTGTGCGATGATTACCTTACGTGCCATGCCTGGCGTGCCTTCCACCAGACTTCCAGCCTTCTTCAGCGCTGTAAGTCACCGCAGGCCTCCGTGCAGCAGCTGGACAGCAGAACGCACTGCAGCCCAGCCCAGCCCAGCCTAGCCACAGCGGGCTTACAGTACAGTACATGGGCCTCCGCCGGCGCCCAACCCACCTCACCCTAGCCCCCCCGACACACCCGCGGACAGTCCCACCTATGTCTCTCCGGCCACCCACCCACGGACGGGCCACACAGCCCTGCCCGGCCTTACTTGGGTCCAGCCGATGCAACCTACGACCCTGAGACGGCTACGTCCAGTCCATGTATGTCGTATGCTCTGTTTATAACGCCCAGCTGTCCCCCAACCCATCCAGCCCATCCTCTCCTCCCCCCCTCTTAGTCAACATCAAAGAATCGAACCACCGCCTACAGACAAGTCGTCTCTCCTCTGACATTCGCTTTTTCCTCCCTCCTCTCCTCCCCAACCCCCCTAGGAAGTCCTCGTTGACTCCTGTCACTCGCTTTACCGGTGCTGTCGCTTTGTGTGTTTCTGAATCGCCTCATCCACGCCCAACAACCCGTCGCTCCAGTCTCCCCCGACACAAACGATCAGGCTTTTGGGAACGATTCAGAAACGACAAGGACCACAGTGCCACACACGATCGCTACAGACCGACCCCGGGAAAGGTTTGGAAAAGGGAAATTCGCTTTTTGAAAGAGAGAGCACCGCCAACAGTTCGATTCTCGGTACCAGGATCAACGGACCGCTCGACAACGACAACGACAACGACCACTATTAAGATTCCGCTCCACCATTAATAGTCGTAGCTGCGCTCCGTAACGCTTCTTCTTGGACGATTCAAGAAAGTGTCCGTCCCCCAATCCTGCAGTTTTGAGTTGTCCACCACAGGAACTCGCATCACTTCACCCACGTTCGCTACCATTACTGGTCAGTCTACACGCTCTATCCGTGTAGCTACCTCGTATGTATGTGCCGCTCCCGTCCAGCCTGCCTGTCTGCCGTGCCGGATCCTGACATGCCGCTTAGATTCTTTACTTCTCGTTCATCTCACCATTCTAGCAATGGCTGGTCCAGGTGGCGGTCCTCCTCGCCGGAGTCACACCAAGTCTCGCAAGGGTTGCGAAACCTGCAAGAAACGCCATATCCGCTGTGACGAGAGCTTCCCGCAGTGCCGCAACTGCACCAAGCACAAGATCCGCTGCCCGTACAACGATGTCCCGGCGTCCGACCCCAACAGGTCCACGACGCCCGACAAGCCTGATCTCATGTGGACCCCCGAGATCGAGGCCAGCCTCCTGCAGTGGCAGCAGACCAACGTGTTTCCCTTCCCCAGCATGGGCATCTACCCAGTGCCCGTGGCCAGCAGCTACTCCTGGGAAGACCTGAGGTTGATCTATCACATTGCTTCCGTCTACGATGAACTCTCTGTCATGGATGCTAATAACTTCACCCTGTGGACTCGCCACATCCCCATGTAAGTCCCTTGGTTCGCGCCTGAGAAGCCTGCTAACTCACTCTGCTAGTATCCTGAGAATTGGAGCCACGACTCCGTACGTCATGCACGCACTGCTCGCCTTCTCGGCCATGCACATTGCTTTCCTCACCGACTGCCCCCTGGTCGGTGGAATGGGCTTTGAGCACCGAGGCGTGGCGCTGAGCGGTCTCCAGGAAGCCATTGGTGTCTTCTCACGCGATAACTCGGATGCCATTCTCGCTGCATCCCTGGTCCTCTCCTGGCAGGCTACGGACTGGTCCGGCTGGAACCAGCTCATGCAGGGCACCTCGACCATCATGTCCGCCATGGAGGGCTGGAAGAACGAGTCGCAGTTCGTTGACTTCATCGCCGAGAGCAGGACATTTCCCACTGCTCCCCCTTCCCCGAGCTCTGACCACCGCCGCGCCCAGCCACGCAAGGAGGACCTCGACGCCTACCAGAGCACCCTTGAACAGGTCCAAAAGGTTGAGGCCCACCTCAAGAGCCAGAAGGATGCCTTCAAGGTCGACACGACACAAATCCAGAACTTGGTCAGCTTCCTCAAAGGATCTCGCAAGATCAGCCACACGCTCCCCATTGCCCAGCAGTTTGAGCGCCTGAGGTCTCTCCGTGACTGGCTCTTCTGGATGCCCGTTGCTTACCTGCAGAACTATCGATGCTCCCCCAACTCCCTCGTCGCCATTGCCCACCTGTACACCGTGGCTATCTTGATGGAGCGTCTGTTCCCGGAAATCGGATCCGCCTACTTTGGTAGCCTGTCCCTGGTCCCGGTCGAGGAGATTGCCCGGCGCCTCATGTCTTACAGCGTCACCGACAACTTCGATTCCAGTGCTACCGTGCCCCTGCGATTGATGGACTTTCCCATTGACTCGGTTGGTGACTTCCGCGCTCGCATGGGTTGGGTCCAGCCAGAGCGCACCCAGTCGTTTCCCACGTTCCAGACTCCCAGCTTCCGGACTTTCGACAGTCGCTCCGAGTACGACAGCAGCTCCGAGTCGTATGGCCTGTATGGAAATCCTGCCTTCAGCTACAGCCACGAGTCGATGCCCGTGCTCAACGCCGCTGTGAGCCACACCCACAGCCCCGTCGGAAGCGTGGTCATGCCTTCGCCCTACCAGTCGCAGCCGCAGTACCTCAACATGCCGTCTCCCATGTACGCCGCCGGACCCTACAGCCCGACGCCATCCCACTTGGACGGCTCCGTCACGTACAGCGACACCGACGAGTACAGGAACTGGGACATGGGCGCCGCCATGCAGGCCCAGCCGTCTCCAATTTATCACGATGCGCGTCACAGCTTCGGTGCCGGGTTCGTCTCTCCTACCACCACCCAACCCGTGTGGATCTGAAATACACCACGGCGGCCTTGCTTTTGGAGACGACTGAATGGGGATTGACCGTTGCCGTCCAGGAACTCAAACAAATCGACATCGACGCCACCACTACTGCACCGCCCGCCTCACACGCCTGGTATGGCCTCCTCCTCGGAGCCGCCGCCCGTCTTGATGAGCTCCATCCCGCACTACCAACACCGGCATCGACAGACTCCTTCCGTCTCCTCTGGACCGCATTCTCCATCTCCGTTGGCCCAGGCTCCTCTCAACCACATTCCTGATCCCAAGGACAAGGGCAAGGGCAGACTACACCATCCTCAGTGATTCACGATGTGCCACCACCAGCCTCATCCACTGGTTGCACGATCCCGCTTTCAGTACCGCATGTTTTTTATTTTGGATTTACACCTTTCTCTGGCTTAATGCTTTCTGCCATAAATCGACTCAGCCGCCATGTACACAACACTCCTTCCACGCTCGCTACAACAGGAGAGCCTCGGCCTCCAACAACACACACACACTCCTTGATTCCGAGTTGATCTCGACGACACTCCTTGACGACCATACGATATACTACTCCGACCTAATGTGTATTACATCTTATACAACAATCCTTATGATACCCGGCTGCTCCCAGCCACGACACTCCCTTGACGACCAGTACGACCACGTCGTACACAGCATTATAGACACTCCTTTCACGACTTGAAACGACACAATATAGACACACTCCTTTTGGCGAAAAAAAGAATTGGTATATGGGCGACCACCAACTGCATAGCGACTGTTGATTTTGAATGTGTTTAGCGACAAAATGAAGCAAGGCGCACAATGGGCGATTTGGGATGGCGTTTTCTTCTTTTACGAGCTGGCATGCTGATGGGATCTGATTTTTGACAACCTTTGCTATGATTTGGACGACTGGGAATTTGCTGCTGCTTGACGAGCAGAGATATTGAGAGAACCCAGGGTATTGGCATTTTGCATATGGACGATGGATTTGAATTTCCCTGGTTATTCACCTTAGATAGAGACGCGCGCGCTGCGGCGTTGTCTGACGCTTACGACTCCTGCGCAGACTGAATGAACTTGCTGTGCCTTCTCTTAAGATTATTGTCTTTTTAAGTGAAGCTACTTTATGAAGCATGGATGAAACAAATGTCTTGTTGGTATCTCGCGTACACTATCTTCCTCTTGGAGCTGTCCGAGCTATATTTATAAACATTCCCGTCTACCACCCGGTACTCCAAGAAAGAGGAACATGAAAGGAGAGACCTAGGTCATGCTATGGCTACTGCCGACGAACATGCTGATGTAGGACAGAACAAACACCCGAGACGCCATTGCAAACGAGACTGCAGAGGATGAGCGCTGGGGAGCGACAGGACTATGTGTATCATAAAACAGACCCAAGGAGTGGATTGTATAGATGTATCTTTCATATCGTTCGTTAGGGTGAACCTCCTCCTTCTCGTACTTCTTCTTCATCGTCATCGTCATCTTGACTTTCACTTTCCTCTCCCGCCGATCCGGAGGATGAGTCGTCGCTCCTGGGCTGAGGCGTGGCACCTTGCCTGACGGCATCACTGTAGCTCGGCACGGGCCCATCGTGATGCGCTGGCACCACCGTGGTGACCGAGTCGCCTCTATTTCTGTTGCTATTGGCGGAGACGTGCAGCGGTCGCTCCTCGTCGTCTTCCGTCGCTGCGTGTCCCTCGTGCGCGGCTTGGTCTGGGCTGGCGTAGCCCGGCGGCGGGTTCGTCGCGTCTTCAATGTGTAGGTTGATCGGGTCAGAGACTTCCTCCTCGTAGGCCTGGTGTGCGCTGCTGCCCTCACCGTTGCCATCGTTGGGGACAAGCTGTGCGAGCGAGATGTCGGTCGGGCTCCTGACGGGACCGGGACTCGTCGGCGGGAAGATCCTAAAGTTACCGCTGCGTGTCCGGCCGTGTGACGGGTTGAGGTTCTCCCCATGACGGACGTTGTACGAGTTGCTGACGGAGTGGCTGTGGGTGCGACTGGGTGTCCCCGTGAACCCGTCCTTGGTGCCTGTCTCGAGGAGGATGCTGCCCTGTTCCGAACCGTAGGGCGGCGGAGGGGCAAGGCTGCCCGTGACAGGGGCGAGCCCCCATTTCTTGACGTTGGCCTCGATGAAGACGAAGCCTGCTTGGCCAAAGTTCACATGGACAACCGCGGGGCCGATGGCGCCTAGGGCAGGGAAGAAATTTTGCGCTTTCAGTCCGTGCACGACTTCCTCCAGCTTCTTGCCGTTGCGGGTGAAGAAGATGGCGCCTGTGCGAGGACGGTACCCAACGCCCACAACGTCACCTTGCACGAGCGGAGGGCCGTAGTTGGTCTTGCTAAAGGGCTGGTTGTAGCGTCGGTGGCCGGTGGATTGGTACGCGACAGAGTATTTGTGGAAGCCTGTACATGTCAGCAACGCTGCTGGGGTCGCCAATCGCTTGAAAGCGGGCTCGCCTACCTGGTAATCTGAACAGAGGGTACGGCTTCGTCGCCATTCCGATGCTCAAGAGTGTGTGTTCCGGCTTGTCGTAGATCTTGGCCTCCCAGTAATACACATCGTTCTGTTTCGGGACTGGCAGATTCGTCAAGACCGTGCACTCCGTGTCGAAGAACTCGATTTCGGTCCGCGCCTCGACAAAGCAGTTGGCAATCTCCAACTCCGGCTCAAACTCCCAGGCCGAGACGCCCTTTTCTTGTATGGCGAGGAATTGTGATAGTGATATTTCCGTTTGTAACGATTCGGGAGGGTTGTGCGTCACAAAAGCTGCGCGCGCGTCAGTCAGCCCATTGCTCGCCCTGCCAGAGCAGGCTGTACGGGAAGGGGGGGAGAAGGCCTACCTTTTGCCCGGAGGTACTCGGCCCTCGCCATCTCATCCATATTCTCCAGCGCCTCCGCCTCCTCTCGCGCAAACGCCTGCTCATCGTCAAACTCGCCCGGCCGCCCCAGGCGATCCAGCAAGATCCGCCCCGACCCAGCACATCCCGTTACCCAAAAAATGAAGACAATGATCGCTATCAAAACGATGGAACCAAAAGAAGAGACGAGGCCGATGATGACGCCTGTAAAGGCGGACGACGGTGATGTGGCCATCGTGCTGGTCATGTATGTGGTGATGTCAAGATGAACGGCGTCACCGCCGCGAGTGGGATGGTGTGGTCGCAGAGTCGTTTTCGCTTTGGAAGTGCCCTTGTCGTCGCAAGTTTCTCATAGATCGTCTGAATATCGCTGGCCTTCGAATCGGGCGCGTAGATGCCTTCAATGCGGCACCCAAGCCCTCGCGTGAGCAGCGCAAGTCGGTCCGTCTGCGTCCCTCGTCTCGTATGTTCGCCACTTGGGGGTCGGTGGTCGGTGGTCGACGCAGTCGTCTGTCGGTTGTGGGAGTGGGAATCTCGCTCAAGGACGTGAAGGAAATGGACGATGACAGACACGTGGATCCGAAGGGAGGGAAAGGGAGATGGGAAGACAACGTCGAGGAGTGGACGATTGATTCAGGTGCATGAATGAATGATGGTCAGTCAAACCGGATCCAGCCAACGTTGGGCTGGACTGGAGACACTGGCAGCGGGAGGGAACGTACCGGACACCCAAGCCCAGTGCAGGGCCTCCAGGGACCCCGGCGAGGGCGATTGGCGCTCCGGCTGGCCCCATTTACAGTGGGACTACAGGGACAAGTCAGCCAAGGTACACTCGCGCCTCGCGGGGCTGATAAGAGTTGGGCTGATATCGTGGAAGAGCACTAACAGGTCTGCGGGGACATGCAGGTAACTCTTGGCCAGGCGGCGCATGACGACTAGGTCGGCTCGGTGACGTTATCCTGGGTTACCTTATCGCAAGATCTGTACGCATGTTGTACGATTATTATCAGTCGACAACAATTACCACAAAGTAACTTATTAGTACCTGGGCACAGATCATTGCCGTGGCCCTGGCTAAGCCGCTGACAACACGGCGATAGAGCTGCACTGGGAAGCATGCCCAGACGCACAAAGCAAGCGCCTAGACTTTATTTCTGGCGCCCTGACTGCAAGCGTGCGGTGCGTGTTTCATGGGCGCGCCAACTCCAAGAGCCAGGAGAAGGGCAGCAACGAGAACACCGGGGCAACGTGCCAACAATGTCTCATGAGCCCATGGCTGACAAAACAGCGACCTTTATGTTGTCAGGATGGCATTCATCGAGCATGCACACATTGTGAGATTGAGTGCAGACGAGGACATAATGTCTATGAAGGACATACGCACATGCCACACACACAGACTAATAACCGCAAGCAACGTAGCTAGAAGACGTTTATTTCCGACCTCATAAAGAGTCATCCTATCATATTCTACATACAGTCAAGACATCCAAATCACTCCCATCCAGCGCCGTTCCCTTCCTTCCAAGCACAATCCCCTCAGAGCTCTTCATCATCCTCACCCCTGCCCCGGCGGTACCCTCCCCTTCTCGCCCGTCGTTCCTCGCGTTCCTTCTGCCTCTGCGCCCTCAGCTCGGGCCTGGGATGATGATAGCTCTTGGTGCCAAGGTCACTGCTCGTGCCCTCCAGCAGGCTCTCCGTGAGCGCACTGTCCGAGCCGACGACGCTTCTCTGATAGCTAAAGTCCCTGCGCGCGACACGGCTTGGTGAGCTGGTGCCGGAGGACGCAGCAGGGGGTGGTCCATCTTCACGGCGCGAGCGACGGCTGGCCTCCTTGTGGCGGGAGGGGCTCTCGTTCTTCGTCGTTGTACTGTAGACCTTGCGAATGCCACCAGCCTTGGTTGGTGTGGAGGTCGGCGTGGCCTGCTTGTTGGACAGCAGGTTGGACGACACGGTCGAGTCACCGGGGTTTGTGCTGCCATCCCACTGCGAGCCCTCACTCTCCTTGTTCAACCCACCCACTCTTGCAGCCTTCTCGTGGCGGTAGTTGCGCAGATACTCTTTGGCCGCACGCTCGGCTTCCTCGTCCTCGACACCCTCACTACCGACATGTCGTTTCGAGCGCTTGGCGCTGTCGCTAGTGCTCTTCTTTTCGTTGCGTCGGCGCTCACGTTCCCTTTCCCTCATCTCGCGCTTGCGCTCCCGTTTCTCGCGGGCGCCAATGTCGCTGGGTCCGGCAGTGATGCCACTCAACGCCGTCGATTCGGTGACAACAGTGCGGCCATCGTCATCGACAACATCCTTGTAGACACTGCCGCCTCCCAAATTCGTACTCTCAGTGGCACCGCTCAGCAAAGTGCCGTTGGGTCCTTTTCTTCTTAATACAGTCGTCTTGTAATCATCCCAATCGTTCTCTTTGAAGTAGAATCCTCCATTCTTTGCCCAGAAGAAGAACCAGATGCCCGTGCAGACGAACGCCACGCCAATCAGAGCGAATAGCACGAAGAAGCCGACGTTGGAGATGTCGTGCGGATCGAGAACGCCGCGAGAAGGGTCTACTTTGTCGTCGTCTCGACGATGCAACGAGGTGCTCGCGAAAAGGTCTTTGGCCGCAACGAGGGGTCCACCAGAATGGCCGGTAGCCGAGCCGGTAGGAGGGGGCGCGAGTAGGGTGAGGATAGACTCTCTGAGGGTTGGTGCCATCGTGGTGACAGCTAGGATTATTGGGCTGGAATGCCAGCGGCGCGGAAGCTGGATCTTGTCTCTCTTCTCGATGATAGTGCGTAGCTGATCAGTAAGATGGGAACAACAAATGACTGGATTGTAGATGGCATCAGCCAAGCATGAAAAGTTGGGAGGCAGATTTGGCTGTCGTTGAAAGCTATAATGAGGTGTTGAAGGAGGATGAGTCGGCCAGAATCTGGGAGGCAAGTGTTACGCTATAAGCTGCCGTTTCCACAACAACTCGATGGCTGGGGGCTGGCTGCAGCAGCCTGCAGCTGCTGCTCGGCAGGGTTCAACGGGAGCCCAAACGCGGAGCGCAATAGTCTGAAAGATTCTCTCACAATTTGCCCTTAATTACCAGAAGCCTACATACAGTGCTCTTTGCGTTGATCGACCATTATCATTCAATGTCTGACCTTTGGTTATGGTCAACTGTTGGCCTCAGAACGTGGACTGGCGTTTTGCTGATGACGTCGCGGGCAAAGTAAACAAAGGCTGGCTGGCGCGGCAACGACGTGGGGCTGTTCATGCAACCACTCAAGCAAGTTGGGCACGCACCTTCGCCTGGAAACAAACTTAAGCCCGGGGGTGTTGTTGATAACAAGGCTGACAATCACGAGAGAGATCCTCAAGCGTCAGCAATGTGCTTAATGCCCGATGCCGACGTTTGCTGGAAGATCACATTGAAGAGGACTACGATATCGACTGGATTCGCATCTGCAGGCCTTTCGACATGCGTCGCTTACCCGGAAGGTCTTTAGCAAACTGAAAAGCACCATTGTCACAGCTGTGAATACATGTAGTCTTTAGTTCACAGTTGAATGAATTCACATGTTGGTACTTCTCAATAATGAGGCAGACACCTACCTGCCTGGCTTTTGATTTGACTGCAAGCCATCCACACAAAGTACGATGTCAGGACTTCAGCCTTGGAATTGCAGAGGAACAAGGAGAATCCACATTAACTACAGCGTAATCACATACATCAAACGTCACGGTGGACATAGACCGTTTCATTGCACTCAAACAGAATTTGCATGTTTCCAAAAGGGGTGTGAACCCCTGCTGTCCGTACAGTCTAACGCTATAATCAAAAAGGTCATGGCCTCAGCACTGACCGTGACGAGGGGAAACACCAAAGACAAAAACAAGAAAAGCGACAACGCTGAGGCGCCCCATCTTGGTTACTCTCTGAGAACTAGGACCTTGAGTGGCATGCGGGAGCTGGTCAAGCCAAATGGCTCGACCGTCCTTGTCCACTCAAGACTCCCAGCCCCCAGTCATCAACCAAAGACGGGGCACCATGTGCTGCCATGGAAAGAAAACCGAAAGACATGCCCTCCTCCGATATAGCAGCCGACTTCCAAAGGGGGTATCAAAATTTCCATGCCCTGCCAGGTAGACAAGGACAAAAACAAAAACATATCAACCTCCACCAGCGGTGCCATTCCGGCGAAAGACCGCCCTACCAGAGATAAATCTGGTCCAAGGAAAAAAATACGAGATATCCAAAATAAGAAAGTAGAGAAAAAAAAATATCGCTCGCTGCCCCAATGTGCCCAGTTTTGTAACCGTAACAGAAGGCGATAGAGAAAGAAATAGATGCTCATTTCGTCGCGTCGTCAGAACTCATCGTTTCGTGAACATGCCCTTTAGTAATCAAAGGGCTCATAAGGGGCGTGGCTTGGAGCGCACTGCCTGCGACTTTGCGAGTCGGCCTGGCTAGGTGCGCGGGGGCGGTATGGCAAGGAGGGTGGGAGAGCCTTACGCTCGCGACGGCTGCTGGCCCCATCCTCCAGCTGGTAGAAACTGCTGGCTTGGTCGCTTGCTCCGCTGCCTCGACCGCCGTGGGAGAAGGTGATCTCACTGTCTTCACACTCAATTTCGGCGCCGCCAGGCACACGTACGACAGCCTGGCCGGACACCTTGATCGTGAAGTCGTCTCCGTTGCCTCCAGATGACGAGCGAGTAATACCAGTCGCGTTGCTGCGCTTGTTGTACTCGCTCTCGTCGCGGCTGGCACTGCTGCGTGTCGAGCGGCTGCTGGCAACGTTGGGCTTGTTTGCCTTACGAAGAGCGTCGGCAGTAAGTGGTACCTGCGTAGGCCCAGTGACATCTTCCTGATACTTCATGGCCTCCAGGTACTTGTCCTCCTTGGGTAGGCTGACGCCTCCAGAACCAAGAGGCACCGAGCCATAGATACTTCCCCGGCGGCTAGAACGGGCGGGGGCGATGTCGTACTCGTCGTCCTCATAGTACATGGAATCTCGCCGAGGACGGAACATGGACCGGCGGCGCTGCTCGTGGACTGGCTCTGGCGACATGTCGTGGAACAAGTCTTCCTGCTCGAGCTCATCCTCGTCATCGTCAAATGCCGCTTGCTCATGGAAACCGACAGATCGCCGATGAGATGGGCGAGGTGGGCGAGAGTGCCCCTGACGGGAAGCCGGTCGCTGTGGTGGCGGCTGGAAGGGTGTGGACGGGTTGGCAGTCGTGCTCGGTCGACGGGGAATAGATCTGACGTTCTTGAACTCGGGAGGAGGCATTCGCTTGCGGTCCTCGTCGTGCTTGGCCGTCCGCGACGAGCGCTTTGATTGGTATTGAGGCTCGTCGCCGGGGCGCGCGTAAAAGTCCTCCTGATCGTGCTCAAACACAAAGTCGCTTGCCTCATAGCCTCGTGGAGGGGTTGGGTGCACGCCCATGGCTGACGAAGGTCGTTCAAAACGGGACCGCAGATCTCGGTGCTGAGTAGGCGGAGATGGTCCTCCGTCGAAGTACCCAGGCGGGCCCGCGTTTGAAGGAGGCATAGGCATGTGCATGGGAGGCGGGCCCGGAGGGAAACCTTGCGGTGGAGGGTAGGAACCAGCCGGTGAGTATGCCATTGGCATCATGGGGCTCTGCTGCCAGCTGCCAACGTGGGGAGGTGGATGTGTCTGCCCAGCATAGTAGCTGGCGGGCCTTGTCTTTGCGCGAGGTCGATTGCCCGAGGACGCAGGTTGAGGAACTCCATAGTAGCTTGACTCCTCTACGTGGCCGCGTCTGTAGGCTTGCGGCGATTGCTGTATGACGGGTTGCGTCTGAGAGTGCCTGGCTTGCGGTCGGACTTTCTTCAAAGCCTTGGAAGAGTCCTCCAGAGCCTTCTTCTCTGCGCGAGCTCTCCTTGCCTCATCGCGTTCCAGCCTCTTGCGCTCTTCTTCGCGCAGTCTTCGGTGTTCCTTGTCCTCTGTTTTCCTCCGGGCGGATCGACTGGCCGACTCCGAGGTGCTGTTGGGTTGATCGCCGCGTCTGCTCTTGCCGGTGTTGGGGCGCTCCCTGGATGGGGTGCTGGGCTCATCACCGCAGTCGGTAAATGCGTAGACGCGAGTGCCGGCCCGGCCATTGACGGAGCTGCCAGAGTCGTCGTCTGCCTCTTCGACAAAGGCGATCTTTGATTTGTGCATGGTGGTTGCTGAGTTTGAGTTTCGTAGCGTGTAGAAGGAGAGAATGAGAGATTGGGAGCGCTAGAAGCGCAGCGGTGACGACAGGCTCGTCAGCCCCAGGGCTGGTGGGGGAAGTCTGGCCGCGCAGAGGGTGGCGGTCGCAATTGGAATGCTGGCGCTGGGTCGAGCGTGGCTAGGAAGCCAGGACGAGGAACGGGACGATCCTTGGAGGGTGGGTCAGATTCAGGACGGCAACTGGAATTTAATTTTTCTCGTCCCGCTCTTACCGGGTTGATTGAAGGCGGAAGAGCTGAGTATGTCATAAAATCAGCCTTTGTCGTAAATAGAGCCAAAAGCCTCAAGTCGCCGTGATCGGTTCGTCAAGTCGTGAGTGAGTGTTGCGGTTTCGTGCGGACGGACGGTTGGTGGTTGTTGATACTGAGGGGAAGAGAGGAAAAAGAGAAGGAGTCTCAGGCCAGGCAGCGGCAACGGCAGATCTGGGGGAGGAATCTTCTTATGAAAACGGAAGCACCGACTGCGCAGCCAATGCAGAGGGAGCACCTGCCTGGCTCAGTGGGCGGCAGCGGGTCCTGCCAGCTGTAATGTCGCACAGCAGGGCGACTGGACTGGAGAGTACGGAGGGGATGATGGGACTGCACCGGCTGGAGGAGGGTTGATTGTCTTTGAAGTTGATGATTGGCTTGGTTGACGACAGGACAGGCAAGCTGGTTGCTTCTCAGGACACTCCTAGGCGTCTCGAATACTGTCTTGGTGAGAACAAAGACAACAGCTGCTTCCACGAGTCCTCTGAGATAGAGGTGCTGTGAGCAGTCAGACAGAGCGTACGGAGTAGAGGGGTAACTTTCTCGAAATGCTGGACTGGAGGGAGGGGGACTGGACACAGAGAGTGGCAGCCAGCAACAGCGGGAGGAATGGGGGTGGGGACAAGCAGGGATGGGGCGTCTGCATCTCCAGGCAGCGCGCAGGAATTGATTGGTATAATTGTGCTTGACAAAACCTCCAATCGTCGCCTGCTGCGTATTCCACACTGCGTACGGAGTAGTGCTGTCATTACTGCCCGCTGTGTTGCTGTTGTGCTTGCCAGCGTCTTGTCGTCACGCGTGTGAGTCAAACCCGCGCAGACGGGGGGCATTACAATTCAAACCCCGGAAAATGACGAGTGAGTTACTAGCAAACAGCCCAGCAGTACAAAATAATAGACCAAAGTGCGTAGCGCCTGGTACATTAGCACTAAGGAACTGACTGTCAATGACTACTTGAAATTTGAGCGCAGTTAACTGAGCACTAGGGATCAAAGTATCCCATTTTGGCACACAAACAGGTCCCTGATGAGCTCAGGGTCGCTTTCACACACCCCTCCACGATGGATCCCGTCTCCAGTCGTCGATCCAATTCTCTACACGTACAGCGGTACGTACGCTGGCGCGTATACACCAATGCCTCCTGTCGAAACGTATCCCCATTCGACGAGCCAAATGTGCACCAGCTGATCAGGTGCCATTCTCTCCGCTGATAAACCTTCCAGAAGAGAAGCCATATCCCAACCACCTGGGGTCTGGCCTGTTCAGTGAGGCGGGTGAGCCATTGAGCGAACGACTGGATAGCGCCCAGGTCTCAAATCCTCAAGCACTCGAGCCCAACTGTGGAGTCCAGTCGATGCATGGCCTTCCCTTCCGACCCGGCACGTCTACGTAGTACGGTACCACAGTTCAGTGCCAGCGCGCGAGATGGCCTCAGACTTCTGAAACACCCGCTGGGCCTGACAGGGCTGTCTCCAAGGCCATGTGTCCTCAGAGATATACTTAGACTCCTGAGTCACCTTTCGTTTTAGAGTTGTCACTTTTGGCGACGGTGACAATGGGGCGCCTGGGCTGGTGCCACGATCACGTCCCCAAGGGCTTGCATGATGTTGCTCCACCATACCCGAGCCCGAACAGGGGTGTCCCGAACGGCGGAAAGCCAGCGAGACGGCACGACCACAGGGAAAATGCCATGTCGGACACGCTCAACGTGAAGATTTGCCATCTCCTAGCCGTTCCCGTTCGTGCCCGATGCATCAACGGCAGGGCTTGTACCAGTCGAGGAGTGAGTGTCGGGTACCAATGGCACGACGTTCAACGTACACGACAGTCGCATAGTGGCGAGAAGCAACGCATGGTAAACTGATGAAGATTCATCACGGGTTCGAACAGAGTAATAAGACTTGTTGACTGACGGTTCAGCAAGCAGAGAACGACGCAGTTCTGCGTCCGCGCAGGTGCAGCTACTAGCTAATTAGCCAGTGCTCAGCTACCTGTAACCCTCTGGTGATGCAGTCGTGCAGGAAAAGTACACTCGACGCCAGCGCATCCTCTTTCCTATAGGTGGCAGCAACAGCAGCAGCAGCAGCAGCAGCAACGCAGCCCGTCAGTCAGTCAACGCTCGACTCATCGTTCCCGCGCCTTGTCCTGATTCCTGATGACTCGACGCTGTCTCCCACCTTCCCGCCCTCGGCTCGTGTCCCGTTTATGACTTCAACCCACCAAGCTGCCCCATCCCGTCCGTTCCCCGGCTCACGACCGGTGCCCCATTCCGGACGCTTCGGTACGCCGGCGCAGAAGTAGGGGAGGAGAAGACCCTTGGCTGGCAGCCAGTCACGCAAACCACTCAAGATCAATGCGTCGACATGTTGATCGCGATGGCCGCCCTCGAGTTGACCACCTTCAAGATGTGCTCTTGGAGTGATCGTCATCGGACAAGAACCGTGCTCCAATTGGGGCAAGAGACGTCTTACACGATCTGGGTTCCGCATGCGCAGTACGCTTTCGCGCATTGCACGTCGTGTCTCCGCGATCAGCCGTGCGCTCATCATCGCAGCAGCAGCTGACAGACATGTTCCCTTTGTTCACTGCAAGTCAATCGTTTCCCAAACAAGATTGGCTGCATGCATCTGGACGGTCATTGGCAACCTAGCCATAAAGCCGCAAGCAGACGCATTGACGCATGCGCAGGGTTCACGGCCTTTATATTCGTCCTCGAGGGTCTCGGAAACCCCACAAGGGCGCATGCTGGCGATAAGATCCGGCCGTCAAGGGCGGCTGCCATTCGTTGACGACGACGAGTCTGAAAAGAAGGCGTCCATCAACGTCCGCCGCGACCCAGTCCTACGAGTGGTAGCGTGAGGCTCGCCACCCTCTTACACAAAATGCTTCTCGGTGCAAAGCACAACGGACAGAATGTACGCTTCGTTGACAGTGGACGAGTGAGCGCATAATGGCATCGATTGACTAGAGCAATGGTGGTTCTCAGTATGCGGACATTTTGGGCCCCTCACCGCCATTTCGATGGCGACAACCACCGAGCATTGGTCCCACCATCACCACCTTTCAGCCGCCGCACGGGGTGGTACCGATCGCTCACACAGCTCCCCCAGATGTGGGAGGTGTGGGGAAAACGCTTGTCTTCCTTTGATGCGCATCACGACAAGCGCATCGCAACGCGTACGACTCCAGGCTTCTCCGTGTGAGCATGCTTTATAGAAGTGATGCGAAATGTTAGGCGAGGTCGCCTGTTATCGTCTCTGCGCCCTGATAGGCCCCCATGGCCGTGCGCTCCTCAAAAGTAAGACACAATATCCATGTCCGCCACAACCGGGCGATGATCCGATATGCGAATTTGGTCGTCGAAACTGTTGGAGACGACGCCAAAGCTCGTAATCACCGCTGTCCGGGGCTCCTGCACAAACAAGAAATCAATACGTTTGGGCCATTCCGTCGGCTCTCCAAAGCTGGTGTACGTGAGGTGGTTTCCGTAGTGCTGGTCCACGGGGATCAGACTTGCAATGTCGGACATGCCTGACCCGGGGGCTGTCATGGTCTTGTATGCGCCGTCATTGGGCGTACTGTTGAAGTCGCCGCCGATCAGAACGACGGCAGGTTTGATGTCACTGTCGTGGCTCCATTCTTTGGCAAACTGGATCAAGAGCTCAGCACTATGCTGGCGCGCTTTGACACCAATGTGATCGAAATGCGTGCTCATCACCACAACCCGTGTGCCTCTGGTCTTGTGCACAAACTCGCCCATGGTGACTATGCGGTTCAGCACAGCATCCCAGCCCTTGGATGGCTGGTAGGGGGTTTTGCTCAGCCAGCGTGTCTCGCTTCGTATGCAGGACCAGATGCCCGAAGGGTAGAAGATGGGGGAGAACTCGCCATCCGTCTCGCCCGTGCCGCGACCTCGCCCAATGTGAGACCAGTTGGAGCCCAGACGTGATTGGATATCAACTATTTGAGAGTAGAGGCACTCTTGCAGGCAGATAAAGGGGCTTTCGTGGCCTGCGGTGAGGAAGTTGAGTTGCGTGCACAGCTTGGGGCATCGCACGGTCCAGGGTCGCTCGCCCAACACCGGCGATTGGGTGGCATATCGGATGTTGTACGAAATAGCTCGCAGCGGCTGGGAAGTTCGGTGTCCCGGCTGTGCAGCATGGGATCGAGACGGTGCAGCTGCGGTGGGAAGCTGCGTCATGACGAATGGGCTTGACGCGTCCAGATGGCGTGGGAGTGTAGAAAGGGTACGAAGACGATCAGAGCACCAATTGGACGGAGATTATGAAGCTTGAGCGTGGTACGTAGGAGATTCAGACAGCACTTGAGTCTATCTCCTCGCCGCGGTGGAATGGGTGGGCAGTTGATGTGATGTAGTTGTTCTTGTGGTGAGACGATGAGATGGAAAGGGGGGTGAGTATATCACGTGATGCTATGTCTATGACAGTGAAGAAGCGGGGCGGCGGACACTCACATCTCATTTCATCGTCGTTCACTGGCAAATCTCAACGCTGGAACCTTTCATGGATCACTCGCAGCTCAATTCTTGCCATCAAGACGCAACATTAAATGCTCATCTGGCTCTTGATTTCAGCCATGTCATGGAGTCCAACCACCTCAAGCGTTCACTCCTCTGTCCTGCTTGGAATCTGATCGGACAGGTTAGTATCCGCTAAATTCCCCGCCATCGAGCGCGTGACAGCCTTGCGGGCCGTGGCCCGTGGCCCGTAGGAGACGGCAGGACTAGGCTTCAATTGCAACAAAGCCTTCAACTCAATCGCAAAGTGTCCGTGTCGCGGGTCAGTCGCCCAAACCACCGTGACATCAAGCAGGAATGTACGTATCCGCTGCATGCTGAGATCCGACGGCCTATTTGCTCCGGTACCAGCCTGAATAACTGCCATACCTGGTACTGGCAAAACGAGCACCTTGCACGCTGGGAACATCAAGTCCCGCACGGCATGCTGAGAGTGCAGATTTCCTTATCATCGTGGTCCCGTGGCTCGATCAAGTGCGAGACCATTCCAAACGATGGCGCTTCAACTAGCGCAACCCTCGAGGAATTGTCGTGCGATTTTGACATAAGCTCACTACTCTATTCCAAGCCCTATTAGCGGTCTGGACAATAATGGGCAAAAGGTGATCATCATTTCCAGTGCTGCTCACTCTACATGGTGCGCGTACCGGGACGCGTCAACCGCGAGCTCTTTGGAGGGCCGGGCGCCACCCTTCTGCAAGCCTCAGATGACCACTCCGCCGGAGACGTTTGGTGCCTTGGCAGGCTCGAGCAGTGTCATGGATGATGTTGAACTTCACAGCATGCGGACATGCAAGGCACGCTGCACGCATCCCAGTGCTCAAGACGCAGGTTCAAGAGGCTGGAATACTTCCGATCCAACGAAGATTGCTCGATCCAACATTGGGATCATGCAGATGGCATTCTCATATGGGGAACCGGCATGACCATGGACTTCCCCAAGTCGATGGGGGCTCCGAGTCACCACCCACCACGCAAGTCTGGGGCTCGGGAGTCAGATGGTCCTGGAGATGGTGGCATGCCTGTCTCAGCTTACGAACGTTGGAGCGCTGGAATCAAGCACTATTGCCCAGCCTCCGCCTCTTATCTTGGACTTGCGGCCCATAATTCGCCATGCACTTTGGGGCAAGGTCGCATAATGTCGTATTTCGCGAGGCTGCGGCCTTGTTTTGGTCGCAAGCAGGTGGTAGGAGGCGACTTCACGTGGGTGCAGTGCGCCTGTCTTGGCATGTCGATGACCACCATATCGACTCACAGGGCTTCACTCTGCAGCCTGACTGTGACAGACCTGTCTCACGCATGGCATCGGTAGCCTTGCGCCATTTGATTGCCCGTGACCACCGATCAACAGGCAGCTCTATAAGAAGTCGACAGCCCCCAATAGGGATGCCTTTTTATCCAGTTGCTTCCTTTATTGTGGCAAAACTCCCTTTGTCTTCTTAGACAGGCTAATCTGGTCTTTGCACCATCACCGCCTCTTCTGGTGTGCCCAGCATTCACTGTCCAACCCAAGACGCCCATTGTGGCTCTGTGGAAATATTACCGGAGGCACCGCCGTTCCGTGCCTCGCAGACCTAACCTGCATCATCCGCCATTATTAGCCAACGACATGCCTGCTGAAACCGAAATGAGAATCCGGAGGGACTCATGGCCTCCTACGCAACTGTGGCTCGAGACCCCTCGCAACAAAAAGGCTAATGAGCCTCGACCACTACTAGATGATATGGACGATGACCCCCTGACCTACTTTCTCACACCAACGCCAGACGGCGACGGCGTAGACTATGGTGCAGATTTCGATGCTGGCATCGAGGACCCCAACCATCCGACAGAGATGGTCCGCAGCGTCAGCCCTTCGACATTGGAGGGTCTGAGCAAGCCAGACCGACCTTCCTCCCCCGAGTGCGACTCTGGCATGACATCGCCAGATGAACATGATGATGACGAAGACGAGGAGGAAGACTACATTCACTGGTCGCCTCTGAATTCGCGACTCACATCGTCCAGGGATCTCCACATTGATGGCCTCAGCCGCGCAAAGAGCCCATCATTCGGCCGCAGTGCCAATGGCCTGCTATCGCCACATTCTTTTCCGGCACCTACACCTCGGGGACGGTCCCCTGGAGGTCGTCCGCGCAGCAGCAGTCTTTCCCTCCGACCAGGTCATCTCTGGCGTATACCCAGCCCGGACGTCTGGAGCATCGAGGAAGAGACGGAAGAGGAGCTTCAGGATGCGCAGCAGCCGGACACGCCCGTGAAGAAGAATATGAAGCTGGCTGCAAAGCCAAAGAAGAGGGTCAGGTTCATACTGCCCCCCAGGGACTAGAGGTGATGCATGGGCGGAGTTTAGGCGTTTTTTTGGTTCGCATGATTCACATTGCATCGGGCGGCGATTGATCTTTGATTTCTTTGTTACCGCATAGGGGTGGTTAATAGCATGGGCAGGCACATTATAGTGCTGCTGTCATTAGCATACGCATACGTACTGGCAAAAGGGAAAGCAACAGCATTTTCAGTTCATGATTCTTCTCGTCGTACTGAAGCCAGGCTGTCAAGTGTCAACTGCATCGTAATAAGCTGAGACATGCGTGGCGTGTGGCACTGATCAGAAGACCCTCTGTCTCACCTCGGGTGAATGCGGGGGATGGTGTTCCTCGTGCAGCGATAGCCAGCCGCAATAGAGTCGGCTGTGGGAGGGATGGCGAGGCTGAAGTTTTAGACACTAATTAGAGCGATCCAAGTCGAGGGAGGCGTGTTGTGGACTATTATTGTTTAATCCCTGGTGTTGCTTGTTTTTAGCCACGATCACAGGGCAGGGAGTTGAGTCAGGGTTGTGTTTCTTGGGCAGATGTGCAGCTCGACGGTGGATCCCGGCCGGGACTTTGTTTGCCAATTGCGTGGTAAGAGGGACGAACAGCTCAGCATTCCCGCCTGCAATGTATAGCAGCCAAGGATCTAAGGACCACCGCTTTTAATGTGTTCCGGATCATGTCCAGCAGCCGTGAGCATTGAAATATTGAAGATTAACAACTGAAGGCATGGAAGAAGTGTATGGCAGACAGCACCGCCTTTCACTCCGATTCCTAGAAATAACACCTGATTGGTCGATCGACGAGGCCCGCGTCGGGCCCTGCTAGCGGCGAATGAGGTGCATGCGCAGCCATCAGTCTAACCAACAATGCCAGGAAGTGTGTTGCTCACAGTCTCCGCTATTGGTTGTTGACGCGGCCGTTACTGTGGCATCCGTCGGCCTTGTTGATGAGCGTGCCCAATCTGCAGTTGACCGTACCGTACCGCAGCCAGGCCAAGCTTCGATGGCCCTTGTCGTTCTCGAGGCCTCGACAACTTCATCTCACCACCTCGTCACCTCGTTCATCACGTCACACCGTCCCGAGCTGGCTGTCATTCTTTCTGCAGCTCGCTGAACCGACCTCCCATTCTTAATTGTGCCACACCACTCCGTACAGCTCCTATACATCGCGACTGGACCCGATCCCGACTCCATCCCTCCCGCCAAACATCCCACCTCGTCGCATTCCAGCCGCTCATTATACTATCGCGACCCTACCCAGTGTTGGCGCCGTGTTTCGCATTGCGTCAATCCCACATGATACAAAAAATATTAAACAGCATGAAATTATAAAAGCAGCGACTCCAACGAATCACAAGAATATCTATCACCCAGATGGCTGCCGAAACGGACGTCTCGTCCGACCCCGCGACCGCGACCTCGAAGCCACAACCTGACGCGCCTTCCAAGGATACTCCAGATGCGGTCGAACAGAAGGAGCAGCCCAAAGATGCTCCGTCAACCCCCACGCGACAGGCCACTGGCCATGGACATCGCCCCCGATCAAACTCCAAGAAACCTGAACCACCTACACTCCTTGCCGACTTCCTCTTGGGCCGCCCCTCACCAGCTCGCCTCGCTGCCGAGCGTCAACGTCGCCAGAGCGTGGAGGCTGTCAAGGCCGAATTACGGCATGAGATGCGCCAAAGCGCTGTCAGGAGAGTCCAGCCACCTGGGGGCGTTCGAGATCGCGTGAAGGCATGGCAAAAGGCGAATGCAGCAGTTAAAGTCGCACCCACACCAGACGACGCAGCCACCGAGCCGACTGACGTGGCCTTTGACGGGGAAGAAGGTTTCGAAGATGTCACCGAGGAAGACAGGATACGGATCAAGATGCGCAAAAAGAAGAAGAAGCCGCCCGTCGTGGAATACAAGGTCCCGGATGAGACACCCGCCAGCTCAGAGGGTACGCCTGCTCCAAAGAAGAGGGTGGTTAGCGACGAACACTGGAAAAAAGTCAGAGAGCGGAAATCACCACCGAGGAAAAGGTCGCCGGTACGGAAAATATCCCCACGAAGGCTATCGCCCAAGAGGTCACCCGCGGGTGCGCAAATACCCAAGAATTTCACCCTACAAACCGCCGCTGGCGCAAATGTGTCCAACCGGGTGAAGGCATGGGCAGACAAGGTCGAAGTGCCAGATACGCCTCCGCCCCGCAGCCACCGTTCGGGCAAGTCGGGGGCCAGGAGTATCATCTCAGACGTTGATTTCAGCGACATTCGTAGTGAGGATGCCACTTCAGCTAAGAGCCATGGTACAGTGCGTCTGTCGCTTCGCCACAAGCGCAATGGGTCTGTGCCGGCGGACGGAATCAGGGTCAAGCCTGTGCGGGCGAAGAAGCAGGACGACGATGGGATCCGCATTACCCCAATGAACTCGGCCGTGGACAGCGACTCCGAGATCAAGGTGGAGAGCGAGTTATCCACGGAGCTCACCGAGTCTACTGGCTTGTCCCGATCAAGAAGCAAGACGCTTCCGTCATCGCCGCGACCACCAATGTCTGCACTCGATCGCATAGAGGTGATCGAAGAGCCGTCCGAGCTTTCGCAAAGTACGGGCCAGGACTTTATCGAGGTGATTGAAGACATGGAATCTGCCTTGAGCGTCCCAGCCAAGGCCCGAGGCAAGGGCCAGGCCAGACAGCGCTCTCAGAACCACAGTTCGAAGACTCAAAAGCAAGAGATGGATGACGAATCAGCGTTGTCGCCTTCTCAGCTTCTGGGCTCTGATCTTTCACACAAGTCACTGGCTGACATCCCCGGAGAGATTCCCTGGGGCCATTCAGCATTCAGCGAGCTGGATCTACCACTGAATGGACCAGCACGGAGCAGACCCAAGCAACCAAAGGCGCCAGAGCGCACGGCTAGCCTCAACGTCTTCAAAAAGGTTATGCAAGAGGGCAAGAAGATCATATCCGAAATGAACGAGCCGCCTCGTCCGACGGCAGCGAACAGGCCGCCAAACATAGAAAATTGGCTTCATGATACCGTGGACCCATTCGTCGAAGACAAGGAGAACAAGACAAGCGCAGTCGAAGAACCAGTCAAGGAACCAAAGACCAAAGACCGAACTCCAGAACCGATGCCACAACCAGTCCCTGACCAGTCCTCAAGCCAACCGACCCCTGAAGCTAAACGGAAGCCCCGGACAGATCGCAAGTCCTCTCACGACACAGGCACTAGTGGCCATTCTCGTACCAAATCAGAGTCCATGCGTAGCGAAGATACGTCGTTGCCTTCAACTAGCCTGAACGACGTGACCCCGAAATCCAAAACGTCATCTGATGGTCTCAAGCGACGGAGTGCCATCCGCAATTCGTCAACACCCACCAAGCAGGCAAAGCGTCCGCTGTTGGGCATGCTAAAGGATGCCTTCTCCGGAGAGTCTGTGCAGAGGATACCCTCGTTCAACTACCAAGGCCAGGAGGAGCGGCGCTTTGAGGACGATGAGTATGACGACGACGGCATGACCGAGGACCGCACAATGTCTGGGTACGAAACCAGGTCAAGCTACCTGTACGACGAGACGCCCACCACCTCTGAATTGAGTCAGGAATCAACAGAGCAAGCGCCTAGAATGGCCGGGCCCAGGCTCAGGCCTCCAACGAATGGCAACTACGAGCTATCCACCATCATGTCGGAAGAGAGCTCCAGCGCCATGGAGTCAGATATGACTTCAGACGTGTCACCATCCACCCTGACTCAGTCCACTGTTCTTACAAAGGATAGCAACCTTTCACGGGACAGAAGCAAGAACGTGGCTACGCCTGGCCTCAAAAGGAGGTTGACCAAGCACTCTGACTTGGTGTCGGTGCTGTCCCTACCTGACGACAGGAGCATCCCAGATTCCATCAAGAGGTCAAGGCCAAGCTTGCGCAAGGTACGAGGACACAGTGATCAGGTCACTCCAAATGAGTTGTTGCGAGAGTTCAGCGACGATGAGGGGCTCTACATGCGAGAGCTCAAAACACTGGTTGATGGCGTTGTTCCCGTACTGCTCTCACAAGTTGTCAATGATGTCAAGACAGCTGATATTTTTGATCAATCCACGCAAAAGCTTGACGGGCTGTCTGCTGCTGTCGTGGGCATGGGCATTGCATTGGAGAAGCTACGCAATGCCCACAAGAAAGCGCCGCACCACGACCTCCGCCGAATGGCGCACTGGGCACACGGCGTAGTTCCCATCTACAATAACTATCTCAAATCATGGCGCCTAGGCTTCCAGGATCTCATCGTCAACCTTGCGCCTGCTGCCGGCGTGCCAGAGGACGAGGACTCGCTACTCAACGCCATGCCGAGGAACGAGCACGGTGATGTCCTCAACGAAGATGGCGAGCGGGTGGATGTTGCCCACTTGCTGAAGAGGCCCTTGATCAGGATCAAGCACATGGTCAAGCTGATCAAGTGTGTTGACTCCATCATGCCTTCAGAAGACACCCATGAGCTGCTCAAGAACTTTGAAGAGCTGCAGAGCAAGTCGCGGCGCAGGTACCGGGAGGAGACTGCCCGGCTGACAGATGAGGAAGCAGCGCGAACAGACACGACGCGCGCTCGGGATCTGAGGACTTTGGGCGCCCTGGACTACATAGAAATTGACCAAAGTCTCCAGGTCAACGCCAAGGATGTCTTCTCGCTGGATCTCGCCCACTCCAATGGGCAGCGCCTGGAATGCCAGGTCGAGCTGGTACATCGCGACAACCAGCAATCAGCAGGTGACAAGGGAGACTTGCTTATTCGCGAGACCGGCGACCATGGGCGTGCCTATCTCCTCTTCCCGCCTGTTCTCATGGGCAACCTGTCTGCGCGTACAGGCGAGGGCAACAACGATATGGTTCTGATGGTTCGAGGCATGCACCACGGAAAACCCTGGCATGAGCTCCTCACCCTCACTTCCGACAGCGAAGACCAAATTCTGGACTGGCTTGACATTCTACCACTATCGCCAGTGCCCCCCAGGGAACCAGAGCCAAGCGTCGTTGGCGAGGATGAGGAGGAAGAACGGAAGGCCGTCGACATCCCCTTTGGCGCTCGAAGCATCCGCAGAAAGGGGGGGAGATACGGTGATGCGGGACCAACGACGCCCACGAGGTCACCCTCGTCAAGGCAGCAGCGCAGGCGATCCGGTGTTACCACAACACCCCCGAGGATTGACGAAGAAGAGAATGAGGAAACAACGCCTACGCAGAACGACTACCGCCATCGCCCAAGAAGCCGCGGCCATGATCGCAGCCGGCCCCTCCACGAAGGCATGCGACCTGATCCCCTCACGCTACGTAAGCATGAAGACGCTCCACCAATGGTGCCCATTCATCGCACGCTTAGTCCATTGCCCTTGGGTGAGTCAGATGGCAAGAAGGCTTCCATCAAGCCCCCCGCCGAGCTCAAGAAGCAGGGCGATGGTCAAATCAAGCGTCGCGGGTCTTCGCCTCTCAAACACGAGTACCTCCCATCCGACGAAGCTTCACGGTCTGGCGTCTCCCGGTCATCGCATTCCGAGGACGACTATACAGAGTACTCTGATGGCAGTGTATCCGAGCTGGATTCGGACGAGGACGAAGACGAGCTGGAGCGGATCGATGTACCACAAACTGAGCTTGGCGTCAGCATTCAAGAAGCAGCGCCCATCGAGTCCGATCTGAGCCTCACGCCATCCAACTCGGCTTCGCAGGCTGGATTGCATCGGGTGAGAGACGAAATCCCTGCAGAGCCAAGAGCCGAGGCGCCCGTCGACCAAGTCCAGCGCTTCATGGCGTCTATCAGTCAGTGGAGCGACAGTGGTGTATGGCGAGACGTGACCACCGCGCCCTGTGCCATCGTCGTCCGAGGCGGCATGATTGAGGCTTACCCGTTCCAAGCCGTCGGCCCAGGCGAGAATCCAGAGAATGCGCGACCCATGCTTGCGCTGGACCTCACCCCTCTGGTTCTCATTCGACACAGCACGGTGATCGATGTGGAAATCCGCTCGGCAATGCTTGATCACTGCACAATGTGGAAGAACGAGTCGAGCGGCGGCAACTTCAGGTTCCGATGCCACAGTGGGCCGGACTGCTTCAGCTTCTACATGGCCGTCCACCACGCCCGACTCCGGAACCAGAAGTTCATCCAGCTCGAGACCGAGAACAGGTTCCGTAGTTTCGGTCAGAACCAGGCGCCGGCCACCAATGACGGGGACGCCAGCTCGCGACGCCGCAGCCTATTCGGTAGGAAGAATAGCTACCGCAGCTCGATCCGCGCGCCGCCCCAGTCGTTCGATGGTGCTAGCACGACACCATCGTCCAACGCATCCGCCAAGAGCTTCCTGAAGAGACTGTCAGCGGCAGGCAACCTGACCTTCAACCTGGGGAGGTCCTCGGTCGACAAGCAGAGCCGACCCGGGAGCGTGCGCAACAGCCTGTACTCGTCGTCGTCGGCGAGCAACACGCCGCCCCGGTCCCCGTCCATCAGCGTCGAGAACAGCGGGCACAACATCCCCGGCAACTTCAATGCGGAAAACATACGGATCCGACTCCACTTGCTGGCCAGCGCGACAAAGTGGGAGGACTACGGCAACTGCAGTCTCCAGATCCGTCGGCCCCCGCCCGGTTGGCACCAGGCCCTCCGTGCCAACCACGGTCTGGAGAAGCGGGTGACGGTGACGACGCTGCCCCGCAAGGAGTCTGACGCGCCCAAGATCATGCTGGACGCGGTCTTGGGCAGCGGGTGCTTCACGCAAATGGGCAGCCGCGGCATCGTGTGCGGTGTGTGGGAGGAGGTCCGGGACCAGGATGGACTGGTGGGCGGCGTGCCCGCCACGGGGGCGACGGGTGGTAATATCAAGAAGTGGTGCTTCCAGTGCGCGAGCGCGCCCGAGGCGGCCTGGGTGCTGAGACTGGTGCACCAGGAGGTGATTAGGGTGTGAGTGAGCCCATGGATCTCTCGGGTGTTTTCTTTTTCTTTATTTTTTTGTCTTTTTGGCATGCAGTTTCCTTTGTCACGATGATATCCCCCTGCTTTTCGGATGCATATGGTTGCAATGGGTCGTATATATGGGTGGGAGAGGCTGCTTATTATAGACGGAACGGCGCACGGATAGGGACGAGGGAGATTTGGAATTTCAGCCAAGCGATGAGTGTTTACGTTTTGAACGACATTTATATATATATATATACTGGAGGTGGAATGAGCATGCAATCATGTCCTGTCGATGATTCTCAGTGTCCGCCGCCGTTGATGTGAGTATATCATACAAGCCGTGCGTGCTTGTTGGTGATCATGATGTTGAGAAATGACCCAAGTATAGAGCCAAAGTAAGGAAAACAAAAGTCAAGTCGCTATCCCAGGTATCCGGCATCCTCTGCCTACGTATTCATACAACCGCAACAGACCCATGGAGAGAGAGGCCACCTATGTTCCTCCCTGCGGCGCGACAGGACGCCCTCCATCCACGAGAACCTGCTCATCGTGCCTCTCGCCAACCTTGCGCCCGTGCTCGATCCTCTTCCAGGTCGTAATCTTGGCCTCGTTGGCGTCAATTTCAAACATGCGCAGACGACGGACGTAACCGCCATAGCCGCCGTAGCCCCCGAACCCGATGCCGCCGCCGTAGCACATCCACAGCGCGGGGGTCTGCTCCTCCTTGTCGGCCTCGTCCTGCATGGAGAGGGCGCAGTACTCGTTGGCGTGGTCGTGGCCGGCGCTGACCATGACGACGTTTTGCTCCACGAGGGCGTCGCGGAAGCCAGAGTTGTACGTGGGCGCCGTGACGCCCTCGCGCCAGGCGCCCAGGCGGGGGTTCGTGCTGTCGAGGTATTCCTGGAGCGGGATGTGGATAAAGGCAATGTCCATGTGGCGATGGGTATACTCCTTGTGCTTGGCCTTGAGCTTCTCGGCCGTGTGGCGGAACCAGTTGATCTGCGAGGGCTTGATCCAGTCATACCCAGGAAAATTGCGCTCGTCTGGGGAGTAGGCGTGCGTGTCGAGCATGTAGATGGACAGGGCGGAGTGGTCCGACTTGCCGCGCGCCAGGACCTCAATATAGTAGTTGCCCACGCCGTCGACGTCCTCGGGGCCGGCGAGGGAGAGGGAGTAGGGCAGCGACTCGAGGATGGCCATCTGGGCGGCGCGGGACATGGACTTTTCGTCGTCGTGGTTGCCAAAGATGCAGGCGTAGGGGATGCTGCGCTCGATGAGGAGTTTGGCAAACTTGTAGATGGCCGATGGCGCATCGGGGGAGGTGTCGCCGTTGACTTGGTCGCCGCTGAGAATGACGAGGTCCGGTTTCTCCTCCTCGAGCATCTTGGCCATGAATTCGAGAGTCCTCGGATCGGCCTCGCAGGGGCCGTTGTGGTACTTGTCGGGGACCGCATCGCGACACTTGCCCACGCCCGTGCTGAGGTGGAGGTCAGCCACCTGCATGATCCGGAAGCGCCCGTTATCGTTGAACCTAGGTTTCGGCGGCTTCTCTACGACATGGGGCCCTCTTCGGACGGTGAGGTGAGCGCTGAAGTGGTTCTCCGTGTTGAGGAGTAGTGGTGTGCCCACAATGGTCCAGTGCCCACGTGCCTCCACGGCATCGTCTCCAAAGACAACGTCCACATCCGTAATGGCCTGGTTATCGTCGCTCGCCTTGTGGCTCATGGAACGTTTGATCCATATCCCGGACGGCCGAGCCTCCCACTGCTCCGAGGCCCCGGAGCCGCTACCCGGGTTGAGGCGTCCGACTGTCACGTCCATCACGACACTATCGCCTTCGATCAAGTCTTCCTCCCTCTTCCGGCTGACAAACAGATAAGCGCTGCTTGTCCATGATTTTCCCAAAAGCAGATCCTTTTCTACCCGTGTCCATTTCTGCTTGTCCAAGTTGCATGACGAGAAGACGTTGACGCTCGAGCATTGTGCAATCGTAACGTCTGTCACCACGAGACCAGGGTGGTGCGTGGGCATGTGAGCATGTAGCGAGTTCGGAAGTACGCGGTAATTCCGATCGAGGACGAGAACGAGAACGAGGGTTGTGATGAGGGCGGCAGCCGCCTGGAGCAGCGTGCGCACGATGCGGCGCGTCATTGTGAAGACTGGTGGGGAGCTGGTGGTTGCCGAATGGTGAGTCGAGTCCGCGACAGGCCCGCGCGGGCTTCGTAATTGAGTCGAAGCAGCTACGCAGGTACAAGCATGTTCGATGGAGATTTATCAGGCTGATGGTCGTTTATCGCATCGCACAGCGTCGCTGTCGTTGTGGCTAAGCTGATAGCTCTGGTGCGACGGGAGAAGCGGTAAGTCGACAGGTGGACGATCGTTGGGTGATTTGTCCGTGTGGTACCCTCGTGGAACTCCACGAAGAGATGTCTGTACAAAAGTGCTCGACTCGGCCGCAGGATGGTTGTTAATAGTATCGATGGAGGTTTGATGTGAGAAGATTCGAGATCAGAAACAAGATCAGGGTCGTGGAAACCTTAATGGGAATAGATCTTGGGGTCCGCTGGTGCATTCCTCTGCGCGAGACAGGGGGCGGATCAGTGGGTCGTCCACTACGACGTGTCTCCGCACTCTAACTTACTACTCTCTTCACCTTAACTATTACTGTTATTAGTAGGTAGGGGTAGACTAGTCGAAGCAGCGATATCTCGAGTAGTCCTGGCGTCGTCGTCTCGTCCCTTCCATTCAGGAGTACCGACGTCTTTCTGCCGGAACGAGTAGCCTGCGCCCACAGTCTAGACTTGCGATGAAGATGGTGATATTGATGGTTGAGATCTCCCTTCTTGCCTTCGAACTTAAGTGGCACGGTACGGCTGTGCTTGTGAGTGTTTACTCATGGAACGTGTTTTGGTAAAGACAACGAACTGTTTGTCGTGTTCAAACATGGGGGCTCTGCTGTGGTTTGTAACATATCAGTTGGCGGTGATCAAGCCCTCACTGATCGTCACATACCAAAAGTCGTAAATTATATTCAGAAATCACAGACAGAATATAAGATATAGATAATATCCAGGCAAGAAAAAACACACCCACCTCCTGACTTACGAGCCCGTGCTCAATTGGAAACGACTCCCACGAGATCCTGTAGGGTAGCCGCTCGCCACGTCCGCTTGTCGCCCCTCGACTGCGCGAGGTGGTCCGTGCGTAAATCCTTCCAAACTGGGCAGCTAGCTCTGCAGACACCGAAAGATGCGACAGGAGGCTGGGGGCTCCCTTTGAACGACCTCTACTAGTCTAGCCTTCTCCAACCCGACATACATCACCAAGTATTCACGATCGACATCGCCAAGAAACCACACTTAACTACCGGTATCAATATCCCCTTCACGAAACGCCGACGTCAAGCAACGTGTCCATATCCGAAACACGTCACGCAGCTGCGCGTCCCCTTGTCGCAACCATGGCGACCGACTACTTCACCCTCAAAGTACCAGAGCTCAAGAAGCTCTGCTCAGAGCGAGGTCTCTCGCCAACGGGAAACAAAGCGGACCTGGTCGCGCGTCTCAAGGAGCACGACGAGGCCAATGGCGCCGCCGAGCCCCAGAGCAAAGAGAAAGAGTCAAACCAGGAGGCCAATGCTGACGGTCAGTCGCGGTCCGCACTCAACACCCCAAGGACCCCTCAGCTAACATCCCCCACAGCCGCGCCAAAGGACGATTTGATCAGCTACTCAGACGACGAGGCGCCTGCTGCCAAGCCTGCGCCTGCTGAGGCTGCTGCCACCGCCGACGCCGCGACTGCCAACCCCAGTGCGCCAAACCCCGAGGAGACCAAGGTTCCTGAGGTGGAAGCAGCCGCGCCTGCGACTGAGGAGGCGAAGCCCGAGCCCGTGTCCTTCGCTGCCGGTCTCGCTGCCTCGTCCGCGTCCGACGAGGCGAAGAAGCGCGCCGACCGCGCCAAGCGCTTTGGCATCGAGGAAGACGAGGAGAAGAAGAAGCTCGCCGAGCGCGCGGAGCGATTCGGCGTCCAGGAGGACGCCGTCAGCGGACTGGACTCTGCGCTTCCTGACAGGCCTCTGAAGAGGGGACGTGGGAGGAACGCCGAGGCGGACAATGCGCGACCCAACAAGCGACAGAGCCAAGATCGCAGAGGCGGGCGACGGGATGGACGCCGGGGTGGCGCTGACGTCCCGACGGGCAACAAGCCTGCGCCGGCCAAGAAGTCGAGCATTCTCGATGATCCCGTCGAGAAAGCCAAGGCGGAGAAGCGCGCTGCCAGGTTCGGCGGTGCTTAACATTCATCCGGTCATCTTCGGCCCATGATTTGCTACACTAGGTATTAATGACAATGATTAGGGAGAGGCGCACTCGCACACGACGAGATACGATGAGTGTACACTAGGGTAGCGGAATAGAGGAACACGGCGTCTCGGCGACTTTGCGTTCACCGTGATGTGCCCCCTTCGTTGACATTGATGCGGCGTGTGTCGTCACAGTCTTCGATCACGTTTATCGAGCGTGCGAAGGCGGACGCGGCGTCCGTAAGGAGCATGGTGCACAGCGAGGACGTAGCTGAGCTCATCAGACTTGGAGATTGTCGTCACATGGTTGAGCCCAAGCTGGTCCCGTCGCGGCCGCCTTGGGGCCATTGATCGGGGCCGAGACGATCTCCCCGGTCTATTCGGGCCTAGCAAGGTCATGTGTTGCGGGCGAAGCCGTCATCGACGGGAAGATCCTCAACGGGGACCTATCTAGTGTCGTTGATGGGCGCTTAGGCTGGGGGATGAATGGTTGGACACGTTGACAGCGGGCTACGTATGAGGCATTTGCAAACTACACAGTCATACATGCGGTCTGCAAAGATAAGTCTCAAACCTCGGACGAATCTGAAGCCAAGTGCTCGCGCTCAGCTACAGTCTGGCCTCCCTTGCCGAACGACCTGACGTCCGAGAACCAAAGGATCGTGTCAAAGGTCCCGTGACCTCGACGATAGGATCAGGAGTCGCATCGCTCGCTAGAGCTCTGAGCAGGTGACCAGTCTGCCGTGCCGCCTTTGGCCCCGGTGATATAATAGTTATTCTGAGCCGCCAAGATCCGTCCCAGGCCCGCGTGCGGTCCGGTGCGGCGCGCGCGCGCACACACAATCGAATCGCTCGCGTCTATCTCGCTTGACGACGGGAGTGGTGAGGCCCCAGCTAGCCACGGCTATGTCTCTAACCAACCGACGACACCACCTCACTGCACGTGAGTGGTGCTCAATGTGAGCACAGACGCAATGGTTGTCCCATCTAAGGAGGAGAAGGGTGATTCTTCTCACGACGATTCGTCGTTGGCGTTATCCTGGGCGGTTTCTGGGGGATGACTGCTGGCCAATGAGCAAGGCAAGACCCTGGATCATCAAAATCGACCCCTGGTCAAGGAGGGTTGACTGCCGCGGAGGGTGTTGGGTCCCTTTGGGAGACCTTGCTATCGCCAAAGAAAGTGATATCGAGTTGTCATTATCGTGAGGCTTTGGAAGCAGTCATCTGAGCATCTTCCAGAGGCCATGTTCAAACTCTGAACTGTCGGTGAGGCAGAAGAACGCCATCGTCATGCCTTGGAAGGCAAAGTACCGATACTTCTGGGCCCGGGAAAGTGACTTGACAGGGATAATTCGATGCCCAGCATGTCGAAGCCACAGAGCCTCATGACCTCAAGCCACAGGACGTCTGCCACGTCAAGCCTCAAGTGTGGCGGAGTCCGCCATGCCCAGGAAAACGTGCATTGTCGCACCGGGCGCAGCCTGCAGAGACCTCAGCTGGACCAGGTTTTCGTCCAGCGACAGCGATCGTGCAGTTGTGAAGATTGCGCATGATTTTATGCAAGCTATTTTGAGAAAGTTTGCCTCTGAGTCTGTCTTGCTGTACACTGGGACAGAGGCGATCCAGTCCTGTAATGCCCTGGACCAGGATTGCATGCGGTTGGCCTGAACAACGATGGACCTGAGATACGATTGTTGCACAGCATGAATATCGATTACCAACCCGACGCGATGGTCCATGTGGTGTGGAAGACCTGCAGCTCAGAGGCACGAAATCGATGACTGGATCCCAGCAGGCTTCCTGGTGGTGGTGTTGAAGGCGAGGTGCCTCGACTGTGGCTGAAGGGCTGGCCAATTGTGACTGGTCCTAATTCCAGGAATATCTACCAATTACATGTCACTGAGGGCAACAGGAGCTGAGCCTGGCGAATCAGCGCATGGGAAATTGATTCTTCGGAACTGGCCTGGCCTTCTTGGTCGTACTTTCCTCATCGTGTACTGCACGCCGCAACAAACCCAGCGCCCGCAGGCAGCGAGATGATTCCCAATGATGTAGCAAAGCACCAACACGACAGCCTTCCACCGCTCTCATTGCACTTGAGAGGAATATCAAAGAGTCGTCATTCTTCAAGTTGCCCTGCACGACGCCCTCATGGGAACCATCAACTCGCAAGCGCCGGGATGTGGTGGCTGGTGGGCCTTGGTCGTCGATCCGCGGATGGGAGTCAGACCTGCAGATTCGCAAGCAGAGAGCTGCCGTCGAGCCAGTCAAGCCTGACCTGTCGGATTCGTTTACTCTGAGACCTGCTGCGCACCATCCTGGACGCGCACGCGGACCGGCATCGCCCGCCAACAAGCTGGCTTGATAGTCTTGTATAGTACCATTGCCTCGCGAGGATAGCGCACGACTAACGACTAGCTAGACTCGAGGATGGCCCCCATAGCCCGCTCAATAAGCATGTGCCCAAGGTGACACCTCTAATGGTCGTCAGGAAAGGGCCGCTTGCCGTCGACGGCTCGACCCTAGGTCCACTGACACGAGAGATAGACAGACAGAAGAGGCACAAGAGGCTGGACGCGCGCCGCATCCTTACCAAGGCGGACCCCACCAAACAGGGCGCTTGTCGAGGGGCCCCCCCTCGTCCATCCGCCAATCCCTCCGGGCCATGGTGCCCAATTGTAGCCCTGACCAGGTTGCTCTTCGTTCTTGTTGGACGAGTCGACCATGCAAGTCCTGGAGGCGACCGAACTGGACGAATCCCACATCGACGGCTCTGCATGAAGCATTGGCGACTCCAGATGTCGAGATGCGTGCAGACTGCAGATGTATTCGTCCCCTGGCTGCAACTACCAGGTACTTGCAGCTCCCCGTCGAGGGCGACACGGCCACTCATTGTGCAGCAACCTCAGTCTCCTGTGCGTCTAAATACTATAGCGTACGCCTCGCGAGGCCCTCTTCTTCTCCTTTATCATTGTCCCTTTCGTATATCCGATCCCCCGTGGTGCCATTTCCTTCTCTCTTGTTCTTGTCTTCCTCGTTTTCTCAGCCAGCGTCGTTTTCGTGTAACCCCTCTTGGTGCCCGGCGTGCGTCAATCACTGCAGGATCACACTATCGGCCATCCTCTACAGACCCAGCCCGGCGCCAAAAGACCTCCCGTTCAGCCCTCCACTACCTCGAGCCAGCACGGTCTCGGCTTAGTGTTTGTGACGACGTTACAGGGGCCCTTTTAGCCACGGCCGAACGCTAGACAACTACATTGCTATCCTCGTTCACGCTCGCCTCACGTCCTGGCTTTTGCTCTTGTTGCGGTCTCAGCAATAAATCATCCTTCTGGTGCGTGGATGTCACTATATCGATGATTACTGCTGACCCTCTCAGGCTTGACATGACTATATAGGCTCGGAGGCATGTTGGTGACATACTACGCTGCTGGTGGACAATCATGGCATCCCTCAGAACGGGATATGGACTGCCCGCCCGACCTAATGATGGGATACGAACACGGAGACCGAGTGACACAGGCCAGCCTGGGAGCATTCCCAGACCGGCAAACAGGGTCGTGACCACCGCGCAGGACACAAATGCACCCGTGGCAATGTCATCCACGTCAAAGTTGCCGAGCAGAGTACCCCAGCCTACATCAGCACCGCGACAATCTGGAAGACCGGCTGCGGCACGCCGTCCCTCACTCGAGCAAAAGTCAGCATCATGGGGATCAACAAGCACCAACCCTTCCAACCGTGCGGGCTCGCATGCTCAGAGCGGTTCAGGATCGTCAACGTCGAGCAGATCCCACGACAGTAACCAGGCAGCCCCCCGACAGCTGCTGCGCCGGAAGCAGTCATCAGTGTCACAGATAGCACGGCCTGAGTTGCCGCCGCAGAACTCCTACCCACCGCCTCTCCGGACCAGAGAGGCAGTCGACTCCTTGTCTAACCATGCTAGGAAGCCTTCAACAGACAACACGATGTTGAGCCAACCTAAGGAGGAAGGGTTGGGGCAGCGAGTAGGACTGGGACAATCGCCGGTCATCTACCCAGAGCTCGACCGCTACAGGCACCATCAGCAATCGGCAACGTCAGAGCAAGTCTTCGAGTTGCCTTACAAGCTCTCGACACAAGACCTTCCGCCCCCTACACCTGCTAGCCTTTTGTTCTCGGGGAGCAGTAGCCAGCTCAGCGCAAGCCCTTCCACAAAGTACTCGGAATCCCCCGGCCCTGGCTCATACAGCCGTGACACCACTCCGACCTCAATGTCTTCCCAGTCACCCGGGATGGTATCCTCGTCGCGCTTCTTGGGCCCCAAGCCGCGACAGCTCAGCCCTGCCTTGACTCGACCTCCAGTCACCCGAAGACGAGCCGGCAGCATCCCCAGTGATATGGACTCGATGGGAACAGACCCTCAAGGCTTGGCTGCTGTACGCGAGTCGACCAACTCGTCATCCTCCAGCTCGACGGTGAAAGATGGTGATCGGGGCACTAGGGATAAGAAGTCCATGACAGCCGTACCGCCGCCGGTACCCAACCCGCCGCCTCGCAAATCCTCGCAGAAGTTCCGAAAGAACAGTTCTGGCGAGGTCAAGACAACCATTGTCAAGCCAAGATCAGGGTCTACGGGCAACACCTCATCACAGAAGTCTGCGGGCCCCCCAACCCGAGATCCGACGTTGCAATCGCCAACCAAACCTCCAACACCTCGTCGACCAAGCCGCGATGGAACCCCTGACATTCATTCGCAATTGCTCGGCCCGGCCCCAGTTGTGCACAGCAACCTGTCATCTACGTCGCTTCCAGCAGAGGGACGGCGTAGCGAGTCGAACGAGCTCAGGCCTACCCATGTTCGCACCCGAAATGCCTCCATATCCCAGCTTCCAACAGGCAAGGCCTCTACTTCGTCTTCAAAGCCAGCAGAGCCTAGCAAAGCCAAGGTTCCTGAGCCTCCACGACCGGCAACCCGCACGCCCAGCCCCAATGTCGGATCGTCTTTTCGGTTCCCATTCTTTGGACGGAAGAAGACCGCAGCTCAGAGTCCACCCAAGGAAGCCAAAGAGAAGAAAGCCTTGCGGAAGGGACCGGCAGCCGGCACTGGCCACGAGGGCTACGGTCGCTTTGGCGCCGTGAAGCGACGAAGTGGCAGTAGCAACTTGTCCAGGGGCATGGCGGGCACTCAGTCATCCCAGGAGAGCCTGGTCAGCAACGACCCCTTTTTTGCTGATCGCTTGAACCCCGTCGTTATCGCCGGGGGCGAGATTGTCGAGAATCGTAACCACAGTTCCGAACTCAGCAGGACCACAAGCGATCTGAGTCTGCCGCGCCCTAGCACCGACAGTGCCAACCGTACGACAATGTGGCCATCCCCCAATCTTCGTTGCTCGCCTTCACGACCTGCCACCCGCCGTCCGTCAGACAGTAGTGACTCCGAGGGTCCCCGGATGAAGCCCACATTGGCCTACCGTCGGTCAATTCAGCGCCTGGGTACATCCCCCGAGAATCCGTTGCGTCTACCTCAGCCCATCAACACTGGCAGCAAGGCCTCTTCGCCCATGACCAGCTTTGATACAAGTATCATGTCAGATGACTCGCACTATGAGATGCAGCGCGAGGTCCTGCGAGGCCGTGCAGCCGCTCAGCCTGTGCCGAAGAAGCTCGTGAAGCGTGAACGCTCGCCTCGCAAGTGGAATCTGTTTGGTCGATCGCAGAAACAGGCAGCGAAGAAGGCGGATGCCGTCGTCAACGCTCCCGCCTCTGAGGCGGAAAAGAAGCCGCCGGCATTCTACACTTTGATGGACAACTCGGATCCTGACGTGGCTGTCGAGGCTGATATTCACGACGTCTTGCGCAATGCTGACATTTACGTCCACACTCCTCAGCACAGCACAGCGGAATTGTCGTCTGCCGGAGTTCGAACACCGGAACCAGCGCCAGCACCAGTGCCGACAAGAGAGCGCCCGCCTGCTGTCCGGGCACAAAAGGTCTTCCACGATCCGGTCGTAGAGGACAAGCAGCCCGAACCAGCGGTTGCATCGCAGCCTCGACCTGCACAGCCGGCGACCTTGCGCTCTGGGCGCCCAAGCAGACTGCAGCAAGTTGGCCGGATCCCCAAGGTCGTTAGCAACCGGCAACCCGATCAGTCTCCCAAGAGCTTTTCCAGACCGTTCCGAGCCAGCCTTCAATCCGCTCCTCATCCTTCCGAATACCTAGACCCCGAGTATATCGCCAAGGGACCCAGTCCTCCGCAACCATCCTGCTCGACGCCGGAACTGACCATGGAGGCTTCCACTGCCGAGACGGCGGAGAGCGTGACGAATGTGTCCTCTTCTTGCGACTCACAGGCCAGGGCCTCCAATGAGGAAGAGTCTCGGGAGTTCTTGCGCTTCTCACCACGCAAGAACTCTGAAGGTACCGTCGATACAAGCTCCAGCTCTGGCATGTTCTCTCTCGGCGTGCCCACCGCCATCATCCCACGCCCGGAGGATCCTCCTGCGGAAGATGAAGTCTGGAATGAGTTTGATGATCTGCTCGGCGAGGACCAGCCCAAGCAGCCGGCCTCGGCCACGTCCTCCCGAGGCACGCCGTTCCACCTCGAGACATTTCAGTCCAAGCTCAGCAAAGAGAAGCCCATGGAGTCGCCGACTCTGGCTGCCGATCGAGTCGTCTCCTCCCACTCGTTGGCACCCACTGCTTCGAGCTGCTACAGCGCTGACATGACGGAGCGCATTCGCAATGCCTTCCAGCCGCACCCCAGTCCGCCTATGGAGCCCGAGGTCGACGAGAAACAGCAGCAAGACGAGATCAAAGCGCCAATGTCGGTTCCCGCCCGCCCCCGCAGGAGCCTGTCGCCTATTGAGGAGCGCAACTCGGTCAGCAGCTGCAGCTCCTCTGAGGACGGCACGCCTCTCGCCCAGGTCAACCTGCGCGTGGGATCCATGACGGTGAGCAAGTGGCTCACCTTTGGCCACGTGCTCTTTAGCGATGTACGCCATGAGCTTGTGGCGGAGGATGGCTCCCAACACCGGCGATCCATACTCGTCATTGACGGCCTGGGCAACGACGACTGGTCCTTCTACGCCGCCGAGACGTACCCCAAAGCGACCTTTTACAACCTCTCGCCACGTGCGCCGCTACCCACCGAGGCCGCGTCGTCGCCCAAGAGCTTTCCCCTGAGCCCACCGAATCACCACCAAGTCCAGTACTTTTCTCACGATGAGAAGTTTCCCTTCGCCGCGCAGAGCTTCACCTCAGTGGTGTACAGATTCCCTGTGGCGGCACCTGAATCTCACTACCGCAACATTCTCAGCGAGGCTCGACGTGTCTTGAAGCCCGGTGGTTACCTAGAGCTGTCGATACTTGACGTTGACCTCAACAACATGGGTACGCGTGGCCGTCGCGCGGTGCGCCAGCTCAAAGAACGCATCCACGCCGCCGACTGCGAGAAAAGCCTGGCCTCAGCCTCTGATCTGCTCGTGAAACTCATCGCCTCGGCCGGTTTCTACGACGTCAAGGCTGCGAGAGTCGGCGTACCTGTGGCCAGTCCCATCACCCGGGGCCATGGCAGCAGCATCAAGAAACATGACCGCAAGGCAAACAAGGGCCAGCCGAGCTTGTCTGACATGATGAGCGATGAGAGCGCCGGCGCCGACGAGAGCATCACTAAAATGGTGTCTCGTGTCGGTCGTTGGTGGTACTCCCGGTGCTACGAGAGCGCAACGTCCGAGCCTACGTCTCTGTGGAACGACAAGGCGCTCCTGAGGGAGTGCGAGGAGCTGGGCACGAGCTTGAAGCTCATGGTCTGCTGCGGCCGTGCTCCCGAGCGCGTCCTGAGCGTGTAACATTCCGCTTCCCAACCCCCCCCCCCCCCCCTTTTTTTATCTTTTCTTTACAGATTGGAAGAAGTTGGCGCAAGCCCACATACATATATACAAACAAACTGATCTACAGAAAGATCAGCGCATAGGTTGCTAGTCAGCCTCGCACGCATCTTGCTTGCTACATCTGAAAGGGCTCACGCCTGCTATCACGACGACAGGTTCTTGTTTCTGCATAGCGCTTGCTTCTCCTTCTCTTCTTCTTCTTCACTGGCGGGCGGATGGATTCCGTTCACTGGCGGCTTGGTCCTTCACTTGGAGAATTCTTGGGACAGGTTTTGGCGAAATATTGATAATGGACCGCCCTCTCTGGAGGGATGCAATGGCTGGCCCCTTGCACTGCAGTGCAGGCAGGCCTCGGATGGATGATGATCACGAAAGGGCACGAATTATGATGGCATTTTCCGAAACAACACTTGCTGCATATTGGCATCGAGATACCCTGATTTAAAGTAACGGCAAGACCAGTCAAATGTTCCAATGATGCTCTATTATTTTATCCTGTCCCTTGCGATTTGTACATGTAATCATACAGCCTGTGCTTCAACTCTCCGCACCTTGATCAGCCTGATGATCCTCCTCGCTCAAGCCACCACCACCGCGAACCCTCCTCATCTTGCGATACACCCCGACAAACCCACCGCCAGCCACCCTTTCACCCACGAGCGGCCTCATGATCTGCACCAGGGGTGCCCCATCATCCCGCCGCTTGGGTACCACCGTCTTCACCTTCCACGGCCTCCCGCCCTCCTTGCCCATGACACCATGCTCGTCCGACGAGTCCGTCGGCAGCTCGACCACACGATCCTGCACGAGCGGCTGTCCCGTCGTGCTCGACCAGGACTCAAAGCTCGCAATCTGCGAAATACTCGGTGTGAAGAGCGTCAGCGTCGCGTTGACGTGCATGCACCGGATGAGCAGCTCGGCGTACTCGGACGCCGTGGGCAGGTCGAGCACCACACGTGACAGGAACGGACGTCCATCACGCTCCTCCAGACGCTGGGTGAGATACTCTGGGATGAGGCCGGCGTGGAAGTCGATGTTGGGGAGGTACATGCCCCTCTTGAAGCCGTGGATCATGGCGTGCGCCGTGTGGGTGTGCTTGGGGTTGCGGTCGAGGGTGTGTAGGATGGCGCGGCGGCGGGGGAGGTAGGCGTCGGCGAGCGACTTGGCCGCCTCGGGAAGAGGCAGAGAGGCAATAGTCGTGGTTGCGAGGCGGGATGCGAAGTTGGGGGATGTTTGGGATTTGGGGTCTTGGGTCGAGGGGGACGGAGGCACAGCGTCTTCTGCTGCTGCTGGCGCAGTCTGCATGTCTCCCTCTGGCGACGATGAAGTGCCCAGCGCAGAGACTTGACCAGCGTCTCCCTCTGACAAGATGTCCTCACCATCTTCTCCTTTGCCCTCATCGACACGCCCGGGCCTTTCCTCCCGCTTAGCCTGCGCGACCTTGCCCACGCCACTTCGCGAGAGCAAGGCATCAAGGCTCAACCTGGCCCCCGCTATACTTTCACGCAGCTCCTTCGGCAGCCCCGGATTCCCAGCATGCAGTGCCTTGGCGATGTGCACCGTCAGACTGCCCGCGCCCGTACCCGCCTCGAACACTTCGAAGGGCTCATCGCATGTCTGACCATCGTCCTCAGGGTCCGGCCTCTCCACGTTGATGTCCATCAGATTCACAATGGTCTGCGCGTCGGCCGGGTATATGGGGACCGCATGACGCGGCGCGTGGACGATCGATCGCGGAAGCGAGGGGGCGTAGAGGACGACGTCGAGCCCTGTCGAGTCCTTGACAATGTCGAGCACGCGTCGCCCGATGATGTTGACATGGGGGATGCGCGCGCCAAAGTGGAGTTTGACAGACTTGTCATGGGACGACTGGAGAGGATGCGATAGACGCCATCGTGCCTCCTTGGGACCGCGTTGCTTGAGAAGGACGACGTCGTTTTCTGGGATGGCTGATCAGCTAGGAGGTTTGCGCGGCGGGAAGTAGTGTGCTATTGGGAGGTTGAGCTACCCTCAAAGATGAAGTCTGACGTCAATGTGCGACGGTCAGACGGTATGCGAAAGCATAGTCGCGAGGATATGGACGATATTGACGTGCGAGGGCGCATTTTGCAAGGGACTGGACGTCGTTGCATCGAATCCGTCGCGCGAAGCCCAGAAATTTTCGGTATCATCTCGGGGTTGGCTCGGTAATCTCTTCACCGAACACCGAACACCGCCGCACCATCCACATGCACTTCACTTCGAGCTTCCATACAACTTACGAGGTATTGGGGAGTAATTATATTGCAGTGAGGATCTAGACCTTGTCTAGACCCAAAAGACATTTGTACATTATACACAGACGCAGCGCGCATTCGCCGTCTTCTTCCCATGATGACTATCGTTCCAGAACGCCAGGCGCCGTCCTTGCTCATAATGACCATAATAACACCGTGATCTCTTTTTGCTTCGCTGTGCTTCCCATGTCCAGACAAATGTCGGCATAATCCGTCATAAAGCCTTTACATATATATATACTCGTGGATCGTTTTTCGATAATAATCTCGTATGCGCTTGCACGTCGCTACTATGCTCACAGGAATCCCCACCGTGAGCCGGCACTGGACTGCGCCATGGCGGACCCCCACGACTCTTGAGACTCGTGCAGGTGCTCTATCGTGTGGAAGTCCTCTTCAAAGTAGGGGAGAATCTTGACGCCCGTGTGCTTCTCCAACAGCTCCACAATCGTGTCGTAGCGTCGGCGACAGCGCTTGGTCCAAGGATCGTTCTTGACCGCGCAGTGATAGCAGTACGTGTTCGCTCGAGCGTCCTTCACCCGGCAAAGGAGCTTGGCCTTCTTCATGTCGGCCAGCAGCTCGCCGGCCGCCTGCTTGGTCGCCGTGCTGTTGGCATCCGCCGCATAGAAAAGCTGGGTGACGGCGTACCGCAAGGCGAGCAGGTCGCTAAAGTCAGCGTCTCTCTCCTGCTCCATCTGTCGATGCAGTGCCTTGAGCTCCAAGGCCAACTTTTCCAGTTTTTCGGGGTCCTTTTGGTCGTAGAAGACAGCCAGATCGATCCATGTGCGTGCCACATATGGATGGCGCCGACCGTAAATTGCCTCCAGTTCCTCCGCAATCAACGCGATGCTGCCCCAGAGCATCTCCGAGAGCGTGACGGCGCCGTGTTTCTGCTGGACCTCGTATAAACACGTGAACACCTGTCGCAGTGGATGCGCCCGGTCGTGATTGGTTGTCGAGAAGGCGCCCACATACTTGCACAGCGCTGTCATGAGGCCTGGATCCCGACGCACCATGCCGAGGATCACTTCCAGGATAGCCTGCGGTGACAGTTGCTTCAGGTCGATCTCGAGCTGGTCAAATGCGTTCATCAGACATTGACCTCCCGAGTCCACGTCGCCCGCCTCAAAGTAAAAGTTGGCCTCTGTGAGCATCTCGCTGGATGGCGCACCCCAAACCATGATGGACGGCCACCCGACGCGTCTCTGCGTCTCGAGCTCCCACTGCCGACACTGGGCGAAAGCCTTGCGCATGTTGCCCACCACCAGTTCCTGCGCGCGGACCAGATCCGGTGCCTTGGCCCATTCGGGGGCCGGAGGCGGCGTCGGGGTCCGGCAGCGTATGTGCGACGGCAGGTTGGCCGGGAGCTCGAAATCGACAAGATCGTACTCTGTGACACCCTTCCGCTTGAGATATGTACCGAGGTTGACAATCTTGCCGTTCCGCACAAACTCGGACACCTTGCCCTCGGCGTCGCGCTGGAACTTCATCGACAGGAGTTTCTTGACCTCCTCCTCCGTATTGTTCTTGACAAAGCCCCACTGGGAGAATCGCGTCTTGTACATTTTGGGGGTCGCCTGGAAGTTGTACTTTTCCGCCATGATCGACATGACCTGCTTCAGGGGCTTTCGCTCGACGAGGTAGAGGTCGCGGATCGTCGATTTGAGTCCCTCCCATGCCTCGGCGGGTACCTGCTCGCGTGATGCCCGGCTGCTCGCGATGGAGGGGCGTGGCGTGGACTCTTGTTTCTGGCACATATTAGTCTGGGGCCCCAGCATTCGCGTCAAGTCAACATACAATGTCGTCCAGGTCCGGCACGTCAATCAGAGAAGGGGTCAAGGGCTCATCCTTCACGTCTGTCCCTGATTGCGTCACCGGCAGGAAAGGCTTCGGGGTCTTGGGCTTGGGGGGTTTGGCGGGTGCTTTGCCCTTGGCTTTGGAACCGGGGTTCAGCTCTAGGATGAATTGGCTGCCGGGCGTCGGCGTGGTTTTCGAGGACGAGGGGGGGCGGAAGTAACCTCCGCCGGGACTCGCAGCGACATTTCGGCTGGCCGGTCGCTGCAGAGAGGATTGGGGCTGCTGCGGCTGCTGGAAGTAATGCTGGGGTGGCTGGTAGTGCTGGAAGCTCTGCTGCTGCTGCTGCTGCTGTGGTTCCTCCTGGCCAGGCGGTCGCCAGATGGAGAATCCAGGTGTGCCTGACGTGACGCTCGGTGTCGTTGGCGCCGGCGACGAGATCATGGTGTCCTGGACGTGGCCCATGCGGCTCTGGGCCACAAAGTCGTCTAGACTACCAAAGGGGTCAGAAGACTGGCCTATACCAGGACTGCCCAGGCGATCATGGAAACTGCCAAAGGACGCCGGTGGTGGGCTTGTCGCAATGGGACTCATGACCCTGGAATGAGATGTCCCATAGGAACCGAAATGACTATCGCTCGGGGTATGCACGCGGTTGCTGGCAAAAGAGGCGCTCTGAAACGGGTTGCTAGTGAAGGACTGTCCTTGTGGCGCACCTTGGAAATGATCAAACTGATTGGCCTGGTGGCCGATGGTGATGGGACTTGTCGCAGCGTTGCCCACCGGTCGTGGTGGCAGAGCAGGTTGGACGTCCTTGTGTTCGAACTGTGCTATCAAACGACCGACGCCGCTTCCTCGAGACCCGTTGTCCGGGAAGCTCTCTGGTTCTGGCTTGACATGTTGAAGATCATGGCCATCGGCCCGGAACTGCTGAGCAAAGTCAGTCTGGAAATCCCCAGAGGGCGTCCAGTCCATGTCATTGCTTGTGGAGCCACCAAAGTCGCCCGTCAAGTCCTCCTGGCTCGAGGGAGCCTGGTCGAAACTGAACTTTGGCCATTCTTCTCGTGGTGAGAACTCGTATTGGAAAGGCAACTGCTCGGGCTGCTGGTGCTGCTGGTGTTGGAAGTGCTGTTGGATAGGCAGAGAGGAGGCGGGCTGAGGTTGCTGAAAGAATTGTTGCTGATTCTGGTGATGTGACTGCTGATGCTGATGCTGGTCCTGAGGAGGTTGTTGCCCTGCACCGCCATACTGTTGTTGTAGGTGTCCCGGCTGGTGCTGTCCGTGTTTGCCATCGTCACCGCTGCCACTGCTGGAGCCGAATGAGGCAGAGAATGCGTTCAACTCGGTCCATTGCCGCTGATTGAACATGGCGGCGGTCTAGATCAGAAAAAAAGAGTGGTGGTGGCACGAGACCAACAGTCCTGTCGTCGTGCGTCCAGTCCAGGCATTCCTCGGGAGGGACGCCTCCCAAACTCAATGAACGAGTGTCCTGGTTGCAAATGTGCCCATGTCGGGTGAGAAGAGGGAACAGAAAGTCGGCGTCGTCCAGATGGAGGAGGAGATGTGAGGAGAAGCGTGCTCGAGACTCAGACAGACACACGGCGTTGCCGCGACTAGTGAGAGGTAAACGAGTCGGGCACGGCCAGCCAAACGAATTGTGTCGCACGACACGGCAAAACCCAAAAATCTTTTTCCTTCTGTCGTGGCGCGGGGTGGACGAAGAATGGGAGAAAAGCACGCAAAGAGATAAGAGAAGCCTTGGACGTGAGTATGGGAGGGATAAAAGGAAACTAGAGGGCCCAAGAGCAGGTAGAGGTCGAGACAGACAGACAGACAGACAGACGGACGACGCCGTGACGAGCATTGGAAATGGAGCGGCTGTCGTAAAGTTCGCTTGTGCAGCCAGCGAGCGCCGTCGAGCCCCGTCTGTTCAGTCCAGTCCAGTCCCGTCCCCTCGATACCCAAGTTACTGTACGTGCTTGCGCCTAGTCTAGTACGTGTGGTCCGGGGTCAAGGGGCCAATAACCGAGGAGCAGATAGCGGCTCGAACGTCCAGCGAGACAAGAATTGCAGCGCCCCCAGCAGCGGGACACGAGGAAATTGGCGGAAAATCGACACGCGATGGAGCAGTTTCGTTATCATTCCCCAGACTTGGGTGATATGGGGGGTTAGCTGATTGGACCAGGGCGCGTGGGCTCCCCTCTTTTCCCCTCGAGTCGAGCCGACGACGTGCGCTTGACGTGTTTGCAGGGCACGAGCAAGCCCGAAAAAAATGGTTGGCAATGTGCAGAGATGAGCCACTATAGATTATCTAGTCTAGGGGCTGGCGCCGCGCAGAGGAGGCCTGCGACTCGCGAGCAGGCGAGACAGGCTAGTAGGCTGTCCAGGCAGCGAGACTCCGAGAGACATGAGAGGGCAGGCACGTCCCGACCGCTAAACTCCCACGCCAAGGCCATGGAAAAGCGCGCCAGCAAAAGTTCCTTCCTTTGCGGCTTCCCAATGCGGAAGTCATTCCTGCCCGGATCCGGATCTTAGGGACGTTACCGCCTCGATAGCCCTGCGTTCTACGTCGCACAGGGCCTCCATGTCAGTCTGCGCTGCCAGAGACGGGCGACAAGATAAGATGCAGCAGGGGCCTGGCCGTTGGCCTCGCTCACGCGGACGGATGGTGGTGGTTGTTTGTCAATCAAGATACGCACATACAGACACACTCACGGTGAACGGTTCGAGGGCGGTTCTGGAAGCCGTCTAGAAGTTTGACCACGGCGCTCGGCGCTGCACGTACGGATTGGCCAAGGCCCCAGATCGTGCGTCAAGCCATCGCCCGCCGCTGATAACCTCAGCCGCTCAGCGTCATACCCAGGCGGGCAATAGACAAGTAACGTTGAGCAAGAGGTGTCAGTACGTCAGAACCAGTGATCAGAGCAAAGCAAGGGAAAGGAAAAGCTTCTATCATGTGACTGCAGACATCTCTTGTCAACTTAAAAGGTCATTACGGAGTACATAGTTAATTAAGGCAAGCTTCGATAACGCAAGCGGCAGCGCGCTAACGAGGCATTGGCCTGACGCTCCTGTGAGGCTGTTCATGACGACCGGCATAATATTGATCATGTTGTCTTTGGTGAGGGGTATGGCGTGCGCCCGCTCCCTATCTACGGACAGCAATCGATTACGTTGCGAAGAACAGCGCTCTCGTGAACAAATTGATGAATCGTTGCACGTGCTCGCGCTCCGTCTCCCGTGCTGACATCACCACCCGTCCGTCTCTGCCAGCTGATTGAGCAGTTCGGCAGCCACCGCCCTAAACCAGAAGGTGGGCAAAGAAGGGTTCTAGAAACCCATTGGCGAGTGCAAACCAGAAGCTGAGAAGCTGAAAGAGGATCGTCGCCGGGCATCAAGGAGTCACGGACCCTGAGACAGACGAGGAGGCATGATACAGCACAGCGGCGCAGATGGGCGCTCCCGTGTAATCAAACCCTAAACCAAGGGGGAAGAATGAAGCATGTGAAGCCGTCGCGCCTTGATATCTCTTTAATAATAAGCGGCGCCGGCCCCTTTTCCACTTGCGTTATTCTTGGCATCAATACGTAACTCAGGTGCCGCGGCCATACTGACTGTGCCTATGGCTTATCGGGCGGTCTCGTCCGGTGTTGTTGGTCCCGACATATGCACGAATCTGTCGCGACGCATTGTCCCCAGGCATCTCTTGCTTCGGTAGGACAAGGACTGCTGTCCCGTCCGTTCGTGGTGCCGCACGGCTCCCTCTGCAGCTAATTACGTACAGATGCGCAGACTTACACAACCTTCCTAACCAGTTCACGCTTGACGTAACAGCTATTAGCCCTCCAAGACCTCGGCCAAGCTCTCTTGGTGCCATGTGCTGCGTCGCGTTCAACCTCCCTCCTAACGTTCGTCAGCGCAAATAGCAATCATCGTCGGCTACCCTGTGCAAGAAACCTGTGCAAGAATGAACTCATGAAGCCATCTGTCTCATTCAATTAATGTAATAATTCGTCTACCGTCGCTCAAGTGTCGGTGACTTTTCGTGTTGCGGGCCATTGGGGCCCTCTGAGAAGCGTAAAAGGGCAGCCAGGCAAGCATAGTGTGTATCCAGGTGTTACAGTCCGTATCCCTCGCCCTCCCCCATTGCCAATAAGGTATATCCCATCATCCTGATCGTAAGTAAACAGACGCCAATACTCCAACACACAAGACGCAATGGCCACCGTCCGAGTAATCATCACGGCACCTCTTGTCCCTCCTCTTCCTCCCAGAACTTGAGACCGCCTTCCACGCGTATCCCCCCACTCACCCAGTCCCGGCTGGCGACCTTGTCCAGTGTCCAGCGACTGCGCGCACGCTTGAGCAGGCCCTCGGTCACCTCCATGGCGCCCTCGAGCCCAGCGTCCGTGAACTTCTGCGGGTCGCCGTCGCCCTCGTCGTCCGCATACGTGACCCAGCGCCATTCCACCCTCGCAATGCGATGGCTCGTTCGACTCCGCATCCTGTGCGCGTCGCTCATCCCCGGGTGCGGGTCAAACGGCAATCGTGCTTCCAGCAAGGCGTAGAGCAGTACGCCCAGCGTCCAGGCGTCTGTGGCGCGCCCATCGTACGGCTGGCCCATGATCACCTCGGGGGCCGCATAGTCGTCTGATCCGCACCGTGTCTCGAGCTTCTCGTCCAGCGTCGTGATCCGTCGGCTCAGACCGAGGTCGGTGAGCGTGGTGATCGAGTTGGGGTAGGTGAGCCAGTCAATGGCTGGGTTCGCGAGCTCAGCAGGCGTAAGATTGACGAGGACGTCTGGCAGTGTCAGCAAGGCTCATGGGGCCTATGGGGATACAACGCAACACACTCTCTAGCTTGATGTCTCGATGGACAATCATCTTGTCGTGCAGATATCGCACGGCGCCCACGAGCTCGGCGAAAATCCTCCTCAGCAGTACCGGCGTTAAGAAGCGCCTGGCTTGCGTCGCCACGTCGAACAGGTCACCTCCCGGCGAGTACGTCAGTACCAGTATCGCCCTCGTGGGCTCGATGCTGAACGCCTTGAGGTCTACGAGGCTGGGATGATGAATGTCCTGCAGAATCTCCAGCTCGCGCTTCAAGCTCATCTCGATACGATCTTCGCTAGCGCCACCTCGGGGCCCATGCTCGCATATCTTGACGGCCACCAACGTCTTTCTTGAGGGCGGGTTCTCGGTCGATTCGTCCTCCGTCGCTGCGATTTGGCTTGTCGCCAGGACGACCTTGCTAAAGGTGCCCTGTCCAAGGGGTCGCAGTGCTCGCCAACGACGGCGCTTCTGGTCGTGGCGGCCTCTGGCTTCGAATAGTTCAGCACTGGTGACTTTCCTCTCCGCCGAGGAAGTTGAGTAGTTTGACGATTCGCTTGGTGGAGGTGTCGGTGGTTTCGTAACAGCAGGTGTAAGGCCCCGCTGCTCGGCCAGGTGGACCTCTCGACGGATGGTCGGTTCTTGGGGTTTGGTTTCCGACTTTCGGGCATGCGAGCCGGAGACTGTAATGTGTCGCTTCGGGATGGCTAACGGATCCGGCACATATTCGCTCGCACTACGATTGCGAGTATGCTGGGTTTCGTGGGAGACAACAGTCGGCGGCGGGCCGTCGGCGCGGTTGTCAAGCGCGGTGTAAGTCTTCCGCCTCGGTGCGGCCGACGTTGGGTCCAGCGATTTCGTAGGGCTGGTCCCCAACACGGAATCCTCTCCTACGCTTCCTAGGCGTCCTCTCGACCTGGGTGGTGTGCCTGCGATGAGCTTCTTCCACGGTCCTGGCGAGTCTGCGGACATGAGTGGACTAGGCAAGGGTGTCATGTCGCCCATGGCCGCGATGATGGGGCTCGTGGCCACGCTGCTGGCTCCGCTGGCGGTGCCGTTGAGGACCTGGCCAAGCGAGCTCTTGAGACTAGGTGTGCGACAGACCTGGAGACTGCTATTCGATGGTATGCGGTTGATCGGTGGACGACCGTGCGAGCCGTGCCGGTGAGACGGCGCGTGTGGTGATGCGGAGGCCACGTCTGTGTGTATGCGCAATGGTGCCGAGTGATGTTCCGAGGTCATGTTGTCTGGCGTCGAGTTCGAGGACGGTGGAGGCGACGGCGCAATCGTCGTGGATTGGAACTGTATCGGCTGGGGGAGCTGGTCGGCCTGTGGCCTAGGCTGGCGAGTCGCCATGCTAGGTTGAGAAATAGCGGCTGAGTCGGTGCGGGCTTTGCGACAATGCGTACTACTGCTGCGGTGGTGGCAGCAGCGGTGGCGGAGGCGGCTGGGAGGACGTCAGATGGATGACGCTCAAGCGTGCGTGAGTCAGGAGGATCGAGCGTCTCCAGGCGATGGCCCGTAGCTAAGGTAGGGGGCAAGTCGTTGTTGGCAATAGCAAAGTGCTTCCCTCTATGGCAGAGGCATGAAGGCAAAGGCGTACGGCGCAGCCAAGGCCGCGAATGGGGGCTGAGTCGACACTCAGATCATCAGAGGGCAAGAAAAGAGAGGAGGAGAGCTCAAACAACCCAGATGGATGGATTGTTGAGAATCGGAGATGTCGCGGTTGACAAAAACTGGGGCAGCGGGTGCCCTACAGCCTATAGCCAACGCTGTGAAAGCGCTGGGAGCGTTGCAGTCGACTCGTCGAGACTTTGAGTACCAAGACCTTCGAGACCATCCGTAACCGGGCTGTCGCAGGCGTTTGATTGTCTGTGCCGACTATAATTAGCCGGGCGTACGTAAATGATGGCTGACTGCATTACTATTCGAATCCAAAAGTCCGAGCTCAGGAGTGCTTTTTGTGGCGGCTAGCGGAGGGGCCTAATCAGGACTGTGATACGGGACCCAAAGATTCGAATTCACGCCGACAAAGAACTTGCAGATATTGCGGTGGGGGCGTCGAATATCACGTTGCAGCAAAATCCTGGTCTCTTATAGGAAGACAGGCGATGATTTGCCAAGGCGTCCCATGTAATTGACAGTCGCACTGGAATGCAGCGCAGTCTTTGGTGAAAACTCTAACCGCCAGTCCGTCTTCGTCTTGTTTGATCGTGAGTCCGTCCTTGGCGCACGCTCACTGCGCAGTGCGCAGTGGGAACGCAACCCGGCCTTTCCCAATCTGGTAACCCGACAGACGAGCTTGTCTCAGATAAGTACTTGTACAAGTACTCTTCAGCAAGCAACTGACTGAAGTTGTCGCGACTGCAAGGCGAAGAACTTGGGTCCTTGTCGCATTCTTCATTGACAGCAAAGATGGCTCTTCGCACGTCATCCCTCACTGGACCCCGCCAGTGCGTCCATGTTCCTTGGGCCAATCGAGTCGAGGGACGATGCATGTGTGCGGGCAACGGGACTGGACAGGTTGTAAGTGTAGCCGCAGATCGAGCTTCGCGTCACCAAAGATTGTGCGGCCTGGTGAGCAAAGACGTCCCGAGATGTAAGCCTTGACAGAGTGATGAGCATGTACCTTAGGCTAAAGGCGTGGCTTTCACTGTTTGTTCCTTAAAATAGACTGCTGGGGTCTGATAATCTTGCTGAAAGCATCGCTCTGATTACTAGCCATGAATATATACGCTCTGATCGTCAATTGAACATGAAATCAGTCGCTGGTGTGGCATCAAAATCGATAAACCCAACCATCAACCAGTTGCGTCAATACACATCCGATAGGGCCAGGCCAAAGATTTGTGCCTGTGCTCGCACCGCACATTGAGGACACTGCCTCTTGTAGCCTTGGTGGAAAAGGCGAGCGGCGTTTCTGTACTCGTCCCAGAACTCTGGCCACGAAAGAAGTCCGTCGTCCCCACGCGTGACCTCTGGATCCTCCGCGTCTTCCAACCATGCCTGAAAGTCCTCGCGTCGCATAGTCGCCTGGCCGTTGCTCTGCCAATGTGCCTTGCGGAACCTCCCACTATGAAACCACCGATGGCAATCAACGCATAGTCGACGGTCCGGTGCTTCGCGGTTCGTGTGTCGGCTGAAAGGCCTCACGTGCCATAGCAGGGCATTCGCGTTGCCGCAGCCGCAAAGCGTATCTACGTTCTGTGCACTACCGACGGCCCAAGCCTCCCGATGATAATGCAAGTCCGGCACCACAAGAAGGCGCGGCCGCAAGTTGCCTATAGCAAGTAGGCACCGGCAGCTGAATGCCATGGCGATGCGGGTGACAGGGTCGGCGGCCATGAAGATTTGAGACAGGATGTCTGGCGGCAAGTTAAGCAACGCAGATTGCGGCTGCGGTCCGGACGAGACCATCAAGAGTGCATCTGGGGTTTTGAAGGACGTCCAGTGACGGCAACGGATATTGTCGTATTTCGTGCGGTTCTTGTCTGATCTGGTGGGCCTTCCAGGCGCCATGATGGTTGTTGATCTGCCCCCAAGGTGGCTAGGTCTTAATCGCGCTGTTTTTACTTCAGGTGATGTCCTGTACGCTTGCTTGATGGGTGGCGAGCCTCCCCAAAGGCGAGCGCGTAATATTGGTCGACTGGCACGTCTTCAGTCGTCGGGATGATCGAGACAAGAAGAGCATCTTCAGTCGTTGATTGGAGCACAAGACAGTACATGTATATCTCTGGGACTCAGAGAGACTGGGCGAGTCGGAGTAGAGGGATAAATTGTAGTGAAGGATGTTGTCCAAGTGAAGCTGTAGTCACCGTGGAGGGGGAGAAGTCAGTGATGTTATTGGGGCGTGGTTGCTCAGTGTTGGCGCTGGCTGGACCTTCAGCTTTCCGAGCAGGAGCCTCCCTTGACACCGTCTGGGTTTTCAGTTCAGCCTCGAGTGTATCAGGTCACGGCTCCTCATTCGCGATAAACGGTTTAATTACCGTGACAGATAGTGGGAGGGTTTTCGAAGTCGTCAAATCTATGATGAGGCAACGCCGCCATGTGAAGCCACGCACGGACCATCTCCCTTTGGACCCCTGCACGTCCCCGCGACGCGCTTCGACGCGGTCCTCGTCTATCCCTTTACGCGCTTCACTCTTTCTAATCGCCATCACCATCAACCAAAACCACGAGTCAAAATGTTGCGCCACCACGACCGCGTTGAGCCCAAAAGACGCAATGTCGTCGATCACCGCAAGAAGCAATTCGCGTCGCCCCAATACAAGCACGCCGAGTATCCTCACCGTCTCAACTTCTACATCGATGCGCCCACCGCCGACATCACCTTGGAGCAATTCGAGCAATGGGCCATCGATCGCCTGCGCGTGCTCGGCGAGCTGGAAGCGTGCTCCTTTCGCAACAAGTCACCTGCGGAGACGGCGACACACATGAAGTCTATCCTGGACAAGTACCTCCCCTTGGACTCGAACAGTTCTGCATCCGGGAAGCTGGCCTTGCAAAGGCAGAAGGATCACTACAGTCATTTCATTCTGCGTCTTGCCTTTGCGTCAACGGAGGATCTTCGTCGGCGATTCACGCGCGTCGAATCGATGCTATTCCGCATGCGGTTCCACACCGACGACGTGAGCGAGCGAGCAGCCTTTGTCAATGGACTGAACCTGGACTGGTGGGAAGCAGTGAGCGAGGAGGAGAAGGTACAATACGCCGAAGAGCTCGCTGCCATGCTCCCTGTGCGGAAGACCATCGAGGACGAGAGCTGGTTCAAGGTGGATTGGGAGCGCGTGCCGGACCTCGTCGAGCAGCGGCGTGTCTTCCTCAAGCAAGGCAAGGCGTTTGTACCCGGTCGCGAGCAACAGTCCATGGTCGTGTCCGAGTTCACGACAAGGCTCGAGAAGCAGCTCGAACTCACCGCGCGCGCTTTGCCCCGCCTGGACGAAGACGATCGCCTCAAGCCCATCCTCACCCATCTGTCCAAGAACTTTATCACGCCCGATGCCTCCTACATGGCTGGCTCGACCGCCCCCGAAGGGGCTAACATCACGGCAGCCAACATTGATAACCTGTCACAACACTTTCCAGCCTGCATGTCAAATCTCCACCGCTCACTACGGCGGGATGGACATCTCAAGCACTACGGCCGTCTCCAGTACACACTCTTTCTCAAGGGTATTGGTCTCAACCTCGAAGAGTGCCTTGTCTTTTGGCGACAAGGGCTCCGCCACAAGACCGACGACGAATTCAACAAGGAGTACCGCTACAATGTACGCCACGCGTACGGCGAGGTCGGTGGTGATTCGAATAGGCGCGGCGGTGGCTACTCGCCATTCAGCTGTCAGAAGATCCTCACGGAACACCCGCCTGGCCCGGGCGAGGCCCATGGCTGTCCATATAGGCATTTTAACATGGAGAATCTGGCAACGCTAGTGCAGAGCATGGGCGTGAACGATCGAAGCGTGATGCAGGGTATCAAGGAGGACAAGGATGGTCAAAAGTTCCACATGGCGTGCAATCGGTCAGTATTTTACTTGCCCTTTTTCCTCACTAAGTGTTTGCTAATAAGATGAACAGCGTCTTTGAGCACGTGCACAAGACGGAGATCCGCAAGGCCAAGGACCAGGGCGTCATGACGGCGAACCAACTCGAGACGATTGTCCACCCCAATGAGTATTTCAAGCGAAGCTATCTATTGAAGAACCTGGCCAAAGAAACGGCCGATGTCGAGATGGAGGGCTAATGGGGATATGCACATATCAAGGCGTTTTGGCGTTTGGGGTCGATACTCCCCCGTCTTCGGTACATGTAGATGCAATGCAATGAACATTCTATGAATAGCCTCAACACTCCCAGTCGGTGTACGGCATTGCCGCAATGGTGAGCAGACATGGTCGACATGCACAATGATATCAGTGCGGGGAGGCGAGCAACTGCAATACCCCTACGCACACCCTGCGATTCCGCCCACCAATTGTGCGCAGGGACTGGAGGACGCGTTGTCGAGGGCGATCACTATCGGGGTGCGATGTTATTCGAGGATCGCTACTCCATCGACGATTGGGACTTGAAACCCCGCGATGATCGTCACGGAAAGATCGACTGTGATAGATAGAGTCGTGGCTCACGCCATGAGGCGTAATGAGGCGCAGTGATCAACATACAGCAGGTCACTGAAGCATCATCACCTCTGTCGTGCATGACGGTTTCTGTGAAATAGTAACCGTTGGTGGTGACGACCCCGTCGATGCATCAATGACATCAACAGGCCGCAAGGTCGTCTGCAGTCTTATCCGGAGACACGCAGGTCCGGTGCGTGTCTTTCTCACGTCCCCTACGGACCCTAGTCTAGCAAGTCATGCATTCCAGCCACCGTCGACGGTAATGCTGGGGTAGTTAGTTAGTGACGAGGCTAGCCTAGCCATTGATGGCAGATGCTTGTACGTACGCACGTACGTCGTGCGTACAGAATGCGCCGATGGGAGAACGTTGATAGGTTTGGCTGTGGTGGGGGCAGGTGATGCCGGCATACGATTATTGATTTTGTGCATGAGGAGGATGAGGTACATTTTGCCGACGTAGGGGATCTCGCGAGGAGGAGGGGAGTACGTACGTATAGTTTGAATCTCGGCTCGGTCATTTCCCGCGGTCTGTTACGCGTGATGACCGCTTTCCGGTCTATCGTGGAGTCGGTCGAGGATGGCAGACCAGTGCCTGATTACTTAGCATGTGTCTGTGCTAAGAAACAGGAAACCTCGGATGGATGCGGTGGGACGCTCCATGTGAGGGTGGGTGGATGTGTTTCAAATCGAGCGAGTCCCACTTCCTACGATCACGTATCGCGAACGCGATTGATCAATTTATATGGATTGTGCAGTAACTGTGATCGGAGATGTCCGTCCCACGGAGGCTTGTTAAGACGCTGTGAGAGAGAGGTTATCAGCATGAGTAGGATCGCAGCTGAATTGAGTGAATAGGGCGCTGTGTTTCAGGAAGTGAATGCCGCAGAAGCTCCGCAGGTCCGACACAAGGCAATCACAGAACAATCTCACTTGCAAGATGTGGTAAAAATAGAAAATAGCCATGAATATGCTTAATGTATATATACGAGAAATAAGTCATCAAAGTATCATGCTCTCATGCGCTGTAACGTTTGCTGCCTGCCTGCCCTGCCTCAATCAATCCGGAATCGCATCCAGCGTTCCCTTTTCCTTCCTAGAAGCCGTGCCTGTCAAACGCAAGCATTTCTGCATCGGTGCCAAGATTTGAATGTTGGAAAACTCGTGTCTGTCTTCATTCATCTCCCAAAATAGAGAAGCGAGTGGGTCGTCCTCCTCGGTTGGCCGTGCCGCAGACAAGGGTACTGCACGATGACGTTGGGGCATCTCGCGTCCGCGAGGCGCAACATCGACGTATCGAAACCAAGGCGGGTGAAAAAAAGGTGCATCGCAATTGAGCATGTCGAAAGTGTTGACAAGTGTGTGCGACGACACGATTGAAATGCGCATCGGCTGTCGGTCCGGACTGGTGGTTGTGACTGGCATCAGCACTGCCACAATTGGTCCTACACGACGGCGCGTTTCATGTTGGCGTGAGGCTGGAGAGCGTCCGAGTTCCGCATCCAGGGATGTATGCGGGAGGTCAAAACAAGCCCGATTGAATTAGAGGGTATGGTACAGAAAGTTGATGATACAAAAAGAAGACAAATAGGGGTATCATGTCGTGAATGGATCCAGTCCTTGGGGTGTTTGCGCTGCACGGCGGAGTGCTGATCTGAGCTGGTTTGATGGCTCCAGCGCCGCTCGCGGAATCCTCCCGTCCGTCCCTGAAATTCGGGGGGAGGTCGATGGGAATGATCGCGTAGACTGGCTGCACGTGGGCAGCCAGAGCAACTCTTGCCTTGGGCGCGTCGTAGGCTTCCGCAGTATGGTGTGGTGCCTTTCAAAAGTGCATTCAGAGGGCCGAATGCTGATGATCCGGGGTCTCGTTCTCGGTCCTCGTACGTTGTTTCATAGTAGTTGGGTGGTCCAGCCTCGCTGGACCTTTCTCCAGGCGCGCTGGTGTGCTGCCTCCCTCATTTGTAGCCGACCATCTTGGCGCAGCGCTCGCAGTAGTAGAGGTTGTGCGAGATGCGGACCATGCCCATGGTGGCCGCGTCGTCTGTCGAGGTGGTCTCCACGGCGCGCGCGCAGCGCATGCACCGGAGGATCTCGACAGAGGCCACCTGTGATCGTTGGACGGCGACAGAGTCCATGCTGAGTCGTGGTGCCGATGCGGACGATGTGCTGGAGAGGTCGGAGTCTGACGAGGAGCAGGAGGACGAGGACTCGAAGTGGCGGCTTGCTGGACGTTCAGGCATGATGGCGGGTGTTGCTGAAGATGCAGCGACCATGTATATTTTATATTTCAATAGTGTACCGTACGATGTCTGTTGGTAGACGAGGTCGATGCAGTGTTGCTTGGATTTGGTTGTTTCGGGGGTATTGTTCAGGGTTGCTAGCTCCAGTGGTAACTGAGTCGTGAGATCAGGGGTGCGTATTCCAGTTGTTGGGAGAGGAAGTTTGTTTCATGGAAGGATGAGCCTTTAGTATTATACTGGAGGGAGAAGGAGAAGCGTCTGCGCACAGGGTCCGGCAAGGCCTGGACACTTAAGCAAGCTTGACCGCGGGCTCCTGGCGTCGATGATCAACCGATGGCTGTGGGCTGGGGGGGGGGGGGGGGGGGGGGGCGGGGGGGGGGGGGGGGGGGGGGGAGGGGGGGGGGGCGGGGAGGGGGGGGGGGGGGGTGGGGATGGTGAGAAAGAAAGGGGATGGGGTGGTAAAA